CAAATCTATGTCTCCAACGTTTGTTACCCACCTGACACTTATTGCTGCCCCTTGTTCCTTCCCTTACTCCATGCTCCCATAACCCATCCCAACCTGCCCAATTCTACGTTGAAACTTGAACTTGGACCATTAACTTTCTATATCTAGCTTCCATTCAATGTAGGCTGGCAAGACCTGAAGGATCTATTCCGCCAAGCTGGTAAGTCCAAAGCTGTTACAGTTCTTGATTGATTTTGCGTATCGTGTGATAGCTGTGTGTGCGTAGGGTGCCCTTGCATTGACCAATACCCATTCACAGCGCAACAAGGTGCTGTTGTCCGCGCCGATGTGCACATTGATCCTAGTGGCCGCCCGAAAGGTTCCGGAATTGTTGCATTTGAAAGTGCGGATGATGCTCGAAATGCTATCCAGCAATTCAACGGGTATGACTGGCAGGGTCGAACACTTGAAGTTCGCGAAGATCGCTATGCAGGAGCCGCAGGCTTTGCTGGACGTGGTGGTTTTGGAGGGGTTCCTGCCCGTGGTGGGTTTGTAGGTGGCCGTGGTGGGTTTGGTGGACGTGGTGGTTTTGGCGGCGGGTTTGGTGGTGGAAGAGGTGGTTTCGGAGCAGGATACGGTGGTGGCCACGGTGCTGGACCAGTAGAGGGGGGTGCATCAGTCCCTCCAAATCCATTCACGGATTTTGCAACTTCTGGTGGAGAAAGAAGCGCTACCATCTATGTCCGCAACGTACGTTATCGTCCCTGTTATTTCCTTTTTTTGGTCTTGTCATGGCTTTCAGACTAATGAAGGGAACTGCGTCTCCAAACAGCTTCCTTGGTCGACCTGCAATGAAGATCTAGTTGACCTCTTTTCAACAATTGGTAAAGTTGAAAGGGCCGAAATTCAGTATGAGCCTAACGGCCGCTCCAGAGGTACTGGGGTTGTTGAATTTGACTCCGCTGAAAACGCAGAGACTGCTATCAGTATGTGTTGGCCTATCCATGTTCATTGCTCATTCTTGATGAGCTATGGTTTCATCTTGTCGAAATATGCCTATGCTGACATAATACACAGACAAGTTCACCGGTTATCAGTACGGAGGTCGTCCTCTCGGCCTGACCTTCGTCAAGTACCTGAACAACGGTTCTGCAGATGCCGTGGGAGGCACAGAAGCGACGGGCGGTCTTACCCAAGACCAAATCATGTAAAATGCTAGTTGTATGGAGGTAAGACGGTGGAAGTAGAGCCTCCTGCATGCGAATTTGTCCTCACAAGAAAACCTGCCTTGTCAGCTACAAGCCAGCTCTTGGTTTAGGACTGCGTGGTTATATTTTATCGTTTTCGCCTCGTTTATTTGTCTTTGCTATTATTTTCCCCCATTTTACATCCCAAAAACGAAGGAAGGGTTCGTTTAGTTTGTTATCGGTTCCTCGGCTTAAAATACCGGATGAGCGTGATTTTTTCGTTCCCCCTGTTAGTTCCCCCTGTTACTCTATCGCCTCTCTCTAGTTTGCTTGTCAGGTATGGATGGGTGATGAGTTTGCCCGATCTCTGTACTTGTTTTCTCCCCTTTCCACTTTCACGACGACGACACTTTTGTTTGTGCTCTTTGAGCCTTCCTTTGTTCATGTCGCTTTATCGCCGGGAAATTTACTCTGCCTGAATCTTGTCCTATTTCCTTCTAGTTTTTTAAAAAATTACGCTTCTATTATGCTTGCGTGCAAAATTGTAACCCACACTGCCTAGCCTTTTTGTGTCTATATCAATATGTTTGCTGTAGTTTCTGATAATTACTCCCCATTGAGTGATGGGCTCCCTTCTTTTTATATTTTATTAATTAGGCTCTTAAACCAAGGCCTCATATTCCACTCATTCGATTCCTTGACACGTAGCAAAAAGCAGAATGATCCTTTTGTATTAATATGAGAGCTACGGACTACCTACGTTGCGTGGTTATTGACTGAGGCGGTTTCTGAGCTTGCCCGACAAATAATGCAAGCCCATCAGAATCTCAACAGAAGAAATAAAAATTAAATATTAATATCAGCTCATGACAGAAATTATAGTTTAAGGGAGCGGGAATCTGTAGCTAGCTCCGGCAAGTTGTGGGTTTGAGCAGGACTGGCGCTGCGCTAGTTTCCTACATACTATGGATGTAGATTGGCCCCAGCGCGGTATCAGGCCAGGATTTCTGGCTGCGGATGTTCCTGGGCTAGTTCGTGGTGAAATATCTAGTTTGACGGTCAGCATAGTTAACTATCATTTCAAACCGCGCTTCATTCATCGCTTTGCAAGAAATGCATAAAGTCAATCATACTTTTTTAGAGGTAACGTCGATGATCGGTTCTATTGCAAACATACCCCGAGCACACAAGATATAAGAATCAGCTTCCTCTTCTGCTCATCTGCAGCAAATAGACTGTTCAACGCAGAAACCAATTAAAAGGTGGTCCATGAGCACATGACGGACTAGCTAGGAATATCTACAGTCTGCTCATCTAAAAGGGTAAATTGATTGGGAGCTGTGAAGGCCGCAGCGGTCAAGAGACAAAAAGGGCATCATTGGCTTAGTGAGAAAGTCCAACGTTGCCATTGGGCGGGCTCCGAATAATGATAACCTCATATTATCTGCCACTTCCCAATCACAGACTTGAAGCTGGAGCATGTCTATTGCCTATCTGTGACCCCAACAGCCACGGATTGAGCAATCTGTAGCTATCCTGTCGTAAATTGACCGAGATATTACATACTTCGATTCACCGCTGATGCAATCGACAGGGGGTTCGATCAGCTAAGCTTACCGAAGCCCTGGCTGTTCTTTTCGGTTCCTGTTGCGAATGAACCCTGTTGCACCCAGATAATGCGTCAAGCAAGGGTGGATGAGCAGCACTGCTGCAAAGAAGCTTCCGTGTGCCCGTTGATATCTCCTCGCTCTTCATCCTCTAGCCATCGAATACCAGCCACGTGTCTTTTTATATACATGAACATGCATTCTTATCAGATAATCGTGCTGGGTTCGTATACCATACCGGTGACTCGGGTGATCCTGATTTTCCGTCTCTGGGTGTCTGGTTTAGGCCTTTCGCATTCCTCATTCTGATTTGGAACGGATAGACAGTTTCCGAGATCCTCTATTGTATAATATCAACAAGAGGACTATCACATCTGGTAGAGATGCTTCCTCACTTGTTTGAGAACACCGGTAGGGTTTCAGTCACGTTGTGACGTTGTGCGAGTTTTACCGTCTTGTGTCTCTTCTCTCCTTATTTTTTTAAGATTTGACGCATGCAGAACACATGCAGCTCCAAGATTTGACTTTTTATCTGCGTGATTTGTATCAGCCATTGATGAATTTCACTTTATCTGGGAATAAAAGGTTCTTATTTCCATAGAGCCCATCATTTGTTAACAAGGGGACCGGGCTTGAAGCAGGGTTGGATAATGCACTCCTAGGACAAGAGTAGCTACGCATTCAATGTAGCAATGAGTAGTCCGTAGAGAACAGCTGGATTGAAGCCAGTAGCGAGGATGAGCCAAGATCTTGCAATGCAAGAAACATGCGGCTGGGGTTCAGCCCCCTTGCCTTCACACTGCCACTCATCCCTTCCTTTGTTTCCGGCGTATGGCTGGAATTAATAGCCAGGTTAAATAAGGCAGTATTCTTTCTCCGCGGCCAGATTTCCCGCGATGTTGGCTCTATTCCTTCCTTTAGAGGAGCCGTATAGTCCCCGGCGTAGGAAAGCCCAGAATTTTAGGTTCCACCACTGGGCTTCGAGAGTACAGAAATATCGGAATGGTTCGGAGGATTCATCATATTTTGTGATTGCCATTGGCAAACCCTGCGGGAGAGTAAGAAATCTGCAGGTTGTAATCGCAGAAATTGGCCTAGTTGATAGTAGCCAGCTACCAGGGACGGAGAGAAAGTCAGTAGCAGGATTTTATATTGAAACCCAGCACTCCTGAACCATTCTCTAGAAGAGAAAGAAAAGGCGGTGTATGAACTGCCAGTTGAAGCCCTGACTCAATCTTGCAAAGTTGAGACTGATGGGCTTTGGATGGTTGAGGTAAGGGGTCGCAGGGAGAAGCATGGTATGATTGACGGTGACACAGCTGGCTATCTTGCGCGACAAGACTTGTGCATGCAAACTATTTGCGGCGAGGCACATATAGTACGGGTCTTATATCAGGCTGTTCTAGAACAAAACATCCCGTGCCTGAACATGTAGTGAAAGGAAGCCAGAAAGCTGCATGAGCGGAAGTTGAATCGCGGCCACAGAGCCTCATATCAAATCTGGTATATAACCCTAAACCCCCCTAACCTTCCAATTGCATCGCGCGATTCTGACTGAAATCTGCAACACAATCAGAACTGTTTCATCCTACATGAACCAATAAGCCATTAGTTATCTTTATTGTCTGCACGATGTTGCTCGCGGATTGAACCAAATTAGATTTAGGAGGGTTAGGCAGCTAACGTACCTGGGTTCTGAATCGGATGGGCGATACAGTTCCACCAAAATTGTGGCCAGAACCGATAAGTCTCACCTAACAACGACATCAACATCTTGGGAGTTTAATTCCAAAATTCGAAGTGTCCATCTTATTGTGCCTCCAGATATTTTATTATAACATTCAGTATTTCCGCTTCAGGTGCGTACCAATGGTTTATTCCTGATTCCCGACGTTGCATCCTAGTTGTCTGCAGTCAGACTTCCGTCTTTGGGTCTTGATCCAGGACCTAAATACCCCCGCCCCGCCCCCTGACGTCACTTGGATGACCGGTTGGATTGTCTTCCAACAATTTGCAAATCGTTCACCAACCTCGCACAAGAACCTTGGATCATTAGTAAGGGCCTGGAAGCTGGAGGCTGGAGGCCGGGCATTGGGCCTACTGCCTAGTGCCCTAAGAAATTTTTATGTACCAGTGGTAATCCCGTTAACCTCAGCCCCTAAACAATGCCAATATTCAGTTATGGATTAGTTTGAAAGCTTAACTAATTAACTTAGGGTTAACTTAGGATCCACTGGGGGAACTATCGCTTCCGAGGTTCTGAATTTCCACACCACACACCACACCGTGTACATTTTCTTGCAGCGGCGTCACTGGCTCATTGATCTTAAGAGTTACAGTGAACGAAGGACCCTATCGCCAAGCTCCTCCTACGCGAAACAGTCGCACAATATGGCTCCCATATGGCTCGCGGCTGCCTGACTCCCTTTGAAATGCAGACTACTCTTCTGGGGAGCTTTTCTACGTACTTTTCTTCATTATTCTGCTTTCAGTGCGTCTCCACTGTGCCTCAGGAGGCTAGAACACCACTGAAACCCGCGATTTCTCGGCGCGAAGCGGGCCGACACAATCTATAGCTAGAAAGGAACTAATTGTTATGGTATCTATTATCAATCGGATTTATTATTTGGGCGAACGGCCCTGTGAGAAGATGACGGAGTCTCTCGGGGTGGATCCTCGATATTGACGGTTTCTCATTCCTCCGCTTTTTGATGCCGGCAAACACTTGGACTGAGAAAGCCATAGGCTTGATTAGATCAAGATGACTGACACACTTGCATGGGTCAATAAGTTACTGAACATGAACAGGGCTGAACCGCCACGCTCTGCCAGTTTCTCCCGTTGTGTGGACTGCAAATTCTGGGGCCAATCGTTGCAGCTGGACCTGCTCCACCGCCGCGGGATAGGCTCCTCATGACCAGGATCAACGGTGTTCTGCTCTTTTGTAATTTTATTTATTTTATTTTTTATTATTTCTCCCATGCTTTTTATTGCCTGTTCAATTCCCTCAATCACCCCAAAATACATTTCGTATATACTTCCACCGACAAGATATATCACTCTCTGGGTTCGCATATATATATATATATATATGTTTGTTTGACAGCTCTGCTGCGGCACTTATTCTGCATTCTTCTTCCTGACAGCTCTGTCGTGCGGGGAGAACACTTTGCCTTCTGCAAATCCCCCGCACCCCGATATTCCTCACGTATCTTACCTTCCAATGAGGCTCCCACGGTTGAATTTTATACGGCTCCACTGTAGAGATATATCCCCTTTCCTACTCATCACGACCATGGGGACAAAACGGGCATCTTCTTACAGTTTGTATTTTGCTACGTCTAGATGCCTATATCTTGCTCCTGAATGTGCTGGCCGTGATTATCATATATCCGGCCAAGAACTTGTCTGGCATTGATGCGTTTTTCACAAGCTGCAGTGCGGCGACGACGACGGGGTTAAATACGTACGTCCAATAATTTTTCTCTTTTTCCTAATTCATTATTCGATTGTGCTTCTTTCCCAGTCATCAACCTGGATTCTGCGTTGGCGGCTGACACTGGGCCAAAAAACAAAAAAGCGTTGATGTCAATACAATGCATACATTCCAACAGGTGGTGATATATATGGTCCCCATGATTGGCAATTTAAGCGTCATAAACCTAGTGGTGGTGCTCGTGCGACTGTACTGGTTTGAAACTCGATTCAAAGACATTGGTAAAAATCTTCCAGTTCTCAAGGGGAGCCTCGATCAGTCCTGCTGCTGTTTGTGCGCGGCTGGGGTAGGCAAGAGTTATTTATTAAACCTGTGTGCGTTTGATCACCAGTTGACTTTGCAATCCGTCATGCAATTCTAGTCCGATTGTCACGGCAGCGTTCGATTGACCGACCTCGTTCCAGTAGATTGCATTCATCAGAGTCCAGAGGAAGAGATAGTATCACATTGCGAGACAGAATAAGAGATATCAGAGTGCTTCGCCCTGAGCCGAGAATAGGCAGTAGAAGCAGGACTGCTGCCTCTGAGGCGGAGGGATTGAGGCTGCGGGCTAGGATTCTCAGCAATATGCCCAGCAACAATTCCAACAGCGACAAAGACAAAGACAACGAAAACGAAAACGACAATCGAAATGAAGCTGTTCCTAATGTGAACGAGAACGCGAAAATAAGTACTGTTGAAAATGATGGTACAACCATTTTCCCCTCGACTCCAGATCTTTCTGCTTCTCCAGATCCACAGCCTTTGATGCTTGATCAAATTAGTTCTTCGCCCGACAAGAACAATACAGAACGGAGTGCGCCCTCCGCGCATATTAGCTTCTCTGCTGAGACAAACATGGAGCCCCGTGGACGGGCACTGCGAATCCCAGGCCCAAGAGAGTTTGAAAGCGGTGGGAATAACCCCTTTCCTTTATAACATAAGCTAACTAGGAACCTATATCGGAGCCAATTGCTAATTTCCTGCCAAATAGGACAAACTGTTCGCGAGGTTGACGATGGTAAGACATGCAATTTCTGCATCCTACTCATATTTGAACCCCATAAATGATCCATGGATAAATGCCCGTTTGCGCAGAGTGAGGCTAATGACAAAACAACTCACGAACCAAAATAGACGACCTTATGAAAAGTATAACCATCGAAGAATCTCTATCGGCAGGGCCCTCAGGGGAAACCGAACGTCGACGGCTGCCCACCATGGGTAGGCTGCTTTCCCATGCGGCCTCAGTCGAAAGAGCTGCTTCAAATGCATTTATTCTCGGCAATAGCTCGCGGAAACGTTCTCGGTCGAGATCTTCAAACCCACTAAATCGATCGTCCTCGAAGTCTGAACGGGCCCTCTTAGACATGTCATATCTGTCGTACCAACCGACGATCGGGCGTAACTCGAAATTCTTGGACTTGACTGATGAACAGAGGGATGAGCTGGGAGGGATTGAGTATCGTAGTTTGAAGCTTTTAGCAAAGATTGTGTTCTGTATGGGCCTCTCCCTTTATCTCCTTCTAGAGAAGACGCTAACATCTTTCATCTTTTAAACAAAATAGGTTACTACGTGTTTTGGCATATATTCGGCGTTATTTGTCTTATTGGCTGGATTCACAATTCAGACCGGAAGTACAGTGACTATGTTCGATCTGTAGGCCAGAACCCAACTTGGTGGTAAGCGCCTGTTTTTTGCTCCTGGGATGAGAAAGCTCCAAAGGGATTAAAATACCAGAGTCGATTCATCTGCTTATTTGGGTGGCGTCTAGGGCGATTTTCTCCAGCATGACCGCTTACAACAATCTTGGATTCACCCTTACGCCCGACTCCATGATTAGTTTCCGCAACGCAACCTTCCCCATCTTCATCATGACATTCCTAATTTACATTGGCAACACAGGCTACCCTTGCATGTTACGCCTCATTATCTGGATCATGTTCAAGATATCACCTCGAGATTCTGCAATCCGAGAGCCACTGAATTTCCTGCTCGATCATCCTCGTCGATGTTACACGCTGCTTTTTCCCTCTAGCCCTACTTGGATGTTATTCTTCAGCTTGGTATTTCTGAACTTTATCGACGTCCTGCTGTTCCTCGTCCTAGATCTGCAGAATGAGGAAGTTCTGGCCGTTCCGTCTTCATGGAATCGTTTCTTGGCTGCGCTTTTTCAGGCAGCGTCGGCGCGTACGACGGGGACAAGTACTTTCAATGTCGCTAAGGTGCATCCGGCTGTACAGTTCATGCTCATGGGTACGTTCAAAGAGAAAAAGAAATTGCTATAATTATTTGTCAAAGTTTGACTCGCTAACGGAATGATTTAATTTCCAGTGATGATGTACATCTCCGTTTTCCCAATCGCTATTAGCGTACGAAAGTAGGAAATTGATCCCGAAACTCTGCACAACTGGCTCCCTCTCTTTAAAGCAGCCCCTGCTAATACCTAACCCAACTACCCTTGACAGAACGAATACATATGAAGAGAACTCCCTGGGTCTCTACGATCCACAAAGTGACGAAATCGACGAGTCAAATAGCACTGCCTCCTATGTGGGTGCACATATGAAAAAGCAACTCGCATTCGACTTGTGGTATGTCTTCTTCGGAATGTTCATTCTCATGATCACCGAAGGGTCGAAGCTAGCCGATAAATCGGATCCGGTACGATTATTTAACTTTTAAACTTTTCCTATTTGCTTGTCCCAACCCGTTGAACGAAATATAATAACTCAAAGGGAATAGGAATTCGCAATCTTCTCTGTGTTTTTTGAAGCTGTCTCAGCATAGTAAGTGCCTTCCACAACTTCTGATCTAGTTTCGAGGCTATGCTGTATCTGCTTTTCTATTTCTTTCGCATCCCTTTCCTTGTGTATAACTTCAGTCATTATCTAACCACCAACCCATAACTACAGCGGAAACGTCGGTCTGAGCCTGAGTCACCCGTCTATCAGCAGTGGCCTGACCACCAAATTCAGCGTGTTAGGAAAATTAGTCATCTGCGCCTTGATGCTTCGTGGTCGACACCGCGGATTGCCATATGAACTTGATCGAGCGGTTCGTACTTGTTTCCCCCCGGTTAATTTCCACCCTCGTATCCTACCCTACCATATGTTCCTCATAAACACTCATCTCGCTTCTCATCCCTTACCACCTTTCCGCTTTCCATTTCTCTTTCTAGCAAACAGAAATGAACTCTATATTAATTTCATTTTCTCTCTTCACTTTCAAATTCGATGCAGATCATCCTCCCGAGCGAACGGAATCTTACGGATTCAAGTTCCACCAAGGATGGCGGCGCAATTACAACTGCGCTACCCTCAGCAAATACAACTATCGGCCCCTTGTCGCGCGTTCGAACTGCGGAAATCGTATAACACAAGGGATGTTGTATGGGTACTATAGATACATAGATTATTATTACATTGCATAGACAGCCACATGAATAGTGCATAAGCTCGCAAGAGACCTTTTTTTGCTTTTGGATAGACGTAAAAGTGGCGAGACGTGATGTATGTACTAAGCGGTTCCCTTCTTCCTGGTGGTGATTTTGGGTGGCGGGAGAGTTTCCTCGAGTGTTGAATCACTGCTGAATTAAGGCATTCCACTATAGGAGCCCGTATGCCTCGAGATGCCAGGTGTCTATTTTCGCCCATTATATTACGGGCCTGGTATCCTACCTTTAAATAGGAGGTGAAATACGTTCTATCAATCCCTTGGTACTTCACGTATAAAATCGCCCAACTATTGGCTAAGTTTGTTCAACCAATATTATTTTTATTTCTACACTGTATTCTACTATTAGTACAACTGTTTTTATTTCAATTTAAGTAAGTATTACTCATTTTTATAAATGATTTAAGTGAAGTCGTTAATAAAAAAATAACAAAGCAAACTATATATTTAAGCTGAGTTATTGGAGAGTACTCCGGATCCTCAACATTGGGCCTCAGTGGCTCAACAATGTGACCTCTGGATGCATGGAGAACGCTGGTATCTCTATTACCCTGTTCTATATGTTCTCGTCCTCTGGCACTCTTTATCGGCGGCATGGGCTGGATTCCGACAGTTAACCTATCTCCCGTTTTATCTTTTATATGCATCCAAGTATGAGAAGTCCGATGATATCGCGGCTACTTCCTCTGCTCGCCCAACTCCACCACGTACAAAACAGAAGACGTTCCACGAGGCTTGACGCTTTGGCGAAGCAGCACAATGGAACAGAGAAATTTTGATGCAATTCAAGACCGCCTTGGAAAAGAATCCTGCGGTGGATCTAATATCACTGTTCCCTGATTCTTCATCGTGAGCATCGAAATTCTCAGTGTCCTCAGCTATCTTGCTGCGAGAATCAACCTTCAAGCACCAGACGAGCTTCATGATGACCTCAGGAGGGGGCTGGAGGTTAATTTACTCTCTGCATTTACTGGAGAGCATATCCCCATCACAGTTCCCCGTACGTTGGCTGGTTGATCGAGTTTGGGGGATCAATCTCAGAACCACATGGCCCCAAACCAAAATTGAACGCTGAAGATTCCCTTTTGTGTATGAAATAACTACCCATTTAATGCTAGGAAAGCAGATATCCAATTCTTCTTGTAAGATGCCTGTAGTACAGCTTATCACTGTACTGCGCCTAAAAATATCGCGAATGTCCAGGATACAGGCTTAGAAATGAATAGATGTAACAGACAGGCCATAATCTCCACCATTCAGAGAAAGGAAATCAAGCAAATAAACTAGTATGAGTATGGTAGTTAACAAATCGGTGGTCAACGCTTCAATGATATTCAGTTTGACTTTTTCATCTACATCAATCCCTCCTGCTTGCCTTGAACGACCCGCTTGTTATGCTTGTAATTGGTCTCGTTCTTGTCGATAATATTCTTCTCCTCCAAGACATCCAGAAGCTCAAGGACATAGTCCTGACAGTTATAACCCGGATATTCGTTGTGGATAACCGCATTTTCCGCAGCGTCCTTAATCGCGCTAATTTTGGAATTGTCCACGTCACACAGGTGGATGGTCTCCAAGAGAGTCGCCGATTTATGAGCGTTCGAGATTTCCATCTCGAAACGATATCTGGTAGGAACCCAGGATCTGGAGGAGGATCTTTTCCGCATCCGTTGGCCCGTCGATGAAGAGACCCCAGTGCTTATATACACCACCATCGTCGAAAATGGCAACATATAGCTCAGTAGTCGAAGACATAGTAAGAATCGCCCACTATCGAAAGTTGGAGAGTTCGTAGGCCTGACGCATCGAGGTAGATCAAATAGAGACTAGATGAAAGGGTAAAACTTGCATAAAGAAGTCCGGTAGAAAGCTGTTGAGCATATAAATTATTTTCCGTTAATCTAACTGCTGAACCCGAGAGGATTTTGGATGCTTTTATATTGGCTCAAAAAGAAGCGGGATATTGAGGCGTCGGCGAGACGCCAGGAACCATGATATCAAATCTGGGTGCAACACTGGCTATCTTTTAACGCGGGGTGTGAGAGCCCTAGGCTTCCTAGTAGTTACAGACTAGCGCCCTGCACACTGTATATAGCCCTCTACTACAGAGTAGATAGAATCATCAATATCAACCACTCTCAGACATCCAATAGAATGGAACTGTTGTGGTCATGAGGTATTTAAGACGGTCCCCCAGCAATGGGAAAAACTTCCTAGCTCAGCGGGTATTTCATGCAGGGGTTAAGCCGGGAGGAACCAATTCAAAGAGTCGAGGCACTTATAGTGCTTGTATATGGTAGAGACAAGAACAAATCTATAGTCAAGACAAGCACATATTTCCGACAGCCTACTTGCTTGGTAAGTGATTTCTCAGTTAGAGATTCAGAGTCACTATTAGTCAGTGAGTCAGTTGAGTGAAATACTATGACATATATTTGTCTGAAGACAGTGTACGTATTAATGAAACAAAAGAAGAGAATGAGTGCTGACAGACTATGTCTTTATTTCAGAAACAGATTTTCATAAGATAGATGAAGTTCTGAGCTGATATTACTTCCTAAAGGTACATACACATAGGCGCTGATGGTGCAGTAGTATCCAAAGAGACAAAGCCAGTTCCAAGAGGATGCGAGAATTCCAAAAAACTTCGAGAATAAAAAGACCCAACGTATATTTAAATATGAGTAAAGTTTAAAATCCAAAGGAAAAAGAGAGGAAAAGAAAGTATTCACGTAGAAGTATAAACGCCCCCAGCTCCTATGCTTGAGAAAGAGAAAGAAGAAGGGTATGAAGAAGATGATAGTAAGAATAAAAAACAAAAGAAAGGTTGTTGGAAAGGGTGAAATAAGAATATAAAAAAGAAAAAACGTGGAAGACACGAGAAGGCTAGTGGAAAGGCAAATCGGGGGCTTCAATTCCCAGGAAATAAATAGAGCTCTTTGGAGGGCTTTGAAGTGGTGGTATATGGTCGAACTCAAGGGACCATGAAAATGTGCAAAACCATAGAATGAATGTATATGCATTTCATGTAGGAGGCACATAGGGTAACGAATGATGCAATAATTCCGGGGGAAAAAGTGGGGACTGTCGATGGTGGGGATGATGTAATTGATAAAACGACGAAAAAAAAGCGAAGAACGAGGAAAATTCCTTCTTCGACAGTAGTACCCAAGGAATCAATTGAGTTTTCAGGTTAGGAAATGGGATAAAATGGGATATATATATAGGTACTCCGGCATCGCTTCTTCAAAACAAAAATTTCAACCACTTGGAGTTGGATACTGGCCAGGCAATTTAAAATCGCTAACTATCGAGGGTAGCTCGCGGCTTCGGTCAAAATTTGATTTCATGGTTTTTGGGGAGCCGGCTTCAGTGGCTGCCGGGGTTGTTAAGGGCGTCGTCGCATCTTTTTCCAATGCACCGCTGGAGTAAGGTATGTTGCTCGTAGCCGACGAGACCGTGGTTCCGCCTAGGCTGGTTCCTAGGCTGGTTCCTTTATCTGCCAGGCCGTGGGAAGACGATATGGCTTCTGTTTTGCCGTCACCGAAAGCGTTAGCGGGGGAAATTGTCCGTTCCGGTGAACCGATCGAGGTATCGGGCTTCGAGGATGTTCGTAATAATAATGGGTAGGTATGTTTCTGAGGTGACGAAATCGCAGCTGTAGCCGGTGCGGGATCCATCCAATCTACGTAGCTATGATCTTGCAGTTCGACTACGCCAGAATGGCTCGGTTCGACAGCATCATCATGGACCCCGTCTGGGAGGCCAGTTGGATGGTTCTTGGTATCGGCGGGCGCTAGTGAGTCAGGGTTTCCAGAACTTTCTCTAGATGAGGCGTAAGTCGCTTGTGAATTTCGGTGGAGGTGGATATCACTTGGAAATCGCCCACCTGGTTGAGGGCGCTGCTGCCACTGCGTTTCCACCACCGGCGGTGCCTGATTTACAATCACATGGTCCGCAGAGTATGGCGTTTCGTCTGCTTCGTCCTCATCCATGACTCCTTCACTGCTGCTGATAGATCCCGCACGGTAAAGTCCACCACTTAGTTGGCGCGAATGTTTGCGCACGAAAGCATTGCGATCCTCGCCGGTTTTTTCGGCCAGGTTTTTGATGTCGTTGTACCATTCGAGCATGGTATCGTGAGATTCTGCTCGAAACACCCATGAATGGCCGCGATGCATCGAACCCGTTTGCCGTCCTTTTAACATGAACTTGTGGGATGCAGAGCCACTTTGCGAGTGAGAGCCTAACTTTTGTTCTGGTAGATATAGCGACATGACGGGATTTTGATACTCGATTCGATCCGCCGACTTGTACTCGTGCAAATGTGTAGGCGACAACACATACCTATATCTAGTCAGTTTACTAAATCGAAGTGATATCAATCGAAAAAACAAGACTATTATTTTGGCATAGAACATACCAGCCAGGCGTATAGCTCTTCAAATACTTGCTCTTGCGCTCAAGCATGCCAGCGCGCACTTCGGCCGCTGCAGGATGGTTCTTTCCAGGATAATTTATATGTTGAAAATCCCGTATCGGCAATAGCGGATCGACCAGATGATCGTTGTGAGATACAAAGGAATCCCACTCGTGATCTTGGGGAACACTTATTGGGCCTTCAATGAGCTGCCCCGCCGCGTCGTACGCCGCATCTGCATCGCGCTTCAGGATATTTGCATATATATTGTACGTTTTCTGGATTTCCGTGACAACAATGCGTTCAAGCTCACGGCCTGAGTTTTCCAGGTTCAGGAATGCCTTTGCAGAAAAAGGGTCAGTGGGGATGGGATCTAGGAGTTAAAAGTGGCTGGGGAATAGGGATAAGCTACTTACGCGATGTAGATAATTTTCTTCATCAATCTGCTTTTCAAGCTGTCTATGTACCGCACATTTCACAAGGAAAGGGTCTCCTTTTCCCGAGGTAGCCGCTGGGTCAGTATCCACCAGTCCAAGAGCTTCCTGTAAATTCCTCACTGCTTTCCGAGTGCCTTCCAACTCCTTGTCGACTGAATTCCTAAAATCACCCGAGAGGCTCTTAATCTCTTTGATTTTCTGTTGCAGATCTGACCTGAGACCGGTCAGTTGCTTAATGACTTCCAATTCGACGTCCCTCGCTTTTGCCGATTCTACCACTGCCTGTCTATGATATTCTTTTAGTATTTTGGTAGCATCCGAAATCCCACCTGTTGCAAGAAACGTGGCTGGGAAAACGACATTGTTCATCGAATTCGAGACTGAGAGAAGAGTCTTTGATCGAATTTCGTATGATTTTTGGATTTCCCGGAAAACCATTATTAAATCCTTCAACACTTTGCGCCAGGCTGTTGTTGCAGAGTTAGTTCAGCTAAATTCATCTTAAAAAACGAAGGCCCCATATACGTTTGTATGTATCCTTCAGGGGCATCACTGATAGTTGCTTACCTTGGAATCTCGCAGCCAAAACATCCGTCGGACTCCCCGAAGTAGGTATAGGGACATAAAAGGCACTGTTGACCTCATCACCATCCACCATCCCGTACTTCTCTTTCTCACCGAGAGCCATACTCCTCACACTCCCTGCACGACTACTTCTCCTGCTTCCACCCCGTCGTAAACTCCCCTTCTTACTCAACGATGGCTTCTTTTTTAAAGTCCCCGACGCTCGAGATGGCAAAAGCGATTGTGCAGCTGACATCTGCGAGTCGGAGCGGTGTAGGTTATTCGTGGTAGGGGGAGCGCCGTCGATAACAGACGATCCACGCCGACTGGACATATCTTCGTGGAATCGAGATACTTGAGGTGTTTGTGTCGAATTTTGGACTGGCACTCCCCGGACCTGGAAATCCGAGGGCACGATCGAACTCGGGGTGGCCATGTAGGAGGTCAGACGAGAGGCAGAGCCGTTTACCTGATTCGCATGGGAGGGTTCCGTAGAGTTCGGGGCCGTTGTATACTCATCGTGCAACGGGGTTCGGGGTCGGGCGGCCATGGGGCCGGGACGATGTGCTTGTTGAAGCTATAGCAGTTATGTATTGTTTTATATTGTCCTTTGTTCCCCCACCTCCTAGGCACAAAGCGACGAGGTCTGTATAGTAGTACTAGTGAATCTTCTATCCACAGTTGCCGCTCACAGTATCCGCAACGCTATAAGTTGAATATAAGAAGAGCAGGAAGGATAGCTAGGAGTCGGATAAATAATGGCATGAATGCACGATGTGGGCGTCAAGAGGACGGGGACAGGAAAAGGTTAGAGAATTATCTCTGTAAGAAGTCCGGCCTTGAGGCATGGGCTTCGGCGGGAAAACAATGGGGATGACGTCGAGCAGGTTGGGCAGAACTGGGGACAGGAGGAGGGAACGTTCGTACTGTGTATTAATAGGTATCCACGCACAGGCTCCCGGCCAGGCTTGGCGCTGGGAAGGATGGCCTGGTACCCCCGCGGTACTTCACAGGTTTGAACAAAACCACGAATTGAGTTCCCCCAAGGATGGCGATATGATGCAAAGAAGGCGAATTATTCTCTATTACCAGCACCATTTGCCACGTTTTTATGGAATGGAATGAAGATATATGTACAGTACATGTACAGCACAGAAAGATCCCGCCTTTGTTTACACCAAGCAACATCTCAAGGTGAACTACGGATTACCTACCGAAGATATTTGGGTTCGTAGAAGCTCTAGGCAGGAATTTAAGATGATGCCACACCGCTAGGGAAACGTGCCAAACGGGGTCCCTGGCTGTAGTAAGATGTTAAGATGTGTACGCCGCGTATGTACATGTACAAATTATATTATTATGTATACGGAGTACACAGCACAAATCAATGCGTGTCTCCGCCCCAAGGCGTCGCCACAGCCTCATTTATACGTCACGCCTCACCTTTGAACGGAGGTTGGCATCAAGTGTGGCTGAAGGCTCTATATCATTGCAGTCACCACCATTGATCCCCATAAGCTAGACTATACTGCTCCATGTAATCACATTTCATAAGTTGTAGATGATTGGACAAAAAGTCCGGACCGTAATTATAAAAGAGCTCCATTAGGGAAGAAAGGTTCTGCCTGCAAAAAAATTCATGACAAGCCCTCTCCCCTCTTACGCGTGCGTGTGCGGTGTATCTCAATTGGCGCTGTGGACGAATATCGCAAACTTTTTATTTCTCTGCTCGATCGATACAATAAAACATATTCTTCGTCGATGAACGAAGGGTCGAGAGGGAGACGAGACCGGACAAAGTCTGCCAGGCTTCATCCTGTCCGCATTATTCAATGCATGGCAAAAGAGGGAAGGGTGGGGGCTTGGGGTATAACATCGGAGGTTGTGTGCTAATATGGGAAAAAAAAGGTGGACGAGACAAAGTTCTAGTGAATTTGGGTCCTGAGACAACAATATATACTACAGGGGAAAAAAAGGGACATAGAAGACTGGAAAAGGAAGTGAGGGCTAATATATGACTAGGAAAATGTATATGCAAGTATTTTTTATTTTTTTTTATGCTCTGGCGGGTTGTGCTGTGGCAGGCACGTCAATGCCGTAGTTCTCCTTCAGCCTCTGCCGTCTTCGTTCCTCGTAGTTCTCGCCGCGGATGCCTATATATTCATTTATGGTTAGCACCCATGTCATCGCAGAAATGGAGACTTAGTCCGCGGATGGCTCAAGATGATGGTTTGCATACCTCTACCTTCCCCGAGCTGGGCAACTGTCTCCTCAATCGGGGAACGGAAGTTCTTCCGGAGCTTTTCCCGCCTCTCAAACTCATCCTCCTCATTAGCATGTCCCTTGCCTGCAAGACTTCCTCCGGTATATTCGAATACACTAAGTGCAGTGGCCACAACCACGCCGTAACCAATAACCGCGGGGAACGTTCGGGCTGCAACGAATAAATATATGTTGTTAGTGGTCTAGTCGGTCCGCGAACTCTGGAGGACGTGACACGGAAAAAGCGAGGACTAGACAAACCGCGCAATCCGATAGCTGCTCCACCGAAAAACCCTCCCCATGCAGCATTCCAGTGGTCGTCTTTCTCCCTTAGGTTAGCCGCTGCTATTCTCGCGAACTGATACGCACCGCCGACAGAGGCTACAAAACACCAAATAAACTATGATTAGCACGCCCTTCCAAAAAAATCCGCTTCATCCATCCATTGCCATTGAAGCGATCAATCGTACCAAATAAAGCAATTGTGCCGCCTGTTTTTGTGACGACACCCCAGGGGCCGTAGTTTCGTTTTTGCAGGGTGTTCTGGACGGACGAGGCGAAAAGACCAACGGCCCCGGTCGTCAGCGTTGTCTTGATGGTGGCAGCAATGGCATCTTGTGGGTGATAGCTTTCCTCTTCGGCTGGGGAAGACATGACTGCTTCGGCAGAGGAAGAGAAACAGGACACAAAGCTGTGCTGTTGCGGGGGAGTGTTGGAGTGTGGTGTGCGGGTGAAGCAATACGGTCGTTCAAGAGTCTTGGGGTTGTGATTTGAAGGAACATGGATGGCCGATGGCCGGGTCTTGGCAAAACGTCTTGGGAGCTTCCGCAGACGACGAACGATGTACTCCGTACAACTACAACTTCAACTATTCAAAACACCTCAACGGAGTTGCTGGAGCCACCTTATCTTTGAATATATACCCCAGCGGGTGAATGTCTGGTAGACAGACAAGAGCTCAGCACAGCGCATATTCTTCTTTCCTTCCTACTTTCGTCGTTTTTTCTCTTTAGCTTAGTTACCCCACTACGTCAACCAGCAGCCTGAATAGATACGTCTTCTTCAACGCATTGCATCATTCGATTCGCTCACTCAGGAGGCTCCATCCAAACTGCTCTCTACCGTTGGAACAAACCTCGTTTAATAGCGGTAAAGCCTAGTTGCTAGAAGCTCATTTGTTCTTTTCCGATCTCTGGGCGAATCTTAGTTCCGATGATTCTTCGATGCTCTACGTCCTGAGCGCATTTGCGGAGCTTCTAGTAGCGTCGTTTGCTTGATACAGCTACGACGCTATCTTCGCGCAACACTTCTATTAGATTTGCTGGGAATCTTATCTCTAATGTCACACATGGCTGTTTCCCCGGGACCTGGTATGGCTATCAACGTTTGAAGCTCGTTGTTTTCCTGCTTCGTGATTCCTCTTGATCCGCCGTCTCTGTTAACCGTTGATGAACTATGGCTATCTGTCTAGGGAAAACCACTCCCCGCTTTATCCAAGATGTCCTCTCTTTCGATCCTGCAAATCCTCCCAGCTCATCCTTCAACCTCTTGACACAATTCCCACCTCCCTTCCACGATCCCGATGACTACCCGGAACTCATCTCACCAAAGGCCTGCCCCCACCAATATATAACAAAAGCCAACCAAACTGAGCTTCCTCCTAAAGGTTTCCAGGCTGGACTAAGGACTCCGTACAAGGTGTCCGCGATGTGCTTGATATGCCGCTATCATTTAGAGATCAAGATGGTGCATACAACAGAAGCGTCCCACTGTCCTAGCCAGCTACATCACATTGTTTACTCGCACAGCGACGGTCGCCAAGTTTCAAACCCTTTTTGGGAGAAGGGTCAACGATTAGAAACTCATTACTTTCGTTGTTCATATTCGACATGCGCTGCTGTTATTTCCCTGAAGTTACTATCCCCGGTTTTGACACCGCACTGGGTGAACATCTTGACAAACAAGGAGCTGCTAAAGGCCAGGACCGATGAAGCTATGGAGACGTATCCAGAGAGACTAGAGGGTCATAGTCGACCATTTCCCATTACTGTGTTGACGAACCTGCGCACCTACATCGATAATGCCCTGCATGATAGCCAGAGAAGCAAATCAATTTCCATGTCGAATAAGCGGTTCGTTGTTTGTTTTGGTGTGGATGGTCGGCCTTGCCATGAGCTTCTGGAATTCTTAGAATTTCATGCGAGGGTATGTGTATCTTACAAAACATTTATCTGGATCGTTGTGAAAATCTCATCTCCTGTTGACTCATTGGGCTTGCATAGGAAGACAGTTGGGATCCTCCGTGCCCGGACACATCCGACCACGTCCCGTATGGAAATCCTCTTAATATCTTTCTTGATAACGTGTCAAATGAGCTCTCAGCTTTAATCCACCGAAGGCCCGCTCATGAGAAAGAAGGCCAACCACCGGGAATCCCTCTCGACCCTGCCATTAGCAAGTTCAACCAACTCCTTGGTTCATCGAACTGTTAGTCTCTCTCACCATATGCTATGATTCAAAATACTTACCTATTAGTAGACGACAGAACATTCTTTCTGAATCCAGTTAACGAGGAAGTAAGAAGGGCTCCGTAAGTCTATATTTCTTTGTCTTTTCCTTTTCCTTTTGAGTGATAGTGTAATGTTCAGGAACCAATTGGTTTTTCGCTAACTAAATGTTCAGATATTACGAGGATCTTGGGGCGACTGAGGACATGTCCACGGATCTCATTATAGAGGCGTATAATCGGCAGATTGAAACTGATCCTAGACAAGGCCCTTATTATCTCAGATGTTTACGATATATTGGCGAGTGGAGAAGCGCGTCAGATGGAGGAAAAATCAACGACCTGGTAGCGCTGGAATGTAGTGGTTCTCGATACGCTGACGATGATATTCCCCGCGCGTACAAGTACTTTCAACTTGATTATCGAAATCGGAATTTGACGGATGATGACATCATTGTCTCTTTCTTTGCTCGTCTTCGCGATACTGCTAACGACACGGAAACAAGACGACAGCTTTGGAGGATTGGAGACAGCCGTGGGAGTGAGAAGATAAAATCGGTAGCAGAAGAGCGTATGTCTCATGAAGAGTCAGTAGAGCGATTCCGGAACTAACAGGTTTATAGGTGTTTCTACTGTGGAACAGGCGCTGTTGTACCTTGGGGTAGAAAGTGATACCTCTGATGATTTCATTGTTTCCATGTATGCTGCAAAGGTAGTTTTCGCCCTTCTCGTGCTGCCCCTTTGAAATATTCCAAATACTTACTCTCCAAATTAGGTTAACGATCAGCCCGCTACGAAAGAACTAGCTAGGAAGGCTGTTGCTTTGATTGCTGAGGCGCGTGACTCCAACTCCCTGAAATACTTTTTAAATACTGGTGAAGCAGCAGCTGCAGAAATGGATGTTGGAGAAGCTTTCCGTCTTCTTCAAATACCTGACCGGACCGTGGATGATGCTGCGATTCTCGCCGCATTCTCCGTTTGTTGTTCAGAAGCTCCAGGCCAAATTGAAACATATAGACGAGCTCTTGATGTCATTGGGAGAGACAAAGGGAGTGCGATGATCAGCAGCACCCTCGGTCAAAATGCGACACTGGCAAATCGCGTGCTCAAAGAATGGCCTGTCGGGCTCCAAAACATCGGCAATACCTGCTACTTAAACAGTTTGCTTCAATTTTACTTCACCGTGACTCCTTTCCGTAAGATGGTTATTCATTTTGATGACTATAAGATGCCTCTGGACGAGAGGAGCCTCGATAGGAAAAAGATTGGATCCCGAAAAGTCTCGGTTGTTGAGATCGAGAGGTCCCAAAAATGTGAGTTTTACACAATTCGGCCCTTATTGGATTAAGGATAACTAATCGATAAATTTTACTAGTTCTCGTGGAGCTCCAATCATTGTTTAAAAAGATGATTACATCTCCTACTTCCTCCGTTATGCCTGAGCAGGAGCTAGCTAGATTAACTTTAATTAGTTCTTCAAACGAAGCGGCCATCCGGAGGAAATCATTGATCTCGAGCAGTCGCCCCAGCCTTGGTGAGATAAATGGCATGCCAGTTTTAGGACCATTAGGGCCTCCAACCGCGACCACCGCAGAGGTATCAAAAGATGCGGCGGCGGTGGATGCGAGTAACAAGACACTTGAGCGCAGTGATGCGGACAGTGATATAACGCTTGTTTCATTAACCGCGCAAGCAGATAATGAGGAATCGCAGGTAAACAATAAGGAGAATATCGGGCCCGCCCCTCAGGAGATTACCGTTGAGATGAAAGAAGTAGACGATTCGAACGGGGTGGGAGCCGGTACAGGTACGTTATACAAACATCGTAACCGAGTCCGGGCTCCATCAGTTTGAGGTCTGATGGCTTACTTTCTATGTTTAACTACAGGCGATTCTATGCAGGCGTTGGCGCCCATTGGCCCTCCGAATAGACCCCCTCCCGTTCCTCCTCGGCCAACGCCTCTACGGCCGGCACCCTTAGATTACCAGCAGCAACTCAGAGAAGAGGTTGAGCTTGGGGCACAGCAGGATGTCACAGAGGTTATAAACAATGTTCTTTTTCAAACTCAATGCGCCGTCAAACCTATCAGGTTCGACCAAGATGGAGAGCAGCTCGATGTTGTCACAGAGTAAGTTTTCGATATGCATGCAACCTTAACGATAATGATAATCTCGTGGTTTCAACGCTGACACATAGTCGAAGTTTATTTTATGGCAAGACTGTGTCCTACATTGCCGCAGAAAACGGAGTTCGGTCCAAGGAAGAGTCTTGGTCTGACATCAAGGTCGATGTTGCTAGCGGATCGAAGGACATCTATTCTGCAATCGACGGCGCATTTGACGTCCAAAAGGTAGAGGTCGACGGCGCTGAGGTGGAACAATACGGTGCCATTAGCAAGTTGCCCCCAGTTCTCCAGATTCAAGTCCAACGCGTTCAGTTTGATCAAGTCAAGAAGTCATCGTTTAAGTCAACTCATCACCTGGAGTTGAAGGAAACTATATACTTGGACAGGTATATGGACAGTAATAAGCATAATCTAGATGAAAGGCGCCGTGAATGCTGGCGGTGGAAGGATGAACTCCGCAAACTGAGAGCGCGCAAAGCTGAGCTTATTGATACAGAGGTATAAATTCTTCTCTTCTCCGCTACTCCCCGCGGTCGTAAAGCTGACCATCGTATCCTTGAGTAGAGTTGGGCCTGTTTACCAGATGTCTTCACAGAGACAAAAGCATACATTCAAAGCCTAATGGCTATCGAAGACGAACCCGATATGGCAGATGAAGCACTGGAACTCGATGATGGTATTTTATCTCGTCTTACAGCCGTTGAGGAGATGGCCAGGGATGAAATTAAATGTATGTCAACGCACCTATGTCTGTTAATACCTTCCAAAAGTTGCGGTCCACTAATACGCAAGGGCAGGCCTCGAAGCACGAGAGAGGGATTTAGTTGCATTGCTTGACTCTCAATTCACCGATCTTCGACATCTCCCCTATCGGTTATATGCCGTCTTCGTGCATCATGGCTCTGTTGAGTTTGGTCATTATTACATCTATATTTTCGACTATGACAAGAATATATGGCGAAAATACAACGACAGCGAGGTGACCGAAGTCCATAGCAAGTCGGAGATATTCGAAAGCCAAAATTTAACAAATCCGCCCACCCCTTACTTCCTCGTGTACGTCAACGAGCACATGAAAGACCGTCTTGTGAAGCCAGTCAATCGCGAAATCGAGGACGTCAGCCCTCCCGAAGCCCCACCAATACCGGCACAGGCGCCAGCACCAGCACCATCTACCGTCCTGCGTGGTCAGCAAGCGAATGGGTCCGGACCGTCGCAAACACGCACTCCTCACAGCGGCGATACAGAGATGGAAGACCCCCCTGCATACAATGAAATAGAGAATGTACCTGCAGGTATGGATATTGCCAATGGCAAAAACGGGACGGTGGATGGCAATGGTAATGGCAAAAAGACTACTAAAAACACACCTTCCACTACTGTTGCTAATGCCGCCGCCGCCGCGACTACCGCCGCCACCACTCTCAAGGGGAAGTGGAATAAGAAGTTTGCTAACATCCCGTCTGTGTCGTGGTAGGAGCAGTGGTCACGACGGAAGCTGAAGCTGCTGTATCTCCCTCTCCACCCCGCAACCGCCTCAAACGGAAAGTTGAGGGGGAAACTCGCACTGATGATGAGCCTCCAGGCACCCTCGGTCCCAAAGCGGCAGGTTAGTCGCGGCGCCCTCCATCACTCCAATAGAGGTTAACTCATGTTTAATGGCTGGTTTTTTTTTTTTTTTTTTTTTTTTTTTTTTTTTTTTTTTTTTTTTTTTTCCTAACTTGAGTGTTGATGTGATGTCATAATTATTGGATCCTTTTGACTTCCCTTCTATTTCTCTCCTCTCTTCCACCCAGCATCAATTTTTCTTTTCTTGACGTTCCTCCCATCACATTTCTATTCAAGACCGTAGGCCTTCTGCTTTTTTATTTCTCCTCACGGAGCCCTTATTTTATTTATCTCGGTTGATTGGCGCTTTTTTTCATTTTGCTTGCCCTCGCATCATTTTATTTCGCTTCGCATTTTCCTTGCTGTCTGTACGGTGAAAATGTTCCTTTTTTACTTTTAAGACTATGTTAACGGGAACTTCGGGAATGCGGGCGCGCGTGTCTGGGGTTGGATGGATATTGATTTCGGTTTTTGAGATCCCTTTCCTTCCGTTTCTGCTTAAACGATATCTCCATGGGTGCGCGTGTATGATGTCTTTGACCCCTTTTCGATCTTTTTCCATGCGATCTAATGATAAAGATTTTCACGCCGGCGTATCAGCAACAATGCTACCGTTTTCAGTTTCAGCATCAGTAGTAGTTCGTCCCTTCAGCCTCTTTCTCCCAAAGGCTCTTTTACGCCCTTTGGGGCCCTTTTGTTGCGCTGCATTGATTGTTCTTTCATCCATTAGAGAGGAGCTTGTTGTATCAAATCAAAGACAGTACCATAGAAATTTTTCACATCAACATGAACTATCTATCCTACCTACCCAGGCAATTCCTAGAAGAGAGTTCACGAGGCATCTTATCATTTCACAAATGCGAAAAAGGAGTATTTTATTTTCAGGTTTATCCGCGGCGAAGCTCCTTTTTTGAATCTTGTGTCATCATCTTACATGGAAAGTCGCCATCCACATTGCAGGCTTGATAATAAATTGAAAAAAAAAAAAATCAAATAAAAAGAATTAATAAAAAGGTGACCTAAACAACAAAACGCAGCCTGAGAGGTATCTAGATATCTATCAAATGAGTATGTGGGTGGAATGGTCTACAGCTCCATCGTTTTTTCCCAGCATGATAACTATAGTTTATAACTAGTTAAGTTAGTTGGCCAACTAGGAGTCAGAAATATCAGTCAACATCTCCTTCCTTTGTATATATTCCGAAACCCTCTCTCTTTCTTGTGTGTGAGGATAATATTAAATATTCTTAACAATGGACCGGTGTTTCTTCTGTTTCTTCCGGTGTTTTTCTCTCCAGCTGTTTGTTCGGCGCGGCAATTCTCGGACTCGGCTAAGCTCTTTGCCGACGCCAGCCATTAACTAGTTATTTATTGTTAACTAACTTTACTCCGTAGTTTAACATGTAAGAGCTTCTTCCGCTTCCGAGTGCCCGCCTCCCGCCCGCAGAGCCGTTACCACAGACGCCGTTATTCATCTGCTTCGCCGTGGAGGGGAAGGGATAATTAAAATCGTTTATCCAACGTGTAACCTCCAGAAGACAGATTACCCCGCGCGTTGTTATTATCTTTCGTTGTTGCCGCCCGCCGCTGCTGCTCACGCCGTGCTAGTTTGCTTCGGCTTTGCTCTCCGCGCCTTGGTTTGGCATATGTGCTCCATACCATCGGGTCTATGGCAAGCTGCGAATCTTGCTAGTTGTCCTCCAGATATACTGAAAATTCTCCCCGCGGGCCCCATAGTCCGCCGCTATTATCTCCTCCGTGTCCACCGTTTATGTTGATTCCAGAGCCGGGCTGGGGCTTGTTGCAAGAGAGAAAAAGAGAAAATATTCATCTCAACTTGACTTCTTACTCCTCTGCTGCTGTGTCACGTCCTTCCTGCTGCTAAACATATTGAGAAGGTAGAGAAGAGTAAGGAATAGTAAGAACTAATCGTGTTCAACTGCGTGGAGGGGCATTTACACACACAATGTCATTCTATCTGCGGGTTGCGCGGGGCTTCTCCAACCCCTCAAAGGTATTCCCAACCCCCAATATATACATCCCTTAGATACAGCACGGGGAATATTTAAGCTACAGCACCCGACACCTCTTCCAATTTCATATGGGCTAACATTTGCCATCTTTCACCCTTTGCAGCACCAACAATTCCTCGCCCGTGCCTTCTCGAGCACCCTCCGCCGAAATGAAATCAATAAAGTCCTTCCCTCCGCTGCGGAGGCGATTAAGGACATGAAATCCAATTCCACACTCCTTGCCGGCGGGTTCGGCCTCTGTGGCGTACCGGATACTTTAATCGAAGCTGTACATGCCAACAAGTCCATCACCGGCTTAACCGCTGTCAGCAACAACGCCGGCGTCGACGGAGCCGGCCTGGGTTTGCTCCTAGGCAGCGGACAGATCAAGAAGATGGTCGCCAGCTACGTTGGAGAGAACAAGACCTTCGAACGCATGTATCTTGGCGGCCAGATTGAGCTCGAATTAACTCCCCAGGGAACCCTGGCGGAACGTTGCCGTGCCGGCGGTGCTGGGATCCCGGCCTTCTTTACCCCCGCCGCATTTGGAACCGTCGTCCAAACCGGCGACCTACCGCTAAAACACAACGCGGACGGCACCGTTGCCGCTTACGGTGCGCCCAGAGACGTCAAGGTCTTCGATGGCAAGAGCTATGTCATGGAAGAAGCCATCAAGGGAGACTATGCGTTCGTCAAGGCCTGGAAGGCCGATAAACTCGGCAACTGCCAGTTCCGCTTCGCCGCTGCAAACTTCAACGGTGCCATGGGCCGCAATGCGAAGATGACCATCGTTGAGGCTGAGAACATCGTCGAAGTCGGTGAGATCGACCCGGCCGCCGTGCACCTGCCGGGCATCTACGTTAAGCGTGTCATCAAGAGCACGGCGGAGAAGAAGATTGAGAAATTCACTTTCGCCAAGGAGGATGGCGAGGGCGCGGATTTGTCTGCGTTGGGTAAGGGGGACACTGCCAGTAAACGGGAGCGTATCGTCCGCCGCGCCGCCAAGGAGTTCAAGAATGGCATGTATGCGAACCTGGGCATTGGGATGCCCATGCTTGCTCCTAGCTTTGTGGACCCGTCTATTGAGGTGCAACTACAATCTGAGAATGGCATTCTCGGGTTGGGCCCCTATCCGAAGAAGGGCATGGAGGACGCAGATTTGATCAACGCGGGCAAGGAGACGGTTACGCTCCTGCCTGGTGCGTCTTGCTTTGGTAGTGAGGAGTCGTTTGGCATGATCCGTTCTGGACGGATTAATCTGACGATCTTGGGTGCTATGCAAGTTAGTGCGAAGGGTGACTTGGCCAACTGTAAGTCCTTTTGCTCGTCGTTTTGTCTTTTCTTGATCTCTCTATACCCCAATATCCAACAGGGGCCCTTTTTCCCCTTCCCGGCCCCAGCATATCCATTATACATAACCTCATTTCCCACATCCATCTAACATATCAAACAGGGATGCTCCCTGGCAAAATCAAAGGCTTCGGCGGCGCCATGGACCTCGTCTCCAACCCTAGCGCCACCAAAGTCGTCGTCACCATGGAACACACCGATAAGAAGGGCAACCCTAAGATCCTCAAGCAGTGCGAGTTCCCGCTGACCGGCCGGGCGTGCGTGAGCCGCATCATCACCGAACTCTGCGTGTTTGATGTCGATTTCACAAACGGCCTGACGCTGATTGAGCTTGCGGATGGCGTGACGGTTGATGAGGTGCGTGCGAAGACGGAGGCCCCGTTTAAGGTTGCGGATGAGGTTAAGCCGATGCTGTGAGTTGGGAGGGAGGTAGGAGATGGAGATGGGAATGGGGGTTTTGAATGTTGAACGAGTGGGTTAACTATTTTGTTTTCGTTGGGTTTTATATATCCATTTACTGTTTGTCCTACTTTTTTTCTTTTGTTATTTTTTTTTTTTTTTTTTTTTTTTTTTTTTTTTTTTTTTGGATGGGTTTGCTTCAACTACATAAGGATATATCCATAAAAGACGGCGTGCATTTTCTTATTTTAGTGTGAGAATCGCATATTTTCATAACCCACTAGATAATGATTCAATATATCAATCCAATGTAGTTCTTTTTCTAGATATCCTCATATCTACCTCCTTCATCCCTCTAACATCAGCCCTATTGGCCACTTGATATATATATACATTTATTCACGCTAAAAAGAAGCCATCGCAGAGGTATCACAAATACAACAATACCCAACAACCACCCTGCCCAAAAGGAAACCAGCAGATGCAATCATCCATATAGTACAGAAACACAAAATATAAAAGACAAAAAAACCCTCTCATACATCCCCATACACAACTTCCCTCCCCTTCTACTACTGAAACCTCAAAACCCCCCTAAGCTTCTCCATCATCCTCTTCACCCAGCCCCTGCCCGGAGCCTCCCTAAACTCCCGCAGCACATCATCATAATGCGACGGTGCACTGCGCGGATGCCGCAAATTTTGCGGCAGCGGGTATTGTTTCTCGTACCGGTTTTCCAGCAGCGAGTAGAGCGCGTTTATGCTGGCGGTGGAGAGTTGTGATTGCTGTTGCTGTTGTTGCGCTTGCGCTTGCGCTTGCGCTTGCGCTTGTGATTGTGGTGCTGTCGCTGTTGCTGTTGGTGGTGAAGGAGAAGAAGAGGAAGATGTGGTGGGGGTGGGGGTGGTAGGAAGACGGGTTTTTAGATATGTTTGTACGGAGACGGCGGAGGGGCGGACGGGATCGCTGGGCCAGCGGGATATGAGGCGGTTTATGTGGGCGGAGAGGGTTTTGGGGGAGAGCTAGATTGGAGATTGGGTTAACTCTTTCATGTTTGTTATGTCAAGGTAGGTTTGGTTATTTATAGGGGGTAGGGTAGAGGGAGACGGACTTGTTTTGTCATGGCTGTGTAGTGATTTTATTTTATTTCTCTGGTTGCGGGCGGGTTGTCTAGAGGAACCACGGCGGTTGGGGAAAGGTTCCTTGGTGGTCGTAAAATATAGCTGGAAGGTTTTTTCCAAACAGTCCCGGTTGAAAATGGCGGAAACAAAGTACTCTCTCTCTCTATGTGTATATACACCCAGGAATGCGGTATTTCTCATTCAGCAACAATTGAAGCGGAACGTAGTTGATATCCGCCATACAAATGTTTTCTTGGCTGGGATGGAGATGTGCTTAGTCACCCGCGGCGTCATGTCATATGATTTGCTGACTTGCTCTGGTCAAACTCGCTTTCGTGTCTCAATCGTTGGAGCAGCAGCGCCTAATTATCCCATCTCGCAGCCATCTTTCACGCCGTCTCCTATATATTTTCCCCCCTTTGTTACTTGTATAACCCCACTGCTACGTTCTTTGCTCTCGTTTCCTGTTCTGTATTGCATTTGACGTTCTTCACTGTGGCTCAGTCATGAGCGCACATCGATATCAGCGGGTATGGCAATCTCTCCTATCTATCTCTTTTCCAACCAACGGTGGCCCTACTTCGCCGTGATAATCAGATCGAGGTCTTGCGACTTTGTAAAAATTTTCTAGTGCTAACCACACGTATGTATACCTTCAGGTTGATGGACACGATGTAGACGATGATGATGAACAAATATTACACCCTGTCCCATCTGGACACATACCCACGTCTCCTCCGCCTTCGTTCCACTCCAGATCGCCCTCCCCTCCCTCGCGCCGTCTCTTATCCCATGACCCTTTACACTCAGAAGCGGATCAAACCCTCGTGGATACGTTTGGCGATGATGACGAAGACTCAGATGCTGAAGATGGGACCGATGACAGACAAAGGCTGATGAGGGGCAGTACCAGCCCCCCGGGTGATAACGGTTCAACGCACTTTGGCCGCGGAGGAAATGGAGGGCAGTCTCAGGGCGTGTCGACAACTGGGAATATGGCGCAGGCAGCATTCAATCCACCGGTGTCCACCTCGTCTAGAACGATACACGGGGCTGGGACTACGAACGATGGGGTTTTTGCAAATTTGGCTGCGAAGCCAGAGCGCGGAGAAAAAACAGAGGATCTACCACCGGTATGTAATTCTACAGCGGCTTCAAACGTGTTATGGACTTGTTGTATTCAGTAGCAGGCGAAGGATGTATTTGCTGACATGGTTGCAGACCTACGAACAAGCAGCGGCTGACGCCACCCCCCCTTACTGGGAGACGACCATTGTTGCCCCCGGCATGTCTTCCGACGAAGTCTATGTTGACGGCCTCCCTGTCGGCTCCATATTCTCCTTTATCTGGAACGGCATGATCTCCACGTCTTTCCAACTTGTCGGATTCCTCCTTACCTACCTCCTCCACACAACCCACGCGGCCAAGAACGGCAGCAGGGCCGGTCTGGGCCTCACCCTCGTGCAATACGGCTTCTACATGAAAGGCAGCAGCGAAATAAATAGGCCATCGGAACCTGACGGCGGCTACGCCACCCCACCGGACCCCAATAGCCATAATTTCGATCCGAACAAAGTGGGCGAACCCGGGTATGATTCAGGTGCCGACTCGGGAAGCTCAAAGTCGCTCGCGGGTATCACGACAAGCGAATGGGTCTCATATGTACTTATGATTGTTGGTTGGTTTATATTGATCCGGGCCGTCAGCGATTTCCTCCGGGCACGACGACATGAACAGCTGGTTCTGCAAAGCCCTGACCGTGGCCTCGGCGTTCCTGTAGTCGCTGAAGGCGAACGGGCCGAGACGGTCGTCTGAAACCGGGGTTCGTTTCCTTTTTTTTGTACATGTTCAATGGGACCAGATCTTTTTTTTTCTTCCTCTTTTGTCCTGGATGATGGATTTCTTGGGCTTTTCGGGGATTGGGACAATTCTGAAACTATTACGTTTTTTCCCCCTCTTATTTCCACAATTGTAATTACTTATAATTACTACCCAGGGAGCTCAGGCGTTCTGCTCTTTTTTTGTCCGGCCTTGTTTGTCTTTGTCATTTCCTTCCTCCCTTTTCCAAACTCTATATCCTCTCTCCTATATCGTCGATCCACCGCCTTAAAACAAACTTCTTGAAGTTTGGAAGATACCTTCGTACCTAGATATACGTTACAAACAAATCCCTTTCCCTTCCCTCCTCTCTGTCTTTCTCTCTCTTATTGGTGGCGGAAACTCGTGCACATAAATACATACATCCATACATACACACACACACACACACACATGCACCGGCCTGTTATTCCCTTTGTCTCATTTTTCTTTTTCGTTTCTTTTCTTTTCTTTTTCCAGTCATCCTCCCACCGGGAACACCACCCTACATCCGTATAGGCACTTACATACACATACATAACCTTTATATCTCTGATGCACACATGATCTTCTCGGCCTTCTTTACCTCCTTATCTCGAATTTTTTTTACATATTCGTCCCTTGTACAGGTTTCTCCGTACTGCCGCATGGATTAATTAGGGTGCCTACACAACCGTGGCTGTGTTGTGTTGTGTACCTTTTCCACGCATTTTGTGTGACTTTGGCGCGATCCGGGAAGACTCCTGGTCCGTCCCCGATGATAGATCGTAGTGAGCAGTAAATGATAGCCTTCCTTTTCCCTCTCCCTCCACTCGGCACTCTTTCACATTTGGGGGAAAACCAGTTGTAAAAGCGGAAGTTGTAGAAGTATTTTTCTATTAAAAAAAAAAAAATTTGCTGAGCAGTTCAATCAAAAGTGATAGACAAACATCTCTCAAAACCTGCGGGAATGTTCACCATTACCCTTCACCTATACTCCGTAGTTAGTTACTACTTCTTTGCCAAAAAAAAAAAAAAAAAAAAAAAAGGAGGGGGGATGATGGGCTTACGTCTTCTTGTCTCCAACATGGTTGCAAAGAATCCATCCAACACAGCAACGCGCGGCGGGTTCTTTGATTCTTTGACTCTTCAGAGGGAACGTTGACAGCCCAATCACCAACTCGGTCTAATAAAGCATGTATGTATGTATGTGTACTTGTACCTAGGGAGAAATAGTTTATATTGGTCTTCGGATCGATCAAGGAGCAAAAAACAACGTATCAATGATGTCAATAGTTAGTGTTAGTCCGTTACACCGTGGCCGGGCTGGGCGGGGGCGGTGGCTGGTTTTGAGGGAACACGCCGGCGGGTTACTCGAGTGGCGGTGCGGCCACAGGACGGGAATGGAGGGGGAGGAGGGAGGGCTTAGATCGGGGGATTCTGTTGTATTTTTTTTTTTTATTATATATTTATATTTATTATTTTACTTTTTATACAGGATGCAAAACGAGTGTGCCCTGAGAAAAGATGTGTTGTACCTGACTTGACTGAATTAAAGTTGGAATCTTCATTGCGATAAAGTTGTTAACAAGTTTACGGATCTGTAAGTTAACTAGAACAAAAAGCACAGGGAAATACGAGGTTGGAACATTTAAAACTGGTTGGCTAATAACTTAAACATCTATGATTTATATTTATCTTTTCTTATTTGCTTTTTATTTGCTCGTCTGCATCCCTGAACTCTTCTCAATTCCTCAATATAAAATCCGAAATCCCTGCTTGAACCCGTGCATAGTATGAAGCTCTTGTTTTCTCTCTTCTTTCGCTTCCTCCCCTTCCTTTGATGGTTCACGAGATGCAACTCGTTTTTGTCTAACATCAGATCAGTTTCACAAGTGTTTCAATTATGACTCTATAGCTCTCGCTCGGGTGTCTGGGTTGTTGTTGGCTCATAAAGAGCAGCCTGTGAATTATCTATCCGGGTAAGTTCCTCCTATACATAACCTACATACACATCACCACCACCGGGTCTTTTCTTTCTTTTTTTCTTTCTTTTTTTTTTTCCTTTTCCCTTCTCATATAAGACCATTATTCTTGTTTAATTTCCTTTATATTTTGCCTTTTGTTTTAAAACAAAAGAATTTCTTTCCGCTGACCTCTCTCTCTACGGGATCGAAGCACACGTCCAACCCCAACCACAGACTTACTACTAGATGTTGATACACCAATACCAGCCCGAGATTCTCTCTTCTAAACTTCAAAAAGAAGCTATTTGCCCTTTTGTGATGCCTATCCATTGAATAGCAGTGAAAAAAGTGAAAATCAATCACACATCGAAAGATTAAGGAGGTCGCCGGCCGACACCCCGCCATACTATACTATACTATACTCAGATCCAACATCAGCATGAATGCCCCTCCCCGCCACGTTGTGGAAGCACAGTCGTATGCTCCTCTTATTAATTTGGCTTCCAATCCGCCTCGCTATCCGAGGAATCCATCCAAGGCTCCCCTGAAACCCCTGGTGCTGTATATCGTGCGTGTGCCGGGTAAAAGAGGTATGTTCCTCCTCCTCCTCCTCCTCCTCCTCCTCCAACTTGCTCCATATTGGAAACCACCAGGGCAAAATGTCCGATTTCGCAAAGACAATAAAAGCTCATATAAGAGTTGTCTTTTTTTTTTATCCTATACCAATTTGCAAAAGAATAAGAATATCAATTTATCTTAACATTTATATATTTTATTCAATTTTCCACCTAGACGTGTTCCTTTCCCCGCTCAAGCCTCCGACAGAATCCAGCATTTCTCCAGCTCTCATCGAAGCTGCTCTCTATTACATCCATGTCTCAACCCCGGACGATAAGGCCGTCCTGCGTGCCATTGAAGAGGAAAAGCGCCTCAACAAACCACTCCCACGCGTGAACCGAAATCCTCCTCCCTTTGGTCTATCGGCTCCCATCCAAAGAAAACCTGTGCCGGGCACAGAGCTAAAACCGCCCTCCATTCCCAGGCGACCAGTGTCACCGGATACAAATATTCCTTTTCAAACCGGGGCTGATAATGAGGGTCATCATCAACCACGAACACGAACACGAAGCCCTCAGGCACCTGGATTAGCGCCAGGTGGATCGCCAGAGTCACAGAGGAATCCCATCTTGGCCCAACGACCTTTACCCCCTATTCCTTCAGATCCTATCAAACACCTGGACCCCGAGGCAGCCCCGAATTATACCGACAACAAGGCGGGAAGTGGTCGATCGAGACGTGACACACAGCCCGGGAATCCATATGGGGGAAGTGAATATTTAACTCCACCGACCGCTCCGCAGTGGCGAGCTAGCTGGGATGGCGGACAATCGTCCATCTTGCTCGGACAAAACCCATCATACAATGTTGGATACTCACGTCTTTCTCCCGAACGTACCTCCAAGGATCACCAACGTACGGCCCCCAGTTTCTTCCAACAGGGAGGACGACGGAGCGGTGATAAAACTAAAGAACCCCCTCCCCCTTTCCACCTGACTCTTATACGTCGGGACACGACCAACAACGTCCAGTGGAACGTCGGGAACATCACAAATTGCATCTCCCAATCATCCCCCGAAGTAGCATTGGACGGCACGATAACCATCGAAATCCTCACGCTTGGCTATAAGAAACTAGGTGCTGAGAGCATCTCTTTCGGCGTAAAAGAACGCCCCTCCTATCCCGACCCCACCGCTAATGACACCACGGACGATCCGCGAAGATTCATCCGCCACCTCACCCTCACCAACCGGCAGAGCCATCGCGGCCACGGGAGTCATCACAGCAATGCATCAATCAACAGCCTCCCGCCGCTGAACCAGACTACAGCCACCACCAAGACCCCCCCCTTCAAAACCACAGCGAGGCAAATACTATACCTTCAAATCACCCTGGGACGGCACTTGCACCTTCGTCACGGGCCTCAACGGCCGAAGCCTAAAATGCAAACACACAATCCCCTTCACACACCCCGCGCTCGCCGGCCTAAATCTCCAAAATCTCACCAGCAGCGACGATGCCAACTACGACCCCAACACCCCGCCCAATCCGCATCTGAACCTTCAAAAGCTCCAATCAGCCCTCGAAGCCTCCGCTGCCGCCGCCGCCGCCGCCGCAGCAGCAGCACAATCATCCCCCTCCTCATCGCCAGAATCAGTACTGGGCTCCACAGCAACAGCCGCAGAACTCCGGTTCAATCTACCCATATTCTCCACGCCGCATAAGAACAATAATCACCACCAGCAGCACCAGCACCACCAGCAACAGCAGCACCAGCATCAATATACCCAGCACGAAAAAACCCACCACAGCAACACGCATTACACGCGCAGCAGCAGTACCCACACGCCCGCGACGCGCGCCGTCAGACTGCGCAGCCAAGTCGAGGAGTTCGCCGGCCGGCTGGATCTGAGTCTGGGCCGCGAGCGGGCGGGCGGCGGCGTGTTTGGCAAGAGCGCGAAGTTGGGTAAGTTGATTGTGGAGGATGAGGGGTTGAAGATGCTGGATTTGGTTGTGGCGGCGTGCATGGGGGTGTGGTGGGGGGTTTATGATAATTTGTCTCGGGGGAAAGGGGAGTGAACTGAGGGAAGGAGGAGGAGGAAAAGGAGGGGGGGTAAGAGGGGAAGGTGGTGTTTTTTTGAGATGGGGTTTGTTTATGGCATTAGTCTATTGACGTAAGGAGATCTGGATCTATTTTCGGGTGGCGGTGGGTAGGGTTTTTAGAATTTTTCGGGAGGGTTTTGGGGGTGTTATGACATGGTATTATATGTATGGACTAGATAGGGTACAAGATCAAGATATGGTTTGATAGGTGATATGAGATGAGATGTTAAGATGATATGTTTGTGTATGTGTTCTCCCTTTCTTCTCAATTCCAGAGGATAGTGAACAGATAGGATAGTTATATCTGCAGATATATAGATATAAAAAACCAGTCTCCTCAAGTCAAGAATTCCACCAAAGCACACCAGACACATTGTCGCTCCCTTCTCCTTTCCTTTCCTTTCCTTTCCTTTGCTACCCTATCCCACTATCCCATCCGCCCAGTTCAGCCCAGACTACAGACTAGAATGGGGAGCATTGTATATGTATGTGTATGTATGGAAACATATGCACAAAACAACCCCATTCATCCATTAGTAATTTCATAGAAACAAAGAAAGAAAGAAAAATATTACCCTTAAGAGCATATTAAATTAAAGGCAAGGAATTCGTCAAGGGCTTTTTCAGTTACCTTCAGCAGAGATATGCTGTGCATACTCCATGGTTCATGCATGTATACAACTGGTGCAGACAGGCACATATACCTGCATACATGCATGCAAAGCATGCATATATACAACCATACAACCATCCATCTTGTGCAAATGAATACATCACAATCCATCCCCCTTTTTCACTTTCAACTCTCTGCACATCCCCTTTCCCTTTCCTCTCTTTATTGCCCGGTCAGTAGCTGGTATATGCATATGAGCAGATATGTGTATTGTCAGCAATAACAAATAAAAACCCGAAGTATAAGGAAATAAAAACAAAAGCTATGATTTTCCAATATTCTGATAGTTATACCACTGTTTACACATATATGCGCACAGAAAAAATAAGATGTTATGACAAAAAACAGGAAGAAATCAAACGGAAAACAACAAATGAACGCCCCCATACAAGAGTTGGAAAAGGGGAAAAAGGGGGGCAAAGAGAGGTGTATATATGTTTTCTTTCGATAAGAAGGACGAAGAGGTTCCCTGTCCCCTCAACCCATAAATGTCCTGACCCTCCACACACACAAATACACACATATCCACCCCCACCACACGGGCACCTTGATATTTCGATGTGGAAAGGATGAAATAAAAAAAAAAATGTAATAAAAAAAAATTAGGGTCAGAAGATAAAATGTAAAAGGACTGGGGAGATATGATAAATGAGAAATTTGAGAATGAATAAGCAAGTAGTGTGGAAGCGGCGTGAAAGTAGATGATGGTATAAGAGGTCGTGTGTGCCCTTTTTTCCCCTTGCTGCACACATTTCCAAGCAGGCACTAGGTAGACAAAGAAAAAACAAGGTCAAAATTCAAAAATATGAAACAAACAATGGGGTTGTGAATTATGTAGGTAGGAATCACCAAAAAGACAAAAAAAAAAAAAAAAAAAAAAAAAAAAAAAAAAAAAAAAAAAAAAAAAAAAAAAAAAGAGGGCAGGGGTGGAAAACAAAATAAGGGCCATATATAAATATTGCCAACCTTTCCATTATCATCACTTGGTTGACTGTCAGCTTTGATTTATCACTAGTGGAGGTGAGGGTGAATCAGAAGCACAATATAAACCTAGCAGCGGGGGGTTACTGTGTTTTGAATAGCTGCTTTCTACTAGGATAGGAGGTGTGTAACAACGGGTGTCGGTAAATAATGGGGTTGGGGGTTTATGTAGACAACTAACTCGTCCGCATCGTCACGCTTCAAATGCCAGAACGCCGGAAACAGTTGTGGGGTAAGGCTCGTAAAGATTCAATCGGAATATAGATTGAGGGAATAGTAGGAGGCGAGGGGGGGGTTTAAGCAGGAGCGAAAAACGTATGGATATGCACAGGGAGAACGCGGATTTCAGGGCGAGAAAATCAGTGTTTGCAAATCGAAGAAGGCATTGGTATCTCGGACAGGGGAAAGAAAGCTGATGAGGACGAGCGTATATGTAAGGTTTGAGATTTGGTAAAACAGGAGAAATTTGTTCGCTATTTTGAGAGAATATCTTTGGCGGTAAATTATTGGTTAAATCGATGAGCCAGCTCCTTTGGTCGATTCATTTAATAATGACCACCGTCTGGGTTAGTGACCTAAAGAGAAAAATATGTTAGCATAGGACGACAATGACACGCTAACCACCGTGGTAAGATTTGTAACACCATACTTTCAAAATTCTCCTTGAGAAATCTTGATCGTCAGCGATACTGCCGTTGCTCTGGCGTCGTTGGGACATCATGACTGGATCCAGGCGAGAGTCGGACAATGAAGTATGTTGAGAAGAGCCCGGTTTCCCTCCAGAGACGAAACTGCTAATCGTTGCATTGCGACGATATTCCTCTTCCACGGCCTTGCGCTTCTTGTATTTCATGAAGAAGAATCCACCACCGATTAGGGCACCTAGAGCAACGACACCCACGACCACGCCAGCGGCGATACCGGCTTTGTTTGGACCATTTCCGGAATCACTATCAGCGGTGACAACGACGGTAGGTCCTCCATTCTTGGAGGTGGAGGAAGTTTGGGTACTGCTAGAGCTGTCCGCTGTTGTAGATTTTCCTCCAAGCACTGGGATGAATCTCTCCTGCATGAAGCCAGTAAGGAGTACATGAAATGCCTCCTCTCCTCCGCCTGAGCTAATCAGTTTTTTGATATCCAAAAATAATTAAAAATAAAAAATAAAAATAAAAATAAAAATAAAAATAAAATAAAATATGTGGGTGAAATGGGATAACCTACATGTATCAGAGGGCCATCCATCGCATGGCGAATTGCATGCAGACATCTTCGTCTTGTCGGACTCTCGTGGTATTTGATCTCCACAGTAACAATTGGAGCCGCTGAAAAGCGCCATCACGGGCTTTTGACTTCTGACGCATATTTGCTGACAGTGTCCAGTTGACTGCCACGTATATTCACCAAAATCCTCCAGTGGCTTGCTGGACTTGTAGCAGCCTTTGTCGACGGTCTTGTTCACTTGTATTTGTGGTTCTTTTGGCACTTGGCGGACAACGCGGACTGGATCGGTAGTGCCCATACCAATAAGCACGGCCAGAAGGAGGCCCTGATATATGAACTTCATTTTTGGGATGTCGAGAGGCGGTCCGAGTGTTGGGACGAAGAGAAAAGAAACAATGACGGAAAATAGAATGCTGGAAATAGAGGCCCTTAATGGTTTATTGGAGGTTGTTTCCAATACTGGAGTCCTGGGGTGTCGAACGAGAGGGCCAGCAACGAGTTCACGAATATATTTTCCCACCTATTGTTTCTCTCGAAAAGAAACCCCGTTTCTCGAAGTCTAGTTCACCAGGGACAGACGTTTCCTTTTCCTCCGTATTAAATGGATCCTCCCCTAGTCATCCACCATTGACGCGATTGTTGATCCTTGAGGGACAGACACTGACAAAGGGAGATGAGTCTAAACGGCAATCCGGGTCAGAAGGGAAGCTCGATAGTAGAGTGTAGTCGTAAACAAAAGATGACAATAACAACAGCGATAATAATGATGAATAATTATACCCTGTTTTGATGAAGGATGGATGGATGGATGGATGGATGGATGGAATGCAGCGTGTATTTGAGGAGGAGTGGGGAAGACGAAACGGACTCACCCCCTGATCCTTCCTGTGGAACGTTTGTGTTCGTTTAGTTGGGAGTCAAAAAAGGGAAAGGTGAAAAAATATAAACTCGAAATCAAGACGAATAGAATAATGCAGCGAGCAGAAGGATCGTAAAAGGACTACAGCAGCCGATGAAAAGCTCACAAAAGACCGGATGCTTGGGGGGGGGGGGAGGGGGGTGGTGTGGTTGTGAGATGGGAAAGGTAACGAGCGTGGGAAAGACGACAGACGGGAAGAAGAGAAGGGAGAAGAAGACGACGACGGACGATGTTGTTGATGTGGGTTGGGCGAAGAAGAACTTTTGGGCGACGACGAACGGACCTGGCTTGTCTGCAGGTACCGGTACGGTATGTATGTATGTATGTATGTATGTATGCATGTATGGGTGTATGGATTGTACGCACGGGTCAGGGAACATGTACTGTACCCAGGGTTGTTTGTTGGCTGCGGAAACGTATCGACACTGTTCTCTCCAAGACCCCAGATTTCCAGCTTGCAAAATACGCTTATTTACGCGGGTACCTGGCGTACCAGGATTACAGTACCAAGATCCAGATCTTAGTCAGCGACTGGCCAACCAACCTAACCCGCATCCGAACTAAACTACGGAGTACTCCGTACCATAATAGTAATAATTATAATAATTACTCCACGCGGTGGTGCGGTGGTGCGGTGGTTGATCTCCATCACAAGCTCATAGCAAGAAATCAACCAACAATCTACAAGTCAGTCTCGTGTTCACTGTCTTTGTTTAGCCTGCCGCAGGCAGAAAAAAACAACCTCTTGCCCCTCAAACATGAAACCACAACTTAAGGCGGACTTATCTCTCAAAGAAAGATAGATTCGACCTGACCCATTGGCAGCTCATGTACAAAGCATTATTATTGATAACCATGCCTCTCTTCAAGCAATGCACCCGTGCATGAGCATCATGGATCTTAATCAAGATCTGATAAAAAAAAAAGAATATGTGATCTTTTGTGCAGTAGAACTACAGTTATATTCTTCACACTCACTGATGTTTTCCATCTTATCTGTGACATCTCTTTTGTTGATCTCTAAAAGAAAATTAGACAAAGCAAGAAAATATCACAACTGAAATCAAAGTGATCAATGCTGTTATTATTTTCTCAGACAAAAACTGTCTCTTCACACTTCAAAAACAATCCAATCACAGGCTTGAAGAATGACTTGTTATGAAACAATCTTCATCAATGTCACTTCTTTTGTCAAGCTGCTCATGATTTGTCACCTCTCACAAGGAGAAACAAACTATATATTGCAGTATTTTCTCTTCCTTTTGAAAATTTTTGTTGGACATATTCATATGTAGAATATAAAGTGCCAAGCTGACTGAGATCTCAAGAAATACAAGTCAAGATATCACACCTGGAAAAATTGAAGATCAGCAATATTCTTCATAAAAATCACACGCAAGGGCGAAAAAAAAAAAAGAAAAGAAAAGAAAAGAAAAGAGAAGAGAAGAGAAGAGAAGAGAAGAAAAGAAGCAGCATTGGGCAAACACCACATCTTCTCTCAATCTTGGAATTATTTCCAGGGCGGGCTTCATTATTATCATTCTGAGGCGACGCCAGCCCTTTGAACAACAAGGTGGCTGAGTTGGCTCCATTCGCATCAACCCGTTGCAAATGCCCCCCTGACTAACTCGAAGCAACCAACAAAAAACCCTCAACTAGCTCCACTCAAGGCTCGGCCCTAAACTCAAAAGGAACCAAGCCGGCAAAATGGACATTCTCTTTTTCTCACCCATCCTTGTTAGTAAAACTTGTTACTTGTGATGATGCAACCACACGATGGCAAGCGAATTATTAAACAAGTGGGAAACAGGTTTGCCTGTTCGCGGCCGAAACATTTCGAGGGACGAGTCTAGTACAAGCGTACTCCGTACATGATGTACACAATAGGCTGGCACCGCCACAATTTGCCCTCCTGGTTTGACGAGCCCTTGTGCAGCGTAATTTCAGCGGCTTTTTGATCGTTGTTATTTACATATATCGCTGGCTGGTGTGAAACATACACACGGAGAGAGATCTTGATGTTTATAGAATATCAGAGCACGTTCTGTCTGTTCTGCATGTTTATAAGATATCTGTAGATATATTATTCTGCAGTCTGCGAGAAAAAGATATTAAATTGTTCTATTTATTATACATATTGTTACGGGCAACAGTCAGGAAAATTTCGAAATAAAATCGTCAAACAGTTAAGTCCTTCGTATGGTATGGATCTGTACTCCGTACATGCTTTCAATCTGGTATTGTATGTAAAGCCAATACCACCGGCGGTGTATCACACTCCCTCGGACAAATTTCAACTAAAACCAACTGATTCGTTTGAGCACATACAGAGTACTCCGTACAACAACACACATAGGGAAGGGTTATTCTTTTCTTTTTTTATATGTTTACTCAAGCAGAGAAGTTATTCATGATTGCTAATAGCACATTGATATCTATTTATTAGTTATTCCAGTAAATGGGAATTTTTACTCCTGGTGTCAAGAGAGTCTACAACTTATGCTTATGGATAATTCATCTTGCCATGAGTTGAGTTGATTAAGAAAATGAAAATGAAAAAAGAAAGAAAAGAGAAAGAAAATGAGTTAGAATTTCAATTTCTAAGACTGCAAGAGCACTCTAGAGAAAGAGTGTTAGTATGCTTTCAATCTGTTGCAATTATAGCTCAATAACCGCTTCCTCTCTCTTCATATCTCTATTTTGCATGAATGAGCTTCTTTCTACTCTTGAAGTTGATCTTTCTTTTACAGCCACTGAATCTTAATGTGTATGAATCTCTTCTCTTTCTATTGAATGCTGATGAGCTTATCATGAATATAGCAACTGCTGCTAATTTACTCAGATGCTGTTGACAGTTCAAACTGCAGAGTCAAAAGAAATTGGAATCTTGATTACTCTTATTATGATCTCATCACTCACTATAGAGTAACTCTACTATGTTAATACTTTTCACACTTTCCTCTTACTCTTCTTTTATAGTATAAACTCAAGCCGTTGCATTCATTTCTTTCTTGCTGGATATGTCTGGTATCAGGCGGAGAAAGAACTCTCTGCCTTGAGTCAATGATATGAATATCTGTAGTTAACTATAGATCTACTCTGGTAGATATGAAATTGTGTCATTGCTATACTAGTGCCCCAGTGAACTGATTCTTGCGATTAAACAGTCTATAGCTATAGATAGACATTTCTCGGCTTTACAGAGCAACTATAATGAAACCATTTGATTCTAATCTCAGTACTGATAGAGTAATAACCAGAGCTCTCCATACTTTCTATACTTGATGCAAATGGGCTGCAGTTAAGATCACTGGCTGTCATTCCTCTTCTAAGTCTTCCTTAGCTGGGGATTTCCCAAACTGTTATTAAAATACTAGAGTAAACTGAAGAATTGCGAGTTTCTTTTATACGCCGTTGAAATTTCTGCTGTAGAAGTCAGTCCTGTGGATAGGGGAAGTTCAAAACCGCCCGAGCGGATGATTATTTATCACTTCATTTGGCCGTATTTTGAAAGGCCCCCTGTAGCCTTGGATTCCTGGGTAGCTAGCTACTGCATACATGGTGATACCATTTTGTTCTGGCCATCGGAGCATATGCTGTTGTAAGTACATTATGAAAACACATGCCCAGCTAGGGCAGAGGCAAAAGAGAAATATTCATTTATCTAGAGATGCTGGGGATATGATTCAGAAATCGGCCGTTTGCCTATTTCCTTTGTCCTTTCAACGTGCTATCCCAAAAAAAAAAAAAAAAAAAAAAAAAAAAAAAAAAAAAAAGGCATACAGACAGTAGCAGTTAGGTATTTGATATAAAAATATAAATAAAGCTCAATGTAAATACAAACACACAAAAGGCCAACGTATCCCACCAGTTTTGTCTTTATTTATGAAAAAAATGAAAAGATGAAAAGATGAAAAGGAAGTCAGCATAAAATGATTGTTGCCAATCCCTTCCCGTGAGGTCGCGCTAATCTCTCATCTTATATTCACCGGATGTACTCTCCCACCCATACTCAACCCTTCCCCATTTCCCTTTCCTGCGCCACTCCTTCCATTTTATCCCCTATTTTACTTCACTCATTGACCCCTTTAAGGCTTGGGAATATGTATCGTCCTGCTCACCATCAAGCAACCATGTATAGCGAACAGGGCAACAGCCGGGTGGAATTCCAGCATAGAGCCAGCCCCCATTACGCCGAACGGTATCTCCTCCAAAATCCAATCCTGCGACACCCAATACGCCATCAGCGCCACAATCCCCAACGTCGTCGGGATCGGCGTGCCTTCAAAATATTGTGATTTTCCTGATCCGTCCTTCGGGAGCGTGGCCACGGTGACGTTGAAGCGGGCAAGGCGGGTAAGGCCGCACAGCACGAAGAAGGTGAGAAATACATGGTCGAGAGGAGTGCGCATGCCGATTGCGAAGGCGGTGGCAGCCGGTGCAACGCCGAAGGAGATCTGGGGAAAGGGGGCAGGGAAAAAAAATAAGTTTTCAGGTTATTTACAGGAGGGATGTTAACGATGGGTTTGGGATCCTTATTACCAGATCAGCTAGCGAATCGAGCTCTTGGCCCATCAGTGATGACTTTTCCCGCCATCGGGCGATTTTGCCGTCCATGAAGTCGAAGAAGAGGCCAAAGGGCATAAATGATAGCGCTATCCATAGATCTCTGTACTCTGTCGGGTCGCCGAGACAATATCGCATCGACGAGAAGACGGACATGACTATAAAGAATAAAAGTGTTAGGGAAGGACATTTGCACTCATATGTGTTTGTTCAAGTTCGGGATATTGACTTTCCTCCGCAGAATCCTATATTGAGAGTAAAAACTCGTTAGAATATGAGCGACGAACAGAACTAGAAAGCATAGAGAGACGACTCACCATTCAATTCCGTAACAAGGTCCGCCAGGTGCAATGCTCTATATATATTGAAAAATAAATCCCATTAATAACTTTTGTTGCTTCAAGAATGAGTGGGCAAAATGATAATTTCACCGGTCTTGGAACTGACCTGACCAAGCTGAAATGGCCCGCATCAGCCGAGAGCAGCATTTTCTGCTTGTCTTGCACTGGAGAAAGACGTTAGCTGCATGCTATCGACAAACAGCAGATCCAGGGGATACAATATAAGCTCTCACCGCGGTCCTTTCTGCTTGAGTCGGCGTTGGCGCCTTCACTGCCAGCTGGGCTGGGGGCGGCAGAGCTTCTTCTCGACATAAAGAGGGGTATTATTTGATTATGGTATCAGAAAATAATAAACTACCCAAGATAGCAAGAAAATAATATAATATGTGGTTGAGCGTTGAGAGTGGGAGGATGGGAGGAGGGAACGAGAATAAAATTTGTATTGCCATCAAGAAGTTGTTGAGGTTCGCAGGAACCAAGCATTGGGATATTTATTTCGTCATATTGATTGGGATCTCACCGCAAGCTTGGAACTCAAAAAAGCCTGCACAAGAACCAGAACGAGAATTACCCACCTCCATCATTCTTGGCCTCTATTTACACTAATGGAGAGTTAAATAACAGTGTTTCATGATCAATATGATCCCATTAGTTCACCCAGAAGAAATGTACAGAATATCGTGACTTTTCGAAAAACGGAACATCTAGTCCTACAATAAATGCCACAATGCCTTTATGAAGTAGAAAATAAAGGCAGTTTATTTTTTAAATTATGCAGAACAAAGTAGCAGTTTGGTAAATTGATAACCTCCGTTGAGAGCTCCCAAAACGCCAATGAAAAAAATAAAAACCTCTAGAACTTCCGCCCGCCGAAACCACCGCGAGACCCGCCCCTGGAACCACCGCGGGGTGTAAATCCTCCCCTTCCACCGCGAGGGGCTCCTCTTCCTACGCCTCCGCCCCGTCCTCGTGGCGCACCTCTTCCTCCACGAGGGGCTCCGCGCCCGCCGCGACCACCACGGGCTGCGCCTCGGCCAGCACCACTGGCCTTCTTTGGTTTTGGGGCACCTAGATAGAATAAGAAACTATTCGCGACGCAGAAATATGTAAACACAGGGTTGTATTGGTTTACCTGGAGGTGGTTTTGGTTTAGGCAAGAACCTGGAAAGAAGAGAAAATATATATTAGTGGATCTGTGCTCGTGGGAAAATTGTCGGAGTATTGAGGAGAGATATAGGGCATCTCGCATACTTCTCTAATGGCAGCAATTTATCTCCTCCAATGTAGAACTTGTCTCCCGATTTGAATGAAGTTGCGACGATTCCTTCCTGGGGCTTTATGGTGAAGTAGACTTGGTTGATAGGACCTAGAACTTCATCGACTTTTCCAACGGGAGTCTAACGTACACGCAACACACAGATATTAGCAATGTATGTTTACCCCTCTAACAGGAAATCTTAGGCCTGTCGATTTATGCGGACCTTATTTTCCAAATATATCGGTGCATTGAAGTAGGGAATTTTTGGGTTGATGGACTCGCAAACCATCTCTCCTTCGCAGGCGTGCACGAAAGAACCCATCTCTGTCCACAGGTCAGTTTACAGCGCAGCGTGGAACATGATTATCAGACATAAGGCTCACCCAAAACAGTAGCTGGAGGGCCGAATGAGGGTTGGAAGCCTCCTCCTCGTCCTGCGAAATAAAAAGTCAGATTCATTTATGATTTCGAGATCTAGGGCTGCGGTTTGCAAAAGTTGACCCACCACCACGTCCACCGAAGCCTGAGCTGCCCCGATTGGCGCCAGTAGCAAAGCCACCGCGGCCTCGACTGCCTCCTCTGAAAGACATGGTTGCGGGCGTTTGAATTGATGATGGGAGAAAAGCAGCGCTGTCCAGGGCGTTTTCCAGCAGCGCAGCTTCTTTATCTTATTTCGCCGACAAAATTCGTGGGAGCAAAAAAGTGACCACGTGACTCACCGCCTTCAAATAATTGCTTTTTTTGCACCGTCAAGGTTGAGCGAGTATAGAGTGAGTTGGAGTGACCACGACAGACGGATAATTGATTGTGGAAGATTTAATTGCGGAATCCCCTTGAGCGTCATAATGGGTGGAGAATCCGCCAACATATCAAGTTCTGCGAACCAGCAACAGAGCCTCCCTCACAGACCGGCCATGGAGGCTTCTAACCCCTCCGTCTCAAGTGCCCCGCCTCCGCAAAAAGCTGCAAAAGCGAAACCGAAAAAGCCTGAACCTGCTACAGAAGTGCCTCTACCGGATTTTATTATAGAGCGAAATAAGCTTTTCGAAGAACTTAAGCAGAAGCATGATGAAGAATTAAAGCATAAGCTGCGCTTCGATATCACTGTTACGATCGACATTGGAGACTCGAATCCCTCCACCGTCATTGGCAAGGCGTGGGAAACCACGCCAGGCTCGTTCCTACGTGATATACCCAAGGAGATCAGTTCTACTGTGGTGATTGCGAAACTGGATGGGAAGGAACTGTGGGACCTGGATAGGCCGTTGGAGAGAGATTGCAGGGTCACTTTTTTGCCCTTTGATTCCGTTGAGGGAAGAGAGGTTTTCTGGCATTCTAGCGCTCACGTCCTGGGAGAGGCTTGCGAATGTCATTATGGATGTTTGCTTTCCCATGGTCCGCCAACGCCTCAAGGGTTTTTCTACGATATGGCCTTGGAGTCAGGGTAGGTCTTTACCCCTCGTCCCTGCCTCGTCCATTTTTGGGGACTTTGACTAAGCTTAAAGCAATATTGTAGTCATGTTGTGAAGGAAGGCGACTGGCCAGCGCTTGATGCAAAAGCAGCCCGTATTTTCAAGGAAAAGCAACCTTTTGACAGACTGGAAGTCTCGAAAGAGGATCTGAAGAAAATGTTCGCATATAGCAAATATAAATTGCACTACATTAATAATCTCGTTGAAGGGGAGAGTAGTACAGTTTATCGATGCGGTACCCTCGTCGACCTTTGCAGAGGGCCTCATATCCAACATACGGGCAAAATTAAGATTATGAAGATTATGCAGGTATGTATACAGATCCGTAATGCCAGCCGGTTTCATACCTCAGATGTTAATATCTTCTCAAGAACTCCGCTGCCTATTTCTTGGGTGATCAATCCAATGATGCTCTACAGCGGATACGTGGTGTAGCATTCCCCGATAAGAAGCAAATGCAAGAGCATCTGAAATTTCTCGAAGAAGCTGAAAAGCGGAATCACCTTAGAATTGGAAAGGATCAGGATTTGTTTTTCTTCGACGAGGTTTCCCCGGGGTGCCCATTTTTGCTTCCTAATGGCACAAAAATTTTCAACGCCTTGCAAAAGCTTTTGCGGTCCGAGTATCTTAAGCGCGGTTATCAGGAGGTTCAATCGCCAAACATGTACGATGTTGGCATCTGGCGTCAATCCGGACATTGGCAACATTACAAGGACGATATGTTTAAGCTTGATATCGAGAAAAGAACGTGGGCATTGAAACCCATGAATTGCCCCGGACACGCGATCATGTTCGGACACAAAGAACGAAGCTATCGAGAACTACCCATTCGGATGGCAGATTTCGGCGTGCTGCATCGAAATGAAGCATCTGGTGCTCTACACGGGCTCACGAGGGTGCGGAAGTTCCAACAGGACGACACCCATATATTTTGTACTGAGGATCAGGTGAATTCTATACATTTATCCCTTTTTTGTCATGGTTGTTTAACTAATTGCAGGTAATAGATTATGAAAGAGATTGATGGCCTTTTTGACTTCCTCCGTGCCATATATGGATTATTTGGCTTCAGCTTTAAGTTGAAACTATCCACAAGGCCGGAGAAGTATATGGGGAAGATCGAGACATGGAATTACGCCGAGGATCAATTACGTGCTGCTTTGACTAAATTTAAGGGCAATGACTGGGAAGTTGAAGAGGGTGATGGCGCCTTCTATGGACCCAAAATTGACATCACAATCCAAGACGCGTTGAAGAGAGAGTTCCAGTGTGCCACCATCCAGCTGGACTATCAAATGCCAGTGAACTTTAAACTGGAGTACATGACTGGCGAGACGGGAGCCAAAGCGAAGCCTACAGAGAAACCGGCCGAAAACCCCGACGAAAAGCCAGCAGGTGATGCTGCTAAACCAGATGCTCCTCCCACCAACAGCGACGAGCCAGGCCCAGGCCGCGCCCGCCCCGTTGTTATCCATAGAGCGATAATTGGTAGCTTCGAGCGGTTCTTTGGTATTATCATCGAGCATTTCGGCGGCAAGTGGCCGTTCTGGCTGAGCCCGCGCCAAATCTTGATCGTACCCGTCATGCCCGCTATCAACGACTATGTCGAGGAGCTGCAGCAGATTCTCAAGGGAGACAAATTAAACGTTGACATTGATATTAGCGGTAATACGATGCAGAAGAAAATCCGCACAGGCCAGATCGCGCAGTATAACTTCATCTTCGGTAAGCAATGGCTTTTCCTTCTCCCGTTTAATGATGCTTCGATAGCCTCTCTCCCATCGTGACCCGAACCACCGTAGTTATACTAATCGTAATAATTTTTTTCGAATAATCTAGTTGTCGGTGCCCAAGAAAAGTCAACACGCACTGTTAACATTCGCAACCGCGATGATCCTAGTTCTCAAGCGAAAGGCAGCCTTGTTCCCTTAGAGGAAGCCCGGGTCAAGCTACGTGCTCTCCGTAAAGAACGCCGCCTTGTGAACGAACTTTAGATAGACTTAATGAAGTGTCAAAAGACAAAATCAGAAATAAATCTCTTTTAGTAAGAGGTCTCTCTAGGTGCTAATTTCGTTTTTTCTTTTCTTTCTTTCCTGCTTCGTTTCCCATGCCTTATTTACCAGTTCTCGGTTTCGTTCAGTTTCCACTCAATACTTAGCAATAAAAAGAGGCGGTCATGGTTTCAAATAAATCTGTCAGGAAGAAAATATATGATCATAGAAGGGAGAAGGAAATAATGGTAGACGGGCGGGTATATAGACAGAACGAAAGACAAGACAAGTCATGGAAAGGCTGATTTTAAACTGCCCCGACAGGAAGTATGTTCTCTCCATGATTTCGTGAAGTAGAATTTTCATATACGGACATCAAGTGCTAGGTAATATAATTGAAACTCCTCGTACCAACTGGGACTTGTTAACTTGACAGTTAACATCACGGTATGCCTTGACCGTAGCTCGTACGGATTCTGTGCTTTCTTTTGTATCTAATATATTGCAATTCACTGGCCCACCATTGTCCATCTCATCTTCTCATCTAAAATCTTGAGGTAGAACAATGATGGGTCAGCTCTCGTTCGGCAAACAATAATTAAGTTGTGCTGGATACGATTGCATTCTCTCTGCCAGGGGCGTAATTCCCGAGAAATCTTCTAAGTCTATAGAATTCACCTAAATCAGGAAGTGCAGTCAGAACTGGTAGTGGCCACATCCTTCTTCTCCCTACTACGACCTTCGATGATGTAGAACGTTAGGATGCTCCGCTGTATGTATATATATGAACGTGAGCTCCCCGTGAACTAGAGGGTGCCTCTTTTGGCTTCCCCATACCATCAGCAGGTGATTTTGGTATCGTAAACAATTTTATATGGCTGCCAGGATATACTGTGTAGTGAACTACCAAATTCTCTCTGCCCTCTTTGGACGATGCGTTCGAGAACTCACCATTCCACGTCAAGCATCAGGCAGGTATATTTGTTTTCCTCCACATTGACTCATTCTCTGCCGTCATAAATGTCACGGAGCTGCCCTGAACAAAATTGTGGTTGGATAGAAAGTAGCTCTAGCGCGGTGTTATGGGGAGCCGGACACGGCTTTTTCAAGTTCAGTTCCGGCCGATGAACCTGCAATCTGTTCTTCCTTGACTGTTTCATTGCAAAATTGATAACCGGTTCGTTCATCGGTAATCAGGGGAATTGGGCCAAGCCGACCAGAACCCCCCTCGGGTCGATCATTTGTCAAGAATATGTCCCCAGGAACCCTGGTAGCGATGATGAGCCTCGCCAAAGACAATATTGCGGATCTGCGATTGCTGATAGCACGGGATATTATTCAACATCCGCCCCGAGCGCCTTTTAAGTCCGACCGACTTTTGGAGGGGCGGAAATTTTTGGTTCCTTCAATCCTGTCTCCTTGTTTGCCAGCATCAACCTTCCGAGCCTGATAACGATTGGCAAAGGGAAAGAGGAAGAGGAAGACAAAAGAAAATAATAATGACGACCAATTGAAATGGTCAAGCGATCCTGGCGGTGTCGTCCGTCCGTGACAAAGGCTTCGCTCGCATCCATGGCCTGATTCGGATCTTGACTCGAATACGCAGTAACTCCAAATGTGAACGAAGAACGCTGCTGCCTAAGGATACTACGAGCAATTTATATAAGTTAAAGGGCGGAATATGCAACTGTTCCAAGGTTGTTCCAACTTCTTATTGGGCGGCCAAGCCCAAGGTCCACCATAGTGCTAGATGGGAGTGCCCCTGGCTGTTCCGGGTTAGCGACCGTATGATCCTTGATGGGGTTAAGAATCTTGGAGGTTTCCATCGCCTGCCCAGGCCGCTAACTACCAGTTCCACCGGCGACGGGGTGAGCGAGTGTGCGGAGCGCGCGGAGCCCGACCTGCGGGGACCGCTGCGTCGTGATCGTAAACCTGCCCCACGAAAACCAAGGGATTTTGAGCTAAGATGCTTGCTTCGTTCAGACAACATGAGCGGTCTTTGCAAGCACGTCAAGGAAAGGGTGCTAATCCTCATCACGGTGAGTCCTGCCCATCTATCATTGAGAGGATTGTGTTACGGGAACGATCAACTTCTTGCAGGCCCAGCAGGGCTGTTCAGAAACTACAAACGGCTTTCAGGATGAATCTCAGATCCCCAGGATCGAGGCGGAGTTAGTCGATTTTCGAAACTTTAGAGACACTGCCCGTTCTGAAATGCCCGCCCATGTCAACAATAATGCTGCCATAAGGGCAGCAAAAAGTAAGCGATGCTACGAGCAAGGTGGAATATTCCATTTCTGAAAACGAATCAATGGATTTAAATTTGAAAGGAGGACCGTCAGAGTCAGACGCCAATGGGACTCTCGCATACGATTGTGACAACTTTCCAGTCTGGCAGGATCCAAGCCCTAAATTTTCGTGCAGATACCAAAAAGGGATGCCGCAGAGGAGCAGCCACAGATATCGAGCGAGCTCCGCCAGCGTCCTACCTCAAAGAGAATAAATTATGGGGCGCAAAATAGCAAACTCCTTGTCATTAATATATTGGGAAGTGCCCTGTTCGATTTCGTAAGTTATGAGTCACGGATGGAATATCAAAGCCATCTGCACTTTAAAGTTAACTAACCTTGGCTTGTGCTTTGGCCGCCCTTCCCCATTCCATTGATGCTTCGTAAAATTACGCGTATAACTAACTCTAGATTGACAGAACCATGAAAGACAACGTCGGTCGGTTGCTTCTTATTGTTCGAGATATCAGCTTTTCTTTGGCCGCCCACTCAGACTTGCTTGCCCCACCAACGGCCTAGCTTGAAGTGATGAAATCCATCGAGATATGGTTGCCTGCTGGCCATGAGATCCTGGCCCCCTCCATCGTCGCAGACAAAGGCGGCGACAGAGGAGGCACAATGGCGATACCTGGTTTCATCAGTTTAAATACCTCTCCCACGTCAGCCTCCACTAGCTAAACTGGAATTCCTAAACGAACGCGGTGGGTGAAATTCTTCCAATGGTGGCCATTTACCGTACCCGCAGGTGTGGTATGTTACCTTGTATGGAGACGATGTCGTATTGGGTGATCCGCTAGTGTAGATCTGAGAGACTAACTGCCGAAGGAACTTTTGTTGGCCTTGGCCCCAATTCCAAACAAGTCATTTCTTGAGGGCTTTAAATTTTTGTAGGGAATCGATAGGATTCCCTGATCCTTCTACTTGAGAATACCTTTGGGAGCTGTGTTAATGATGGATGACGGAGATCTATTGCTGACAAGTAATTTTTACAACTCGAGCGGAAGTACTCCGTAAAGTTACTGAAACCCGGGATGTTGCTCCCTGTGATCCGGCCTTGTAATTTCTGAGGGCTTGGGGCTTAGCTCTGGGGCGAGGCCGAGCTGTGGCTTGACCATCATCGACTGCCATCGCAGTTCTGATTTATGTTATTGCTCGGGTATCCATACTTTTTCGGAGTGACCGTCGTTGGACCAGTCCATGGATCCATTTCTATCAGGATAGCAACATCGTTCTCCTCACGTCGTTTGTAAGGCGCTTGAAGTATCCGTATCTGGGTTACTGCAGAGCAGGGATGATGCTGCTTTAAAGTCCAATAATGCCCTAGAAGAAGCATCAGCCATTGACGGACATTTCATTGTTTCCGTCAGCCATACCATACGCTAGGAAGCACTATCAGAGGACCACGATACATGTTTTTGGGGCTGCTTTTCTGGAGCGAGCCTGATAAAATTCACGACCTCGGTTTCAAACCGACCAGCAGCGGATAATGAGACCAAACAAAGAAGAATTCCGGCAACAAATATGATTGACAGAGTTGGAGATACGTGTCGTTTGGTGGAGGTTGGCGGGCGGGTGGGCGGGCGGGCGCTGGCGGTCGGGTCGGTGATGACAAATCGCCGGTGCTTGGGTGCAGTGCGCGGGTCTAGCCTGTTTGGGCCTGGCGCCATCCCTCGGTAACTTCATTGTGCAAAGCGGGAAAAAGCAAAGAAACCGCTCTTGCTCTGGGAATCCTCTTCTTCTTAGCTCTAGTGGTTGCAGTCCGTCCAGTCCGTTCCCTGTGGCTTCTTCATGTCTTCTTCTCTGGGCCCATATTAACCCCGGGGAGGCACCTTTCATGCTCTCGCTCGCATCCAGTGCGATTCCATTTTGCCGCCACGGCCTGCCGTTCATACAAACCTCAAGACCACCAAATTAGGAAACATCTTGGGTCCAACACCGAACCCATCTGCCAGACTGCCACCGTCCATGTGCTGTCAGACGAGGGAGCGAGAGTTAACTACATTTACTTATATCATTATTAAGCAGCATCCTATTCCCCTCCGCCGCCCTCCTCGTCTTTTGGCTTTCTGCACCGACTGTTCCTGGCCACAGCATCAAACGAACACTCCACCTTGATCCCTCCGCTTTCGCTATTCACCGCGAACCCAGTTTTGGTCCCGGAGCTAACTATCGCTGCGTGGGGATACCTTAACTGCCCCCGTCACGCCGGACGTTCGATTTTCCTTCCCGTTCGGACCAGGGCTTGGAGATACCGCCACGCCCTCATCAGCTCCTTGCTCTAGAAAAATGGATAATCTTGGTGGAGGAGATGCAGATAGCATGGGATTTGACATGAACATGGTGGTCAATCAACCTCCACAGATATTCGGGGCATACAATCCTGATGGTTCGCCCATAACACCATCACTTCCAGGACCAGTATTCTCCGAAGACCACTTGACGAGCAATATGGAGGAGAGCAACGATGCTAAGAGACGGAGAATTGCAAGAGTATGTCTGGAAACGTAGCACTATTTCTAGCTGTCATTGGGCATTTGCTGATTGATGGTCTTAGGCGTGTGATATGTGCCGAAAAAAGAAGATTAAATGCGATGGGAAGATGCCAAAATGTTCCCACTGTATAAATTATAAAACGGAGTGCATCTTCACTCAAGTGGAGAAGAAACGCAATCCACCCAAAGGGTAGAGTTGATCGCACCCAAACAACTTTACAACACTCACTAATACTTATTTATAGGGCCAAATATATCGAAGGGCTGGAAAATCGATTGGGCCGGATGGAATCCTTACTACGTCTATCCGGATTGTTAACGGAAGCAGACGCTGGTAAAACAGATCTTAGCGCACTGGAAAGACGGCTTGCAGATAAGTCATCTCAGCCTAGTGGCTTATCATCCAAGCCATCGACAGCATCGTTTGGTTTTAATCAAACAAACCAACCATCGCCCACTACTTCTACACCACATGCAGATTTTCACACCAGCCCCAAGACTCCGGCCACTTCACCAGACTCCCAAAAGGAGACAGAGGAGTTAGATTCGCTGTCAGATATGATGTGCTCCTTGGTCACCAACAATTGCGGGGAGACCCGATATATTGGTAAAATCCCTCAAATTTTCAGTGATCATAATATAAGTCGAAGTCAAGTTAACCGGTTGCAGGATCATCATCTGGCTTCTCAATATTCTCACCGAAAGGTATCCAATGGGTCAACGAGAAAACGGGGGATTCCTCGTTTCAGGACATGATTTCATCTGCATATGTAGATGACAATAAATGGATATATTGGAAGCCGGAGATTTTCAGTGATATATTTGCTCGTCGTGTTTTCAAACCATTGCCTCCCCGGGAGGAAGCTTTATCCCTCTTTAAAGATTACTTCGAGAACTTTAATTGCGTCTTTCCTCTCTTTCACGAACCCACCTTTATGCATCTGGTCGAACGGCAATATTCCCGCGATCCTTACGAGGGCTCTGGATGGTGGGCTAGTATGAATGTCGTTTTGGCTATAGCTCACAGACTACGAATTATGAGTAACTTGGTACCCCAGGAGGAGGATAAAAAATCTTGGCTGTATTTGAAAAATGCGATGGGTGTTTTGACGGAATTGACTATGCGAAACACTGATCTCCTGAGCGTGCAAGCCTTGCTTGGAATGGTAAGTTTGGTTCAATAGTGCCAATAATCAGACCCAGCACTGCACTAAACTGGAGAATGGGCGCGGTATCTAACAATTACAGTCACTTTTCCTACAAGGAACTCCTAACCCACAACCGACATTTTTCCTAGTTGCTGCAGCAATCCGCCTCTCGCATAGTATAGGTCTGCATAAGCGCGGTTCTGGATTTGGCTTGAATCCCATTGAACTCGAACAGCGAAAGCGAGTTTTTTGGATCGCATACATTCTAGACAAGGAGTATGGATTTCCCGCCTGCAGTTTTTTCTTTTCCTCTTGTCTTGTCTCTTTTTTTGTAGACGCTCATTATGAGTGTTTGGACAATTGCTAACACTATGTAGTATATGTCTTCGATCCGGGAGGCCTCCGGTGCAGGATGACGACGATATGAATGTCGAGCTTCCTAGTGAAGACCCCCCAGATAATATTGGAAATGTTCCACTCTCTGATGGCAAGGGAAAACTAAATCTTTTCCGATTGATGTGCATTTTTGCAACAATCGAGAGTAAAGTATATAAACAGCTCTATTCAACCAAAGCCTCCCGACAATCAGACGGCGAGCTTCTCAATACGATTGGCGAACTTGATCGAGAACTTGAAGAGTGGAAAGACAGCATACCACTTGATTTCCGACCTGAACATGAGATAAAAGCCACCCACCGCCCGTTAATTCTTCATATAGTGGTGCTACACTTCGCTTATTACAACTGTCTGACCACAATTCACCGAATGTCTGTTCACCATGGATACTGGACGAGCCGCCTATCGAATTATGCAATCCAGGGTCTGAACGCGAGGCCGTTGAACCCACGTGTGTTCTCTTCCGCTGTTCTTTGTGTTTCTGCTGCTCGTGCCTCTATACATTTGATCAAATATATACCCCAAGGCGACTTTGCCTGTGTTTGGTAAGTAGACTCCGAAATCTACAACCTTATTGTGTGGGGTATGCATGGCTTACTTCCATACGTTTAGGTTAATTCTTTACTTCCCAATTTCTGCATTGGTCACGCTGTTTGCCAATATACTTCAAAACCCACAAGATGCCCGTGCGCGATCTGATGTGAAGCTAATGGGACTTGTGGTAAATTTTCTTTCGATGCTGGTTGCTGACGAATCCAATGGAAGTGTTAGACGTATGCTTGGAGTTTGCTCTGAATTTGAAAGGATTGCAAAGGTTGTGTTGGAGAGGGCTGAAAAGGAAACACAGTCAAAGCGCAAGCGAAGGGCTGGAGGCGATGAGAACAACGACGATGACGTGCCTGTTCAAACCCCTAGCACTGGTCAGCAGGCCAGAGCCGCGCCGGATGTCCAACCGGTTAATGTCACACCTAAAGCATCGTTGCCCCCACAACACTTTCAAGCGAACCCAAGCACTCGGCAAACAAACCAAGTGGACGGGAATTTCTACTTCAACCAAACTGTGAGTATGGAGCAAGGAGCATCAACACCAGCATCGACGACCACAGCAACACCGACGGCCGCGTCGACAACGACTGGAACTCAGTTCTCACATGGATATGACGAGAACTTTTCTTCTGAAATGTTGACACCCAACCAGGTGAATCCAAATGCGTTCAACAGCGGCAGCCCGTCTTTCTCCAACCCTTGTGCAATGCCCATAGATCTCTCGTCCTTTCAGCAACCATTTGTGCCCCAGGAACTCTGGCAGATGCCAATGACATTAGAATGGGACTGGGCGGACGTGCCTGCTAACTTTCCATTCGTAAGCGGAGAGGAGCATCAGGCGTAGTTGACATACATTTGTCAACTTAGACGACGTTTGCTGCGGGCGAAAGGTGTGTCTGAGGCTGAGTAGGAATGGAAACGAATGCGAGCGACTTTAATATATGGCAAGATGGAACAACGGACTCTTTTCTACTACCCTTTTTTTGAAATAATATGATAGCCCCGGACAAGGGAGGCTTTTCTGGCGTTTTGGGGGGCCCCACTCCGCCGTCTACATTTTGATGAAGGGATTTTATTTTCTGAGACGGGTTTAGAGGCTAGCGGAGTTGGGGCGTATTGGGAATATCTGTAAATGTATAATATATAGCTAAATATCCGCCCGCATCATGACCAATGCACTTCTTTTTCTTTTTCTTTTTCTTCTTTCTGTAGGCTGCTGGCTGGCGGGGAGTTGCCCTGGCATCTAGATGGTTCCGTGCCGTGGTAACTTACCGGTTGGATGAGTCAGCCACTGCGAAAATTCGGAAGCGGAATTTCAACCAACCACCGCCTCTTTGCCTCCACCGGATCCCCCAGAAGGCGTGCAAACTGCTCTCCAACGAACGCACGAACTTCTCACGGGATTTCTCGTGCTCCTTCCCTTCTTTATTTATCTTAATTCCTCTTTGTACATGCTGGCGGAGTGACGCTCCTATGGGTTCTTCACGACTTGGTCAATATTGAGCGTCTGCCAAATCTCCTGTCGCTTTCCGCCCGCGCCACCCTCCTCCATCCTCCCTCGACAATGGCCAGCATTATTCGACGGCCTGGCAATCTTGCTCGATATTCGGGGACAGCGGCGGGGCGCTCTATATATACACGATGTTTATTCTCTCCATCGCGGCAATCATACCTTTCCCCCGCGATACTAAACGCCCGCCAATCCCGTTCGTATCTAACCCAGTTCCGGCGATTTCCAAATCCTGGCAAGGAAAACGGGAACGTTCCTCCATCTATTAATGATGGTGGCTCGGGTCAACCTTCGTCCCACGGCGGACCGCCATCCGGGGGACCGAACGGCAAGGAGCCCGAAAAGCCAAAGTACCGGGCAACTCGGGAAGAGATCGAAGAGCTTGATTATGTGCTAGGAATGGTGAAGGACAAGCTTCCTGCGTCGCAGAAAAAAATGGTGGAAGAAATGGCAGAAGTGTTCAAGGAAGAAGGTGTTCCGGACGATGTTAAGCAACTTATCAAGCAAGTTAGGGAATCCAAGCAATTTACCCTTGTACACGCAACCCAGATATTTCGGATATGGACTCGACATGGACCAGCGGTGGCTGCTAAGATGGCAGACAGGGATTTTCATAAACAACGCTTACACTCGTTCGAGAAACAGCCTGGACGGGACGATGGCAAATCGAAGGACGAAAGCAGAGGGTCTCGTCAAGAACAAAAGCAGGATCAGAAACAGCGGAGTCAGAAAGATGGTCCCAAGGGGCCGAGCTTCAACTCTAACACCCCGTTTGATTTCAAATTCAAGTTCGACCCTGCTACCTTTCTAGTGGCTACATTCCTCTCATACTACTTGTATCGGAGCATTATTCCAGGAGAGGTTAATAAGGATATTACATGGCAGGAGTTCAGAAATACGTTTTTGGATAAGGGCCTCGTGTCCAAATTGACGGTACTCAATGGCAAGAAGGTGCGAGTCGAGCTTCACCGTGAGGCTGTTGCAAACGTGTATCCCGAATCGCCTGCGACACAACCAAACTTCTTCTATGTCTTCGCAATTGGATCAGTTGAAGGCTTCGAAAGGAAAATCGACCAAGCCCAGCTGGAACTCGATATACCAACATCTGAACGTATCCCAGTCGATTATCAAGATGAAGTTTCCTGGGGAGCTACCTTCCTCAGTCTTGCCCCAACCCTCGTCCTAATAGGCACTGGCATCTGGCTCTCGAGACGTGCTACCGGTGGAGGTGGCCAGAGTGGCATATTCGGCATGGGCAAAAGCAGGGCGAAGAGATTTAACCACGAGACGGATATCAAAACAAAATTTGCTGATGTGGCCGGCATGGACGAGGCCAAAGTTGAAATTATGGAATTTGTTAGCTTCCTGAAGAAGCCCGAGCAATTCCAACGACTTGGTGCCAAGATACCTCGAGGCGCTATCCTTTCAGGTCCACCAGGTACTGGTAAAACATTACTGGCAAAGGCTACTGCTGGCGAGTCAGGTGTTCCGTTCTACAGCGTGAGCGGTTCTGAATTTGTCGAAATGTTTGTCGGTGTTGGGCCCTCCCGAGTCCGTGATCTATTCGCAACTGCCCGGAAAAACACACCTTGTATTATATTCATTGATGAGATTGATGCTATTGGGAAATCAAGATCGAAAAACGCTTATGGTGGTGGAAACGATGAGCGGGAAAGCACACTGAATCAGATTCTCACCGAGATGGATGGCTTCAACACTTCCGAACAAGTCGTCGTTCTTGCTGGAACGAATCGAGTCGATATCCTTGATAAGGCACTGTTGCGGCCTGGCCGATTTGACAGGCACATCACCATTGATAGACCGACAATGGATGGCCGTAAACAGATTTTCCGGGTTCACTTGAAGAAGATTGTCACTAAAGTCGATTTGGATTACCTGACTGGTAGACTGGCTGCCTTGACACCTGGTTTCTCTGGAGCAGACATTGCCAATTGTGTCAACGAGGCTGCCCTAGTTGGTAAGTAAACATTCTATCTGAAACAATATCTTGACTTTTTGGGAAACCCCTTTTAGATAGAGCTAACCTTTTGCACAGCTGCCCGCTACCGTGCTGACGAGGTAACTATGACGCATTTCGAGCAAGCGATCGAGCGTGTCATTGGCGGCCTAGAGAAGAAATCGTTGGTTCTTTCTCCGGAAGAAAAGAGAACGGTGGCGTATCACGAGGCTGGCCATGCTATCTGTGGCTGGTACTTCAAGTATGCTGATCCGTTACTGAAAGTGTCCATCATTCCTCGTGGGCAAGGTGCCCTTGGCTATGCCCAGTACCTACCGGCCCAGGGCGATACCTACTTGATGAATTTCAACCAGCTCATGGATCGAATGGCGATGACCCTTGGTGGTCGTGTTAGCGAAGAACTCCATTTCGACACCGTGACGAGCGGTGCAAGTGACGACTTCAACAAAGTCACCCGCATGGCTAGCGCGATGGTCACAAAATTCGGGATGTCTCCAAAAATTGGCTATCTGTATTATGACGAAGAACAGCAACAATTCCAAAAGCCCTTCTCGGAAGACACTGCGCGGGACATAGACATGGAAGTTCGACGGATCGTCAATGAAGCTTATGAAAAGTGCCGTAAACTCCTAATGGAGAAGAAGGCTGAAATCGGCATCGTTGCTGAGGAGCTTCTCAGCAAAGAGGTTCTTAGCCGTGATGACTTGATCCGTCTGCTTGGTCCGCGACCATTCCCTGAATCTGGCGAGTTTGCAAAGTACTTCGATGGAGGGCATGGTAAAGGGACAATAGCGCCTCCGCCTCCAGCGACAGATGCTCTCGCGGAAAAATCAGACACAAGTCAATTAGATGATAAGGAAGGCCCTGCGTCGTCAAGTCCAGCATAAAGGAAAATGGTGGTGTTCTATTTCAATATTTCACTCATCTGTTTAGAAACTGAAGTATATAAGTTCACATATCTCTTTTCTTTTCTCCACCTGGTGCATTCTTGACATGTCCTTTTCCTATGTTAATCTGTTCCCTTTCCCTTTCATTCTCCTTTGGTCTGTACTTTATTTATTATATTTCAGATGGATCAAGTGTCTAGGTGTTCACGCGTTGCACTCTTATATGTTTTTCTATTCTATCATTGGCATACCCTCTACTTCCCTGCCTGACTGCAACCCGACAGCCCAGACATCGTCTCCGCTTTGAAATCTCCACACCCTGATTTATAATTTTGTAACTTTATTTCTTCTCTTGTATACCAAAGCTCCACCTTTATCCGCTCATTTGCTTATAAACAGGGCATGAATGAGGTATGTCAAATGTTGAAAAAGAAAACGAGGAAAGCTGAAGATCAAAATAGAAAGAATAAAAAATTATCAATAATTGAATCAAAAAAAATATTATACACTATGATTTCGAGTAGTAGGTTCTCAAGACATTTTCCCAAGTGAGAGTTGCGCCATGCTGGAGTGCATCTCTGGAATTATTGGTGCTGTTGTTCTATCAGGCCCAATAATGCCACCGGTCAACGAAATATGGTAGCGAAGATTAATTGGATGGACATAGGGGGCAGTATGAGTTGATTTTAGATTGAGTCAGGGTATCTGGAAACGTATAAATATGATACGGAAGACCTTAAGCACATGTACTACAATGGTAAATAGAGTACCAGAGATCAATGGTTTGGCGGAAACTTCCAGTGATGGCAGACAAGGGGATCACTTCGCCTTCTTCTTAGTTGGTTTCGATTTCGATGGCTGTGGTTTCTCTGGTTCATTGGGGACCTCCGCCGTAGCATGGTCTTCCGGCATTCCCCCCCGCGGCTCGACATCTAATCGTGGAATGAACTTCCTCACACGCAGTTGATATTGCCTATAATCCGGGTATTTCGACGCGGTAATCTTTTCCGTAAGATACGTGCTTCCCTGGAAGAGGGCGACATAGCACAGAGCTCCAATACCCGACCAATTGTACACTTGGTCAGTTTTGACACACGACCACTGGTAAAATGCTAGCCAAATGCCCTGTTCAGCGGTGAAATTCGGGTGTCGACACCAGGCCCAGAGGCCCGAAACCACAAAGCCACGGCTCAGGTCATTGCTTGTGTAAATCCCCTTATATTGCGGTGGGACGCGAGCGATTTCATTGTACTCCTTCTTGGCTTTCTGAAACCGCCATTGTTGTTGATCTGCGAGTGCCTCGATGAAGATGAAGAGGAGGATAACCCGGGAGAAGACAGAGTCGGAGACGCCGCGTCCGGACCCTTCGGGGGTACTGCTGAGTAGGACGAACAGGTACGTCGGAGCGGTGATGAGGGCTAATAAAACCGGTTGCACGAGAGATATGAAAGTAAGGTTGAATAAGAAAAACAGAAAAGGGTTGTTTATTTTGTTCCGCAATATTGCCCATCGGTAGTCTTCTGAACCGACGCTGTAGCCGCCTTTTCTCCAGTAGTTAAAAGTAAGTCGAACCTGTGAGGGGAGATCATGAGTTAGTGGTTTGATTCAGCTACATCTTCCTGCTGCATCGCGGAGTGTCAATATAGTGAGCGCAGGAGGTAGAATCTTACACCCCAAATGATGGTGATTCCACAAATCGTGTCAATTATCCCAGTTGGCAGTCCATTCAAACGAGACCATACGGAGTAATGAGCGTTGTAAACGATGGGAAGGATGCTCCAGCAACGGTCAACTTGAGAATAATTCCTGGTCACTTCTGATATTATTAGGAATACTGGTGCAAGAAACAGCGCGAAAGCGATGGCTGTGATGAAAGGGTTTGTAGTGATGTAGACATGTTTAAGCGCTTGGATATCGGTCCCGCTGTCGATCAACTTCGTCGGAAGCGATGTGAGTTGCGACAAGTACGGTAGGACTGTGAGACGAAAATCCGCACAGGCTTCGAGCGTATGCACAGTTGGCAAAGCCATATTAGACCGCTGACTGAATTGATGGGATAATTTGCGGAATGGGCAGGTTTCGTGACACCTGGCGCGACCCTTTTCGGTGGCGGCGGACGGAGGTTGAGTTTGGGCAACGGTGGTCCGTGCGTTACCCGAGTTATTTATTTAGCTCAATTGATTGGGTCGGAAAATAAGCTTAACGCGTCGGGGCACCTTCCGAGATTTGACGACATGATAAGAGCCTCGTGCAGACACACACACTTCGGCGCCCAGCTGTAACCTGCGAACAATTGGTATTTGTGTGGTCTCCTTTTGGTGATTGCGATCAAAATGACCATCAGGTACGATCGAAGCACATGACAGAGTCATAATCTTCAAATTCCTATTGTCCTTCCTTGCAAATGGCCCGCAAAGTTTTATGTGTCGCGGAGAAACCTGCAATTGCTAGAGCGGTGGCACAGCACCTCTCTGGAGGTTCAAGCCGTGCGGTAAGATCAAGGTCTAAGCGATTTCTCTTCAAAATATAAAAATAATTAATCCCAGCCCGATATTGTAGGTATCGATTCGGGGTAATGTGTATGTGAAAAACTACGAGTTTGACTTCACATTCGCTCCGCCATGGGGCCAGTGTTCGGTGACGATGACAAGTGTCATTGGTCATTTGACGAGTTTGGACTTTGACTCGCAGTACAGAAGCTGGAATTCATGTCCGCCTGGCCGGTTGTTTGATGCACCTGTCACAGATTCCGTTGCGAAAGTTAGTCTCTACATTCCACATAGAATTACGAACGGGAGTTAACTTGCTCCCAGGACAAACTGAGCATCGCTGAAAATATTCGAACGTTGGCCAGACAGTCTAAGGCTCTATTTATTTGGACAGATTGTGATCGTGAAGGAGAGCACATTGGGACAGAAGTACGGTATCAGGCGAGAAAAGCAAATCCGCGAATTGAAGTAAAACGAGCGAGGTTTAGCAATACCGAACGAGCGTCAGTTAGCCTACAGAGACCACTATGTCTAAACTCTAGTACTAAAACCTTCTAGTCATATATTACAGGCTGCCCAGAACCCGATAGAGCTAGATGATAGTCAAGCTAATGCAGTCGCTGCACGGATCGAGCTTGATTTGAGGATCGGAGCAGCTTTTACTAGGCTACAAACTCTCCAACTCAAATCATTGGGAGGTGCCCTAGAGGACCGAGTTATCAGCTACGGTATTTATATCAATTTCCCAATGCTCAACTTACGCAGACAGTTTGACAGTTTCAGGGTCCTGCCAGTTCCCGACGTTGGGATTTGTGGTCGACAGATATTTTCGGGTGAAGAACTTCAAACCAGAAAAATTCTGGTCCATCAAAGTTTCACATGCCCGTGATGGGAAAACTGTCAACTTTTTATGGCGGAGAGTCCATCTTTTCGATAGGGCTGCTGTTGTTGTTCTGTTTGAGCGGTGCTTGACTTCAAAAACCGCTAAGGTTACGAAAGTGAACAAGAAGCCAACACGCAAATGGCGTCCACTGCCTTTGACTACTGTGGATCTCCAAATGATGGGAAGTAGATATCTTCGAATGGACAGTCAGAAAGTCATGAAGGTTGGTCTTTCTCTACCATGCCGCAAAACTCTGCTGATAGGATTTTAGATCGCGGAAGCTCTATACACAAAAGGGTTCATCAGTTATCCAAGAACAGAAACGGATCAGTTTGACAAAGGAATTGATCTGAAAAAGTTGGTCGAAAAGCAAATACCGAGTGAAAATTGGGGCCAGTATGCGCAGCGGTTTGTCACCTTTGTATATTGCTGTCCATGGATTAATTTTAGCATATTGACAAATCATCTAGTCTCATGAACGGTGCTTTCACCCAGCCACGAGCTGGTCGTCATAACGACAAAGCTCACCCTCCCATTCACCCCGTCATATTCGCCGCACCATCAGCACTTAACGCAGATGAACGTGCTGTTTACGAATTCGTCACCCGACGTTTTCTCGCCTGCTGCTCTGAAGATGCAAAGGGCGAGTCTACGGAAGTGGAAATAAAGTATGGCGATGAAATGTTCCACACAAACGGCCTCCTCGTCTTAGAAAGGAATTATTTGGATGTTTACATATACGATAAATGGGAAAGTAGTCAAGAAATCCCTCCTTTTACACTTGGCGAGGCGTTCGAACCCACCGAGGCTAAATTAACGGATGGCAAGACCGTTGCACCAGGTTATTTAACAGAGCCCGAACTTATTGGACTGATGGATGCTAATGGGATCGGAACTGACGCTACCATGGCAGAGCATATTGCGAAGATAAAAGAGCGCGAATATGTAGCCACTCGACCCCGTGGTAGCGGGGGAGGTAGCAATTCCGTGCAAGAGTTCATCCCCACCCATCTTGGTGTGGCTCTAGTTGAGGGCTATGATGATGTCGTGAATGGTCTGCCCGACAGCCCCAGCTTAAGCAAGCCTTTTTTGCGAAAAGAAATGGAGGTGCGGATGCGAGAAATATGCGCCGGTACAAAGACAAAAACGGAGGTGGTGAATGAGAGCTTGCAGATGTATCGCGAGGTTTTCGTGCATACCCAGCAAAGAATTGATGTGCTCAAGGCTGCTTGTAGGAAATATATCTTTGAAGAGGGTAACAGGTGACCATACTTGACTGCAGGGCTAGTTTTATTGTAGCGATACTCTGTCATAATACTTACGACAAACACTATTAAAATAGAAACATTAAAATTAGCGAACGTCTTTGGAGTTTTGCTTTGAGGTGTTGAAAGCTGCGACTTTGGCAGGATCTAAAAAGGTTTCCATATTTACATGTACGTGTACAACATTGGTGGACATCATGATGGTATCAAGTAAACGCAGCCTAGATATATTATATTTCCAGGAGCCCGATCACCTCTAATTGCCTTCTCCCCGGGTTTTTCGAATCTATCTCTGCATTCTGTTGTATCGCTCAAGTTCAGACTTCTCCCTGAAGGGTAATAACTGTTCTCACGTAGTTTTCTAAACTGATCTCTATCCGGCTCATGCCACCGGTCGTCTTGCAACCTTTCTGAGCCACCACGGTATTTGCCCCTGCCTCTCTTAACTTGGCTTTCGGTGTATTTTAACCCCCCCGTGAATTCATTTCTCGGATGACTTGACGGAGATTTTGACGGTCTGTTCGTAAGTTTAAGGGCTCTAATCCGTATAAACCCTTGCAATTCCCATCCCAATTGCGTTTTTCTATTTGCTCTACTCTTCTTCCTTTTCTTGTCGTTCCTTTTATTCTTGTTTCAACTTTCTTAGCATTTCTAAAGCTGGAGTTTCTCTAGACAAAGTATATGGTTTACAAACAATAGCAAACAATTCAAATACTCGAAGAAAAATACCTAAACTCCATAGCTCGAGTAGCTTTCAGGTTCCTGCCTCTCGATTGCCAGAAATTGTATCCTGGTGTCTTAACTATTTGATGCCGCACACGAGAAACGCGGGCAACTAGGGGGAAAACAAATCTGAAAGCATAGATACCTATACCACAATATTATCATATGTATCAAGATACCGCCGTTTCGGAGGACTGGATCACAAGGGCCAGTAAGACACCTCATTTACAGCACCAAGTCACAAAACATTGCGTATTTTGGGGAGTTAGTAAAGGCAGGAGTGTGCTAGGCTGGAAAGGCTCGGCATGCAGTACCTTTAATAGAACGGTTCCCTGGCGAGGACACAAGACACAAATTTGAAATAGGGAAATTTGGTAAATCCAAATAAAAAACAAAAAAAGAAAAAGAAAAGCTCCAGAGCGCAATTTCACTTCCTAGCTGATTTTTTCTTTCCGCCCTTCTTATCTTGTGAGAGTGTGCCCTCTGGTCCAACATATGCAGGATCCCAGCGGCTCATATTTTTGTCTGGTTGTCTTGAGGAGGCCTCTGAACTTGGGTGCTTGGACGGCAAAGTGGTTTGCTTCGCCAGGGGCTCGTTTAATTCCTTTGATTCTGCGCCTTTCAGTGGTGGAATAGCACCAAGAGCCACTTGAGATGGTATTTTTTCGGCCCTTGGAATGACATCAGCTTTCTCGTACGCCGGATCCCAGCGACTTATATTTTTATCTTGCTGTTTCGGTACCGAGGTTTTTAGTCCAGGGACTGAAGCCACGGTGTCCAGCGGCGGGGATGCTAGCGTTGCTAATATAGTAGAAGTCGTAGGCCTTGCTGGCTCCTTGCTAGTAGTTTCCTCAGTAGAGTAGCTCGTGTGCCTATGGCCAAAATCTCCCCGTGCTTGGATTGTAGATAATGTTGCCGATGGCTGGGGTTTATCGTCCTTGGGAATCGTGGATGTCTGGGCAGATTCATTTTGTATGTCTTTGGTAAGTTCTTTTCGGTTTGATATTTGGGAAGACATGCTGGCTGTTGACATGGCTGCATCTTTTTGCGCTAGCTCACTCTCATTATCAAAGGGGCTTGTTAAAGGCGCGATGATACCTAACTTTTCACGGAGTTTGAGAAGTTCTATGCCTTGTTGAGTGAGCAGGGCACGAGATGTTCGATTTGACTGGTCGACTTCCTTGATTCGGGCCGTAATCCGATCCACATCATTTCGCGTAGTCAAGGCAATTGTATCTACCTCGTTAAGGGTTGACCGAAGTTTGTTCACTTTCGCTTCAATGCCGCTTTGTTGCCCATTTTTTAAAGTTTCTAGTGTCTGGGTCAACCGCTCTATGGAGGTATCGAACAAATTTACCTTTTCCTGGAGCTGCTTGATCTCGTTGTTCGGATCCCGCCTCCCGTTTGTCAGTGCTCTCACGTCATTAGCTAATCGCTGTAAAGTGTCTTCGCTGGATCTGAGCTTCCCTCGAACTTCGTCTGTTTGACTGTTTGATTCTAGGATGGCATTTTTCAATTTGTCCAAATCCCCGAACAGCGTTTTCGTGGCATTCTCATTTGACGCAACCTTTTTCTGGAGTAGCTCCCATTGATTATTCGGAGAATGTTTGATGTTCTTTAACGCCTCTAAGTCACCAGTCAATCGTTTGATAGTCGATTCATGGGATGTGAACTTCCCCTGAAGTTCGCCAGTCGACTCCTGAGTTTCACGTTTCAAGGTATCCAAATCTCTGGTTATCGAACTCGCCGTGCTTATGTACGACTCAACCTTTGCGCCGAGGTCTATGGCCTGTGTATTAGGGAATTTAATTAGACCGCCACCCTCAGAGACATCATCACCTTGCATCCAGAGTTCCCACTCCCTATTCAATTTCTGGATGGCCTCTTCCGAAGAGGTCATTTTCGCTTGAAGCTCGCCTATTTGGTCAGTCAGAACAACAGTCGATATTTCAGTTTTTTCACTATTTTTGGCTTGTCTTTTAAGCGTCTCGACATCTTGGATTAATAGGTTCGTTTTATTTTCTGACGAGGTGATTTTCTTTTGGAGCTCTAAGACCATTGTTTTTTCCGTCAGCGTTCGCTGTGTGACTTGATGATATTCCTTCTGTTTCTCTTTAAGTTGTGCAAATCCCATTGTTAAATCCTTCACCTCCTTTCCTTTGGTGTCAAGACTAGTTCGAAGGCCCTGAATCTCGCGCCGAAGATCTTGAAGCCAAGTGGTAAACTCGTTCCAGCGGCCCACAGCTTGTTGTATCTTCATATTTTGGGAGTTTAACGTGTCCGTCATTTCAGTTGACCTGATGAGCATCTGGTCAAAGTCGGCTTTTGGAGTGAATTTCAGGCTCAGGTCAGGCATTTGATCGATCAAGGAAGCGAGCTCCGCGCCGGTAAGCTTCGAGTGTGGCGCTTCTAACAGGCGGTCCACCTGTACTTTGAGAGATTGTAAACTGGAATTAGAGGCTTTAACTTTGGCGGACAATTCCTCGAGATCTGGCCGCCGCGCCATTTTATTTTCCAAGTCACCCACTAGGTCGGTTAGAGATGCGAAACGAGCGCTAGTTATTTCCGACTTTTGTTCCGTCTGCAACCGGTTCACCTGTTCCTGAACATGTTGTAGACTGGCGTTGAAAGTTTCTGAGATATTTGGAGTGGTATTTGTGGTGTTAATTTGGCTAGACATCATCAACTGAAAAAGTCGGGTTAATGCTTGTACGAATTCGGTGTCTGTCCCTTTAGATGCCTGCAGAGTTGTATCATGACTTGCTGAGATTCTAGAGTGCCTGCTGCGAGAGAGGAACCAGGTAACAAACGCAAATAAGAGAATGATGGCAGTGTACATATTTGGGTTGCGTAGGATTTCGTCCTCGAGTTGGAGGCTCCATCTAGATAGAACCCACTCAGGATTAGTTGGAACCTCGTATATATTGTCTGGCATTATCGTGTGACCGGCTCCGTGAGGGCTCGTAATTGTTGAGGTCAAAAATACAGTCACAGTTTGGGGAGGGCTTTGGGAATCTTGGAAAGCTCTCTGGGCATTGCTTTGTTGAAATGATTCCGGGATTGGCGTGTAGATAGTCGTACGGGTGTCGCGGCCTTTGGGATCAGTCTCAAGGGCGTAAGAGTCAGTGTCATTTTGATGTGGCGTACTTAAATAGTTGTACAGTCTTGCAGCACATTCCCCCGTTGCGGTCAGCTGGAGAGCGCCAACAAGGCGTTCTGAAAGAGGTCTATCTGGGTGTATATTCGTAAATGGTACTGGAAGATAAAATCCAATACTGGTAAGAAGCGTGAAAACGCCGATTAGTAGGTACGGCTCCATGGTTACGATAAGTCCCCGCGAGGGGCTGTCTGCGGCTCTGACCTAATGTAGATGAGGCTTCCGGAAGGACTCTATTCGGTTGAACGCTATGAAATCGAAGAAGAGTCCGATGCTCGGAGTAATGGTAAGTTGATATCGACGTAATAGGAAAAGTAGGGTTCAAACTCATAAAGTTGTTATTGACGTTGGCCAGTGGAGGGGATACAGCTTTATGTCGGATATCTAGAGGTAGAAAAGAGCTAGGAAAGCGGAGAGTTGTAATGGAGTTAAATGCTGTTTGTGAAGGAATGAAGCATTTACTTCATCATGTAGCAGGTCCCCATGTAGCCGTAAAGAATTGATCTAAATAAAGAAGCAGCTTGTATCGATATAATAGCAAGCATAAAAACATGATAAATATAGATAGGGAAATCCCTGTCTTATATAAAGCACTGCTCCGCAAACAAGCTGCATAAAGTAAACAGATGGGGCCCTCTTTCACTCAACCACTGGGGTGTTTTGCAAACAACAAAATTCTTTTGATTCAAATCATTGTGAAGTTCAATCAGTGGGGCAAAAGAGCTCCAAGGACTGTTTACCCATTTGATCCTGCTGCACAGGTAGGCAATGTTCCTGGTATTTCTTAGTATTTCTCCTCTGAGAGTGAATAATATGCAGTTCTTTGTTTTGTGAATTTAGGGTATACCACTGAATGCCTTCATTGTGAAAGATTCAGTGATGATTGTAACTGTTTTTGACCTGTGGTGTTCCAGCTAGATATACCCTTTTTCTTCATAAACAAAGTGCCTGGTAAAAAGATCTTGAAAGCAGCTCTTGTCTCCTTGTATAAGCTGATAACAGATCCATATATTTGGAGCTATTATAGGAGAAAACCATCCTCAAAGGCCTCGCAAACAAAGCTCTTTGAAAGCCCATGGAAGGCGGATAGATGTTCCGCAACACAGGGCATCATATTTTATCACAAGCACCAGATTCACCAAAAGACTAGCCATCAAATGGTTTTGCTTATGGAACAATGTTCGATGCACCTGGCTGATCCACCTGGCTGGCCAGGTGCAGCAGCACACACATCTTTCTGCTTTCAAGTTGAAAGAGGTGAGTCGGAAAAAAATGTGGGTTGAGTGAATGAAAATGCCTTAATTGAAGATTTGTTTTGCAGCAAGACAAATGCTTGGAGGTTGGATTAAGGTCAAAAAGCCTCTTTTGCACATTGTAAATTAATTTCCTATTCGAGTTAGACTTCATTTTGCGGCTCGCTGAAATTTCCATAGAACTGATATTTTCTGCTGATGAAGTAGATATTTATACAAGAGTTTGGCAGACTCTGCTTCAATTTATACAAAAAATAAGTGATGAATACTTTAATTCATTTCCAATGAACATGCAGGGCTTAGTTATGCTTCACTCAATACTTGAATAGTTAACTACTAGTGAACTTCATAACTAGGGAAGAACCAAACAATTATAAATCTGATTTTTCTTGGAATGGAGAAAAATGCAGCTGAATTCCCCCTGCCCCTTTTTGAAAGCATGAAATGGCACTCAAAAGAATGAGGAAACCCATCCCATTACTCCATTTTGATATCTCCAAGCCTGTCTCTCCGAAATCCAACATTGACGTTGACAACTCACACCGAAAATTATTGACCTAGTTATTATGACCATGAGTGTCTACGGCCAATTTCGTAACTTGGACATCCTCCTAGCAGTAGCTGACAAGGTGTGCTTGCAATCCGCCACAAAGAAGTAATAATGATAATAATTGTGGCGCAATAGTTCCCGAGCTAACACAGATGTCTTTTGGGAGGTTACATCACCAAACGATTTATTCAATCTGTGCCTGGGTAACAAGTTATTTCATTCGGAGATTTCTATGACAAAGCACCCGAGAGAAGACGGTGCCCCGTGGCTCCACATCACGTACCTAAAAGGGTGACATATATTAGCATGCAATCTTATGGACGCGGGAGCAGATCCCCTTGAGTTGGCTCCAAACCAGGCAAATGCACTTGAGTGTGCCATTATGGTGGGGGAGACCTCTATAGCTAGATATGCTGGGGCGTGGAATGAATGCGGCGATCAATCCATCTGCTCTGCAGGAATCACTCCTTTGAGCTGTGCGTGCCCGGAGCATGGACGCTCTTAAATTACTCGTTGAATATGGCGTAGATATCAATGCACACGATGGGTCGGGATGGCCTCCAATGCAGCTGCTGATATCAAAAGGAGTCAATATCGAAGATATAAAATGGATGCTTGAGCATGGAGCCGATCCCAATGCTGAACTCCTTGCTGAGTGTGGAGCAGATTTGCGCGCTAAACACCAAATGGGATGGACAGCCCTGCATTTTGCCTCTTCAGCTGGAGAGAATGATATTGTGAACAGGCTAGCCCTCGGATTGAATATTAATGAGAGATGTCTCTGTGGAGGAACTCCACTTTGGGTTGCAACCCGCAAGGGCCATGTATCTACGGTCCATCCCTTGCTCTCGCGTGGAGCCGACGCTGATATCTCTGGTGGTGGAGAACGAGGCGTGGATACTTGGACTCCACTATTCGTGGCCAGCCGTAATGGTAATGAAGCGATTGTTGAGATCCCACTCGAACATGGCGTCGACGTCGATGCGGTGACACATGATGAATACACTGCTCTAGCTGAAGCGGTCTTACAGGGTCATGAGCGAGTTGCCTCGTTCTTGACGGCGTATGCAACAAGATAAACATTCCCGCTATGTATCTAATGGCAGTGGGGCAGGCCCCTAATTATGCTTTCTTCGATTGAACTTATCCGATCTGTATATTGTTGTTAGGAACATAATTGTAAGCGCTCACGCGCCCGATGTAATCTGATGAAAAGGGAGAGCTATTGTTTTTGGACCATGCGCGTGGAATCATGTTGATAAGCCACCCTAGTTGATATCGTGTATAACGTATAATTCACACAGAGATATTCACCCACATAGTAGATCGCATGCCCAAGAATTTAGTCCGCAAATGGAAAAGAAAGATATATGAATTATGCCATTTTCAACACATTACCAGATAACAAACTAATGCTAGAAGTATACAACTTATGAAAGATGAAAAGTACACATGATTTCGTATATGTTAGTGAACTTTTGAAAGCAGGGCCGCTCAAGCAAAACCGAAAACCCCTTGCAAGTGTGTACTAGCCAACCTAGAACCCCATGCAACACAAAATCAACAGGACTCAGAATTTCCTGAAAGCCTCTGAACTCTATGGCTAAAACGAAAACAGAATAGGAATAATCTGTCAGACACTAGGAACGGGGGTTTCCTGAGGCGTGTGTACAAGCGGTGGAGTCCGAGCTGCACGCTGTTTCGCCCTCTGTTTCTTGTTCGGGCGTGCTTGCCTTGCTTTCGGGGGTTCGGTGATCGCGAGACGATGTCCCGCATCGTGTGTAGGCTCATGAGCTCTAGGGCTTCTTGCCTTCCCTCCTTTCCATTCCTCTTCAATTCCTGAGGTGCTTTCCGATGAAGATGCCCACAGTATAGCTCTCTCCTTATCAGGAGGATATTGCGGTGAAAATATCACTGAAGAAGCCGAATCCGCGTCAATGTTCCATCCGCCTTTTCTATGATTATTAGCAGCGCCAAATATCATTGGCTCCCATAGTAGGCTCGAAGGAACGTCACTTGACGTTTGTGGCCGTGTTGGAGAGGAAGAAAGAGGACTGTAGATGCTTTCTTCCCCTTTTTCGGATCCATTTGGCTCCTGTGGGGTTTCATGGTTTGCATCTCCAAGATCATCGGTGTTGTTTGTCTCTCCAACAAGCTCATTCCGTAGGTCCGCGGGAAGGCCCACAATCGAGGTTTCTGGGAGGGTATGGAAACTCTTCTCCTTCGTGTCGGTTGATCTAAGCGCTATCCTGGAGAGAGCTAACTCATCCTCTAAATAACGTAGCTTGCTCTGAGATGACAGGCCAGTTAGTATAGCAAGGTATGTTGGGAATTAATTCCTTTGAGGTTGAAAAATATGCATTCAGTCTCATAGTACATACTTTAAGTTCGTTTATCTCCTGAAATATGCAAGCCGTATCTCGAAGTGCCTCACGGCCGTGAGTGACCAAATTCCTCATCTGAGTTTGGATATCTTCCATCTCCTCCTTGGCCAAAGCCGCTTCATTTTGTAAAGATTTCAAATAGGGAAGTTGGTTCATCGCATCACGTATCGTCTGGATGTTAGACTCGAGGAGCCGCCTTTCCTTCAAATACACCATGGGCAGGCTACCTAACAGGTTCCCATCCAACCTTCTAACTGTGTTATGAAATTCTTCTATAAAGTTTGGTATAAGATTTTTTAGTCGGTCAATTTCATTGTCGAGGTCATCCTTCGCGATGGTGAGGGAGTCCTTAAATTTTTCAATGTAGTCACGAAGCAGTTCATCTTGTGTCGGCCAAGTGGCATACTCACTCTTCATCTTATGGACAGCTTTCTTCAGGAGCGCGCACTCCTCGAGTACTTCTTCAGAACACTGGTTGAAAGTCCTGGTGGTCGTTGCCATCCGCTGCTGAAGTGCTTCATCTGCAGCTTGAAATAACGCAACAGTTTCACCTGAGGTTTTCAATAACTCCATTTTGCTCAAAAGAAGGGACCAGTAAAGCTCCGAGTCAGTGAAGACATCGTCAAGTTCATCACGTATTCCTCTCCCGGCCAGCTTTAACACAACCCTTTTGCAAAGGGTGTATGCAAATGGAAAGCAAATACATGCTGCCCTGAGAATGAGTAGGACAGGGCTGACATGGATGATGAAGACGAGAGCTTGAATGAATATAATTTTACTAGCAAAAAACAATGTTCTGAGAATTTCCGAAAACCGTCCTGGTCTCTTAGCCTGGGAAAAATGGGATATCTCGATTAGATCTCGCGAATCAGTAAGGCTTAGGGTCATAGTGGGTTCTGGTGTGTTGCCTGGCCCCATCGGCACTGGTGGAAGAGTGCTGGTTGATGTAGGGGTAGTCTGTGCAAGGGCTACAGATGACTTGCGTGCCGTGAGGTTTGCAGGTGCTGAGAGCTCTAAGCTTCCCTGAGAGGCCATACGTTGTTCCTCAGGAAGAATAGCATCAAGTACCTCACCTAGCTTGCCGAAAACATATCCGGAACGGAATCCGCCGTATAAACGTCTTGGAAAACTATGTTCCGGGCGGATATCGGTAAACGGGATTTTGTGGAATCCTCCAAATAGAGCCACTGAAATGGAAAACATCACCAGCCCAATGATATCCATGGCGATGATAAGTTTGGATTAGAAAAGAAATTGGGTTTATCGTGTGATGGAATGGATTATAAAGATAGAAGGGAAGACTAAGGCACCTTGTTGAAATAGCGAGGAAACTTTTTGCATGGTTGACTGAATCCTTCATATGCTCGACTAATGAGGATATAACGGATGATGTTAGTATGGTCAGGCAATGGAGCACAGCGGACTGTAAGCCATGACAATAAAGTTGTAGGCCAAGTGATACTGGAGGCAAAATTAGAATGAACTGAGAGGGATTGGCGTTACAAAACAAAGCAATAGGACTAAGTCTGGATGTACAGTACAAACAAGATAAGTAAGAAAGAAAGCTGTTCTAAATGGAATATGAAAGAGAATAGCATACCTTGACAAGTTGATATATAAGTTCATGGGTAATTGATACCAAACAAAAGAAACTTTGGAAAGGTCTGTGAATCAAAGGTGAATCAAATGCCAGTGTGTTTTGATAAATATCTAACAGTGGCAGCGGCCATTCAACAAGCTAAGAATTGATTCATTTCAATAAGAACAAGTGGAGTATGATTGAAGTCTGTCAAAATAGGGCATGAATTCATTGTAGTATATACATCTAGTTATCATAGATCAGCATACTTTGTCCCAACTCTTTAATGATTGTTAGATGAAGAACAAAGGCATAATGTGCAGTCAATGAATACTTACAAGCAATGAAATACATTTAATAGCTTAGAAAATCACAACAACGCCAAAAACATACTTGACTGAGACTGGATATGATATTTTTGAAAGTCATAAACTATTCCTTAAAATTGTAGAATGTAGAAAAATGAGTACCTCACTGAATAAATATGGTACATAAAGGAGTTGAAAAAGTATTACTGTTATAGAAGCAGAGTTTGAATATTGCTTGAGTATATGAGGTCAAAAATTCAATGAAATACTACATACCTGAAGAGCAGTAGAGTGGGAGTATCCTTGAGCTAATACCTAACAGTCGAACTCGTGGAATCGATAGTCATATAGTGGACTTTGTGCATAACTTGAGATGTGATGATTGAGGCGAGATTTGATGTTAATTGATGAGTAAATATTGTCTGATCGACGCGGAAGGCCGCAAGATAAATATGCAATGTCGAAAGGATGAAGGTAGATGGGCCTTGTTGCCAGTTATTCCAGACGATTCGCAAGGACCACTCCATAGTAGACTGCTGAGCTAAGACTCAAAAGGCTAACCAATGAGCAGATCCCATGAACCCTAGCAAAAGATTTGTTTAGACGCAGCATCTCCTTGGAGTGAGGGGCGGGGTCGTAGCTCTTCTTCCCATCGATCGTCTCTGCCAGCAGGTGTTAGCTGTAAGTCCCCCAAAGGTATGGAAAAATCGGGAACATTAGCAAACCTTGATGTCTCCTCTGGCGCATGACCTTAGTAGTCATTGGTCCTAAGATGAACCTGTTTGTCAGGCCGGCTACGAACATTGTAACAAGTGGAAGTAAAGTTGTTGTCCGCTGGTCCTCAGCAAACACTCCAGATAGGCTAGATGGGCCACGTCCCACAAACGTCTTTGTTCCCGGGTAAGTTAAAGCAACAACCACCGGTAGTGCCGCTTGTATAGAGAAGTAAACGGGAATTATTGAGGCCTGGAGTGTGGAGAATTGAGGGCGGGGGAGTGTCCTGTATGCGATGATACCGCCCACGAAGGTCTACCAAATCTCAGCATCAAGCAGTAGCGGACATCACGCGACAAACCGCAAACGAACCTGATAAGCCTGCGCACCAAGAAGCGTGCCATAGCTACGTCACAGAATATTAGCAGTCGTGAGAGAAACGGTCAAATTGCGGAAGGCGAACCTGAGGATATGGAATGGCGCCAACAAGGACTCTGTCATTCTTCACGATATTCCAGATGTATCCTACTAACGTGTTCCTTGGATGGTACGCCAAACTGATGCTTCTGGCGCAAAGCAAAAGGAGAAATCCAAAGAGGTGTTTTGTACGGTAGCAAAGGTGGGGAGATATGTATATGCCTGAGAGTGAGCGATGTGGTCTGGATGCTTCGGCAATGCAGATGCTGTCTGGAGTATGCACACGGCGCACTACCCTACCAGCAGTGCCAGGAAAGCAAAAGAATCTGTGTGGGGAAGTAACTTCCACACTACTAGCCTCTAATTCCACTCCTTGTCAGGTTAACTAATATACCACGTGACTTCGCGTCTGAACCGTGTCTGCCTGGAGCGAGCAATCGTTACCAACTCCAGATGCCATACTTTCTTCAGTCCATGATATACTAAATTCTCTTTCTTCTTCTCTTCCTCTCCTTACCTGTCTTTCATGTTTCACCACAAGTGTTAGAAAAGATGGCAGACAAGGAAGCTACTGTGTATATTGTGGATGTCGGGAAAAACATGGGGGAATGCCATAATGGCAGATCTATATCGAACCTTGACTGGGCGATGCGATATATCTGGGACAAGATCACAACCACGGTATTTCCCAATTGTAAAATTCCCTACGTTGACCATTTCTCACATGGGGTATACAGGTTGCTACAGGCAGAAAAACTGCGACACTTGGAGTTATTGGCCTCAAAACCGACGGTATGTGGTCCGCTCTGATCTTGTAATACCTTTTGCTAACTATTGATGATAGACACCAATAATCCATTATGGGAGAAGGACGAAGAAGAGAGTTACGCCAACCTCTCCGTTTTTCAAGGCATAAGCCAGTATGTTGGCACCTTGAGTCATATTTTTTTATATTACCTTTTCGAGACTACTGACTACATTCCTAGAATTCTCATGTCTCAAATTCGCGACCTACGTGGATTGATTAAACCTAGCCATACAACAGAAGGAGATGGTATGTGTAATATATCGATTTGAATCTTTTTCTTTTTCTTTTGTTCTTTTAGACTTGTCTCTCATACTCCTATAGCAATATCATCCCTAATCTTGGCAATCGATATGATTGTCCGATATTGCAAGAAATTGAAGTACAAAAGAAAGATTGTCCTCGTTACAGATGGAACAGGCGCTATGGATATAGATGGGATCGAGGGGATTGTGAGCAAAATTAATGAGGAAAATATTGAGCTTGTCATACTGTGAGTTAGGTATCCCCTTTCGCAACACAACCACAGCTAACTGAAGAAGGGGAGTCGATTTTGATGATCCAGAATATGGGTTCAAAGAAGAAGATAAGGATCCATTGAAGGTAAGGTTCTCTGCCGTATAATGCACAAGAATGGCTATAGTGACCAACCCCCAGGCCAAAAATGAAAACCATCTGAAACAACTTGTCGAAGATTGCGAGGGTATATACGGTACCTTAGAACATGCGATTTCCGAGATGGAGATTCCTCGAACCAAGGTTGTACGATCAATGCCCACTTTTAAAGGCGATTTAAGGTTGGGGGATCCAGAGCAATATTCATCTGCCTTATCAATCCAGGTGGAAAGATACTACCGAACCTACGCGGCTCGGCCACCAGCTGCAAGCTCATTTGTTTCCTCTGCTGTGTTGTCAGAAGGACAAGAGACCACTCAATCGTCGGCCACTCTAGCGGCCAAGGAGTCGAGCCAGGAAGGAGGAGCTGTAGCTTCTGCATTAACTTCAGTGAGAAACGCTCGGACTTACCAGGTTAATGACGAAGAAGCTGCTGGAGGCAAGCGAGACGTTGAGCGAGATGAACTTGCCAAGGGATATGAGTATGGACGCACTGCTGTGCATATCACCGAATCAGATGAAAACATCACCAAACTGGAAACGGACGCTGCCCTAGAGTTCATAGGATTCATCCCAAGTGACAAAGTACGTAAATCCCCTTTCAATATCTGAACACATGCAAGCCCGTTAATTCATAGAAACACAGTATGACCGCTACATGAACATGTCGACATCTAATATTATAATTGCACAAAAGACGAATAATAAAGCAATCCTTGCGCTTTCGTCAATAATCCACGCCTTGTTCGAACTTGAATGCTGTGCTGTGGGGAGGCTAGTTCCAAAGGCTGGCAAGGCTCCACTGGTGGTCCTTCTTGCACCCTCGATAGAGGCTGATTACGAGTGTCTCCTCGAGGTACAGTTGCCTTTTGCAGAAGACGTGCGCTCCTACCGCTTCCCACCGTTAGATAAAGTCATCACAGTCTCGGGAAAAACCGTGACTGAACATCGGAACCTTCCGAATAATAATCTGCTTTCCAGGATGGCCGATTATGTCGATAGCTTGGAGCTCACTGAAAAAGATGAAGATGGGTGAGTGAAGGAAAATACCCTTTCAAGCGATCTAGATTACTTATTCTAGGTAGGGAGACCGTTGAGTCTATGTCGATAGAAGACTCTTTTTCACCACTTCTGCATCGAATCGACCAGGCTATTCGGTGGCGTGCGGTCCACCCGTCTGAGCCCCTTCCCCCAGTGCCGGAGATCCTTCAGAAGTTGTCACACCAGCCGGAAGACCTCCAAGCTCAAAGCAAAGACACCCTTGCTAAGCTCATAGCAGCTTCGGATGTTAAAAAAGGTATGTTATTATTTTCTGGGAATGCCACTGCATATATTTTCGTGTCTAACACTTTTTTTTATCACAGTCCCACCCAAAGCCAAGGGCCGCAAACGCGACCGGGACACAGACAAGCCACTCTCAGGCTTAAACGTCGAAGAGCTCCTGCAGACAGAGAAACGAGTCAAGATATCTGCTAACAATGCTATACCTGAATTCAAGCAACTATTGGTTAGTTCGCAGGACCTTGGTGCTGTCAAGGATGCTGTGAAACAAATGTCCGCCATAATCGAAAGCCAAATCAGACACAGCCTAGGAGATGCCAACTATGATCGGGCTGTTGAAGGCTTGGGAACTATGAAAGAGGAACTGGTTGCCTTTGAGGAACCAGCCCTCTATAATGACTTCATCCGTGGCTTGAAAGTGAAGCTGCTAGGGAACGACCTTGGAGGGGATAGGCGTGAGATGTGGTGGTATATACGGAAGAATAGGCTTGGGCTGATTGATAAGAAGCTCTCTGAACTTTCTGACGTGACGGAGGAAGAAGCTCGGGCGGTAAGTAGCCGCTGCCTATTTCATGTTTTACATTCGGATGGCCGTAAGGACATTTCCTAACATTCGGACAGTTTTTATCCGCGAAATGAGCAATGTGTCGGGCGTTGGCGCAAATTTGGCATGATTCAGGAGGGATATGGGATACATGGGAGTCTGGTTTCGTTCATGTCCCTAATGGGATGATTTAATGGCTTGGGTAATTACATGAAATCGGTTTATTAATATTCTAGTCTGACATTTATTATAATCCAAGAACCCTGGGTGAAAATAATGGGGAACTTTCAAAACAAACGCCATTGAAATCAATCCATTGCAGCTCGCTAAATCGAATGCTCTCGCAAAAACATCGCAAAGGCCCTTCAAGGTTGCAAACGGAAGGCAATCTAGGATATCTTTCCTATTCTCTTCTTCCCAATTTGGACCTTGCGATTTACTCTGCATATGGCAACTTGTTAGTAGACCATCCTAATAGCAGACAATAATATTCTTGTATATCACATATCTGAACAGGAAAGGTAAGAAAAGAATCACCACTAACCTCTCCGCATCCTCATCCACCATCTTAAGCATCTCATTCTGAATCTCCAACTCATTATGAATAGCAACCCCTAATTCTTTCTGGCGGGCTATAACCTTCCGCAACTCCTCCAAGTTCAGATCCTGATTCTCCATGATCTGCTTCTGTAACTGCAACACGCCCTGATTATCCAGCTCCCTCGTCTGCTCCGTCTCCTTGCCCAGTACGCGGCCTGGCCTGGGCTTTGCCGCTCCAACAAGCGCCTCCTTATCCTGCGCAGATGCAATCGCATTATCCAACTTCGCCTTGGCGGTCATGGCGTTCAACAAATTTTCCAGCCCATCTTTTTCCTTCCGAGCACTGGAGAGCAGGTCTTTCCTCCGCCTCAGCTCGCCGCTCCCCAGTTTACTCCCACCCCAGGTAGATCCATCGCCCAAATTCTTCAACCCATCATCCAAGCCAGTCAGGAGCGTTCCCACGCGAACAAGACTGCTCTTCGCCTGCGCGGAGCACTCGTGTTGTTTCTGTGGAGTAGCAGCCTGATCGCGGCGGGTGAGATGGAGCCTGGCATCGTGTAGCTGTGACTTGACATCGCGATAGCAATCGAGCCAGGTTGTCGGGTCCGTGATGGGGCCTGCAGTGCCACCTGCACCGGGCGTTGTGGCTGCAGCATGTTTGAACGATGTACGGGCGGAGCCGTTGCTCAGAGCGGCGCTGGGGAGGTTGAGAAAAGCCCGCCATGCACTTGAATTACGCCATTGTGGATCTTCTGCCTCATTTATGGCACGCAGATATGTTTCTAGACCCTCCCGGCGCTTCTCTCGATAAGCTGTGTTTGAGTTCGTGTTCACGAACCACGATTTTCCAGGCAGGGGGGCGGGTGGGGGAGCGGTTACTTGGCTCGTTAATGAGGAATGGAAGGCGAGGAATTCTGAATAGCGCTTCTGGATAGTGAATGTGCGGAGTGGGAGTCGGATGGTGATGTTGTAGATGGTGTAAGGGTTCGGGGGGCTGGAGAGGGAGGTGGTTGGGATGGATATTTCGACGGCCGGAGCCATGGCTAGGATGGAAGAAGGCCTAGGAGCGATGAGGAAGTCAAGGCGTATGAAGACGTGTTTGATTGCATACCAGTCGAGGCGAGATGAGGATTGTTCTAGATGTAGTTGTGACAGAGGTTGGGTTGTCAGTGTCCGATCAGCTGGGTGCCGTTGGATCAAGATAGAGAATGCGCGGGAAAAAACAATGACGCATTGGGGGAAGTCAAGAGCTTATTTAATAAAGGGAGCTTATTTAACTTAAATTTTAAGCGAAGCCTAGCTCTCAGAAATAGGCTGCTACCGGGGCGGCATTTCGTGTCGAACTTTGCATACATACGCATTTATTTTCCAAATTCCCAAAAAGAAGAAAAAAGTATAGTAATTATTGGAGATGAGATGATGGGATGATGGACACGAACGAGGTATCGTAGAAGTATCAAACCAGCCAATTCTGTATGGGATGATACGTCATGGTAACTTACCTGAATGACCAACGCCTGCGTTGGCTTCCCTGAGTCCCCGCTTCCGCTTCCTGGGGCTGTTGTTTACCCGCGAAGTTCCCAACCAGCAACAACTTGCCAATTTACAAACAGACTCCGATGTCGATGATGGTGCTGTGTATACGTGAATAAACGTCCATCTTGCGCATGCTGGGAGTTCATGAGGCTGAGCAGCACCCTGCAGTCCGTGACTGTCAGATTCCTTGACATTTTGGCTTCTTTTTTTCTGCAGTTAATACATTCTAAGACCCTCTGACCCCCCATGGATCCAACCTCCATTGCATAGACAAATAAACTCTTTTATTACTGAAAATGTCCGATCAAGATATTCAGAGGACAGCGTCGCCTGGAGGGTCGCTAGATTTCGATATCCCGATCCCCGTGCATAGGAGGGATACCATTCATTTGACTCCATACTCAACACCCCTCCCATACGTCAGTGATGATGATGATGCTCAAGCTGGACGAAGAGGACGTTCGCCAACTCGATCCCGTGTTAAAGAAGATAGTCGTTCACCATCTATGCAATCTCTGCTTCCTGTTTACTCAATTCGAGAGGGGCGAAGGACACTGTTGCTCGTCTACATCCACGGCTTTGTAGGATCGGATACCAGCTTCAAAAAATTCCCAGCGCATGTTCATAATCTGCTCACTGTTATGCTGTCTGAATCGCACGTTGTTCATTCCAAAATTTATCCCCGATACAAGACAAGGAAAGCGATCGAATTTGTTAGGGATGATTTTAGTTATTGGTGAGTGGCTACTCCTTACGATTCGTTTTGATAATGGATATTGTCACTAATTATCACTTGAGTTTGATAGGTTAACACCTCATGAATCCCCTAATACAGACATAGTGTTGGTTGGACACAGCTTGGGTGGAATTCTTGCAGCAGAGATTGCCCTCCTGGGGCCGTCTGATCCACAGGTCCTGGAAATGTTTAGGCATCGCATAATGGGGACTATCAACTTGGACGTCCCATTCCTAGGCCTCCATCATGGTGTCGTTGCCAGCGGCATCGGGAGTTTGTTTAGACCCAAAGACAAGAAGAAGAAGAAGAACGACCCACAGAACCAGCCTTTTCCCGTTGACTCCTCCATCATGGCGCCCTACATTTCTTCCGCTCATGATCCTAACTTCGACCCGATGTTCCCAAATGACATCCGACTTACAGAGCGATCACAACTTGATGGAGCCTTGAATTTTATATTCAAAAATTCCAACCAGCTTGTGGATGCGACTAGGAAATATATTTCCTCGCATGTGGAGTTTGGCTTGTGTATCGCCGACTACCCTGGTCTCAAGCGACGATACAGGCGCCTGAGAGAATTAGAAGACATTGACGGGTGCAACCCAAAGCTGGATGGCAGCGGCCGGCCATTTCGCCGTATTAGATTTGTTAACTATTATACCGCTGCCACAGGAAAAATTAAATCGCCCGCTAGTGAAAATAACAATGACAGTGTAACTAATGCAAGCGGGCTGGAAGGCAGGTCGATGGCTCCGGGGTCGATATCCTCCCCTGAGCCTGGCCACGTTAGATCATTATCCGTCGATCCTCGAAGACCAACGGAGGAAAAGACTGGAGATTCACTGGGCTTCTCGCAAGGAAGAAATGAAGGAGAAGGCAGCCCAGAAACTCCACAATTAGTAATAGAACAAGCTCACAGCCCGCCAGAAAATACCAATACGGCCCCAGTGGAAGATACATATCCTGACTTCCCGCCTCCGCCAAACCAGCCGCCAGAGTTCGACCCTTCTCTGTACGGTTCAAAGGCACTCTTAAAGGAAGCGCAGAAAGACCACTCTCGCCAAATGAAAACGTATGAAAAGGCAGTGAAAGAAAGGGAAAAGAAAATGAAAGCTCACAAAAAACTCACCAGCAAGCAGGAGCGAGCTGCGGAAAAGGAACAGTTGCAGAGAAATAAAGAGATCTTATTTCCCACATCCTCTCCAACCAACCATAACTACAACTACAACTCATCTCCAACGAGCGGAGCCTTACCAAACGGTATCAAAGAGGTTGAGTCAGCCTGCAACACGCCTGATATCAATCCAAGCACTCCTTCCAAACCCAAGAAAGACCGGAAATTCTGTGCACTCCCTCCAAGGGAAGCAGATGGTGAGCGGGATCCATTGTGGGTGCGGGTTTATATGGAAGGAGTAGACGAAGTTACCGCTCACCAGTCCCTGTTCGTTTCTCGAAACGCGGCATATGATCGGCTAGTGGGAGATGTAGCTGCTCGCATCGAGGGATGGGTACAAGATGATTTGACGACGCAAGTGCTCAAGAATGCTTCGGAAGAAAAATAATGAGAACTGGGGTAGTGGAAAATGAATGTGGGATATTTATGAAAGGATGGTTTACCACGAGCGACCCCTTGGCTGGAGTTAGAGTCTATGGCCGGAGTGGTTTGGGTGTATTCGCTCGATTCGTCTTGCTCACATCCTTGCTCTGTGATGTCTAGCATTCTCAGTTCTGTAACCACGATTGATTACCCGTTGTTTTCTTCTGCTTCTTTGATACCACTATGATGATAGCCTTGCATATTTAGAGACGTTTTAGAGACGTTAGGTTTGGGCTACTTTGGCATCAATATTCGCAGCTACCCTTATTCGTCATTCCTCACTCCCTTCGTAGATAAATTTAGGCTTCAAATCATCAGCAGCACCACCCCTCTTCGGAACGTTGCTTGAGCTCAAGCCATCAGCATGAACTATGGCATGGCCATATTCGTTAAAATATAAGACTAGACTGATGATCTTACATTGTATACACCCTTGTCAGCGAAAAATATTGTTAATTTCAACGTGGGCAAATCTAACTACCACGCAACATCAAAGTCTTCCTCCCATATATCCCGAAACTCAAGCAGATCTCTCTGTCCGTAGAATTCCCCAATCACACTAATGATCATATCAAGCATGGCACGGGTATATTGCTGAGCGTTTTTAAATTCGTAATCATCGTCCACCTCGCCTTCTTCTTCCTCCTCCTCTTCTTCATCGTAATCATTGTCATTGGCCTCTTGTCCCTCGATTATATTTTCCCCGGGCTCCAGCGTATCCCCCTCTTGTTGCTGGTGTAGTCTTGCCTGGAGGCGCGCTTTGGCTGCTTCGAGCTCGTCCTGGACATGCACGCCGTTAGTGGGTGGTATAATTTCTCCATCTGCTTCTCCGTGTGCTGTTACATGTTCCGTGTTGGCCCCACTAGTACTAACAACATCGTCCGTAATATTCAATTCATCCACTTGGTTCTCACCCGCATCCACATCCCCATTCTCATTAATGTTTTCCCTGGCACCATATCCCGGCTCCTCTTGCTCTCCTTCAGTTTCTTCAGCTTCTTCTTCTTCCCCTTCTCCTCCCTCCCCACCCTCCATACCCTGAACGTCTACCGCTTCACTCTCCCGAACCTTCACCAAAATCCTAGCAGCCCTCTTCCCCAGCTCCCTAATATCCCCGACCTCCTCGCTCCCCATCTCCCCCACAGCTCTACAGCGGCCCAAAAGACCCCATGCCCACGCACCGAGCCTCTTCACCTGTGCGCTTTCGCCGCCCCTAACTGTCTTAGATAACAAGCGTGTCACAATGGCAAGAAGCCTGAGAACACTCTCCATATCCATGCACGCCAACTGCGCCATGCGCGGATCCATCGTCTGTATAATTTGCTCCCATTCCGCCCTAGCGCGCTTGTTGGACCGGGGGAAAGTGATGGGCCGTTGCGGGCCTAAAGAAGCGATCACGGAGGCTGGTGGTGTGCATTTTAGGGTTGAGCGGAGGAGGAGGAAGCGGTGGTGAAGTAGGCTGTAATATATTTCTTGTGGATCGGAGGAGCTTGTGTGGGATGCTGCGCTGGTTTGAAGGTTTGGAGTGGAGGAATACGCGACGTAGACTCCGTCGGAGTAAAAGCCGGTGTGGCCGGTGTTTGCTTCTACGTCGAGGACAGCACCATAGTCATTGATTTGGTCTCTGGCGTCAGTGACAGGGACTCTTGTGTTGTCCCTTTGTTGAAGGACAGTTCTGGAGACAAATATCGCTGGCAATGTTCGTGCTTCAGATCTAGAATCAAAGACGTCACGCAACGCATAGCGTACGGCGCGAAATAGCCATCAGCATCACTTTCCGGTTGTAAGAAAACTGCACGGATAGAGAAATAGCCAGATGGACGGGAAATTGTCTTAGCAATGGGTAGTTTAATGTTTTTCTTTGTGAACGCCTGAGGCGACGTAGAAACAGTTTATGATAGTGGAGGAAAAGGAAAGCTGCATACCGGACCATACGCAGATACTCGATACCATCCTCCGCAGGCCCATAGAATAATTGATCCTCATCTACAGGATCGTCTAGTCCCGGAAATGCGTGCTTCTGCCCGTAGACGGGGTCATTCCTGGGTTGGGGACGTGTCGTGGTTGGAGTTATTGGGGTTGCGGGCGAGGAATCATCGTTCGGGTCGGTAGGACGGGCCCTTTTAGCGTAGGGAGAACTGCTCGATTCTGTGGAAGGGGCCTTGCGTTTTTCAGACATGCCTATATGTAATGCGAGAAGGTATTCCCTTCTGCCTTCTGGAGTGTTGGTTGTATCCCCAAAGCTCCTGTGGCCACATGCGGTTTTTCGATGGGATGTGCCCTGGGAGCTTGGGCCACCTCGGCACTCTAGCGCAATTCAACTCCACCATACCTACGCATCTAGATTCAATTTACAGAGTGCTCTAGAGGTAACGAAAGCACAGAATGGAGACTATGGTATAGACACGGTTACAAATGCATTGATTCCGTGGTAGTCACGGTACTGAAGAACATCATTTATAAATGTAAATTTTGTCATCTCTTTATTTCATCTGAATTTAAATGTGAGAAAATCTGTCTCTCATCCACCACTTCTACTGCCCCTTACCTTGATTAGAAAACATTCATGCTTATGGGCGGAGACGCTGAGGATCACGAGGAAATAGTGTTGCTAATCGAATATTGGGAAGACCCAGGAAAAACATAACAATGCGGTTCAGGCCAAGTCCACCACCAGCATGAGGAGGGCACCCCTGTCTAAATGCCCCGATGTAGTCTTCAAACCCTTCACCGTTGGGGTCAAGACCTTTGGCCGTCATTGCAGCTTCAAGTTCCTTCGCTTCGTTAATTCGCTGTGCGCCGGACATAATTTCCTCTCCTCTCATAAAGAAATCGTACGAATTGGAGAACGTGGGGTCGTCAGGACAGGGTTTCGTGTAGAACGGTCTGACAGCCATGGGGAACTTGTCCAGGACGTAGAAGTCTGTATCGTATTTCTCTCGGATAATGCGGCCAAGCTGCTTTTCCATTGCAGTGGTGAGGTCGTTCTCAAATTTTTCTTGTTCAGTGACATCCACTCCTGCTTCCTTCAAAAGTGCCACACCCTCCATGTACTTCAGCCGAAGCGCCTTTCCATCTTTAGGGAGCTTAAAGTCGCCGGCTTTTGGGTACGAGCGCTGGATTACTTCAATTTCCTTTTTGAAGCGTTCCTTTAATTGGCTCAAGATAAAGACCAGAAGGTCTTCGGCAAATTCCAAGACTTCGTGGTAATGGCTCTGGAAGGTTTTCTCGAAATCGAGACCAATAAACTAGAAATAGACTTGTTAGCTTGCGCGCAATACAGCCACCAAGAACAAAAGCTTTCACCAGTACTCACCTCTGTTAAATGTCTATGAGTGTTGCTTTCCTCAGCTCTAAACACAGGACCAACTTCAAAAACACTGCCCAGATCTCCTGCAATGCACATCTGTTTATATAACTGCGGACTCTGCGCCAAATACGCCTTTTTCTTAAAGTAGGTCACTTCGAACACTCCAGCACCACCTTCAGACGCATTCCCAGTGAGTTTTGGAGTAGAAATCCATCGTGAACCGCTCTTCAACATGTATTCCGTAAATAATTGGGCAACACCGCTAGAAATCCAGGTAATTGCCTGGTTCGTTTCGGTCTGGAGGTCAAGAACACGGTTATCAAGGCGAGTTTTCAGCGTGACATATGGGGTTTCTGAGTCAACTTCTTCCGTAACGGATTCAGGTGGCGGTCGTTCCGCGTCCTTGACCTGCATAGGCAGCATTTGCGCCGCTTGGGCAACCATGTAGGCTTTCCGAATATGCAGTTCCAGGTGACTCAATGTGGCTGATGATACTGGGATTTCGGGTTTCTTAACGACAGCGGTGACTTGAACGATGGAGTTGACATTTATCCCTCCAATCCATTTCACCATAGGTCTCGATATTTCGTCACTCGCGCTCACCACTGCCTGTACCTTTTTACCCTGTTGCCGCAGCATCAGGAACGCCAGCTTCGCGCTCTGTACCCGGGCATTGTCCACACGCGCAACGACTGTGACTTCCTTTTCGAAGAGTTCTTCAGAGAGATCTACGAGGTTCTTCACTTGGACCTGGTCGGCAGAATCTGGGATAGCTCCGTAGAGGTGTTTCGAGAAGTCTGCAGCCTGGCTGGCTTGTGCAGCTGCTTGTTCCTGAGCAGCACGTTTAGCTGCTTTCTCTGCTTTTTCCCTCTCTTTCGCGGCTTTCTTGAGCGCGCTTTTGCTTGGGGGAGCGGCGCCTTCGGTGGGGGGTTGGGAAGCAGGGGCTTTCTCGGGCTGGCCGCCGTCGCCTTTTGGATGGATAGGGAGCGTGGATTGTTGCTCCATGGTCGCTTTCGTTGGACTTGCGGCGGTAATTGGCAATTGGAGGTTTCTATTGCTAAGGGAAGCAGTTGGCGTGGTTGATGATCTCTTTTACGTGCGGAAAGGAGGGAGTCAAGTCAGTCTTCAGCCAACCCCACCAAATTTGAAACTAGCCCTAAGCCCTACCTAACCCTGGAGGCAGGGAGTCAAACTGCTCTCTCGATGGCAGCATGGAATGTAATATATGGACTTTATTTTCGTCAATACCTGCGGGAGATATATTCATTTTACTTAGTTTGTATGTAGTGACAAAATTGTGTGTTAAAGTATGGAATTTTATATATTTATTCTTTAAAAAATCTATCTACTCTACAATGCCAGACGCAAAGAGTCTAGCACAACAAATCGATAAAAAAGATTAAACCAACGCTAGATTACAGGACAAAGAACTAGAATGAGGTGCTCTAAACAAGATAAACTCAGTTACGAGGCCACTGCGACTGGACTAAGCTCCAGTCAACGGCCTGCTTCACTCCGTCAACGATGACCTTCGGTGGCCAAGTCGGTGTCCCACCCGAGTATACACCACTTCTTAATAGAATAGAATTCCACTTGGTTCCGAAGGGGCTCTTGTACGAATTGGCCCCTCGGATATCAGACTCAGGGTTGTCACCGATCATATACACCGCCTCAAGAGGTTGTAAATCCTCGACGTGAAACATCTTCTCCCTTTCCTGGTTCAACCTCTTCTCAGCAAACCTATATGTTAGTTCACATGGTTTCCCAATGACCGTCATCGCTAATGAGGCTCCTCCGGTCATTGCTGCCCACACCCCTTCAAGCGACGCTTTAAATGCTCCTTGACCCAGTCTTGGCTGATGGTATTGCGCAGCCCATAGGAGATCAGGGTTGGAAAAGTACAATGGCGGCTGGTCATCTTGCTGATAACCCCGGTTCGGTAGGTCTGGGCTATTATTTTTTGCAGAATAAGTCCCGACAATACCTTGGGACGAAAGCAGTAGATCGATGATGATTTGGATATCCAAAGCCCAGTCTCTAGGGTCATTAAAAACCAGTATTGCATCGATCTTAAGGCTTTTGGACGGGTCAATTGGGTCTATCCTCCGTGGAAGTTGGCTTGCAAACCGTCCGTAGTAGTCATTAAAGGCATGAGAAAACGGCCAAATCTCAGGGTGCGATCGGAAGATATCTGCAGGGGTCACGACATTCTTGAATCCGTACCTGCCAGCTGTTAGAAAATGCTCGAACAGATACAAGAGCCTAGGATATAAGGATGCCATACTCTTGTGCGACAGAACGACACTCCCCATCCCCTCCACCAACAATCAAAACACATTTGTTCTCCAGCGCGCCCTGCACTTTATTACCTTTTACCAAATCTGCGAAAGGGGTGTGGCTTTGGATGATCGTGTCGGCGTCTAGAGCCACATGAAGACGTTCGCTCAATTGCGCAATTCTCTTTGTCTCGTGCATTCCTCCGCCATTTGTTAAGAGAACGAAGGGGATTTTTTCCTTTTTAAGGAGCTGGAGCGATTCAGCCGCTCCGGGGAGCGGTCTCGATGAGCGGAGAAGAACACCATCTATGCTAGTCGTGCGTGTCAGCCCTGAGCTACAGCTCGAAAGGAGAATGAGCTCCGGCCTTACTCAAAAACAAAACCAAAATTGGGTATTGTAGGGTGAGTTGCGGCCGAGGAGCTGAATTGCCTTCGAATTGACGATGTCTGGCAGCTATAAAACGATCGACGAAGTGGTTGGTGGAGGGAGAAAAGTCGCATTGTTAGCCAAAAGGGGTTGTGGACTGCGGAGAGCTTTAGCTATGAAAAGCACTCGCAATTGAATATTTAACAAAGAATAGCCCCAGTCCCGTGGCCTAATAATAAAAAACCAGAAATAAAAGAAAGGCGTGCAGTTGGCGTGACTAGTTCATTATTTAAGTAACTACTAAATAAGAGTAAATAACTCAACTCAGCTCTGACTAAATATTTTGAGCCGCTGACGGCATCCCGAAACCAAAACGTTATTTATGGCCATGATTTCGGATCAATCATCAATCCGCACGCTTTGCTCGTCTCATCACCAGTCAACTAGTCAACCACGTTGAATATGTGACTACTATATTGTTTATTCCCTGTCTAATAATGTCTCAATCTGAAGGCCAAACCTCTTTATTTGTCCCTGTAGAGATCGTCCTTCACATCCTCTCATATCTTCAAGAGCAGCCCATCCGCCAGCACACTCTCTACTCATGCTGCTTGGTATCCCGAATATGGTACTCAGCTGCGCTCCCTTTACTCTACGAGAAGCCCTATATATCCGGGGCGAACTTCGATAACTTCGCTCGAGCGGTCTGTCCGTCCGTTCAAGCGTATGCCCCCAGAGGTGACCTTGGGCGATTTGTGCGCCGTCTGGATTTCTCGAACCTAATCCACAATCTCACCACTAGCCTAACGACGAGATTTCTAGGACGAGTTAAGGACAATGTTGAAATTTTTATTGCTCCAGCAAGCGGTTTTTCGTAAGTAACCAGCTCTTTTAAAAATATGCTTAAACTGCGCGCCGTTCACCGACATGTTGGGCCTTTGGAAGATGGGGGAGTCTCCCTTTCCATTATACCGGATACCTAATTACCAAGGCCAATATACAAGTTCTAATCTATTCATTTAGGACAATTAACCTCGGCGCTCTTTCCAAATGCACAAAACTTCGCTCCATAGATTTACTACATGTAATAAGAAAACTCGAATTCGAGGCGGTGAAAAAGGCCATCCAATATCTAGATAATCTCCGCCGTTTGCGATTATCTCGAAGCACAAGCATAAGTACGGCCGGAATTCACCTGCCCTGGCCACCAAATCTCAGAAAGCTTGAAATCAGCGGAAAACTTGATGCTGCCACCATGCACGCATTCGTCTGGCCGCCGAAAATCTCCAGCCTAACACTTGCGGGGAACGCCCTCAGAGAGCCAGACGTGATACCAGCAGTACTGGGCAACCCATATTTACGCACCCACTTGAAAAGCCTGAGAATTCCCTATGAAATACATCACACGCCGGAACATGCAGAACTGCTTCTTCACTGCATTCCGAACCTACTATATCTTTCGATCCAGGGAGATCTGGCCAAGCCCCGCTTCTTTCACACCCTCGCTTCATTCCCCCAGCCGCTACTGTTAGAAATCCTCGCCTTGGAACAATCCCAGGGATTCCCGGACTTTTCAAAGGAAGATTTTGTGGACGCACTAGATGAGGGCTTGAGAAACCTTCGATTGCTAGGCTTACACGAATCTCACCCATCGCGGCTAAGGAGGGTGTCGGATGATGAACTTGACGAGCTATTGCGGTACAGCGCCCGGAGGGCGGGGCATTCCATGAATGAAATTGAGAGTGGGGATCTCCCTGTTGGAGTTTATCATTTTAGTTGATCGCTGTTATATGGGCCGGACCCTCTGTGTGTATATGTAGATGTTCAGGTGTTTTGGCTACTGATTTCTTTTTCTTGCATTTCGAAAGCAATGACCCTTATGAAATGATCTATGCGTTTTCGGGAACTTTTAGATATTACACTTTATAGAAGGAGATTATCCATATGGAATGGACAACAAGAAAATAAATGCTCTACGTTAATCTTTGACTGTCGCACTAGCTTTGAGAAAAGTTCATGATTACGGCTATTAAAAGGAAGATCAATAAAGAGAGTAAAAAAAAAATAATCGAATGCGCAAACTAGAAATAGGTAGTAAGAGTAGCCAGAAGCGAGAAACGCATGAAGGGAGAAATATAACGTGCTCAATTCGAAGAAGACTTGTATGAGCATGGAAGGAGAACAATATGTGATATGTACGACTTCTTCCACAAACACTGTACTTAATATTTAAAGCTTTGGCAAACCCTCACAAAGAGAAAGCATGCGTCGGACACCCCGTCATTGTCAGGGAAAAAAGAGAGGGCGGGAAGAGAGAGAGGGGGAGTGGTTAGTTAGTTAACTAGTTAATTAGTTAACTAGCTAACTTAGAGAGGATTATTGATTATCTAATCGACAGGCGCTATTTTTCAAAGGCAAAAGAAAATAGTAGGTTCGAATTATGCGACAGATGCGACGACTGTCGCAGCAACGCCTTCTTCTTCGGCACGAACGGTTACTTTAGTCGTCACACCAGATTTAGCCGAATATGCCATTCTCACCAAAGCCGCCACTCTACCACCCGAAACAGTCTTGCCATACAACTTCAGTGAGTGTGTGGTATTGTTGAGCACGACATCTGAGCCTTCGAGTGGCTGAAGTGACAGCGTTGCAACGAGTTGCTCGGTTGCATCTATGTGTAGGAGAGAGCAAGCAGTTAATAAAAATAACCTTTGAAAGGGTGAATGCACCAAAAAGGCAAAAGAAAATATCCACATGAGGATGCGTAACTTACCTTCAATGCCCTTCACGTTAGAAAGTTGGAGAGTTTCGGTAGCTTCTTCACCGTTGGCGCCAGTTTGCTCCCAGACGTGGTCGAAGCTGCCAGCAAAAGCTGGAATGACATAGTCACTACCAGTGAGATCCAAATCCTCAACCTGATATTCATCCTCGTAGCCAGTCTCTTCTGGATCGCCAGTGGTAGGGTCGATTTCTTTGCTGGTGAACTTCAAGTTGTTCGTAAACGATGTTACAGGGAAATCATGTTCGCCTCCAAGTTTCTTAAAGGCAACATAAACTATTCCGGGCTCATTCGTCATAAGCTTCGGCGCTGGGACGATGAAATCTTCTTCCAATGATTCATCGTCGTCCTCCGGAGAAGCCACAACTGAAACATCTTCAAGTAACGTGTCTGGCAATGTGTTTTTGATATCATACTGCAAGACGATATGCTCCTTAAAGATATGTTTAACTGCGCTGACGACATACTCCGTTTCGCTCTCGGTCAGCTCAACAGGAACAGATGATTTGAGAAGCGTTCCATAAGCCTTGAGCTCTGGTATTCGGACGAGTTGCTGGGCATATTTTTGAGTCGAAGCAGCCGCGGCAGCAACTCCGTCGGCTCCAGCAGTTGGTTTGGCCTTTGACGGAGTCATAGACGGGGCTTTAAGAGTTGGTATCGCAGTCGTAAGCTTCTTGGTTCGCTCTTCAGCAAGGGCTTGCTCTTGTGATACAATGGGAATGGTGTTGACGTCGAACGCCGTCGCGAAAGTCTCTTTGTCTGTCGCAGTCACATACATGACTAGCTGATGTTCAAAGGTGGACAAGGAAAACATCGAATCTGAGAGTCATTAGTTTAGGCACGTCTATCAAAATTTTCGCACGCAGCCATGGAGGCCTACCGGCTTTAACAAATCTTTCCGCCAGCTCATCCTCCTCTTTCATCAGTCGTAGGTTAAGCACCGCACGATCACGGACTTCATCATCGGTGTCATCCAAGCATCGGGTCAAAAGAACATTTACACTTCTTTTAAGTTCTGGGTCCTTTTGACCAACGCCAAATTTGGCCAATGCTGTCACAGCAGCAGCACGAATAACAGCATTTTCCAGAACAACTCTATTATAGATATACCGGATGTACTTCGTTGGTTGTGAAGTCTTGGGTCCCTCAACACCCAGGAGATGTAATATTCTGACTGCGAGCTTGGTGAATTCGCAATCCTCAATGAATTCACACAGATGTGCGAGCGCTAGATCACGTCAGTTTATAGCAACCTTAAAACGAACAAGATAAACTTACCCTCTTCTTTGCTTCCAGGGACAAATTTGATAAGGTCAAACATGCTCTCGACTACGCTTCTCTTAAATTCATAGCCACCTTCATCCCTGAGTATACCGCTGAGGAACGTAAGCATACCGGCCTGCTTGTTAGGAAACTTAAGGCAGAGCGTTCTGATAGCCTCAACAATAGTGATTTTGAATTCGTCAGTAGTATCGGCCATAAATCCAGAAATCTGGGTCATGAGACGGTCAACGCTAGCTTCATTTCCGGTTTTGAGAAGAGTGGTGATTGCAAACGTCGCAATGGATCGGTTACTGTTGGAAATCAAGGCCTCAATATCTTGGTTGCATGGATTCACAACGTTGGGCTTGAAGGAGGCCAGGCTGTGCAAGGTTCTGATTGCGGCAAACTTGGTGATAGGACGAGGAGAGGAAAGGAACAGCTGGAGGACATGAACCGCTTGGGATGCTTCCGCATCTGTGACGTCCCTCATTTGACATATTGCTCGGGCAGCCTCGAAATTTACCATCTCATGCTTGTGTCGGAGCCAACCGTCGAGCATCTGCATCATCGGTTTTCGAAGGCTCTGGTCCTCGTCCGCCAATTTGGCAGCCAGCCTGACAAGTAGCACAAGCGCAGCAGGGCTCTTGACTGCACCCGCCGCACCGTACTGCTGAACCATCTTTACCAGAGCCATTCTGTCGTGAGCCCGCATTTGATAGAGAAGACCAATTGCATGGTACTGGGTCATGTAGTTGGTTTGTGAGATAGAATGGGCTTGTCCGCTTGTTGTGAAGCCGAGGAAACTGGTGGACTGTTTAGCAGATGACGCAGCCTCCTGGGTTTCGCTTTGCCATCTTCGAACGACATCTCGGGCGACGGGGAGAAGATGATATGAGGAAACAAGAGCAGCTGACGAAACTGAAGGTGTTTTGTCGACAATCGCGGTTTTTATCAGACGTTCAATCGCTTGAACCGTTGTAGCCTTTGATACTCAGTATATACACGAAAAATTTCAATTTTAAGGGGGCGGATCGTACATCTATTATGCGGCACAAGGCTCGAATGGCATTAGCCCGATAGAGGACATCGCTTCCAACGGAGGTATCTTTCATAATGATGGATGTAGACATAATAACATCATCTGCGGTACCGGCCAACTCCTTTAGAATTAGATATACCATTTGCCGTAGGGAGGGATCCTTATTCTGGAAGAGTTTCGAGATGCCAAAGAACAACGTCGTGGCCTCGTTCGTCGGGAACTTCTCCCCCGTGAAGAGCAAGACGGCGATTTTGGTAAGAAGAGTCCGACATCTTCGCGGGGATATGGGCGAGGAATTGAATAATCGTGCTATTCCCAAGGTCAGTCTTAGCCGATCATGCTCCAAGTCCGTTCTGCATGCTATCTATCACCTACCATCTTGGAAAACAGAAGTTCTATCCAACTTCATCATTATCTGGTCGGCATCTTCGTCTTTCTTAGCGTAACCCATGTTGGCAATGCGGAATGTAGATTGGGCGTAGGCAATGATTCCCGGAACTAGAAGTGTCAGGAGCTGAACGCCGGGTCGGGTTGTTAGGAGTGGTGAGGGCGATAAGTGCGAAGGGCGGAGTTGACTACCGAGCCTTCATAATTTGCCAAAGAAGCAGATAGCAATCAATCAAGGGAGATCTTGCGCCAGCGGAGGATTGGAGATAGCTGATCGCGGCGTGTCGGGCAGAGTCTAGATATACTGTTGTTGCAAGGACATTCAGATACACGTTGCCTCTGGCTTGTGTCTGGAAAGGGTGCAGTGTGGGACGGGCAGCCACAGTGGCTGAGCAAACAGTGCAAACAGCGTATTGCTACCGCCTTGCATCATCATCTAACATACGAAAGTATCCAGCAACATCATTGATTCAGCTACAGACAACATGGATATGCCAGTTAATGTTCCCGTTGATAACCCTAATGCTGACACGGAATGGTCCGTATTAATACCCTTTCCGCTGCCACCGCTCTCCTGCTAGGCTGCTAACTATCCACAGGAACGACATCCTCCGTAAACATGGTATAATTCCCGAGAAACCCCCCTCCCCCACCCCGATTATAGAAGAGGCGATTCTGGAAGCCGCACATCGAGAACACGAAAATCGACTCGAGAATAAAACATTAGATGAGCTTGATGCGCTCGAAGATGAGGAAGAAGCCGAATTCCTTGAAAGATACCGGTTCGCAGACCCCGCGCCTACGGAAACATAGTTGTCTTCATTTATATATAGGTGTGTTGGCGTATTAGCCATTGGCATCGTCACTAAGGGATTGGTAATTCAGCAAGCAGCGCTTTGAAGAGATTTCTCGCCTCCAAAAATCAAATATTCACAACCAAGTCTACCCGATCCAGAAACCAGACTACGCGAAGGACGTCACCGAAGCGTCGTCGAAATATTTCGTTCTCGTCAACCTCACCTCCTCGAGCGTTAATAATATCGAGTCGCAATTACTCGCAGAGCTATGGCGCCAACTCGCGATGAAATATGGAGATATAAAGTTCTGCCAGATACGCGCGGACATGTGTATAGAAGGATACCCAGACAGGAACACTCCGACGATACTTGCCTATAAGGATGGAGACATCAAAAGGCAAATAGTTACACTTAGGGAACTCAGAGGGCCGAAAACTACTCTTGGGGGTAAATACTCTATATTTTTGTTCACCCGCAATGACCCCAAGATTTGATATGGGAAATGCTAACATGTACAATTCAACTGTAGATCTTGAACAGCTCCTTGTATCTTTAGGAGCTATCAATGAAAATGACAGCCGCCTGAGAAAGGACCCTACTCCCAAATCAGTCGATGCCGATGAAGAATATCTTGATGACTGGGATTGAAATCAATGGGAAAAATAAATCACGACAAAAGCGACGTACTTATTTTCGTTTCCTCGGATTCTTCAACCCGTTTTTTAAACCCCCAGGGAAGGGAATATCTGTTTGAAGTTACCTCTATGATGATTTGTCCTTTTCATCTTCTCAATATTTTCCATATTTGTGGTTCTAAGCTTCTGATTTTTTGGTCAGAAATTCATCAGTTTTGATGGCAGGACATGTTATTCTTTGTTGTGGTCTACTCTGCCTGCAAAAGAAAACCGCGCCACAACTGTCCATTGGATAAATTGAGAGAAATGCCTAGGTTCGTTTCATCTCATTACCTATGTAAACTATTTGGTTCACTAGGTATCTACAACATTGTGTTTGAAAGGAAACAAACATATATATACACCCCTCACGCCTTGATTGATCGATCTGTGTTGTCCTCTTTCCTCGCCCTCTCCTTCATCCTAATTTTCATGTAGTTGTCGATAAACAGTTTCCTTCATTCAAAACAGAGTTCAGGGTATGCGTACTGCCCCTAGGTTAAAAAGTCTATTCAGTAGTTGACAAGGTTCGAGTCACACAATGTGCTTATTCCGATATTGATAGGATAGCTATAATATATATCTAAAATATATCTAAAGGATAATTATGTACTCTTTTTTATGCAAAATGCCAAGCTGAAACAAGGTAATGTATTAGATATCAAGGAGAAAGACATGCAGCAGGTTGAACTCCAGGCTAAAAACGATCAAACCCAAGATAATTAAAAATGTGGAGGTTAATTTCAGGATATATCTCCACTTGTCGAAGATAACAAGGGACAACAATTTCGACCAACAGAGGCATGGGTGGGATATGCTGTGTAAGCAATTAATTGGTATTCAGTCAAAGAAATTCCAATAATAAGGGATATATGTATATTAAACGTAACCACAATGTTTGCCTTCAACGGAGATAAATACAGGGGAACATAGTTGTATTGAACGGATCGTTGCTGGTATGGCTGAGAACAAATGTGGAGAAAGTGTTGCGAAGGGGATGCTAAGGACATTGGGTAAAATCTAAATGAGTTCATCGCTCCCTGCGGCCGCACTCTCCTCAATAACCTGAAGCACATGTGCTTCATCGACAACAAGACCTTTGCCATCAGGCAGGGTGTGGCTCTTTAACCTGTCGTATATGTCCTGGATGTCGAGCTTCACACCCCGGCTTGACAAATGACGCACGATCAAATCCCACGTAGCGGATGCGTCTAGCAGTTTCTGCCCCGGCTTCCCGTTACCACTCAAAGTGCGAGAGGCAAGTTCTTTCTTATTTCCACTGCATGAAGAATAATCAGATAAATTTCTCAGTAGGCCGGTTGGCGTGGGTACCCGGTTAGGCCCATAGTCGGCAATCGATCCCTGCGCGTTGCTGTTCGATGTAGCTCGAAGAATTTCATTCTCCGTCGCAACTTTTTCTATTTGCCTTTTTAAACTTCTGTGGTCTTCCATGAGTGAGGAATAGTTGCTTTTATATTGATTCAATTCCTGTTCGAGGTCACGAACACGGCGTTCTTTTCGTTCGCGAAACGCGCGTTGGCTATTGCCAGTGCAGTCAGTATTGAGCAATAAAGTGCAAAGAACGCTAGTATAGATAACTGATATGGATATAAGAAAGTTATTGCATACGCAGCTCTGTTTTGTTCCTTACGCCTACTTTGAGCCGGTGTCAACGTTTCCTTCTCTTCGCTACTACCCCTTGGTAGGGTCTTGTCGGACGGAAAGTCCTCCATTCCATTCTCAAGAGTAATTCGTGCAATTCCGCCACCATCGCTAACTTGGGAATCAGTTACATGTTTCCCATAATGGCCCGGCGAAGGCAGTGAATGCACTCCCATGAGAGTAGAAGAGTCAAAATGAAGCTGGGTATCAAATGGTTGGAAACGGGGATCATAATGGTCCTAGTATCAGCGTCAGTAAATACGCAATAGCGGATACTGAGACCTCTTTATGGAGGTGAAGCTCGACTTACACCACCGGGCCGCTGATGAAATTGGCTCTGCTGAGCGACTTCGGTCTGCTGTGGATGTGGTATTTGATACGGCGAGTATTGCTGCTGAAACGGTGGCTGGTAGTATGTATAGTCCATTTATGAGACCAAGCCCAACAGGGGACAGACAATATTCGCGGATTTTGTGTGCAATAAAAGCCCCTTGCGAAAGGAGGGCCAGATGAGGGCCTTGGATTGAGCGTAAAAAGAGGGGTTCAACTCTGTGTCGGGATACGAAACCCAGGAACTGTCAGAAACAAACAGGTCGGGCCAAAGCAACATTAATCACAACACTGACAGATGGTACTAGAGAAGAGAGCTTGAGGTTCCTCTGATAGTTATATTTGAGCCATGAGGGGCTCTGGCGTAGGGCAATCGGCCAAATAAATGGCCCCGTCGAAGCTGTAAAATAGTGCCCTAGTAACCCTCGATGGAGACTAGACGCCCCTTCAGCCCAACGGCTTAGCCCCTTCACCGGCAATTAATCACCATGAGCCAGCCCGGCCTTAATGGAACGTCGCATTACTCCTGATGGAAATGGAGAGACGCAAGCTGGAGCCGAACCAAGTCATGGCATTCTCGTCCACCGGCATCAGGCGGATAACTGATGCAATGGCGGATTTATCGGTGAGTAGCAAGTGCTCGATGATCGAACAGATGGCAGCCAGTCCAAGGCAAAAGAAGTCTTCTATGCGGGATCGTCTCTCTTAACTTACGCCCTAGAACGGGCTAGTCAGATTGGGCGTCCGTAGTCCCAAGCAAGGGTTTAACTAACCTGATGGTCTGTTGCGCGTTTCGCAACGTCAAGGTTCAACTCTATCTTGTTGGCCGGTCCGTCGCCTTAAAGTTGTTCTCGTACGGCCGTATGAGATCACCTATTTTTATCTATATAAGGTTTGGAAGATATAGATTTCCCCCCTCTGGATTAGCGCGAGCATATCAATGCTATATCCTCACCTCTTCCTCGCCTCTTCCCCACCCTCCTCCTCACCCTTGCCTGCCTCACTCTCACCATCTTTGAGCAACTAACAAAGTTGGTGTATCTGTATTTTCCCAATGAGAATTGTCAAAGTGAGGGGAAGTTATGCAAGAGACACTGAGCTTATAAGGCATGATGCAAGCCATCACAGCAGAAGGGATTTTGCCCTCTTGTTCAGTTGTTCAGAAATCAACAGGAACAGCTATGGCCAACAACCAGACTCTCAATTAAATACCTGATGCTGGCACCTCCGGACATCCCTACAGAGAATACGAACAAAATATGCTCATATTATGCAGCATTATGGGAATGTGCTTCAGCAAACACAGATTGAGAGTGAATCAATGCCAAATAGCTCTGTATCAGCTATAAAGACTGAACCGATGTTCGCCTTCCGTTTCAACATATATATTCATAATCAATTGCATCATGTGAGTGGGTTTCCAGCATCTCACATCTCAGCTCTCAAATCTGCATCTTACTCCTATGACAATCAATATAGGAGATGCAGCAGGTATCATTGATCAGACATTGCATTTTTCCTGACAGGCAGCCTACTGGGTACTTTGCCAAACCACTGTCTCAGTAACCTAAAAGTGTCATGGGAAATAGCATTGAATGAGGCAAAACAAAGGGAATTTTACCAGGTTTTGTCACACATCAACTATTACATGAAACAAAATAACACTCAGTATGATTTTGTCTTGACAGATACTGAATTGATACTCATTAAGCAGCTTGATGGAAATGGCCGACTCCAGCTTGCACAGTCTATGCAATGGGGAAAAAAAGAACCTGAACAGTTGGCTATTCTTCTAGGACTGTGGTATTCTGAGATGTATGAGTGCGGCAAATAATGACTGGCAGCTCCTATAATTTCACCCCTTTTTCAGGTGGATCTATGTGCAGGATAACAAGTCATGGTTCTAGTAGTTTTTGAAATTTGGGGGCAGGCCATCCCTTTGATTCTCTTCCTGTGGAGCTTGTCAGCCTTTCTGAAATTGTCAGAAGGAAGGGTGCGTTATTTGGGAGAACAAACAAGCAGTTTTCATTAGAGTAAACAATTGCAACATCAAAATCTATTCAAACAACCCTTTCAGGATCACCAGGAACAATCAAAACATTCTTTGAATAAGGATCATTATGCAGAATCAAAGCCAAATGAATCTGTTGAATGCTAATATTGACCTTCTCAAAACACTTCTTGCTATAAGTGTTGGAGTTCATTGGAAGAGGATTTGGAAGGTACTTAATCAGAATTGCCTGGGAAAATTAATGTCGTGTTTATAGCAATCATATAGCAATAGAAACTGTGGTACATACAAAGCCATCATCACATATTTTTAACCGCTTCAGGCTGCAATATGCTCTGATTTGACAGTGAGCGCGATTCAAATCGCGAAGGCTGTCGCTGGTGTATTCAGGATCTTCATTGTTGTGAAGACTGTGTCTGCATTGTTAGCAAGTAGAAAAGTTGAAATGCACCCTTGCTGAAAGCACATACAACTTTCAAAGCCCATGGCTTGTCAAAATAGTTGACATGGAATATTCATGATACCTCTGACTTCTTAAGGACTGCAATGAGCTCCATCTCTGCAAAATTGATGTCAATCTTAAGGTTTTCATCAAATCCAGTCTCCTCGCGGTAAATGGTTTTGGAGGTTAAATTGATGAACATGGTTTCAAAGTTTAGTCTTCTTGGACCATCGCAGTGCTGCCGTTGCGAATCATGTAGTTTATTCAGCTGTCAGGGGCTAGAAATGAGGATGCCAGGCACTATCCATTCACTAAAATTTGCCACGACAAAACTGTCAGCCCCGAGCTCTTTCCTCAACTGCCGAAGGACACTATTAATAGGTCAAGTTTTGGATGCCCTATCTATGCATGTTCCAGCGGTGATTACCACTGAATAATTTCTCGCATTCTAGGGTTTCAAGCTCTTTAAATTAACATCCAAGTGCTCTGTAGATCTTGAAGCTGTCCCATCTTCTTGGCGCGAAGTTATTTGGTTGAAACTTTCTGCCTCATCTCTCTAAACTTTCATTGGGCCTTCTGTCAGCTCAGCTAGGGCCTGCAGCTCCGCTGGTTTACCGGAGTGAGTTTGGCCAAGGGGAGGTGATTTGATGAAGTCTTTTCTTTTTTCCCCCAAGCCTAGTTAGTGCTTGCTCTAAAATTTGCAAGGAAAGTCGGCCTTGGGGCTGAGGTTGGTGGGAAATAGTTCTCATCTGCATATTCCCCCATGCGAAACAACAGCGCTGTCTTGTTGAACTTAATCACGGTGAATCAAAGCCGAGATATGAATACCAGGTGAACGGGACGAAGGAATCCAGAAGGTGCAGTGAAAGTGTTTCTCAATGCCTAGTGGCTGTACAGGAGTTGAACCCTATTAACATCTCAATAGGCAGACTTGTGGACGTCATTGATATCCGTCCTCCACAAAATGACGTACACTCCCTAGGAGCAATAGTCAAGGAAACACTATGGATGACTACAGGTAGTGCAGCTCGTACTTCTTGAGTTGTCCCATGTTTGAGATGTTCATAGCTAGCTTGCCTGCAACGTGCAATGATGTCAGTCCAATGGTACGCTGTCTCTTGCCAGCTATTGTGGTGCATGAGTTGCCCCACCCAACTTCTTTTTTTCAAATTTTAGCACGGTGAAAGCTGAATGCAACCATATTACTGCCAGGGCGAATCGTCGGCTCTGCGCCTGTTGGATGAAAAAAGATAAACTAGTTGTCTGTTTAGCGCGGCTAGGGGAAACGCGCTACTTGCCAGCCCCCTGCGACCTTTAGTCAGCGCACTCCGAAACTCCGCGGGTTGGAAAGAAGAGGAAATAATAACACTGCAACTTGAACTCCAGCAAATTGCCAACTGAGAGGCCGCTAAAAATGACCACGAAATGTGCAGCTTCGTGGATGTGCTTGTGGCGTTGATGCGTGTGGACCAGGCAAGTCAACCACTCAGGATAACTTCGTCGGGCTCAGTGAACCGATGGCGGCACTGCCACTGCACATCATCATACTACTCCATCACTGCGGAAAGCGAAAAGCTTTTGGTACTCATTACCAACCCTCCCCATTGCAAGCATAACTATAGGACCTGTGCTGGTTTACCTGATGGCTGGTATACGACCCTATCGGATAGTTATGAGCCTTGGTTGATGGGCTGGTGGAAAGGACTAGACAACAAAGCTCAAATATCCATGACCCTGTCAAAAATGAACAATTGCGATAATCGCACCTTCACTTCTTTCACCAACTACATGCACATGTACCTGTAGTTGGTTTTTGGTAGGGCGAAATCGCAATTAAGCCTGAGTCCAGAAGAGAAATGCAACCACATATCTTAAGCAGCATCCAGTGCCACAAAGACATAATAACATACTCAATTGATCATGAATGGAGAAGTCTGTTTGAGAACTAGCTCCGGTTTTATGAATTGTTCACCGCTATAATCACTAATTAGATTCTAGGAAAGCAGTTTTCGGCTCATAATACTTGTGCTAACATACGTACATTTTGCAACTACATGCAGCAAATATATAAATATATATATATATATATACATATACATATATACGCAGAGGTATATGCGCACTCTACGCTGATGATGGTGCGCTGCACAGTGCTGCAGCATACCTTACAATACGAACAATGAACTCAACTTTATTGCCTAGATTTACTTATATGATGCCGTTGCAGTTGAACTTCAGTGACACTAGCAACGCTGCTGAACAACAGCCGAAGATAACTTTTCGACCGAAATTTTCTGAAGATTTGAGAAGGGCAGCTAGTAACTCTGCTTTCCCGGAGATCTACAGAATGTGATAGGATGCGGGGAGTCGCATGTTCCATGGTTATACCTGCGGTGGGTTAAATTGGCATGCATGCATGCGAAAGAAATGAAAGTCAAAGGAAAGGGGAAACGTTGTGGGTGTTAGTTTCCCAACCAGAAGATAATATGAATGCCGGTGCGGCGATTCTGGTAACAGCAACTGCTTCGAAAACAGAATACATCGTTGATTTGTTGGTTCGACTTCTTGGTGTTTTCTGCGTTCCACTGCTGTATATGAATCGATGGCTTGGCTTCTTAAATGATACTGCAGCCCTTTGTCATTGCGGTGCACTCGAAAGAGACATACTGGCGTGCCAAGGTGTTGTCTGGAGGAAGTCTTCGGTAATATTGGCTGGGCTTGCAACAATCGGTTGACCACCCTGAGCACAAGAACTGGACTGGTTCATATAATTTCGCGCATCGAGATGCGCCGTGGGCAATCTTTGAGAGCCAAGTGGTTCGTTTTCACCGCGCACCTGTTATTTTATAGCTGTATGCAGGCTGCATGTTGAAGCTCCCATTTCATCGTTTCGTGCCAAACCTCTTTTTTCTCGCCGTCTTGCCCCCTTCCCCCCTCTGAGTATATCATATAAAAATCTCCCTATTTCTCCTTTGTATAGTCAATTCTCTCTCTATTTCATCCACTTCTCGTCCACAATTCTGCCACACAAAATCACCTCTATCAGTTTCAACTTTTCAGTCACCCCCATCCCAACGATTACCCAAACTGCACGATTACAAAATGCGCCTCCTCGTCCTCGCAAGCATCGCTGCTTTCGTTTCAATGGCCGCCGGCGAGGCCTGCTCGCCACCAGGCAAATATTGGTGTGCAATCGGGCCTCATGGTACTCTCGTTGTTTATACCTGCTCCGCTTATTTGGAAAAGGTACTATCCGCAGATTGTGGAGGGATGTGTTGTAGAAATCTAGGCAATGCGGCCTATTGCTGTTAAGAAGTGGAATAAAATTTCAGGGAAGGGGTCAGTTTTTTTCAGTGGTACGTATTCCGCCTGAAGAGATGAGATATATATATGTATTCTTCTTGTTGTGGAATAAAAGGCATAGTGGCTAATAGATACTACAGAGCTACAGAGGAGTTGAATATGTGGTTGGAGAACGTCGAGACGGGACAAGCGCGCCTGTATGGGTCAGATGAAACTGTCATTCTACTTGATGTATAAGTTATATAAAAGTCCTAGTATGGAGGCGATTGATATTTTCCTGCCTAGTATGCTACCAAAGCTAGATACAAAAGCCGAAGAATACTTTTGCAATACCACTATTGTCCTACCCGGCCATCATAACACTCCAAAATGGGTTCATTCTCAGCGTGTGACTTTTCGCGTTTTGTGATCTGTCCTCTTACCTAGGCCTCGCTGGCATGAAACTAGATAAATTTAAATTTTTTGTCCTATCTCTCAGCTCAGGCCTATACGGATTGATTTTAGGGTTTAGCTAGGTCATGCGGTGATATTGAAAGGCCTACCTGCCTACATTATGAGTTAAATCCTCCACAGCCTTCGCCCAATATTAACAGGATATGGATACTCTAGGATTGACGAAGCTGGATTGGAACGAGTTAGGGAGTAGCCCGCGTTGAATATCATTTGAATAAGTAATTGAATAAAACCAAATCTATCTATTTCTATGGCATCAAGCTCTGTTCTAATCGTCAATCGTGCAAAATAGCCTCAAGTCGTCACAAAAACACCTCTATCCAAAAATCCAATATCGTGTATATTAACTACTTTGGTAAATTCCGTAACCCTGCAAGACCTTGCATGTTGAAGTGAGGAAACGAAAAAGAGGAAAACCGAGGAAATAAGAAAAATCGCAAACTCTCTATAACATATACTTGAAAGTTGGCGCCCGATCTCCCATTTTACTCAGCTCCTCGGGCGTATAGTTGTGCTTGAGCGCTAGCGCTTCCCTCTTCTTGTTGATTCTCTGGTAGGCAACTCGGAGGACAATGACGGCGAGGAGGCCGAAAACTGCGAATCCAAGCTCTACACCGTGGCCAAGATAATATGTTGGGGCGTCTTGAGCTCGGTAGAAGTTGGAAGCCATTGCTATAGTGGAAAAACAACTTAAGTTAGCAGATCTGTGCGGATTGTATTTTTTGTCTTTGCTCATCCCCTGTGTTTCTTTCCCTGCGCTACGTACCTCCAGCAAAGTTTCCAATACCAATCTGTATCGCCATACCAGACGCTCGTTTATAGTCACCAGCCAAGTTGTTGCTCAACCATGTTACAGTTCCAGGAAGAGCGGGATATATTCCTGGAGTATCATCGATTGTTAGCAACCCGCCAAACATAATCACCCTAGAAGCAGGGTAGATAGGGGTTCCGAATCGAGAAAAGCTCACCCGATACGAGCACAAATGTCCCGAAATATACAACACCCGGGACACCTCTTCCTGAAGCAGCAATAACTACTATGTAACCCGCAGCAATGCATAGCAAGTGGAAGAAAAGCAAGCGTGAGCGTTGACCCTGTCTATCAGACAGCCACGCGGATAGAACAGCGATTAATGCAGCGACGATGTAGATGGGGATCTAACGGAATAACATCAGCTCTTTCTTCAACACGATGAACAAAATTTCAGTGACAATAAGAGCTTACAGTCAGAAGCTGCGCCGTTGAGGAAGTATAACCCAAGTCCTTAATGATTGTCGGCAGGAAGAAGGAAATGCCGTACAGTGGGCACACGATTCCGTACCAGGCTAATTAATGGTTAATTAGTTATTGGAAGATAAATAGAGGCGTGTATTGGAAATTCGATAGCCTTACTGATTAGGGCAAGGTACACTTGCCAATCCAACAAGGCATCTTTGACATATTTCCATTGGAATTTTCCCTTGTCCACGGCGTTATCAGAATACTGATACCGCAACCTATGGATAACCCAGTCTCTTTCCTCCTCAGTTAAAAATTTGGCGGTTTCTGGATAGTCGTGAATGGCGAAGAAGGCTAAAACAGCGACGACTACTGTGAGAATGCCTTCTAGGATGAAAATCCACCTCCAGCCTTCTAGTCCAGCAATACCATCCATTTTCTTTGACAAAGTTAATAAAATAAATGGCTAATGGAATGCGCATACAGCAGGGCATGAACTTACGGCAATTGCGAAAGCTAGCAAGCCAGAGAACGCGCCAGCTACGCTAGCCGCGCTGAAGAATAAAGCTTGCCGGAGCTGAGCTTCATGTCGACAATACCATTTCGTAATGTAAAAAGCGACGCCCGGGTAAAGACCAGCTTCTATAAAACGAGGCGGCTTAGCATGGAGATAGAGAGTAAGAAGACCAAGTGGAAGGGAGAGGGTTCATCGTACCAGCAAGACCGAGGAATATGCGAGCGATTAGAAGGTCAGTATAGTTGTGAACAATTCCCATCAGGGTCTATCGGTTTAGATTAGTACGCATACTCACACCAGAGAAACGTGGAGAAGAAATTGGACATCTAAGGGGTCACATTTACGAACCATTACAAGCCCCCACGCGACCATAATCAATGGAAACCAAATCGAGGGCCGCATCTTGCTCAAAACAAGATTTGACGGAAGCTCAAAGAACGCATAAGGGAAAAAGAAGACCGTCACTGAAAGTACGAAGCTATCATGCTTAGTTTTAAGGCCCAATATCCACACAAATGAAGAAAAAAAGGGGCAGGAGGGTAAGTTTACGGCACCAGTTGTACTGTGAACCAGACAAACCAAGATCCGCCTCCAATCCCTCGATCTTTGCGTTGCCAATATTGCCCCGGTCAAGGAAAGCAAGTAAATAAAGAAGCGACATGATTGGAATTAACCGGAGGTCCATTTTCCGTAAAACCTTCTTCTCATCGATATGGCTGAAGTCTGGAAGGCCGGCAGCGCCCTCCGCCTCAGAGAGGGACTTCTTTTCGTCAATCATGTTGGAGGATTGCTCAAAGCAGGCAAAAAGGTAATTTGAAAACTGTTTTGCGGGCGACAACGCTGAACATCCAGGCCACCCCACGTTATATAGGTAAACCGCCATAGATTCTAGATCAGATTTTGTCAAGCTCGAGTACCCCGTGGGGTTCCCTAGAGCAAAACATACGGTGGGGGGGTTCACAGGGGCAAGTGGCAACCGAGGCCCTGCTGTTGCCCGTCGCTTTATTGACTCGAATCGCACTCCAACATGGTCGTACAATGTGTGATCACGCAACAGCTATCTCCCTCCGGCTCGCGACTTCAACTCACAACAAGCTCACCACTTCACAAGCACCCTCCAGCCTGGTTGCTCCTCTGCCCCATGCCACTTAAGGTTTGATATGGTGGAGATAAGCTCATTTAGCGCCTTGGCAGCCCAGCAGTTGGGGCTTAAATCATCCAAATGCTGGAGTTGTAACCTTGTAACTTTGTAACTTGTGGTGGGGCTGGGATGAGCCCATCTTTTGGAAGGGGAAATAATCATCTAAGTTGGAAGTAGGTAGTCCTCAAGCAGCTAGGGAAAGATGTTGCTCGCGCAGTGATACAGCAGGAAACTAGTTAAAAGCAGAGCAGTCGGTTCTGCGATTTTTCGTGTGGGCGGTGAGATGAGGATGAGAACCAGGAGATGACATTTCTTCTGCAGCTCTCTCCCCGTAATCGTTTGCCGTCCAAAGTCGGGTTAGAATAACTAAGCTAGACAGATTTTCGCCTGGGCTGGGATTAAGCTCAACCGCAGCCAGCATACGGGGGCTGCTGGGGACGAAAGGGATTCCATTATTGGCCAGGAGCACCGCCAATTAGGCCAAATCCATGGAGTTTCGGCGCTTCACACATCCAGTTTTGACGTTTTTTCTCCCGAAAGTTGCTCCCTCTCTGTCTCAATGTCTATAAAATACGATTGCAAAGCATACCGCAGCTGAGTTCATACAATCCCACTGGTCATGGAAAAGTTTCCAGAACCATAATTGTTGTTGGGGTCGAAACCGAAAGCGCCGATGATTGATTTTCCCGGGGTTTCCTCCTGCCTCCTGGTGATGCAGACTATTGAGGGAATCCCCAGAACGTGCTCAGTGCGGCGGAATCTAGAGCTCCACTCCGCGGTGACTTCACCAACGCGGGTCCGTAACCCCTAGCAATAAACCTTGCGAAATAACATATCATGTTGACTAGCAGCAGGGGACATGACGGAAATTGACTTAAGGGCAATTGCCATCGTTCTGTACGTAGCAATAACCGGGCGCTTATCGCAAAAGGGGTTGATTCATCTTGCATGCGTGGTTCACAATGTTGCCGTATGATCCCACTTGCTGGATTTTAGCATGTGTATGAAGCAGAACCGGTGAATCAGATGGTTAGGTGGCGTGTCTGAACACCGTGGTTTCCCTTGTGCTTGTCATTCCCGCGGTGAGTCTCAGACATGAATAGTAGTCGAATGGACGGATCTCAGCTGCGGATCTCCAGGGTAGTTGAACTAGTTACTCCGTGTTTGAGGACACCCAGGTGGAGTCTGTGGGGTTTGCTGGTCAAACGTAGAAACTTTCTCGAATATGCGTCAAGATAGCTTTTAGTGCGCACATCCCCGTAGGAATCGGAATGGAGCGAAGGTAAACCGGTGGGTTCACCTTCTGGATCTTTCCAACCATGCTCAACATAGGGTTAGAACTATCACGCAAGGCTTTCTGGTAAAGCATTGCTGACTGGGCCGTGAATCAACGTTGAAGCAATGCCTGGAGCACCGTGAACCCGGAGACAAAAACTAACCTCATCCTTCATGGATCACTCAGGCAATTATAGAGCTTGCGGCAGAGAAAATAATAACCACCTCAGAGAAATAAATAAAAACCTTCCGTAGTAGATGATAACCCGAATATGTATTGTGCTATCTGGCAATAGCCTCATTGGATGATGTGTCTCTCCTTTGGACCGCAATTTGCCCATGGAAATATTGTGATATATATAAAGCCTCAAGGTGCCCAACGTTGGAAATTTCAAATATTCGTAAGCCATAGAAATAACTAGTCAACTAGTTACCAATATCACCAATATTAGCAAAGTCCAACAGACTTTGTTTTGTGTGAGTTAAATGAGATCACCATGGTATGTTACAATATATGAATATTTCTTTCTTTTTACAGCCTGAAGTAGATGTAATAGTTAGTCCAGGCAGCAAAATATTACGTTTTCCGATTCCTGGTCCATGGAAGTTCAAGCCGTCATCATACCCTGGGTTGAAGTTTGTTAAATATATAGGCTGGGGAGGAAGCGGCATCATCAATCACAATTGCTAAAATCCAACGTTAGAGTGTTAGTTCCGCTTTCTATGATTTTGTACTTCATGAGATTAATTCTTCCCAAACCCCAAAGGATATTGGCAGATCTAACTTATACCTTTACTACGGCTCCTTATCCTTCATCACTATAGTTCACGTTACTCAGTAAGTTCCTGATCATTATTTTGCAGCTTAGACCATTGCTCAAAAGATCTACTGCCAAAGCAGTAGTGCAAGAGACTCGTTTGAGAACCACCATATCTCAACGATGGTGAGATGATTCCTGGGTAAGTTACATCTTCTTGAATGTAAGATCAGGTATGCATGGCGTGGGCTTTGGACAAGGCTTCAATGGACGGCTTGGTTCATACTGGCTTTAGGTCACAGATACAAGATCGACCCGGATATCATGGACACGCCGAATATATCCAGGATATCTCCGTATAAGATGAAATGGGGTGGTTCAACCCAGTACCATTGCCTCCTTATGCCACACACTCAATCCTGCTTCCGATCCTTCGTCCAAACGAATTTGAAGCGCGAGAGGGCCAGTCGTTGCCGACTCTCACCTTCCCATCTTAATTCGCTAACACAAAATATATCCGATTACCCATTCTATACATAATTACACAGCAGATCCGAAAACACATGCTAAGCTGCCAAATTCACGGCTTGGGAATCCGAAACGGATGCGCCTCTGTATTAAATACAAAATCGTCTAGGCTGATTAAGCCCGGATCGCTGAAAACCAAATAGAAATATTTAAGCGTCTCCCCAAACCAAAAGCTCTCCATGCTATCCTCCCTGCCCCGGTCTGGGTCCATTACATCCCTCAAGGCAGCATTCGCCAGGTCTGTACGCGTATGCTTCTCGATCGCCTGGAACATCTCCCACGCCACGTCCTGAAGCTTCGGATCACCCGTGATACGATAGAGGTAGAAAACACTCTCAATCGCTTCCGGGCGGAGTTTGTAATGACTGTCCTTGATGGACGTAAAACCGGGATGTTGGGATCCATGGTCGGATTTCCACCGCTCCTTGTCGAACTCGCAGCTTGAGGATGAATCGCATGCCTGCATGCGGAATTCCTCGGGCATAAGGCCTGTGGGAGTATTGCGGTAAGTCCAAACGCAGCCGTCAGTGAGTTTACGACCGACTTCGATGTGTGTTTTGTTGGAGAGGAGACGGCCTCCGAGTGCAAGTGTGCCACCGATGTAACAGGTAAGGTGTTGACCTCCCGGCTCGAGATGTGGGGTTGAAGAAGCGCTTGGAACACGCGTCTGGCCAGAGACCAGAATGTCAGCGTTATCAGGAACCACGGGTCTGAAAAAGAGGTGCTCCATAGCAGTGTTCATGGCATGGCTGTATAGCCTCGCATATTGCGCTGCGGCATCTGTCCCCCCAAGCAAGGCGTACATCTTCGGGAGATATTCATAGGCCGAGTCGGCCATGGACCCCAGAGTGAATGTCGAGTCGCGTGTGAAATCGGCAGAAAGAGGGCTACAGCCTACCGGCCATAGACCCGGCAGGTTTGTTTTGTTCTGTTGTTCGTCCAGGATATTGGTGATACGCTGGATTGCGTCGAACCAGCGCATGTCACCTGTGAGCTGGGAGAGGCGTGTGAGTTCCATGCTCGACGATGCTACTTCGGCGATGATACCTTTGTCGGCAGGGTGTTGCTTTTTCCCCTTCATGGCTTTCTGCGGGCTCCAGCGGGTTACGGGCATTCGATTTTTTGTGTCGAAAGACGCATAAATCATGTCCCCGAGCTCGACAGCTTTATCCAGTAACCTTCTATCCTTGCAATCCGTTAAATCAAAGGCAGAAAGAAACCCGCCTAGATACCTGATAGTCGTTTCAAACATATTGATAGTCTCCTGACTCGTCTTCTCTGGGCTAAAGTCGATAGTAGCCGCGGCAGCAACGGCTTCCTCGAACTCGTCTTTCAGGCCCATGATCCAAAGGGTATCCAAACTGTCAACAAGAGTCGCGCCCCAGCCCCCAAACGTGTTCTGCGGTGCTCCAGATTTTGGCGAGAGTTCGTCATGGAGCCATGCCATTTGTTTATAGGATTTCCAGCCCCGCTGAAATACCTTTTTCACTTCGGCTTGGCGCTGGGCTTGCAATGCGGTGCGTTCAGCCGCCTGTGCTTCAAAAACATGCTGGATTGGCGGTAGTGGAGATGGAGCTTCAGTTGGCAGCTGAATAAACGAAGTGACGGGGTGTTTAATACGGAGTTTCCTCCATTTAAATCGGTTATGATTAGGTGGATTGTATGTTGGCGACGGATCATGACACAATTGCGTCCATGGTTCCTTAGTAACAGTAACAGGGTCGGTTACTACATCTACATATGGCGTCGAGGACTCTGGTGCGTTGAGATAATAGAGGTAAAAGAGCAAAATTAAACAAGCAGCGATAACCTTATACCGCCATCTCCTTTGATATATCATGGTTGAATGAGCGGTCGTGGGTGAGAGAGAGAGGACAAAGGGAGCAAGGATTCAACGTTGCGGTTGTAGTAATTTATCATATCGGCCTGCCGAAAATGCTTGACCCTTCCCCTTACTTGGACAGGGAGGGATTGCTGCAAGAAAACCACATAACAACAATAGAAGAAAAACTTGGGTATAATAATAACAAGGACGATGGCAGTCATGTATGTAACTTGGCAATGTGCCTCGTTTCTTTTTAGAACAGGTCGTCTTGCGTTGCCGACTCCAGCGCTAATGAGCTAGTTAACTTAGCGCCTAGCAAACGCGTCTCGCATACATGATGCTTGCGGCGGTCTATGATGGGAAGTGAATAATGGCTTGTTCAAAGAAAAAGGAAAAAAAAAAAAATTGGGATCGTTCACAAGTTAAATAAAAAAAGGCGCTCTCGTTGGTGCCGTACTTGAAACCCCTGAAAGGGCTAACCTGGCGATGTATTTTAGTTACTACAGCATACGGAGTAGAGTTTCTCCACCCAACCCTTGGCAGGTCAAAGTTTTTGATACATCGCAGATTGCTGGGTTTTATACTCCTATATACACAGTAGGGGGATAAGGTAGGTAAGGTAGTTAACCCGCGGCTGTGGAAAGAATCCTCTGCGTGTAGAGATACTACTGTTCTCTCGTGTGATTTTAACTGACCATAACCTAACTAACCATGCGTTGATCCAGCCATGATGGCGCCTACTGGCTTCTCAGTGGTTTTCTCCTGGAAGGGTGTCAGAGTGATGTTTATTTTAGCTGCAGATAGTCTTTTTCCTCCCTACCTACCTACTCTTCGTATGTGTGGCTGGGTTCAACACAGCTGTATTAGAGATATGCACAGGCGGCATTCTGACTGAGAGATGATGGACTTACCTGGTAATTGCTTACTGTGTGGATGGTTATGGCAGTTGTAACTTAGCCTAGCATTGTGTGGAAGATACGTGTTCGGAACGAAAGTGTAGGTAAACAACATTATCAGTGGGCTTGTAGAGGCCATTTAGAGTGTTGTACGGATAATGTGGCTTTTAAGCCTTGCTGAAACCACCACGACGTAGAGAAGAACCCGAAGATGGGTCAAGGAGATCCCCTTGCCCAACTATATAACTTGAGTGTGAGGCTTAACACTGCTGCTAACAGGCAGTCAAATCCAGAATCTTAAACATCATCATCATCAAGCTGGATAAGGTCAGATGATCTGGGACTGCTGCGAGGTTCATCTTAAGCAGTAGTTTCTGACCACAATATATACATATAGGTGACAGAGAAGATAGATGTTTGAGCATCATTATGATTTCCCTTGGCATATCAAGTTTGCATTGCCCTTTATCAAGTTTCTATTTTTTAAGTTGAAATAAAAAATAAACGGCCACCTCATGCATCTAACAACATCGGGTTCTAATACTTCCCCTGCCCGCTTCATCACTCACCCATAAGCACTTTTTTCTGTACATAGTCTTGTATACCCACCCCCGAACCTCATATGATCTTCTCCCCTTCAACCATCCCTTTATGGAGTAAGTCAATGGCTACAATTGGAGGATTAAATGGACTGCTCTTGTGACCGGCACAGGGTTAGCCATCACGCTCTCAGCGCTCATCAGTTGTTTGCTCAGTATTCCGTACAAGTGATGAGTGGGCAGCAGTCTAGAAACAACATGGCAAACTCGCTGAAGTAGCATTGTCATTGTGAGCACAATATTTTACCCATCTCATTGAAGCTGGTGTGAAGGGGACAGTGGAAATGAGCGCAGCGGTGTTGGCTTGTCTAATCCAAGCTATAGTCTACAACAAGGTAGGTCAAATGGTAGATAGATAGATAGCGTCAGGACAACTGAGTGTCCAGAAAGTCATTCATATCCAGAAGGGTATTTTACCCGCGTTGGATATCAAGCTGACAATCGAAATCCCCCCTTCTATCCCTACCGAGGCTAACCATGCATGCAGTCCCGTTGGTCGTGAGAAATCATCCTGGCTCAATTGAAGGGAAATACATCGATATCTGAGACGTGAACGAGGAGGGAAGGGGCAGTATTTGCGATGGATTTCCAGCAGCTCCTCACACCACAGCCGCGGGCAAGACGTTATGTGTACATCTCATCCATACACGCGGCTTCTGGTATCTCGCCCGGGTTAGCAGGCGTTACGGGAGCACGGAGAAAAAAATCGTTTCATATCCGATCCGACGCCCTATGAGTCAATGTGGATTGACATGCTGATGATGGGGAATGATAGCTTTCACCATGATGCCCTCGGGGCTTTGAGGCGTGAACAAGTGTGATGATCAAGGACTTGCATCTGATGCAGGGCAGGGTGCAGTACCAGATGCCATCGCCAATGTTGTGTGTTCTAACCGCTAAACCCCCATAGAGAAATTACGTCACCAGGACGAGTATTATGATTGATTCGGGTTGTCTGATAAGCCGTCTCTAATCAGATGATGGATCGACGGTTTGAATGAAATATTCTTGAGAGTGAGGAAGGGCTGCTCCGCACGTGATATCAGATCTCTCAAGCCTTTGGTTCTCGGAAACTGCCAGGATTTCTCTTTAAGGCCTGGGAACTGAAGCATCGAAATTTGTGTTTGACTATCCTGGAACACCCAGGGGGTACCTAAGGGTAAGGTATACATGGAAGGTGAAACATTGGCACGCGCCCTAGAGCAAGTCCGGGAGTAACTCGAAAGCGAGGAGAACGGATGAGAAGGGAAGAACAATCAGCTGCTCCCATGAATGAAAAACAGCCGTTAGTTGCCTCTCTCGTATGTATGTACATGTATGTACATGTACATGTACATACGTACATACCAAAGATTTTGGTAGGTGGTTGCTACTACCACACATCCGACACCATATACAAGGCAAACCTGTATCCTGGATATATGGGATTGCCACAGGGCGTATTATCGCGTTTCATGCGGAAAACTGAGGAAATTTATGGGAAGTGAGGTTTGTCTGGATGTTCAACGGAGCTCACGACAGAAAGGATACTCAAGCGTCATTATGATTAGCATCATTATATTCATGGTTGTTGCGGATAGCTTCAAGCAATAGTTAGTCTCAACAACCTAGATAGATCTTTTTTTCCATTAGACGCCCTTCTAGAACAACCCATCCGTCTAGCCAGCGTTTTATTAAGTTAGTATGAAAGTCAATTGGTCAATAACGAGGCACCGAGGAATCGCGGATGTCCTTTTAGGGATCCTCGTCCCGCTCTTGTATGAGCGGGGTATTCCGTCAGGTCAACTACTGCGTAATTGAGCGCTGCCAGCCTCGTTTCTGGCATGAATACAGAGGAATAAGTCCGACCAGACGACGGAAGTTTTCGCCGAATCAATCTGCAAACTCGGCTAAGAGGATATTCTCGTATCATAAAATAATAATAAAAAATAAGAGGCGACAAGAGGCGATTCATGCTTCGAGAGTGGGGGTTGGGATGAGAAAAGGAAAAGAAAAAAGAAAAAGAAAAATTCAATTCGATGTTGCCGCCGTCGCCGTTGCAGCCTGTACGCGCTGTACGGAGTACTCCGTATGGTTCGCAATGTTTCTATTTATAACCAACACACAACAACACACTCTCAGCCGCCCAATCGTAGCCCACGTGTGATCTGGAAGCCGCAAGCGATTTGCCAAATAACCCTTCATGATGGTGACCGGGGGGGGGGGAACTTGTCATTTTGCCATTTGGGCGTCGCGGCCACGGCCGGCTGCAGCCCTGGCCCAAGCGAGCTGTTGGGCATCGACGGATTGACCAGTAACCGACCGACCGACCGACCAGAGCAGGCCTGCAAAGTCAGAATCGCTTTTGCAAAAAGGGCAGCCTTGTTTCGTCGTTATTAATAATAACATTATTTATGGCTACGATTGAGAGCAACGAGGGATTCAAGTGGCTGCTGCTTGTGGATTCTGCGACAGTATAGTATGGGATAGGTAGGCATTGCCATTGCCTGCAAGCCTTTTTTCATGCCAGGGAATTGGATGTTTCAAACCAGCTTCGACCTGAATGGTAGGTAGGTTTTATATTTTTTGGGGATATTTGATATTTCCTGTTACTGGTACGTACTCCGTATAGTCCCGGCAGGGCAGGATGGCTTGTTCTAAGCCTGGTTGGAGATGCTATTGAGAAGCTGCAGTTTTTTAACCTCCTCACACATTGATGCATGCTGGATGGATGGAATGGTTGGATGGATCTATTTCACCATTTTTGACTCCCCAATCCTGCTTCTTCCCACATCGGGCCAAGGAAAAATGACTGCTCTTCCTGGCTTTCCCATTAAAAGGGCCGACTTGCATAAATAATAATAATTAATAATAATAAGTCTAGAGTCAACTCCGTAAGCACGCCGCATGCAGAGGAATATTGAATGAATGGGTGAGAGACAATTTTTTGTGAGCGGCTAGGCTGTAAGATTCATACGTGATATTACCGTACGGGGAGAATCCGCGCCTTGTGTCATGACTGGCGGTTGCCTCATTTTGGTCCCACGCTGCCCACAGTGCCACACTGCCAAGCGCTGGTGGCTGACTTCCTGTTGGTTCGCGAGACTGGCAAGGCTGGGCGTATTGTCACAGCAGCGAGATTTGGGCAGCTACGCGCGTGATATGTTACCTACCAGGTTAGCGGAGATAAGCTTCCTCTATACTAAATGATGTAATGTACAGTACGTATAGGTGTAATGTATGTATGTAACAGCGGTGTCATGGGCGGATACAACGCTAGGCCGAAAGAGGCCCAGCCCAGTGACCTGACCCGACCCCGACCACAAACCTCAAACCTCCAACCTCACGCCAACTCATCCTGTCCCTCACCGACATCAAAACTTTCTCCATCTCAACCTCCTCCATCGTCAATCTCCTCCTCGTCACCCTCACGTCCAAAGCCGTGAAGGAGTTTTCTGCCTGTCTTGGGAGATCTTCTTCTCTCCAGGGACTTACTTCCCTTTTCATGTCGTGCTCTCAGCCAACTCTCTAGCACACATCCTCCTACTTAAATCCTTCAAGTAACCGCTACTTCCCCTCTTCATCTGTAAGGTCCAACCCTCTTCCTCATCCTTTAAAACAACCTCCAAATCTCCAAAAATCTCTGTGTTGTGAGTCAGACCATTCCTTCCCCTCTCCCCTGGTTTGGTTACGCTTCTCCAGAATCAATACTTCCTGCTCCCTTGGCTGCTGCTTGCTCTAAGCGCTGCACACCTGGAGAGGACCCCAACCTTGCCATCTTTGGCTTCATTCATCGCTGAATCAGGAGAAATCATTCACACACAATCCATTTCCTGTTAAAACTAACTTGCCTTCACGGCTAGCTCCATTCTCGATCCTCCCTTGGCCAATCTTCCTGATTTCCCGTTTCAACCTCTTGCAAAATCGGCCTTATACCTCCTGACATACGCGCTGACAGTTTGGTAACTACGACAACCTTTTGAAAGATCTTGCCCGATAAAACCCTTCAACTCTCATCTATCTTGAAATCATCGTTACGCTTCTTTCATTCGTGTCACCATGACTACAATGGTAAGCGGAATACCTATTCGTTCGAGGCGTTCAGGGGTCTCGACCCCCTCCTTTGAACCGAACCACATGCATCCCGGACGTGACCCCACATCGACATCTCATCATGTATACTAATAACCTCTTGGATAGGACCTCCGGGTCGGTAACAAGTACCGCATTGGCCGTAAAATCGGCAGCGGCAGCTTTGGTGATATTTATCTTGGTTCGTACTGAGCCCCCCTTAACCGGTATTCGAAACATGTTATCTAATGGTCGATATGTAGGCACCAATATCATCTCTGGAGAAGAGATCGCCATCAAGCTCGAGAGCGTAAAGGCTAAGCACCCACAGCTTGAATATGAGGCTCGTGTCTACAAATCTCTGGCAGGTGGCGTCGGCATCCCCTTCGTTCGCTGGTATGGTACCGAATGTGACTACAATGCCATGGTCATCGATTTGCTCGGCCCCAGCTTGGAGGATCTATTCAATTTTTGCAACCGCAAATTCTCCCTAAAGACCGTTCTTCTATTGGCCGACCAGCTCATCTCTCGTATCGAATATATCCACGCAAAGTCCTTTATTCACCGTGATATCAAACCAGACAACTTCCTGATGGGGATTGGGAAACGTGGCAATCAGGTCAATGTGATCGATTTCGGTCTTGCTAAGAAATATCGTGACCCAAAAACGCATTTCCACATTCCATACCGTGAAAACAAGAACCTGACTGGAACTGCCCGATATGCCAGTATCAATACTCACCTGGGAGTGGAGCAGTCCCGTCGCGATGACATGGAGTCCCTTGGCTATGTTATGCTCTATTTCTGCCGCGGATCTCTTCCCTGGCAAGGACTGAAGGCTGCCACCAAGAAACAGAAGTATGACCGCATCATGGAGAAAAAGATGACTACGCCCACCGAAGTTCTCTGCCGTGGTTTCCCCAATGAGTTCTCGGTCTATTTGAACTACACCCGGTCTCTACGCTTCGATGACAAACCGGATTATTCCTATCTCAGAAAGATCTTCCGCGATCTGTTTGTCCGAGAATCATTCCAATACGACTATGTCTTTGACTGGACCGTTTACAAATATCAGAAGAACGCCCAGGCAATTGCTCAGGCTACTGGTAACCAAAATGCTGAGGATGAGGATAAGCCACGCCGCCATCCTGGCAATCCTGTCAATCCTCAGGTCAAGCCATCAGCCCTTGCTGCTCCCCGTCGCAAGGTGGTTGATCGCATCCCAAGTGGAACGGTCGATACTCCCGATACAAATCGCGCCGTTGGGGGAAGTGATAGGATGTGAGTATCTGTCAACAATCTACCGTTCCGAGGAACTAATGCTGGCCATGGGATTTTGATTCAAGAATCTGACTAATCTCATAGTCTTCGGCGTTAGGCTACGTTCTGCTTCTAAGGGTGTTAATGCGGGTGCTGGCTACACCAGTGCTGCTTACCACCGTTCGAAGCGGGATGATGGTACTGGTGCTAATTGGTACTGATTTATTTTGCGAGCGGTGATTCCTTCGTCCTTATCGCATATCTCATTTCGAAATCTCAGCTTTTTTGGTGGTGTAGTAGTGTGCAAGCGTCTAGCATATACACCCACTAAACCCTGAGTATTTTTTCGCTGTTCTGAAATCCCTCCATTTCTTATGGTGTGTGTTTAGCCATTCGCTCAGTCATTTTCTCGACATCGGTTCTTTTCAGTCCGTGGATATCGTCGCCCTCCCGCCCTTCGCCCCATCGCAGCCAACTTTCTTACGATTGATCCTGCACCGACGAATCTTAACCTTGTCGAGATATACGACCTATTTATCATGGAATAACTGATGCAGGCTTCAGAACATATTTTGTCCCCGTCCCTTGACACCTTCGGTTGCGCTTTTCGATGAAGACATTTCTGAAAATTTTGTTCAACCTCTCAGTCAGGGAAGTGGTGCATACTCTCTAAACGGATATCCCCGCCAATTACCACTATATGGCTTTATCAAGTTTTGGTACCCTAGGTTTCCGGAAATATTGCCCAAGTTCCCCCCCCCCCTTTTTTTTTTGTTTCCCATTAATCACTCTTTGTTCAGCCCCACTTTCCCGCGTCATCAGTTTTCATTTTTTCTGTCCTTTTTCCCGTATCTCGATGCATTTTTACGTTTGACGGAAATAAAGGGGACGAGTCAAATCTTTTACGACGTCGAAGAGGGTACGTCAGAAGGAATGAATAATGATTTACTGCCTCCCCATTATCAGATAGATCATGATCATATTGGTGGGGCGAGATTATTGTTTTCTTCTACGTTCGACGCAGCGTGGAGCAATCCCGCGCCGATACCTCTTCTGTTCGGGTACATGGCGACGGACTTATGGCTAGGGTCGCTTCCGGGGTGGTATTTCGTCAAACACGTTCTTTATGCTTTGTTTGCACATTTCCGATTTATTGTTTGCATTGTTTTTGCTCTTTCGCGCATGTCTGCAATTTTTTTTGAGGAGATGCGTGGCCTAGAAAATGACGAGGAGGCAGAGCGGCGCTGGAGATTGTGCTGCATCGGATAGTAAATAGTGTTGGGATACACCCGCTCGTGGGGATGTTTATGAAGGCCAGAAGATGATGATTTTCCGTTTCCCTCATTGTTTCTTTACTTGCCCCCTTTTTCGTTCCAGAGTTTTATTTATCTATTTTATATGTTTCTCCCCTCTTCAACCACATTATTTGTATACAAATAATGCCAAGTCTGCGTTTTTCCTAAATATGTATCGTCGTCAAGCCGTCCTGGTGTCTATACCTACGTAGTCTTTGATTGCGATGGGGGCCTGTAGCTATAAAGTGGCTGGTATCAGCGGCATCAGGGGTTCTGAGCGTATTGGGAGAAGTGTAAAAAGGGTTTCCCCCGTTTCCACACCAGCACGGCTAGCGAACAGGTAGTTAATGACAAGAGCTTCACTGAACAACATATCAAACAACATTTCCGGACATTGCATATGCCCATGTGTGTACATGTACTGTACTTGGTTAATTTCCAAGCCAAATTCCAAAAATGTTTGACGCGACCTGAGTGAGGGCTTTCCAGGTTTTCTTCCCTATATCTAATTAAGTAATTGTAACTACGAGAGACCCCCCAACCTTATCCTGACAACGGCTTCCTTAAGTCACTCCTAGCCCTGACCCTATATTTTTCCCCCCTGTGAAAATACCAATCGAGAATCGTTTCCCGGCACCATAACTAATAATGGATTACGTTTGCTAGTTACGTACTGATTACAAGTACGCGTATTTTCCCCAAAAACTGAGATATCTTGTCTATTCAAACGTCCCCTCCTCCTCCAATGATCACCAATCAAAAATCCAGGACGGATTCGCAGTGATTTATTAGGTGTGTCTGTCTCTATCTGGAGCTTGACGTGGTCTGTTCTCGCAGCTGCTAGGTAGGCTGGAATAAAACAAGATCACCCCCTGTTTTGTTTGCATGTTTGTTTGTTTGTTCTACATAGTATTTTTATTGGCTTGGGACTGAAAGGATACTCCACACCAAGTCCAGTCCGTAACCATGTCTTCCTGGATGAAGTGATTCGGAGTTTCTACGATGACATCCATCACGTCACTGGTGGCCTTGTCCTGTCCTGTCCTGTCTATCTGTCTGTCTGTCTGTCTGTCTGGGTGCCCGATCTGAGAGCTAGGCGTACAAGGACAATTCATTCTGAAGTGGTTGATGATGATTTGCAAGCTGTGGCTTGTTGATTGGTGGCTGGGGAATAAGTGAGTGGGTGAGGGAGTGTTGTGAGATGGAAGGTAGACTGTTGTATCATATACAGTTGAACTGTCCTTGGTAAGATAATTTCCATAGAATTGATGCGCTGTTGGTTGCTTGAAATTCGTTGCTGACCTAAAGTGATGAATATGCAAGACGATTCTTATATAGAGATAAGTAAAGATAGTTTATAGGAAATAAAAAAGTTCGTACGGAGTAGCGAAAATAACAAATGCCTCTGGACACAATGCGTAGGCAGTAGCAATTGTGGGCCACATAAGAGACGGTTCTGGAACCAATGAGTGGCTCGTTACAATTGACATAACAGAGATATAATAATCCAAAATAAATATGTATCCAACGCAAGAAGCGGTATGCCGAAAATCATTCATCATTAAACTTCGTAATCCAGAGTTCACGCGTTCCACTGCGCCCAGTCAAAATCCATCCCGACATCGAAAGTCCCATATCCCTCCTCCCACAAAATCGCATCACTCGCTGGATTTTCAAACGAGAGTAACTCCTCTGGAACAATGAACCCGCCCTCACCAGGCATAGGTATAGTTGATGCCGCCGCCTGTTGCGCGGCTAGGAATGCAGCGAGTGGGTCTTCCGGTGTGAAATGGGGTAGCGGAATTGGCGCTGCTTCATACCCTAGCTCAGGCCCTGGTTCTAGCCCAGGCTCGGTAGTTAAGGTGGCCGATTGTGCAGATTCAGCTGGGGGTGATAGGAACTGGCGTGCTGGTGTTGTTGGTGCAGGTTCCTCGTCGGGGTCAGCAGATACTGGGAGCACGGTGTTGTAGAGGTTGAGGAGGAGGCGATGGAGGGATCGAATGTGTAAATTGCCCTTTTCTGCCATGCCGTTGAGCACGTCGAGGGCAAGGGTCATCGCCGCATGGTCTCTCGCGTTGTGCGGGAAGGCAATGTTGATCATGACGAGGATTATCGCGGCGGAGAAGGCATGTTCGCCGTCCATGTAGCCGTATGTTGCTAGGTTTTTATGTCAGTCTTTGGTAGCCAGAATGAATTTCGCTAAAGCGTAGAAAAAAAATGGGGGAAAAGAGGGGGAAATAGGGGACGCAAGTAAAGTACCCATGAGGTTTTGTTTGGCAGCGGCAGCCATTACCGCTGCACTATTCCGGGCTGCAGCGATGCATGTTTCCACAGCTAATACTGTGCTCTGTTGCAGGCCATTCCTCCAATCCGCCCATTCTCCCGTTTTCTCATGGTTCTGGAGACATTTTCGAACCACGTTGAAGACTAGAGGCCGAACTGTCATATTGATACACTGTGAGTAGTGTAAGAAAATCGACACAGACTGGCGTGATAGTTCAGAGTCCAGTTTTGTAAAGTCACACTGTAGCGCCTGCGGTAGATTCGACTGCCACTGAGTCAATTCTGCAAGGATAGACTGCACCGAGTTCACAAGATTATAAGCTGTGGTGCACGGTGTGCGATATACAGCTACATATTGATTAGTGATAGTTAACACCGCCGTTTTTGTGTAGCTTACTTTTCATTATTTTACCCAGAATCCTAGATAATTCAGTATAGTGAAAGAGGACGGTGGCTGGGCATAGATTTGGTTCATCATGCTGTAAGCCATTGATAAGTAAGTCTGGACCTACTGCTCGCGAGCTGTGGGAGCGACATACCAAACGGGAGGGGAGTAAAACGCCTATATCCTCGTCCGCGACCGTGAATGGATTACCTGACTTCACGCAAAGAATCCTATACTATAATTAACAGGGATATGGTTGAAAATCCTTGCAGAATACACACCTATCTAAACTGTAAACGGACCACCAAAGTCGGCGACGATGCTCCCGAGCAAGGTCGTCCAAGCTATCATCAGAGACTTCCTGATGTAAACCTAGAGATATGGCCATTCGCACCGCCAATCCAATCTGTCAAATATGTTAGCAAAATATATCTCAGGTTGTTTGACAGGGAGAGCGGGGAAGTTACATGTAAAAATGCAGCGTCTCTGCGGTTCAAATTCTGAAAGTAGTATCCAACCAAAGAGAGGACTTCGACAAAAACTACCGAAGGCTGCTCGTGGATGTCAGGAAGAAGGTTCATAACCTGCTGAAAGTACTCAAACCCGGGTGGCCCATCATAACTTGTCCATTGATTAACGGAGTACATCTGGCCAAATGCAAGGATTATGAATATTTGGCAATATCGCAGGCGGTCTCTTATGTCCGAAAAGTCAGGTTCTCGATCATACATCCCGCGAATATTATTCTCGAATGTTTCTGGCGAAGTGAACGAGAAAATTGTGCCGATGTACGCATATTGCGCCGCGTAGAGCAGTTTCGCAACAGGGAAAGGTGGGAGTGAAGTAGCTGATGGCCTGGACTGGCGTGCGTTCGTCCGAATAGAGAAGTTTGAGTTGCTATTGTAAGTTGGGGTTATGAAATCTTCTCCAATATCAAGGCCGGCCTTAAACGACCTGACAAAGTCGAGAAACTTCTTCCCTAGGCTGGCTGAGGAGGAGTTGCCAAAATATCCTAGTTTTGATATGAGATGAGTATGAGGTTTCCTAGAAGTACTGGTAAATAGGAAAAAGCAATACGAACGTTTATCACCTTCAGGACTGAGGACTAGATGAGCTATCTTTTCAGTTAGCGGGTTATCGTCAATGTCTTCCCCATCCTGGATTGGAGTCGGTGACTCAGAGCCGTCTGAGAGAGCGGCAGTAGGAGGATCCTGCTGGGGTTGATGTTCAATGGGGGCCACATTTAATGATCCCTGGCGTCTTGTATCATTCTGACGTTTTCGCTCATATGCTTTAAGTCGAGCTTCGAGCTGTATGAGATATCTACTAACTGTCAGCGAAACATATAGCAACATCTCCAGTCAGTGTTAGAAATCTCACGCTTCAGGGACTCGGACAGTCTTTTGGACGTTCGGGTAAGTGCATGTTCGACTTGCGATTGCACAGGCTCTACAGGCCAATCCATCATTTCCACCAAAACATCTCTTCTTGCGTATTCTACAGTAATTGCAGCTACGATACGGTTTAGCATGCTTGGGGAAATGGAGGGATATAGAGTAGGAAGTTGGACTCACGCTACGGAGGCACGGCGGGGCCGATCCAAACCGACATGCGTCGAGTGTGTAGAGAGCAACATATCCGAATATCCTCTGGATACCTTGCCCCAGAATAAATTGAAGTTGTCGTAGATAATAATTCCAATTCCGAAATCCCTTTTGTAAACATTCCCGAAAAGAGACTGGAACCCTGACGCGGGGGTGGTGGGGTTATTTGGCTCTGAAGCCATGCCCTATTTGTTACCCTGGTTAGTAGGAGTCAGGCGAGCTAATAAGTTACTAGTTGTTTTGCTATATAAGCGCTGAAAGAGGCTGACATGATATTGGATATTGACATCTCCCTTGCGAAAATAAATGCACTCATCTTGAGGGGAAGCAGAGATCAGCCACTGCCTGCCTGCGAGATTGAGGTTCATTTATGTCCGAGAGACCAAGCTGATTGATTGCAGAATTCGGCATCCATCAGAGAGCCTCAACGAGCCAGCAAGAACAAACCGGCCACGACAATGGGAAAGCCTGCAAGTCTCAATGCTGGGAGGTGCTATCTGGGAGGTGCTATCTGGGAGGTGCTATTTCCATCATTATCGATGTAGGAACCGACTTTATAAGAAATAAAGTGTCAAAATCAGGAAAGACTCAAGAGCTTGAGCTAACCATTTGCCTTATTTCAGCAGAATATATATATAAAGAAATGACCTCATCTGGACGGAGAAAGCAGATCCACAACTTGAGCAAACATCAAGGGCCATGCATACCTTTGCCCAAATATCACTGAGCTCTGAAATAGCAACGTATGCCGGTGGTTTCCAGCCCCGAGGAAGCGCCAAAGAAGTTTTTCTCCACGAGCGCAGAACGCCTCCTGAGCATCCCCTTCTCCCATTTCGGGGTCGTGTTATAGTCCGTACATCGTCGATTCGATCCAAAGCATAGGGCCTCATCGAGACCACGAATGTACCCCATGTGAAAACGGCCGCAGGGGAGAGGGGGATGTTCGTCCTGTATATTGGATAGTTCCGTTGCATGACAGTGTGAAGAGGGGGGAGCCCCGCAAGCGTAAGCGCGCTCTTGAAACTAATCGAACATCTGATCAAGAATCCCACATGGTCCTCCGTCCAGTCGTCGAGTATATCTTGGCATTGAAACTTGACCAGCTTGCCATCGCTGTACACCATATAACGAGAGGCGTCCGTGCGAAGGTCGATTTCAGCTGCAATGTCGCCGTCTTGGATCTTGGGCATCCGTGATTTTAGATCTGAATATTTGCCGACGGATTTAGATTCTGCCAGGAGAGGACAGGGAACAGGATTTCGTTGGCAGAGCAGGCGGAAGTCTTCAGCGTATCGCGAGGGTAGGCAGATGAGGAAAGTTACCACGTTCTTACGCGCCTTGAGTCTAACTCTGCGCGTTGAAGATTTGCCAACCATGATTTTTAGATTGATTGTGGTCTTATTGCTTGGGAGGGTTAGAGAAGATAGAAGATGTGAGAACGGGTTAATATTAGATTCAGCTAAAAGTTGGATGGTTCCATATTATTCCCTCACTGTGGGCATGCTCCCGGCGGCAGCCCTTTTATCATTGCATTAATACACTATAGCCAGCGTTATACACTCTGAAAGCGAGGCACACAATCCCGAGTCCCAGCCTGTTTTCTGCAGGGAGACAAGCCCGTTCGGGTTCTCCTGCCGACTCAATACGCTAACAAAGCTTATTTACAGGACAACATCGGAAGAAAAAAGCTTACTTATCTTATCAGATCGGCATCCTGACCCGATCTCGTCGGGATGGGTTGCCGGTGCCGGGATGCGGCCAGGATGTCATTTATCTTTCCTGCTGAGCGGGAGGTGGAAACCGCTTCGCTCGGATGGGCGTAGATGGTGATTTCCTGCCAATGGTATTGGCCATTTCTAGACAGGAGTGCGGGAATTTCTCGCCGGTTTCAGGCGCGGACGAGAGAAAGTTTGTGGATTTATAATTGCGGGACAACCGTTATCAGCACACCACTTTCTAAATACTAAATAAATAAATAATCCATCATCCCTCATTTCCTGCTCATCTCTAGCACTTCTAATTTTCTCTAACGTCGTCATAAACCACAATACGACATCCCATAATCCTGTCCTGGGACAATTCTTGAGTAGAGATTGATCTAATTCACCCACAACCAGCCCGAGCAATGACTACCCAACCTCACCCAACACAATCGCCCGCCAGGGTCAGAATTTCGATAGACCGAGGCGGGACATTCACAGACGTCCACGCTTCAATACCCGGGCGCAGCGATATTATCCTCAAACTTCTCTCTGTCGATCCATCAAATTACAAAGATGCGCCAACAGAGGGAATCAGACGCGTCCTGGAGATCGCCACTGGTAAAAAGCTACCGCGGGGGCAGCAACTAGATCTTGCACCCATCGAATCACTTCGGATGGGTACGACAGTTGCGACCAATGCGTTACTAGAAAGAAAAGGAGCGCGATCCGCACTGCTTATTTCAAAAGGTTTCAAAGACCTTCTTGTCATCGGAAACCAGTCACGGCCGAATATTTTTGATCTTTCCGTCGCGAAGCCGAGCGTGCTTTATGAGAAAGTTGTTGAGATTAACGAGAGAGTAACGCTGAAAGGATATACTGAAGATCCCGATCCTCAGCCAATTGAGGAAACGGAAGATGTCGTTAGAGGGACTACGGGAGAATATATCCACGTTCTCGTCAAGCCGGACATGAAAAAGGTCAGAGATGACCTCCAAATGTTATGGGACGAAGGATATCGGTCAATAGCCATTGTGCTGCTTCACTCATATACCTATCCGGCACACGAAAAATTGATTGGGCAGGCTGCTATGGAGATGGGATTTTCTGTTGCGATATCTTCGGAACTGCAACCCATGATAAAGGTGGTGCCTCGTGGCATGAGTGCGACTGCAGACGCATATTTAACCCCGGTGATTAAAGAGTATATTGACTCGATTTCTTCGAATTTCATTGGCGGGCTTGCTTCTCCAAGCACGAGGTGTGAGTTTATGCAGTCGGACGGTGGATTGGTGGATTTTCGGAAATTTAGCGGTCTGAAGGCTATTTTGTCAGGGCCAGCAGGTGGCGTCGTCGGGTATGCGCAGACCTCCTGGGACGACGAGGAGCAAATTCCTGTCATAGGATTTGATATGGGTGGCACAAGCACAGATGGTTTGTATTGGTCCTCCTTTGACAGTTCTTCCACACCAAATATCTTCCTACTAACGTTTGCATTATAGTATCCCGGTACTCGGGGGTTTACGACCACGTCTTCGAAACCACCATTGCCGGCGTATCCATCCAATCTCCCCAGCTAGATATCAACACCGTCGCCGCAGGAGGCGGTTCGATCCTCTTCTGGCGGAACGGTCTTTTTGCCGTGGGGCCAGAGTCCGCCTCCGCACATCCAGGGCCAGCCTGCTACCGAAAAGGCGGCCCCCTGACTGTAACTGATGCCAATCTGTTCTTAGGGCGGCTGCTCCCAGGATATTTTCCAAAGATTTTCGGACCAAACGAGGACGAGCCCCTTGATGTGGAAATCACCCGCCAAAAGTTCACGGAACTGACCGAAAAAATCAACAGTGAACAACGCTCAAAGGGTTGGAATGAGTTTACACCGGAGGAAGTGGCTCTTGGATTCCTGTCGGTTGCTAACGAATCTATGTCGCGGCCAATTCGCGCATTGACGGAGGCTCGCGGGTATGACACGTCTGTGCATCATCTATCGTGTTTTGGCGGTGCTGGCGGCCAGCACGCTTGCTCTGTGGCATCTGTTCTGGGGATCTCCCGCGTCATAATTCACAAATACTCCTCAATCCTGTCAGCTTATGGGATGGCTCTCGCAGATGTAGTGCACGAAGCAACGCAGCCAACCTCAGATGTCTTTAGCACGTCGACTGAACAAGACTTTCGGTCTAAGCTGGAGGCGCTGGCGGAAACTTCCACAGCTGAGTTGGAAAGTCATGGATTTTCACGCGAGAATATCAGGCATGAAATGTATCTGAATATGCGCCATGAAGGTACTAGTACGGCACTTATGATACTTAAAGGTGACGACTGGGATTTCGGCGCTGAGTTCAACAAACGGCATAAAATCGAGTTTGGCTTCCTTTCACCCGACAAGCGGATCCTTGTTGATGATATTCGGGTGCGAAGCATTGCGTCCTCATCGCGGCAGAAGGAGCTCAGCCCGTATGCGCAGGTGAGTATCTAGCAAAGAATCCCGCGCGAGGTAATCCTCCTTGCTAACTTTCCGGCATTCAGATGAAGAAAATAGCATTCAAAGACGTATCTACCCCGGGTGTCAACGAGCGGACGATGGTCTATTTCGGCACAGAACACGGATGGGTTGCAACTCCAGTGCTTAAGCTCGAAGAACTCACGGAGGGTTCCCGCATCCAAGGCCCAGCCATGATCATCGACCAAACCCAGACGATAGTCTTAGTCCCGGGAGCAGTTGCGAGCATTCTTGAAAGCTGCGTGGTGATCGACCTCAAGAAGACAGTGCCCACGCTCGATGTGTCAGGCACCGCGTCAACAAATCCCACCAGCATCAGTCCCATCCAATTGTCAATATTTGGTAACCGGTTCATGTCCATTGCTGAGCAGATGGGTCGAACTCTACAAAAGACCTCTGTCTCGACCAACATCAAAGAACGCCTTGACTTTTCATGTGCACTTTTTTCGCCTGATGGAGGACTCGTGGCTAATGCACCCCACGTCCCAGTACACTTGGGCTCGATGCAATTTGCAGTCCGATACCAGCATAAATATTGGGCGGGAAACCTCGAGGATGGTGACGTCCTGATCTCCAACCATCCGAGCTGCGGTGGGACTCATTTGCCCGATATTACAGTCATTACGCCAGTTTTTGATCAAGGCGAGATCGTGTTTTATGTTGCGTCCCGAGGCCATCATGCAGATATCGGAGGTTGTCTCCCTGGCTCCATGCCCCCAACAAGTACGGAATTATGGCAAGAAGGGGCCGCCATCGAGGCTGAAAAGTTAGTTGCCGGTGGAGTATTCAATGAGGAAAGAATGACTGAGATACTATTGAAAGAGCCAGCGCAGTACCCTGGTTGTTCCGGTACCCGATGTCTGCAGGATAACCTGTCTGATCTGCGGGCTCAGGTTGCTGCCAATCAAAAGGGCATTTCGCTTATCAATGGCTTAATCAAGGAATATGGGCTGGAGCGCGTGCATACATATATGTATGCAATCCAAAGTACGGCCGAAATTGCCGTGCGAGAACTTCTAAAGACCACCTCCAAGACGCTGGGCTCTACGCTGGAAGCCGTCGATTATATGGATGATGGTACACCCATTGCCCTAAAGATAACGATCGATGGCGATAAGGGGGAGGCTGTATTTGACTTCTCAGGAACTGGTTGTGAAGTTTTTGGCAACACCAACGCTCCCACAGCCATCACGCATTCGGCAATTATATACTGCCTGCGGTCGTTAGTGAAATCCGATATCCCTCTAAACCAAGGATGTCTGAATCCCATCGACATTCGAATTCCTCCGGGAACATTACTCTCTCCATCCAAGAGCGCTGGAGTCGTGGGAGGAAACGTGCTTACATCCCAACGAATCACAGATGTTGTCTTGAAGGCGTTCAACGCCTGTGCCGCATCGCAAGGCTGTTGCAATAACCTCACTTTTGGCAAAGGCGGCAAGACAGCGAACGGGGAACATGTCAACGGATTTGGGTACTATGAAACAATTGCCGGCGGCAGCGGAGCGGGCCCAACTTGGGTTGGACAGAGCGGCATTCACACGCACATGACTAACACACGCATCACGGATCCCGAGATCTTCGAGAAGCGATACCCATGTATCCTCCGGGAATTCTCCATCCGAAAAGGATCAGGGGGTCAAGGAGCGCATCCTGGTGGTGACGGCGTGGTCCGCGACATTGAGTTCCTGATTCCCGTCCAGTGTTCGATATTGTCTGAGCGCAGGAGTCATCAGCCCTACGGTCTTCAAGGGGGAGGCCCCGGTGCATCAGGGAAGAATTTGTGGATTAAGCGAGATGAAGAAACAGGGGATGAAAGGATGGTCAGCCTCGGTGCAAAGGCAACCGTGGCATTGGGTGAAGGTGACAGGATCGTCGTGCAAACTCCTGGCGGCGGAGCTTGGGGCAGTGTAGACGAGGAAAAAAGAGTGAACGCGGTTGTACATGACCAATTTTTGACCAAGGGATCCGTCGATAGATATAGGGCGATTCAAGAAACAAATTGAGCGGATGCATAGGGTCTTGAAGGACCATGATATTATCTGCTACGGTACCGCGATTACGATGCATGAATTATGAAACAGCTTGCTATTACTTATTTAACTCATTCCTCCAGTTCCTTCTCCCTTAATTAGTACACACTCGACAATTGTACTATACGGAAGGAACCCCGAGTCAATATTAGCTGCTCAAGACATCTCTGCATTTTCCAAACATGGTTATTTATACACAGCGAAAATGTTATAAAGGAGACCCAAAAATGTGTCGTTCATGTATTCAAACCAAAAAGCGAAATCAAAATAGTGAGGTCATGAGTCACCAAATAAGTAGTTATACACATATATGGCATATGAATGTATATGAATGTGGAAGGAGAAAAGAGAAACTGTTATCTTGAACAAAAATAAACTAGCGAGGGATATCAGAGCAAATAGTAGAGCGCGATGAAAAAGTCAAAAGGGAAGAAATAAAAGGACAAGACAGGGAAAATAGCATGAGCCATATGAGCCAGAAAGCACGACGCAAAAAGAAAAAAAGAAAAAGGGCAGAAAAGATATTCAAGAACCCAAGACTAGAGAGAATGGGCACTAAGCTCTGCGCCAATAGAAATGGAGCGAAAGATGTTGAAGCGAGTGAAAGGGAGCACACTCCCAAATCAATGACCATATAGAATGACCAGGTGCAAAAATTTGAGGGGAACAATGACGACCGATTTTCAAAATCGAGTAAAAAAAAGTATATGTATAATATATATACCCTAAGACATTCCCTCTATCCGCCCAGAAGATAAGTTAAGGGATATAACGTAATGAAAAAAAAAATGGAGCTTGGGAAGGGAAAGAGAGAAAACAGCATCGTAGAAGAGGAGAAAAACAAGCAGAACAAGACCAAAGTTTAAGAGCCAGGAGTATCAGATGGCGCGGTAGCCGAGGAAAAACACGCAAGAAAAGGAATGAAAATAAAAATAAAATAAAGTCAAATCAAGTGAAGGATAATGAAGGGCAGAATATAGGAATAATAAACTAGAGTATAGGATAATAGAATATTATTCGACTAATAGAGGGAGGGAATGGCTGAAGAAGGTTGGGAAACAGAAAAAAATAAGAAAAAGGAAATAGAGATAAAAAAAGAGCAAAACATGAGATTGAAATATAGTCAAGCACACAAAAAACAAGGAAGAGCAAATGCATAAGAAAAATTGTTTGACACCAGGAAAAGGGGGAAAAATGAAAAAAGGAGGCGGAGACATATATCAAAGAGTGGAGACCATCAAGGTCCGTGATCCCTCTTTCTGTAGACACACCGTGTCTTCTTAAACAACTAGCAAAAGAAGCACCCAGGCTTGTACACCCATTATAGACCCACGTTAAAAGTGACATTTGCATCGCGTGCGCATGTGCTATTTAAAGACGTCAAATCATATTATCTTTCGTCGGTTGTGTAGGCGTAGTAGTATCAGTAGTAGCCAAGGCGGCTGGCATCGGGGGCTTAACGGGAGTTGACGACCGTTCCTCTTCATCCAACCGTTTCCGCCAACTTGCCAGGTTATCACTCAAGCCACTCTCGCCATACGTTTCCTTGGTGGGTGTACGGTCGAAGTCAAACTGGGTGCTTAAACGGTAGTTTCGGTTTGTGCTTTCCCAGTGGCTTCGGAGAGCGTCTAGTTCACTAGCAAGGGAATCCAGAGCGAAAGAACCGCGGTGCTCGAGGAAAGAGTCATCTTGAGAAACATTGCTGTCAGCCCTTAGTCGGCCACCGATCGTATTGCTGGACGCGTTGCTGACTGTACGGCTCAAGCCGTTGGAATGGGAAAGTACTTGTTGGGATTGTCGACGGTAATTCGTCACTGATGATTCAACTTGGTCAAGGAGCATTGTGACCTTTTGTTCGGCATCTAGCGCTCGGCTTTCAAGCAGGGCATTTTCGTTCTTAAGTTGCTCCAGGTCCTCACGGCTCTTTTCTGTGATGTTCAATAATTCACGCTTTATGTTTTCTTGCTCCGTTTGGCTCTGGTCTCTTTCCGCTTGTGCAGCTGTGAGGTCCTCTCGAAGTTTTGCAAGCTGGGTTTTTAGATCAGCAATTGAAGATGAAGTCTTTTCCTGAAGGTCAGACATAATATGTTGCATATTCGACCGCTCGGCCTCCCATTGAGCCGACGCTTCGTGAGATGGGGAGGATCTGGAACTAGCTTTCTGAAGTGCAGTTTCCAAATCAGCCTGTAACTTGGAATTTTGCGTTTTGTATTTCGCAAGCTCGTCCTTCATTCGCTTCAGCATTTTCTCTGTTCCTTTCACGTAGTGAACGGCAGATTGGTAGTCGTTCTCGAGTTGCTCAAGCTTCTCATTGTACGCACGATCGGCTTCTTGTTCCCTCGATTCGAATGATATCTTGGTTTCTTCATGTGCTTTTATGCTTGATTGAAGTTGTTGCTCTAGCTCGCGGAGGCGGTTGTGCTCGGGAGTTCCGAAACGAGAGCCTGGCGAATCCAACAATGGGGATCGCCTACTGTCCGCGGTTATGCCACGCTCAACAAGCAGCTCCTTCAGCGCGCCATGTTGTATGGCCAAAGCGCTCGCGTCGCGTTGATGGCTTTCGAGTTGTGACTTGACTTCCCGGTTCTCATTACTAAGCGCTTGGTTCTCTTTCAAAGCAGCCTGGAGTTGTCTGCGGAGTTGCAGACCTTCCCGACTAGCCTGTTCCTGATACTGCTCCAATCCAGCAATACGTTCCTCGGCTCGTCGAAGTTTCTCGGAAGCTTCATTCGCTGCTTGGTGGTTAGTTTTGACCATCTGATTCGCCCGGTCAACTTGCTCCTTCAGTGCCGCAACTCTTTGCTCAGAAAGTGCCTTTGCCGCAGATTCGGCATCGCGCGAAGAAGCACGATCCAAACCGGCCAAGAAGGCTGCTCTGTGGCTTTCTGCCTCCCTAGCATGCGTTTCTGCCAATTCTTCGGCATCTCGCAATCGGCGCGTTGTATTCTCGAGCTCAGTCGTCCTCTCCTCATGTTCTGCTCTGAGTTGCAGGAGCTTCCTCTCTAAGCCTTCACGGTGATCACGTTCCTCGTCCAGCTGTCTTTCCAAAAGTTCAGCTTTAGCGGACGAAGCATTGACCGCTTCACGAAGAGATCCAACATCAGTGCCATGGTTTTCCAGGCGGTCATTGAGATTCTCAACTTTTTGAGTTAGTTCGTTTTTATCAATCTGAGCTAGCTTAAGAGCGCTCTCGGCCTCGGATCGGAGTGCTACCTCTTCCCTGAATGCAGACTGCAGGTGATGGAGCTCAGTTCGAAGACTTTCCAATTCCAGGTTGTTAGTTTGTGATTCCATTTCAGACAATCTTTTGCTCATAGCCTCATGAAGTTCTTCGGCCAGCTCTCTTGCCCTCTTCTCCTCTTGAAGTTCGGACATTAACGCTTCAGCCTTGGCCTTCATTTCCGCCTGAGATGCAAGGGCATGAGCCAGTCGTCGGCTTATTTCAGCTGACCGATCGGGATTTATCTCATCCATGTCACGACCATTACGATCCGATTGTGGTGTCCCTCTTTGGCTACCTCCTTGCGCTGCGAGTTTAGCTTGCGCGTAGGCGGCCTCGTTAATGGCTGCATCCCGCTGATGCTCTACCTCTGCCACCCGTTTGGATGCAATCGCGGCCTGGCGATCAACAGCGGCTTGCATCTTCGCCAATTCCGCTCGCATGGAAAGGAAAGCCTCAATCAAAGGACGATCTTCCTCGTTGAAAGTCTCTATCGATCGCTGGTCGAGAGGAGGAGGATTTGATGGGTTGAGAGTATAACCTGCTTTGCGGGCCATTGCTAATTCTGAAGCATACCAAGCATTCTTAGCCTTTGCTGCTTCGAGGTCTTTAATAAGAGCTTCTTGATGCGGCGTTAGCCGCGGGGAGCGAGGCTCGTCGGTAAGGTTTCTAGAATTTCTATAGGTTCTTGGCTCAGACCCATCGACGCTGCCGGGACCCTTGCCCAGTATGGAGTCATCTACACTATCAATAGAATTATGATGTCGTTGTCGTAAGGAGCGTTGTCTCGCGGGTGTCACAAGTGGGGCGGCTTCTCCAGCTTCCATAGCTCTAGCAGAAAGCCGCGAGGATTGCTGGCGTCCACCAGAAACAGGGCTCTGCTCGCGTCCTGGCCGAGCATTTGTCATAATATCACGCATCGCAGGTGACTGCCTGTCCCGATCATTCCCGACAGCTCTTAGATTGTCAACAGGCGTCATTCCTCTTTCCCCTCCTTTCGGTGGTTTGCTTCGTCCACCGTTACCACCAGCATTAGGGTGCCTAGGTGTTGGAGTTGGTGCTTGTCCGGGAGGGGGTGGTCCTGCTGGAGCTTGGGCGATAGATGCCCGGGGTAAACGAGACCCTGGGCCACCAGGGGCCGGACTCGACGCATCAGGCCTACCGGAGGAAGCGCTTTCGTGACCTGATGGTGGCCCACGGCGGCCGTGCAAGTCTGGAGTTGAATTTTGTGCTTCGCGTGATGTACGGCCGGATGTAACTTGTCGATCTGCCTGACCTAGTTTGCGGGGGCCGCTGCCGGTGGGAGAAGTGGGACTAGGTTCTGTAGGATATCGAATTTTGGCAGTGTCCAAAATATACACGAGGCTGAGCTCTTCGAGATCGCGACTCTTTGTGCTCGGTTCTCCCCCAAGCACTATGATCTGTTTCCCGAACACGGTCATGCTATGACCAGAGCGGGGGGAAGGCGACGGGCCCATGTTTTGGAAAGAAAACCATCGTCTAGTTGTGATGCGGAATGCGGCTAAATCTGCCAAATCTGCGCCTTCTTCAGTGCGTCCGGAAAAGATATACATAACATCATTAATTAAGGCCGCAGCATGTCCTTCTCTCGCCGCTGGAACGAAACCAACATAATCTAGTTGTGTCCATAGGTTCGTTCTAGGGTCGTAGCACCAGACGTCATTAAACCATTCGATCCCATTCGTTCCACCAAATCTACTAGAATTAGTACTAACACATAAAATTGTACTATTAGTGAAGGAACTCACAGGTAAAGTTTATCATTGAAACTGACGACGGAGTGGTTCGTTCGAGCTGGTGGAATTTTGCCCGGGGGTGGCCCACCATCATGGCTATTGCGGATTAAAAATTCCCATTTATTCGACGGATTTTGGAGAGCATTGAGGTCGAAGGCAACTAGGTCATTGAAGAAAAAGCCTTCCACCTGGCCACCGAAAACATAGATCTTTGAGCCTAATATATTCAACGTATGGCCATATCTGCCTGCAGGTCGGGGTCCGGGAGGGACAGCACGAGACCATTGTCGAGATGCTGGAGTAGTAATGAGCGATCTAGGAAACCAAAACAATAAGGCAATCAATATCAAGGAGCAGAGAAACTCACAAGTATTTAATAAATATAATGTATCGTCCAATGAATGATTCTCCTCCGTTTTTGTATCTCCTCCAAACACAATAAATGCGTTTCCAACTAACAAACTTGCATGTCCAACTCTAGGACCAGGCCCTTCAGTCACAGGGTTGATAGGGAAGCAGGACAAGTTCCCTCCATTATTTTCCACCATCCATAAATCCCCTTTGGCAGTTGCACTTCCCACCAAGCCACCCATCATGTAAATATCACCCTCTTTCGAAGCTACGCCATTAACTGCGGCGCCATATCGTGGAAAAGGTCGGGAATTTTGAGGGAAGTTTATTCGCCGCTGCGACCATGGAAACAGGGCGGGATTTGGAACCGGTGAAGGTGTGTTGTCTCCGTTTGGGATCTGTGTTCGTGGACCCTGACCAGCATAAGGTTAGTTATGGTATGGACCAGCCTCTCTTGTAGTAAGAGTATGGGCGATAGTGCATGAGACACACAAAGCTACTTGTGGAAAGGCGATAATTTCTCTAGAGGAGCCGGGGGACAGCATACCTGGGGCTCTGAGTCTGCTCTATCTCTGCGTGTCCTAGATTGATCTGGACTAACCGTGCCGCTCATAGAGTTCAAGGAGTTGCTCGCACTCCCAAAACCTGGAGACTGCACCGGTCCACCATCCCGAACACCATTGGGCGGCGCTGCTGAGGAACCTTGGGGCGTTCCTTCGGCGGTATGAATATTTCTGGTGGCTGGAGGCAAGTTATTGTTTGCGGCCTGGCTTTTCTTCGACTTGAATAGGAATGCCATAATGGGGTAGGAAGAGAGAGCGTCTCAACGTAAAGGTATCTAGGGAAAGTGAGAGTCCGAGATGGGGAGAAAACGATGACAAGGGAGACGTCAGGTCGGAATTAAAATGATAATGGCAACCAGTAGTCGTCGAAAAACGTGGTGCGCCGGGCAAAAGACAACGAGTCGGTTTCGTTAGGGGCGAATCGTGCGGAAGGTGCACGTGCGAATGAAAATGGGTGCCGTTGTGGGAACGAGAGCAAAAGGCGCTGATATAGTACGTGCCCTCTTGTCAGCATATTGTCGAATGAGTCCACCGTCATCAGTGATCGCAGACTGTCCGCTCCCAGATAAAGGATAAAAGATAAAATGGGGGGGGGAAGGGGGGTGTCTGAGCATACAATAATACCGGCAAAATGGGTCGTGCTGGTTCCTGGATTTGCGGCTCCAACTTTTTTTGGAGGGTCCAACCAAGGTTCACTGACCAGGCGCGTTCCTGAGCCACCAAAACCGGTCGTCAGGAAAAGTCGACGAAATCACGAGTAAATGCCAATAGCAAGACCATTGGATGCTACCAAGCGGTCAAGTCGACAGGAGTCGCGGCTGTCGAAGGGTAAAGGGAGTGCAAAGCGAATGAAAGCAAATCGTCTTGGGGACGGGCAGGTTGGGTGAGCAAAAGGACCATCAAGTAACGGCAACGCGGCCAACAGGGAACCCAACAGACAAGAGAGGGCATGAAAGGGGCCCTCGTCACGCAATCATGAGAACTCGCCTGGTTGAAGGGCTCCCGACAAGTAGATGCACGGCGAGTCCGGTGCTGTTTGCCAAAGTCAGAGACGAAGAGGAAGAAACAGCATGTTCCTGCTCAATGTCAGGTTCAAGATGAGGTTCCCGTCCGCCGTTGGTCGTTGGTTTGGGCGAGAAAAAGAAGTTGGTTGGGCTCAGGGGCGCCAAGCCCGCCCTGATCAGGCCTAGTTACCTAAGTTAGTGAGCCGCTCCTTGGGGGGGGGGACTCTTGTGACTTGTGGGTACCAGCCAGATACCTCGACCGCACCAAGCTTCTCCCCTGTGAATGAGGTACCAGTACAGTACCCGCCTAACGCTGTCAGATAAACTATCCCGCAAGACAATTGCTGGATACCCGCCCTATGCGGTTCCGTTATCCCTTCTCAGGTCTCTCTCTATATTTTCCACAAGCAATGTCGTCTTGATAGTTATCGACCGAAGCAATTGTGCGTATATATAATAACATCGACACGGTAGTTAATACGCTTCACTAATTCTTTGGGTAGTTATCACCTTACAAGTTGGGTCACGGCTTCAACAGCTTTCAAAACTGTGCACCGTACAGGATGTTTTACCTTAATACTACTAGACGCTGGGAAACTACGAAGGTAGTTCCCAGGCAGGCCTAGAAACCTCGAGAAGACGCGCGCTGGACACAAATAGATGCTTTACCTTGTATATAAAGTCGCCGGTTCACGCTGCTGGCGGTGCTTTGGGCGGTAAGTTAAGCCAAGCGCTCTGTTGTCCTTTTCTGAGCTAATTGGCGAAATATCCTTCCGCAACTTTCTTGGGTCTGGATGCGCACCGGGGATGCGTGGACTCATATCAAGGTCAATTTTAAACGGACTGGGGCTGGGGGCGCATGAATACTCAACGGGCATACGGATTACGGATTGGGGAAGAAGCTATTATTTCTGCTTGAACGGACAGTAACTACGGAATACTCTGCTTTCATACCTGCATTGCAACCTCACAGGGATCATGTCTATTATCTTGCTTTTTTTTAAAAAAAGAAGGGCGCTGGAACAAGAAGAATATTTTTGCCTTTCCTGATTGGCTTCTGGGTGCTTTTTTTTTTTTTTTTTTTTTTTTTTTTTTTTTTTTTTTGTCGTAAGTTAAGTTAACTACCTGGTGGGCGCCAGAAGAAAAACACTGTCAAAAGGGAAAAAAAAAAAAAAAAAAAAGGGGAGGGGTTGATTGACATACACTAAAATGCGATGTTGGTGATAAATTTTCTTCCCCCTGTCGCAGCTGGCCGCCCTAGACGGCCCTTGATGTTCTAAGGCGGGTGGGTGTTCCATGGAAGCAAGGAATGCCTTGTGGACATTTTCCGAAGCACCAGCAAAGAAAGCTGAGCTCTGTGTTTATATCGCTGATAAAGGAGAGAACAAAAGAATACCTTTCTGTTACCCAGATTGTTCATATATTCTCCGTCCAACCAACACATGTAATTGGGGCAAAAGCACAAGTGACAAAAGAAGTTACAAGATCCGCGGGGCAGGTAGAAAGTGGCATATCAATATCATGAATCCGGGAAATAAATGTAGCTAGATATGCAGTATCTACCATAGTAGTAAATGCCCAAATTATTCCCTGGGGAATAAAATTGAGTGTTCTGGAGACTAATCCAAGTGCGTTTCAGAATATGCCCGAGTGAATCGCTTTCGAACCTGAAAATGCAAAAGTAACCTGCCTCTTCCCCTGAATACGGTAACTTAACTGGTTCTGTCAGGTTTTCAAGTAGTACAAGATTCTCCGTACTTTGTCCTCCACGGGGGAGTGCTGTACTCAAGTGTTGGATAACCAACCTGTTTGCAACATATATGCAAGATAGAGCAGTACAAGATAGTAGGAGGAGAGGGTGGAAAAAGAAGAAATGGCTGCAAATAAAGGGGAAGGCATGAAATTATAGATCTACGTTTTATGCAAAAAGAACGGAGTTGAGTGGAACAGCGAGTATCGAAACATTCCAAAGAGCTTTCTTTCTTCTAATCAGTGTAGCTACTTATACATATAAAGTCGCCTGATTGCCTACCCGGCTGCAGATTTGAAACTGAAATTGGGATTGATCCAAAACATCGAGGGATTAAGCTAACTATATAAAATTGACGTAATATAATCTGCTCATCAACACGGGGGTAACCAAAACGATAGCAAGGACAATATCATCTGCCATGGCATGAAGTCAGGATCGAATAGACTATATACTAACAGTTGCCCTCCGAAGAAAGAGGAATGAGAAGTTGCCATTCTTCTCCGTGCTGTAGCCTCTACCAGTCCACTGTCCAACAAAACATACCTCATGTTAGGCAGAAGACAATGTACTCTATCCTTCTATCATTTATAGCAACTGCCTGGGCAAAGCTTGTGTTGAATGTGCTGACAAACTCTCTCTTGATGATAAGTTGCCGCCAGTTACCGCGTCCAAGATCTCAATAATAAATACCATGTTGATAAGAGCAAAAGAGCCAAGGTTGAGAGCGGGTTACTAAGGGGTTCTTAACAATTTAGATGTACATGTACATGTACATGTACAGTACATACAATAATATCATAAGATGTCTCCGTCTGCAAAAAGCGAAGGGGCGGGTCGAGCTCTGGATAATGTGAGTTCAGAGGAGCATTTCCAAAGCATTAACTGGCCAGCCTGCTTTCTGCCCGCAGATACGATTGACACGGAGTTTGCCGGAGTCAGTCGTCCTCTCTTCAATAGCAGTAATGCCTGCACCTCAATCAGGGTCGGGTGTCAGTCTTACTTGTACTCGTTCGTGTCCTGCTCGTGATGAACGAGTTGCAGAGGGTTAAATGGCCACAAAGCAAATCTTGTGAAATATGATTAAGTCTCATCCCCATTCAATTGACGCTCTGGCAAACATCGGATGTGAGCGAAGGCGAAATCGGCTCATATGCTGTCCCAGCCATCCAAGAATGCCGCGATCAACTTCCTACTCCGGACATGAGGGAATACGTCGCAAGTGAGGTATGGAAGATCCACGCAAGGGAATTGCATATCTCGTTAGAGGCGGGTATCTGTCGACTTCGAATCTAAGTCAGAACTCCTTCACGGGTATGAATTTCAATTGCACTGCGTAGGTTAGCTATTGTGTGAGCCATCTAAGCTTGCAAGCGGTGCCGATTCCTTCCATGTGAATGAGAATTGAATTGACTAAGTTAAAGCTAGCGAAGCGGCTCCTCGTCTGGCGCTTAACGGTGTAATTAGCGAGAGCAAGTAAAAACTAGTTACCGGGTAATAATTATTCCGCCGCCAACCCCCGGTCGCGGATGGCGTCGAGGAGACCAGAAGATATAGAACGCCAGACTTCCCAGGACAACGTAGGTTCTGTTTCTCCGAGGCAGATCTACAATAAAATTTAATTGTCAGAGGCTCAGGATGTGCTCCTCTGCTAATGTTCATTCCTATTAACGCTGTTTTGGCCTTTGACCAGACGTCCATGGTTGTGATTATATCCACCTTGGTGCAACCCCGTATGGTGAGTTCCGGCGCAAGGCAACGGCGCTCTGGTTGTGGGACGTTGTCGCTATCAAAATAATAATGCAGGTTCTAATACATTTATATCAGCTTAATAGCCGTTGCCAGTCGCAATAATACCTCTCTTTGTTTCATCGAATGCAAGCCGTTGCAACCAGCTTGAAGCCATGAATGGCTTCCTTTGAGGAAGGACCTCAACTTTGACATGGATCGAACTGCGCCAGTGCAGACGTCTCCCAATATGGCACAAGGTGTTGGCCCACAACCGCGTGGGCAAGGAAAGTCGGTCCGAGTCGCCTTCGGTCCACAGGTCGACGAGTATATACCTCCGTCAAACGATGTACCATCCCCTTCTACACTCAGCCACCCGCGGTCCAAGACAACCGTCATCGAGGAGCTTCAAAGTAATGGAAGGCCGGATTCCTCGCAAGCTCCTTCCAGTAGCGCGGATGGAAATAATGGGCCTGCATCAGCCGTGGTAAAAAGAAACCTACGCCCGACACCCGCTCTCATCCGGGCGAAGAGCGAACACTTCCCCAAGTTCGGTGTGGAGAATGGGGCTCCGAATAGTGACGATGAGGATTTCCAGTTAAGACACGGTTGGCATGAAGAGTATACTTCCAGTGAATATCTAAAGATCCTCAATTCCGTGAGTATTAACGTATCGCGGTTTTTTTCTTCTTCTCTCATTAAGAGGATTTCTAACTATAGGATGCATAGAGCTTTTATATGTATTTCAAGGAGAAACGGCATGAAACTAATGGCATACCGAAGGACCCAGCTGGTAGCTGGCCGAGCCAAGACTGGCGCATGAGAGATCGACTGAAAACTGTTTCCGCCGCGCTGGCCATCTGCCTAAACATTGGTGTCGACCCGCCAGATGTAGTGAAGACCAACCCCACCGCGAAGCTGGAATGCTGGGTGGACCCAACATCTACTACAGGAGCACAAAACAAGGTGATGGAACAAATTGGAAAGAAGCTGCAAGAGCAATATGAAACCCTCAGTCTTCGTACACGCTATAAGCAATATTTGGACCCTTCCGTCGATGAGACGAAGAAATTCTGCATCTCTCTTCGCCGTAACGCGAAAGACGAGCGGGTGCTTTTTCATTACAATGGACATGGTGTCCCTTTACCAACCAAATCTGGGGAGCTTTGGGTATTTAACAAGAATTATACCCAATATATCCCGGTTTCATTGTACGATTTGCAGACTTGGCTTGCCGGGCCAAGCTTGTTCGTGTTCGACGTTTCTCATGCGGGCAATATCGTCCATAACTTTCAAACATTCGTAGAGAAGCATGAGAAAGAGAACGTCGAACTTCGTGAACGAGATCCAAATTCACCTATTCAGAATTATGGCGACTGTATTTTACTCGCCGCTTGCGAGAGAACCGAAACCCTTCCAACTAACCCCGACCTCCCTGCTGACCTTTTCACCTGTTGCTTAACAACTCCCATCGAAATTGCCTTGAGATATTTTATTCTGCAGAATCCTTTGCACACCAGCATATCCATCGACGAATTCAGAGTGCCTGGACGTCTCCAAGACCGAAGGAGCCCCCTTGGTGAATTGAATTGGATATTTACCGCAATTACGGATACGATTGCTTGGAATACCCTTCCTAGACCACTATTCAAGAAACTTTTTAGACAGGATCTCATGGTTGCTGCCCTGTTTAGGAATTTCCTACTCGCCGAACGGATTATGAGGGCTCATGAATGTCACCCAATTTCCTCACCCAAGCTACCCGAAACTCACATGCACCCTCTGTGGCAAAGCTGGGATCTTGCCATCGAGATGGTCCTTGCTCAGCTCCCGGCTCTCATTGAGCATGAGGAAGGCAAGCGGCATTATGATTATCAGCACTCATCATTCTTCGCTGAACAACTCACTGCTTTCGAAGTTTACCTTTCATCAGGCCCGACAGAGAAGACGCCTCCTGATCAACTTCCAATCGTGTTGCAAGTGTTGTTGAGCCAGGCTCATCGCCTTCGTGCATTGATTTTGCTCAGCAAATTTCTTGACCTAGGACCGTGGGCAGTTCATCTAGCTCTGAGCATCGGTATATTTCCATATGTAGTCAAACTTCTACAGAGTACCGCCCAAGAGCTTAAACCTGTCATGGTTTTTATTTGGGCTAGGATCATGGCTGTCGACCATACTGTCCAGAATGATTTGCTCAAGGATAATGGAATTCACTATTTCATCAACATACTCAGCCCTTCGTCGCCCATTCCTGTCGGTAATGCTAGCGAACACCGTGCTATGTGCGCATTCATTGTTGCAATATTTTGCAAATACTACCCCCAAGGGCAAAATGTTTGTCTTGCTCCCGAGCTTTTCGAAGCTTGTCTTACCCATTTGATGGATGTCGAAAATCCACTTCTGCGCCAATGGTCGTGTCTCTGCTTAAGCATGCTTTGGCTTGATTTTCCCGAAGCAAAATGGGTTGGTATTCGATGCTCTGCACCATCGAGACTCTGCGAACTAACTCTGGACCCTGTCCCAGAGGTACGCGCTGCGATGCTACACGCCTTAACCAGCTTTATTGGAATCCCTGATTTGACCGATCAAGTGGCTCAGGTTGAGGAATATTTGGCACTCAGTGTGATGCCTATGGGTTCTGATGGAAGTGAGTTAGTAAGAAAGGAGCTTTTAGTGTTCTTGTCGACATTTGTGAAACGATATCAGAACAAATTCCTCGTCGCTGCATATGAACAGCTTCTTGAGGAACGTCACATTCTTTTATATCAAATGCCTGCCAACAAGCATATCCAAATGCCACCATTCCCGTACGAAAATGGAGTGTCCTATAACACGATATTTGGCTCAATCTGGAAACTTGTCCTCATGCTATCGGTCGATCCGCACCCCGAAATCGCCCGGGATGCTGACATTATTGTCGATTATATTCATAAATCCCTGATGGAGTCTCCAATGCGAGCGTTAGCTCAAACTGCCAGAGATGAAATTCTGAAACTATTCTCTCGTGTCCACGTCAATAAAACTCGGCGCGTGGAACAGGCCGATATGAAGCGACCGCCCACTATGCCACCAGCCCAGTCGAACATAGCACCGAAGGCTGAAGGATATCTATCTCTTAGTTTGAGAAGAACGGCTAGCGTAGCTACGTCCTTGAAAAATCTAGCTTTTGGCTCAGGTGCTACCAATGAACGCCCTGGATCGCCTGATAGATCAGCTTCAGTGAAACGTCGGATCCCTATCACCCCACGGGGTCGGGCGCCTGCTGAATGGACTCGACCTCCTGAGGTTAATGATCAACCAGCCACATCGGGGTCGTATCGCCAAGCGCGTATCCCGCTATCCCGGGGCTTTCAGCCAAGAGATATGACAGCCAGTCCTACCATTCCCCTGGAAAGCAAGTTTTTAGACTGGTCAACTGAGGTAAGCTAATCCCTTTTGCAACGTTTTTCAGCACTTTTATAAATTTTACTTGGTGAACGGATTCTTCTAACATTGCGGATAGTACTTTCGCGAGCCCCAAATGAAGCCCAATGAATCAGATGAACCCGGCAGCGCGGATTATAATGAACGTCTTTGGAGGCGAGGCCGAAATGAGAAAATCATTACGGATACTCAACCGCTAAAAGAACGGGCAGGAACTAACCGTTGGGACACCTCATCTGCTCTTCTGAGCAATCCGACTCAACCAACGAAAATGTGTTTCCACCAATTTGAGGATCACATTGCGGTAGCTGACGATAGAGATACTGTCTGGTATGTGCTTTTAATCAAGTCAGACCTTGGAGGTGGCTCACTAACTGGAAATTAGTATCTGGGATTGGCAAAATCAATCACGTCTCAGCCGCTTCTCCAATGGCAACCCATTAGGGTCGAGAATCAACGAAATACGATTCATCAACGAAGACGACCAAGCTCTTTTAATGACTGGCTCCTCAGACGGTGTTTTGAAAATATTCCGCAGATATGAATCCGGCTCAGACGTTGAGATTGTAACAGCCTTCCGTGCCCTCCCTGACTTGATCCCTAGCAACAAAAATGCGGGTTTGGTTTTCGACTGGCAACAGGGGCAAGGGAAAGCACTTGTTGCCGGCGACACAAAAGTCATTCGCGTCTGGAACGCCGCCACTGAAGTTTGCACTAACGTGAGTTTCTATTTTTACGATCTAAATTTAAGTGCAAGGCTTCTAACTTGTATTAGGATATATCTGCACGCTCGGGTTCTTGTATAACCTCCTTGACATCCGACCAGGTTGCTGGAAATATTTTCATCGCCGGATTTGGTGACGGTGCCGTGCGAGTATTTGACCAACGCCTGAAACCCACAACGGCTATGGTTAAAGTGTGGCGAGAACACAAACAATGGATCACGAATATCCATATGCAACGCGGAGGAGTTAGGGAGCTGATTTCTGGTAGCCGAAATGGCGAGGTCCGTCTTTGGGACTTACGAATGGATACGTCAATAGACATGATCCAGGCCACTAGGGACACCCTGCGGACCTTAGCCGTGCATGAACATGCACCTGTTTTCAATATGTGAGTGTCCCTTGAGTTATCCCTTTATTCATTCTTGGTTATATCTTCTGGACAAAACTGACACGATCGGTCTATCCCATAGTGGCACCAACCGCCATGAAGTTAAAACCTTCAATACCGATGGCACCTACCTCTCTACCTATGAGCCTCACGTTAGTTTTCTACACTCCAACCGATCCTCGCCAATCATAAGCACAGCCTTCCACCCACACAGGACAATCCTTGCTTGTGCGGCTCTCAGCGATAACCATATCAATCTTGTTTCATGCTAAAGCAACCATTTGGCTGTCCATCGAGTCGAGACTTTTAATCACGTTCTATTTTTTTTCTTCCTCTTCTTCTCCTCATGGCCTAGGTGTTCCACCCCGCATTACTTCACTAATATTACTCTATATTGCAAATAAATGGGTTTTCCTTCTTCTTTCTTATCACATGTTTCTGAGTAAAATAATCCCCTTTTATTATTACCAGGCGCCACGAAGCGAGGGGGGTGTGGGGTACTGAATTGCGTTATATTAATGGCATACAGTTGTATTTCCTCCATTTCAACCAGCGATTCGTTTCATTTTCCATTTTTCTCCGCAGTATGCTACCTTTTACAAGGGATACTTAATTCCCCATCGTCATTGACACTGTTCTCTTTTCCCTTCCTTTCGTCTTCTTCTCCTTGTTCATGACACATTGCTAAATTTGTACACGCTTGCTTGTTCTCCGTCTCTCTCTGATCCCATTCCCTACTGTTAAAATATTCCATTTCCATGGATGGTCCAGTGAATTTATTTTTATTATTATTATTAATTTTCATGTTTTGTGAAGGTATCTGTACAGACAGAGCTGGCTGCAGATATGATTCAATTTTAATTGAAATTCCAGTTCTTCCCTCACATCACACAGTATGTACACATCACAACGCCGCCATCAACGTTCACTCTTAATATTGGGCTTACATTCTCAACTTGTCCCGTATTATAAAATAATACGAAACAAAATATGCCAGAAACCCCAGTAGGAGGAAGAAGGTCATGCCATACACTCGATCTCTGAAGACGAATTTCAAAAGTGAATTTCCCCAGTTCAATCCATCACCGAGCTCGTCTAAGGGTCGCTGAATGCTCTCTGCCCATCATGACATCGAGGTCGAATCTTTAGTTCCCTTCATTTGTAGCTAGTGGTAATAGGAAAGCCAAATGGTAAAACAAAAGCGGGATGAAGAACGAAAATTGTGATCAATGAAGCTAGAGAAGAGGTAAGTAGTAAGTGAAAAGGTAGAAACTGATGGGGAGTACTAGAAAATTGTAAACAACAATATCAGGGATGTTTTGAGGAATATCTCGATCAAAATCTATTGCTAGAAGCTGCAAAACCAGTGTATCCCGTGCTGTGCTGTCCGATGTGTGCATGAATATCCCCTTCCAGTCCTATTCCCTAATGCATGCCTGACCAATTGCAATACAAGAAAAGGGTAAAGAGAAGGGAAAAAAAAAAAAAAAAAAAAAAAAAAAAAAAAAAAAAAAAAAAAAAGAGAGAGAGAGAGAAGAAGAAAAGAAAAAAAGAGAATGAAAACATCCCTATTCATCATTAACAGCCCTCTGCACCCAGTCCGTACGCCCAGTTGAAGGCAAATTTATTGTCGCTTTGAAGCAAGGGAAAATAAGAAATCCTATTCTTTAGAGAAAGCACTGCACGCCGCATTGTTGCCAAATGTAAACCCCAGAGACAAAGCAAGAAGAAAGACAATTTTCCAAACAACAATAACGGTGCTTGCTACTAACTCCAAGAAGGCCACGGTCTCACGCCTTCTACATGTTCCCCTAGAGACCTTTACCCTCTCTCTACGGTTCCATTGCTCTCTTCATACGCAACGAGCGGATTTTTAGACAAAGGATGGCGGGGCGGGGGCAATTTCCAAGGATCAGTTATAGGATCTAGGTCAAGAAAACTTTTGCGACTACTATGTATAGGTTCATAGCAAAACTGTGGTGCAGGCCCAAAGTTCGCAAAGCCTTTGGTTTGGTTAGAGCCATTCAGGGTATATAACTGCAGATTGACGAGAGCTTGCCCCAATAAAACAGTTCCGGCTTCAGCCACCCCTTCCCGCTCGCCAGGCCGAAGTGGCATCCTTGTAGTCCGTTGACGTTCCGCCTCATCTCGCGCAATTTCAATTATACGCTGACGAAGCTTATCCTCACCTCGAGCATCTGTGTGGAACCAGATGTTAGACCGAACGAGTCTCGAGATAGGAGTCCCTTTCCCGGCGTGTTTATCAACCAAACCTCCTTGAATGCTTGGTGGAATTGGTAGCCCGGGTGGGGGAAACTTGAACTTGAACCGTGACTGTGATGAATTAGTCGATTTAGAGAGAACCTCATCACTTTCGGGTCTGTTGGCAATTGCAGATGCAAATACTGGACTCACGCTCGTTGGACGGTCGGAAGAAGCATATGTTAAGGGCATGGAGGTTGATATACGGCTGGGGTCTGGCAAACCTCCCTGTATTTGCCCATTGTTGGGTGTACGTTGAGCTTGTGGAGTTGCCACATTCTTAGCTAGGGATGGATCTTGTTGGAGAGCTTTGCGGGAGGATTTTAGTGGATTTGCGGTTAGGGGTGTAGAATGGATTTCGCCCACGTAATCTTTGCACTCGATTTGAAATTCTTGATCGCGATTGTTTTCAGTCGTAGTTTGGGAAGTCGTTATGGCATTATTCAAATATTTCGCAGCGTCGTGTAGCTTGGGGTTGGATGGTTGATCCGAATTGATGCGTTGAGGCGAGGTGCCGACATTAGTTTGATGAGAAGCATGAGGCTTTAGAGATAAGGGTAACTGGCTTGAAAGTGAAACTGAGGCACTTTTTGTGTTATCAGTGTCCTGGCATGATTCTGCTGTAGCACAAGAAGTTACAGCTTCTGAAAACATATTAGGAACCCAAGAAGGTTGTACCTGGCCAGGGCCGAATCCAGAATAATAGGTATTACCTGGCTCACGATTCATGGGAGGTGGTTTCAACGAACGGTCCTGATCGATATGACCGGTCATCTGGCCATGGTACCCAGCACATCTTCTACAATTTGGATGACACATATTTTGCGCTTGACTATTTGGATTACCAGTAGATCCTTGCGGGTAGTTTCCTGTTTCGAGATATATTTGTGCCACCATACTATATTGTAAAGCTCTCAATGCCTGCTTTTCTTCCTGTTTGGTAGGACTGATATCGTCAGGAACCATTATGCGTGGACCAGTTCCTGGAGTGGCATTGGTTGTAGGAGGCACGATTGTAGGTCGAGGGTTCTGGTGAGGGAGGTTAGTACCCAAATTCTGTTGAGGGTATCCGAATGTTTCTTTCTGGCCTAGGTGCGGCTGTTGTCGTATTCCTTGAGGCCATTGAGGAGCACGCTGGGGCGAGATCCCATGGAAGCCAAACATATTCGACCTCGGATCGATTGTTGTAACATTCCTGAGCGGATGGCTAACACCAGTTGCGCTAGGAGTAAAAACTGGAGCAGGTAGCCTTGCGCCATGGTTTGGATGTCGACGATCCATTTCGTCTGAATCTTCGTCTAGGTCTTCGAGACTGAATGGTACCCACGATTTTGACCCTTTGTTCCGACTATGTGTTCGAACAGCGAATGAACTTAGGGAGATTGGCCTTGAAGAAGGAAGGTTATCAATGTCGTCTAGCTCTGCACTCGATTTCCGTGACCTCGCTGCTCGAAAATGAGATTGACAAAAAGACGAATCGCGGGTTGTATGTTCAGAACCGCACCTGGCTGAGCGCGTGGGCTTGGAGATTGGTTTCTCTGTTGCCGTAATCTCAGCGGAAGATGGTCTTGAACGGATGGCAATAGTAGGCTCAGACGTAGTGAAGGTAGAAGATGGAGGGCATATAGTAGGAATTTCCCTGTTGGTAGTGGGAGAAATTTCGCATGGGGAGGAGATAGTCTCAGGGGGTGTTATAGAAGAAGGGTTGTTAGTGGGGACAGCAGGTTGTTTTGTACACTGCTTTTGAAAACAACTCTTCACAGGAATTCCTTCAGCTGGTGTTGTCATCAGGCCTGCTTGTTTTAATTCATTGCCTGAGAGACAAATGTCACTGTTTTCTATTGTTGGTGACGTGGTGGTAGCTGCAACAACAAGCCCATGATCTTCACCATCACCATTCTCATCAATATCATCATCCTTGGCACAGATATCAGAGTCCATGGACCCAGACCGCGTCGTAACAAAAAAAATAGGAGCTCTACCAGGAACTATGCTCCCAATCGTCTCAGTGGACTTCTGTTTGGAAGATCGGGATCCTAGGCATGTTTGTTGTCAGTCTCATTGAAGTACTACGGAAGCAGAAAACGGTAGGGATGTTCTAGCACCCGGGAAAGCCTATTAATACATACTGCGATGTGTCTTCTTCGGATACAGGGCCTCCATTGCACCACCTCGTCTACAGAAAGCTGTGAGTCCAGGGGAAACAACGGAGTTCATGCGCTGGGAAGACTGTCTATAGAGATTGCAAGCGGCTCCTCAACGGGGAGTAGAAAGACCGCCTCGCGTGCTGAGGAAAACAACGCAGCAGGAAGGAGGACTCTAGCTCAATGCTGTACGCGGGGAAAGGGGAAAGAAAACTTTGACTGGGCCTGTTTTGATGAGAGATTTTGATTCTGCTGTCCTGTCTTGATAACTCGGTTTGGATGGAGAGGGATGTCAGCCCAAAAGGAAGTGGTCATACAGCCCTGCGGTCATGTCCTTTTTATCCTTCTGAAAGCTGTGCTAATAATCCACCTTTATGCGCAGTGTATCTAAAAAAATTTCAGTCCAAGAAAGTTCTTGAAAGCCACAGACAAAGAGCGTTGTAAAAGAAAAGGGACTAAAGAATCCTCCACAGGATACATGGAAAAAGTGAATGAACGCTTCTTCAAGACAAAAGCCCACAACAAGGTATGCAAAGGGCAGCGAATAATCTACCCCAAACATATTCAAGCGACTGGCGCCATGGGAAGGGAGCATGGAGCATCCGCTGATGTTGGCCATCTACCACAGTCCTTGTTCCATAGCACGGGAGGCGGGGACGCAGACAGAGGATTTGACAGATTTAAGAAGTGAAATCTATACTAGAGGAGAAGAAGGTGCAACACCTTAGGGCTGATAGTTGTATATTTCGCTCCCGGCAAAATCTTTTGTCTGATATAAAAACAAGGATGAGTACAGTACATCTATCTTACCCCGAAAAGTCAGGGTCGCTAAGCGCATCAGGAATGATGAAAGAGAATATGAAAAGTTGTGGTCAGTGTTGTGAGTCACCCACAGAAAGGCACCTCTCAAGATGAACATTCTCAGTCCTGAACCTTCTTGAACTGATTGAATGCGAGTTCGTTTTCGATCTCAGCAGTTTGAAATGATACAAACGACGTGGCTTTCCTTTAGTGGAAGTTGTCTTTTGAGAACCGTTCATGTTTGAAGATCGTATATTATTTAATACTGTACGACGTCAACGGTGTAATTATCGTATTGTATTGTAACATCAGCTCTTCGAGGTCCAAAACAACAAAGCGTTGGAACATTCCTGTCATAACATCAGATACATTACTCTCTGATAACAACGAAAACGGGCAAACTAGTAAGTAACTTAAATTAAGACATAATTTATACATCAATCAAGAAAATAATGAAGAACATAAGGATAACACTGATGTTTATCATCAAACTCATAACTACCCCATGTTCAAATTCCCCGCCGGGGGGAGGGGGGAACATCAAGAAAAATGTAGTCAGTCCAGAAAGAAGAAAGCTTCTCGAGCCAATCCCTAAACAGTCCCAGATCCGTACTCCCTCAGCGAGTCCCCCGGCTTCATACTATGTCGTCGCGTACGTTCGTGTTTTGGGTCATTATGGGTGACTTCTGGAGCTCCGACATGCTTGCTCATCACACTCGGGGGCACCTGAGCTGCGTCCGTAGGGTCCTTGTTGTCGAAGTTTCCAGTTCGCGAGCTAAATAGAAAAGAAAAAGAAGTTGGCGAATGAGGCTCGACGAGATAGGCGGGTTTCAACCTACTTGTGGGTTGCGCCTCGGCCGACTGTGCGGCTGCCATCGAGATCGGAATCCACTCTATTGTTTTGATGTTTTGTTAGCTGGCCGGTCGTTCATTTATCCATGCACTGCGTAGGATAAAGTATGGGGAGCCGCTTCTTCCTTTTCACTTACCTTGGGTCGAGTTTGTTTGCGAGATTGGAGTCGTGGGGACCGGCGGTGCGGCTGGCTGTTCCCGAGCCGACACTTGAGTGCATGACGTTCGAACCGTGGTGACCAGCGGAATGATGACCTGTTCCTGAGCCAAGAGCTGAACTAGTGTCCCCTACCCCACCGACTCCAACACCCCTAGACGCCTTTGTGCTGCTAGGCAAAGGATTAGCTTGCATCAGGCCAGGCTCTGAGCTGTGGTGGCCAGTTGCGTGGTGGGTTGTTCCTGCACCGAGGCCGGCACCAGCACCCCCCAGGGCTCCGTGTCCCATATGGCCATTGCCACCGAGCTTGGAGCTGTGGTCGAAAACATGAGTATTAGTAACTGAAATATGGGCGTCTCTCCGGACGCTGAGCCTCAATTCTCCTTACCTCTGCTGCGCTGTGCTAGTATGTGGTGGTTGAGTGCCAGAGGTCATTCCAGAGTGGGTGCCGTGGGTTCCATAGCCTAATTTCAAGGTTGGTTGTTAGTCCGATTATGCCCTCGGATTGAGGTGTAAAGACAGATAAAGATAGATGAAAAGGACGCTATACTGGCACCGGTGCCGGCTTGAGAATCCACACGAGGGTCAAGTTTATTGGCAGTAGTGGAAGAGTGTGGTGGTTGAGTGCCAGACGTCATCCCAGCGTGGGTGCCGTGGGTTCCAGGGCCTAATTTGAAGGTCGTTAGCCGGATTGTGCCCCTGGGTTGAGGTGCAAAGACAGGAAGCTATACCAGCACCAGTGGTGGCTTGAGAATCCACACGAGGATCAAGTTTGTTAGCGACCTTTGAGGAATGTGGTGGCCGAGTGCTGGAGGCCGTTCCCCCATGAGTGCTATGGGTTGTGCCCTGGGTAGTCTGGGTGCCATGGTTTCCCTGACCTACTCAGAATTGTCAGATCGATGCATGGAAATGAGTAGGTAGGAAGAGCAGTCATACCAACACCAGTGGTGGAATGGGTATTATCTGATTTGTGATTCGGATGGCCAGTCACGGCGTCCTTAACTTTGTGTACGATGTTCGACATGATTATGAATGTGGGGATAGTCTGCTTATTCAAGGAGGTAGGTACAGTAAACGTTCTTTCAAAGAATTATAAGTAAAAACAGCAGTTGAATTTATATCTTGTTGATGATGTTGACAGAAGAGCTATAATCTAAGGGGTCTGGATGGATTCTTATATGGTTCGTTTGCCTCACTAAACGTACTCCGTACGTCCCAACTTCCAACTCTAGAGCGGTAGGCAAGCCTACTAACAATTCAATTGAGTCATTGTAATTCGTGGATCTTGGGCCTCAAGTGTACAAAACAGCGGCAGTTATTCCGTGATCAAGATAGAAAAGCTCCAGTGGGGCAGATGCGGTAATAATGACGAAGTTCAAGTTGTGGAACGGGCGGCAAAGGTAATATGGGAGTGAGGTATAGAGATAAACTCCCTGATCCCTCCTTATTGAACGCCTGTCGAGGTGGATTGCGATGTTTACCTCGCCTGAATCTTGCAACGAACCTTGACGTCATATTTTTTAGCATCAAATTTAACTTCTTAGTCATCCCGGCACAAAAACTTGGCGCCAAATCAGTCCCATATAGGACAGTGAGATTCTCATTGCCGCCGGTAGACAGACCAGACCGTCCGTCATAGTGGCGTGTGTGGGTGGAGAGTCTTGATATAATTCTATCTATCCCGGTAATGACGTATTGAGATAGTTAACACCTTACAAGTTTGAACCCCTCGCTATCGGAAAAAAAAAAAAAAAAAAAAAAACCAGAGAGCGGTGTTCCGTGCGTTAGAATAAAAGGATACAAACTTTCTAGCGAGGCTCACTTGCTGCGGAAATGCAGGTAGCCCTCGTGCTTTGTTAATTATAGTTCAGACTCAGGAGCTAAAAGTTATAGCAAAATCAACATTTCAAGAGAAGAAAGGATGACAGAAATTTTTGCAAGCCAGAGACTTCGTAATAATCAATGATTGGTTAGATTTAAGGCGGGAAATAAAAAGCAGGGAAAAAAAAGGCAAAAATTTGGACGCTGCCGGAATCGAACCGGCGACCCCGTCAATGCGAATGACATATTATACCACTAAACCAAGCGCCCAACGTTTCAATGATGTTTGGCATCATTACAAGACAAAATATTAGTTAAATGATCATTTGCCGGTATGGTGGGGCAAGTGTGGCTGAGGCGAGCTATTTATCTTGGCGCAACACCCACTTTTAACGTCGAACCTTACCTAGGTTAGTTATAATATCATGTGACGACTTCCTCCTCGCCAGGAGTTCCAAGGTTGTGTGTGTCCTGTCCCCAAACTTCTTCAACGACGGGCGACCTAATCTCCATCCACTCTCGCGCTGTCCTGCGCTGTTTTGTTGATTTTCGCTCTGCTTCATCTTAAATCCTTTATCAATCAATTTACTGTCTTTGCAAACCCATTATCTGCCGGCCCTCTCGATGAGTGGCCTCCTCGCGTGGCCAACGACCTAGTGGATTGGTCCAATTCCGCGTCGCCGCAACCACTACCATCATGCGTCCTCCTCGCCTTATTCTTCTACTCGCGTGCTTTATTTTCCTCCCAATCCTTCTGACCATCTTGTCGCTCCTTTCCACTCATCCGCAGCAACATGGCTCTACCTCCCAATCCTCGGTTTCTGGCGGAGTCGGGCGCCTCAGAGCCTTCTTTTCTTTCCATGCGCCTTCCTCCCTCTTCCCTCCTTCTGCGATGATAAGCCTTACCGATGATAATTCAACATTCTTCCTAGCTCGACCAGCTGCGTTTGGGCCTTCCTTGCCTTCCAACGGATTGAGCGGTCAACTCTGGATTGGAAGCGGCTTTGGCGATGATGCCCTGCGAAAAGGGGGTGTAAGCACCGGGGCTGAGGGAGAGCTTGGTTGTTCCGATGTTCCAGGATGGGAGGACACTGATAAAAATCAGAATGGTGATGTTGGGTCCGGCCAGGGAACTGCAAAGCTTACTACTGGCATCAAAGTGAAAAGCAACGCCCATCAGGGTGTGGAGGCCCTTCATAAACGACGTGACGAACACTCCCCCGATCTCGTTAGACTTGTTGATAAAGGGGGCCATCCGTCAAAAGATGATGGAACGGATGATCACTTGCATCATCCTCTTCCGGAGTCCGGCCCGCCCGGCCCCCCAAGCACTGACAAAAGCAAAGAGTTAGCACATGCTGATATCCAATCTTTGCAAGAGAGCGCGGAAATTAGAGGCAAAATTGTCTTGCTGAGTAGAGGGGGTTGTGGTTTTTTGGAAAAAGTTAAATGGGCTCAACGTAGGGGTGGTATAGCGTTAGTTGTTGGAGATCATACTAGAGGTGGCGGATTAGTGACCATGTATGCCCGTGGAGACACTTCTAACATAACAATTCCGGCGGTCTTTACATCTCATACCACCGCGCATCTCCTTTCCTCCCTCATTCCGCCCGAAACACAATCCGACTCCAACTCCCCTAAGGACCCATCGAAAACAACTTCTGGGGATAAACCGGAAAATAATGCAAATTTTGGCAAACCTGTAATGGCTACGCAGGTTACCCCAAAGCCAACTTCAGAGGCGGATTCGACGTCCTCTCGACCTAACAAAAGTTTCTTGCAGTCTCTATTCTCGGCCATCGGACTGGGTCGTGATAATCCATACCCTTGGCATCTCCAGGAGGATAGCCGTCGTCCACCAAGCAGCGGAAACATTGACTGGGTTATGCTGGATGAATTTGATGACGAAGAAACGCCTCCAAAGTCAAGGAAGTCTACACATAAGAATAAGGGGAAGGAAATCGGGGATGGCACGTCGCCTGAATCCCACCAAGGCAGCAGTGATGATTTCGTTATTGGGGTCCAAGATTGGCGAGATCCTGATCTCGTCCCAGTAGGCAAAACTAACAACCCTCCGCAAACTACTCCGAAACCAAAATCCTCCGGCTCCAAACAGAACGATGATCAAACTGGAGGGCACGGTGGCGATAGCAACAATGGCCCTAGTGGTAACGGTCTTAAAGGAGGAAGTATTACTCCAGGTAGTGGCGAATATGCTCCCCAGGATAAGTCAACAATTGGTAAGGGAGTTGGGGGTAGTTCTAATCCTAATTCAGCTTCGGATTCACGGCCTGGAAGCTCGAAACAGAATTCGCATTGGTGGTCTGGCTCGTTTGGTTGGGGAGGAGCAAGCAATGATGATAAGTCGTCGACCTCGCCATCCGGTAAGAGTGCAGGACAAAGTAACAAGAACGTTCACGGAAACTCGACTCCCTTGCAAAAGCCTTGGAAAGAAGGCAGTAAGCACTCTGATCACGAAGGTCTTTGGGTCACCTTGACCCCAACGAGCATGTCTACCAGCCCTTTTTTCGATACACTTTTGGTTCTAGTTGTCAGCCCATTGATAACCCTCACGGTTGTGTATGCATTACTATTGCTTCGCTCGAGAATTCGACGCCGCCGTTGGCGCGCACCTAAAGCTGTCGTCGACCGCCTCCCTGTTAGAACGTATCATTCTATTCCATCCGCATCATCTTCTTCAGGCACCGCCCAGACTGCCACCTCCCCCGAAGCATCGTCCCCATCTTCTCCTCTCCTATCCCATTCCCGCGCTCGATCTCCACCCCCCCGACCGTGTTCTCAAACTTCATCTGGCATCGTAGCCGCTTCACCACATGACACCACGCATAGCTCCTCATCAACAAACGCTGAAAAATCGAACTCTGATTCAAGTCTTGCTCGTCGAAGGTATACGGGCAGACAAATTGAATGTGTTGTCTGTCTCGAAGAATATATCGATGGGCAGAGCAGAGTGATGAGCCTCCCGTGTGGGCATGAATTCCACGCAGAGTGCATGTAAGTGATCTATTCCCTCTTTGACTATTATCACTCCGTCCATAATTTATACACTGACTGGCCTTGTTCCAGAACTCCTTGGCTCATTACACGTCGACGCACCTGTCCGATATGTAAAGGCGATGTTGTGCGATCGATGGGTGGACGATCCTCTAGTGGTCAGACGTCGGAAGATCCCGACCGGATGTCAGAAGATATTCAAGCCCATATTGCTGAAACGCGGAACGATTCTCCATCGGCAGCTGATCTTCTACCTAATGTCTCTGACGATATCGATTCCGACCTAGAGCGCGGGGATGATTCCAGGACATCACTACTTCACCCCTCGGAGAGCTCTAATTCCCAGTCTAATTGGAGAAATCTCGCATCCCTAAGCCTTTCTGCCTTGAGTGGCGATTCAGTGTGGCATCAATCCCGAACCCCTCGGTCTGATCGGAACCGTTAATGTCGAACTTTGCTCTCGAACTTTCTTCTTTACCACTATTTTTTTAATACTACGAAGCATTCCACTCCGTATCCCATTCACCTTCTAGGCATATTTTTCTTTTCCCTTTGTATCTTTGGTTTAGCGAACGTGGGGATTTTATTTGATCGCTGGGCACTTTGGCGTTTTAGGTGTGATTAATTATTGCTAATCAAAACAAAAATAAAACAACTGACATTAGCCTTGCGGTCCAACACGAGTTTTCGGATGTTTGAGTCAAATTACTTTGTTGTCAACTTGCAAAGACTTTCCTTACAGAATTGAGTTAATCCGGTTTCGAAAATGGAAGAGAACAAGTTGATGAAGAGAAGAGGGCTGAAGGCCTTGATTGTTCACTGGCTCAAGCCATCATTGCACAGGTGTATATAACTTTTCTTAGCTTTTAATACATCCTGCTTTGAAGGGGAAAAAGAGAAAAAAAAGAAAAAAAAAAAGATTTCGTCTTCTACATCGTGTTGGCTTGACTTAAACCTAATTGTATACAGACTGTATACCTGAGTATTTACTACTATGTTGATGTCAGGTTACAGATGAACATGGTGCTAAAAAACCTAGACATGATGCTAAATTTTTGACTCACTTTTTTGACACTATGTTCAGCTTTGAAATCATGCTGTTTCTCAATGCTAGAACTATAACTATACCAGACACATGATCAACTTTGATACTCTTTTCCACATATATAATTAGACTGGCCAGCAGAATCATGAATTTCATGTTTGATCTTATTTAATCTGATCTCATACATTTCTTGATGTGAGTTTCACCAGAATCTATCATTAAAAAAATGTGAAAATGAATCCTTTTTTTTCAGAAATGATGAGAAATGAGAGTAATAATGTCTAATAATTAACAGTGAAAGATGATCATTTTTCAAAAATCAGAATGAGACTGAAACTGAAAGATAAATTCAGTCTCATTATAATTATTTATATAATGAGAATTTGATAACATAATCTATAAATAAAGTGAGTCAGTCATTTTCTCATCATTTTGCATGTTTAAAATTGTCATGGTTATAGAGCCGCCAGGTCCAGGCTGCACCCATCCTTATATAGTGGTGGCTTGCTTGCTCCTGTCCAGGGTCTACCGTTACAATTTTGAAATCATATTAATCTAAGTTAAAATCATACTGAGCTGTTTTTTCAGCCAAAGTTAGCATTATATTCAAGTTTCATCATATGCTCTATTGATGTAACTAGCAGTAGAGTAGGCTAGGAAATAAATAAGCTTTTGGTTCCGCAGTTTGGCGTGGGTCACCTGACTGACGTCATCCAAGGAGCTCTGCAGCATCTTCCTGCTATAATTACTGTATATATCTATGCCAACACGCTCTAACTTTTTGCGAAGAGGAAAAGTGTTGACGACCCAGTACTATACTAGTCTATATCTCTCTTACAACTTAACTGACCGACCAACATAGCGAGGGAGACTCAACCGTAAATCACACCTCACCGTACAACAGGATTTATCAATATCCACCATGGCCGACAAACTCAAGACCATCTTCATCCGCGAGGTTAATGACCTGAAAGCACTTCTAACGGAAGCAGGCAGGTCAGGCACATACATGTATCCCTTCCAGGTATGTGCATATATTTCCCACTGATATTTTCAATGCCTTGGAGAGCAACCCAAACACCCCGCACAATCATAGGGAATGCAATTGTAAAATCAGGTAGTCCGACATATTCTAACAGAAAACACCAGGGAATCTTCTACTTTATCGCCCATCGCTCCCTCTGGCAACCTCTCGTGTCCAAAATCGCCCCAACAGTCTCCCTGGGCATCCTCGTAACCTCCACAATGTTCTTCTTCACCTACATCCCTCAAGTTGCCATCCTAGCCTTCACCAGCGGACCCCTGGCGCCATTCTCCGCAATCCTCCTCGTCCTCAGCGAAAGCTCCACGATTACAAACTACCTCTCGCGCAGCTTCATTCTTCGCGATTCCCTCGTTGACATCTTCGACGGCACGCTGATTGCTCGTGGCGACACAGCGCTAGTCTCTGAGGGCCGGCAGATTAAAGGTTCTTCATCATCCACGGATCCAATGGCTCGGTTGGGGGCTGTGATTCGGAAACCATTGGCGATGTTCTCGTTGTCATCGTTGGTGAGATCGTTGATGTATTTACCACTAAATATGATTCCTGTGGTGGGGACGGTGTTGTATGTCGTTTCTCAAGGAAAAAGACTCGGGCCAGTAATGCATGAGAGATATTTTCAACTTAAAGGGTGGGATTCGAAGAAGAAGCGAGCATGGGTGGCCGCGCACCATGCTGCGTATACGAGGTAAGAGATAGAACATTTGTTGAAATCCCTCCTGTTTCCCACTACAAACCCTGATATGGACTAACGAGGTGTTGTTCCTTTCCTGTATATAGTTTCGGGGCAGCGGCATTTGTCTTGGAAATGGTCCCCTTTGCGTCTTTGGCATTTGCATATACGAACACGGTCGGTGCGGCATTGTGGGCTTCAAATCTGGAGAGGTCGATCTATAAAGCCCCCAGCATGGAGCAGGCGAAGAAATTAGACTAAGGTATTTACTCTGTTGTTTGCGTTTCTGTAAAGTATTTCTCAACCATACCTTTGCAGACACTTTGACCCATATGTTATCTGCGCATGATATTTTGGCGTTGAAAAAAAATGATGTCACAGGCATTCTAGGGTAGCGTGTGGAATTTAATATAGACTCAACGAATTCTCAGGTCATTTGTCCACCCACTTTTCTTAGCACCATTATGTTAACCGGAACCGATAGATAAGCTCCCTAACTTTCAACAGTGAGAACAGAGGGCACCCTTTCATCACCGATATCTCCTCACATATAGCCTGTTCGCTCAACGCCTTAACTACCCTTCCTGGCCCCTTCTTGACTCTCAAGCACTACCCCCCGTAATTCCGCCAACCCATCCACCTCTATTTCCTTCATTCGTCCCGCCAGTGTTGTTCCACTCTACATACCCAAAACTCTCTCTGCGCGTAGGATCATCATCTGAAAACTTTCCAACTTCGGTGAATGATGAAATATCGACGCCATATCCGCAGACCAGGGGATCACCTGTTTTAAAATTAAGGGTACTGTTGGATTAATGCCTAGCGAGGCAGAAGAGGACACACCTAATACATTTGTAAGAGGTATGAATATAATAATAACGGTTACAATGAAAACAAAAGGGGAACGGAGAGAGGGCCATATCAACCTCCCTCTTTTTATCAAACTGATCATTCGGAGCTCCAATGACCCCCACAATCTCTCATTCCGCACCTGCAGACCCATCCGCACCAACCATGTAGTACATTGGTTTAATTCCTCCTTCCATTCCAGAACACGTAGACTAACGTCCAACACGTCCATCTCCTTCTGGACCTTCATAATTCCACCTAATTGACCGGTATCGAGGGTATAGAGTGTCTATTCCAGCATTCCTAACGTGGCAGGCACAGGTCCAGACCCAGGAGGGAAGCTAGGTCTGCCTCCAACCGGTTGCGTCTTCAAAGCTACCTCACCAGTCAATTTCTTGAACGAGGATTTCATCCCCTTCATTTTCATTTAGATAGCGAAATAATTCCTTGTGGCTTTTTCCTTGGAACTGGAATCCCCCCTGATCCATGTCAGTAGGGTCGTATGGAAAATTAACGGCCGGCACCAACGGCACCATCCCTCATCATTGCGGATTATTAGAATACGATCTAGAACCTCGGAAAACTGAGGTAGAATAGGGCAAGTCCTGCCATGGAACCGACCTGTGCTTCACAAAATTTTAGCTGTTTAGCCGTTCTCCCTTGTCCATCTCCCCATCTTCCCTATTCCCTTCATCACAGTTCGTTTGTGATGCAGCTTGGCGTTAACCGAAATTGAGTTGATGTTGCTCTGTTGCGGTTTTTGATTGGCTAACTACGGGAGTACTCAGCCCTATCCGTTTACGCCCCACACTAAAACGTGGGGAAATTAAGCTAGTGGGGCCTGTTTCCAACGAACCATGGACCGTGGACATCAAAAATCCTAAGGGCAAAAAAGGCGATGTTGAATTCTCAGCAAAAGAATGTTATGAAGTGTATTCTAACAAGATATATTCCCTTGCTTCAATCCATCTCCGGATCCATATGCAGGGTGCTACCGGTAACAGTCAAGCCGTCCCATCTCACCATCCATGGCCTTCATCAGGTAACAATACGCCCTGTGGATATTTTGCGCAGTCAATAATGAGTGTCAATATTCTCAAAACGGAACCTTCTGTGCATCCCTATGATTTTAATCCTCAACAGCATCCGCGTCTTCATCCCTATCTTCGAAGTCTTTATCTTCCTCGAGCTTATCCTCCCCGCCTGCATCGTCCTGCTCCGGATCGTCTTGGACCTTATCATCTTCATCTTTGTTACTGTCTTCACATTTTCCAGAATAGCAGGATGCAGCGCCACAATGTCGTGACGAAGACCCACAGAATCCTTGTGTTGAGCAACTGCGCATAGCGTCAGCTATTGGCTGATCCTTCTCAAAAGCCCATGAAACGCACAAAGTTGAAAGCGATGTTGAAGGCATAGGGGAAAAAAAGAAGGGGGGACCGATCTATGTCTTTACTTACCACTCTCCATAAGAGCTGCCCATACATGTCATATTACCAGGGAATTTGGGACCACAAGTTCCATCTGTGCTTACACCGTTCAGTGATCTATCACAGGCGCCTGAGTGGCAATTCCCATATCCTAAAAAAATTGGACTGTTAGCGCACTTATCCATCCTTTTGTATGTAATATATAAAAGTGATCGGGGGTGAGTGGAGAAATAAAAATATCACTTACCACACCACTCAGGCCCTGTACCGCAATATCCCGATAAACTGCAACAATCACCAAATCTTGAGCCAAAACAAGTCCTATTTTCTGGGGAACGTGGGCCACAAGTTCCATCAAAGCTTATCCCTGATTTATCTTGCTCACAGGCACCAGCCAGACAATTTCCGACACCTAGTCATCATTAGAATACAAGAATGTAGGAATGTAAATGAATGGTTACCAGCTAATCACATACCACACCATTCATATCCAGTTCCACAATACCCGCTAGTGCTACAACAAGAACCATAACCGGATCCTGTGCATGAGACATTCAGAGAGCATTTCCCATCTATGCTAATGCTCATAGTGGTATTTCCGGGACGTCCTGTTTCGGTTGGTTGGGAAGGTTTGGCGGAAGTTGGGTCACCAGTAGCAGAGTCATCCTGAGCACTATCACTCGGAGGGGTGATGCTGGAAGTGATGCTGGAAGTCGTGCTGCTGGGCATAGAGTCGTCTGGCGCCGGAATAGGGGTTGAAGGATCAGCGGGGTCAGTGATGCCGGGAGCAGAATCGTCAGGAGCTAGGTAATCGGGCGTAGTATCAATAGGAGAAGCGTCTTCTGGACCTGTATCACCCATATTGCAAGGCCCACAGCGATTATTCGAATGGCACTAAAGAATAACAACAAATTAACAAAAGATGGGTGTGAGACTATGGAATTGGGCCTTACGCATCTAAGCCAGGTAGGGTGTATTAGCCTTGTGAGCAATGTTTTTTAAAAAGGGTAAAGAAAACTCACGAGCCAAATTCCGACCCCTCACATACGGTCCCATATCCCACTCCACAATTGCCATCTGTAGAAATTGGTTCGTTTTCAATCGGAGCGATACAAATAACATGATCTGCCAACAGGTTGGAGCATGTCCTATCCAGCTACATTCCGAACATTGGTCAGCAAATCTAGGGTATGAACAATAAATAATTGATCAAAGTCACTTTGGGTAACTATTGAACCCACCTCTGTATTGAAACGCTTGATGTCATAGATGGAAATCCCCCTGAAGACGATGAGTATAATGTTCAGAATGGCCAAGTGTTAACCAAACTTACAAGTTCGACGCAATCGATCCGCACTATAGAATTTCACACTTAGTAGACATTAATTTAACAGTGCTATGGTAGCAGAACTCACAGTATCGCCTGTAGCCACGTGGTAGTATTGGCCACAGTCTCCAATGGCCCCTGGATGGACGGGAACAGCTGGGGTGGCTAGAGAGAACATCAGGTTGAATTCCGTGAGATGAAAGCTGCTGGGTTAGAAACTTACCAGCCTCGTTATAGACTCCATGTGCTCTTTTTTCATTAGGCGTAGGTTCTTCATTTGTTCCGAAAACTGCAGGCGCTGCACCAGGCAAGTCTGAGCAGGCAGAGTTAATCTTATTGAACTGGTCAACCAGGTACTCTGCAAGTTTTGCGGAGGACAAAACAGGCGAAAGCAGTCGTTGCCTCCACATTAGTATAAAACATTCACTGCAAAACTATAGATATAAAGTTAGTTACTGTAGGGGTCTAGTAGATAAAGAAAAGTTCGACTCTTACCAAATCCTTGCTATACATATTGGTCACAGACATCCTATCTGGATCAGCGGTGGCGTCCGCGATCATAAGGACTTGGTCGTCGCACTGAGGCGGAGGATCATCGCCATAGCATAGGTCGGAACCCCATCTTAATATCGTCAGGGTTGCATATCAAGGAAAAAGGATTCGAAGGCGGAGCTTACTTAGAATTTCCAACGCTTTCCCAGCCTTGAGATTCCAGGTAACACCAATTATTAAAGCTATTCGGCGTTAGAACTGGCTACCTAACCTGGAAACACAAAGATTCATACCTATCCTGCAAGCAAGCCATATCGAAGCCAGCAATGTACCTCAATGGGATTGTATATGGTTCAATGAAACGACCGTCAGTATTTATTTGATGACCAGCACATTGAGTCTCCACGTCGGAGAGCCATGTTGACAGCGCGCTCGAGCATTCCGCGGTACATAACGAAGTTACGTTATCCTTAAACCAGACTATCAAAGATTTGTCTATCAGTAACACAGTATTGACCAGGGACAAAAGAAGAAACATATTGGAAGGGCAAAATACAATCATCATCGGCACCACTGGCAGCCCGAGCGACATTAACAGCGTCACAATCGACGGTTTGGTTCCTTTACAAGTATTAACAACATATTTCAATCAGTAGGGGGCGTAGTTGATTGAAACATACAGAGCTGATAAACATTGGTCTGGTATCCCGAGCGTTGTAGTCACCGAGGCTTCTTCATATTTGGCGTAGAAGTTGAATTCAGCCGTTGCCTGCTGCGCTGATACCAGGCCAAAAAACAGCAATACAAATGACTGCATGTTTGTAGCAAAGAGGTTCCAACGGAGGAGTTAGCTGCAAGAGAAGTTGATATGGATGCTTCAAGTAGTCTTGAAAGAGTATAAATTGGAATGTAGCAGTTCGGTCCGTTGACCCTTCAAGAGTTGCTATACTATGTTCCAGTAGAATATGCACCACTCCGTAGGATATAATGAAGCTGGAAAAGAAGAAGAAAACAACAGATAGAAACAGAAGCTGGAGAAATAAACAAACGAGAGGATTTGCCGCATTCTGTATACATGGCATGAGCAGCCCATAAACATGGCCTAGAGGGAAGCGGCAATCGAGAGTGTTACAACTCCTAAGAAATGCGCTCGAAGAAGTCTTGATCAAGAAGGGCAATGGAGTACGTCCACCATTGCGTATGGCATTGTTTTTCTCCTGATATCAAACATAATTGCTCGAATCTGTTCTGATATAATAAGTTTTTGAGCGCGCAATGGGCGGCATGAGAGACTTAATCAGCTGTAACATATTTATGCCGCAAATTTTTTTTCAAGCATTTAGCTATGTAAAGCTATCTGGAAAAAGAAAAAAGAAAAATCCCAACAATTGGAGGTGAAAACTAGAAATGGACGGAATCCGTCCATTAAAATAATGATGAATATTTGTGAGTTGATGGTTCGCTTTCTGCATGCATCACGCAAAAATATATTTCCGCTTATTTAATCTTTCAACCAACAAACAAGCACTTGGATATTGCAAATGAAATTTCCATCGCTACTATATTAAATAAATAATGGGCAGAAAATGGAATGCGTTATCTTCCCTTCCTTTCATCTTACTACCTACTTATGCAAAGGGATATATATCTTCTAGGTCAACAACATGCAACTGGTGTCTCATCACCCGTTCCGGTCCTCTCTCTCCATCATTCATTCAATACAGGATGCATCTCCATACACATTCCACCTGTATATCAGAGCATAGTAATAGGCTGCTCGGAGCTTTTTTGGAGCGAGAATTCGTTTCCCCTAACCCCTCAAGTTCACGAATCGTATCAATATCCATACTTGAAAACCCCAACTTGCTCCGAAGACCACCCTCCGCCCCAATTCTCAAATTCTTTCTCCATGAATCCTAGGAATTGCACCATTCGCTTTGTACGATATTCCCCCAGCAGCTAGAATGCTCCTAGTTGTCACCTCATCGCGATCTTTCTTGCCAATAAGCTCATTGTATAGAGATTCTCGAATAGGCTCGAACCCAACTCGAGCAAGTACATGTACATAATCGTGCACGATCGTATCTGGCGAATATCCGGCAGTACGAAGGATAATCGCAGATAAGACGCCCAGTCCTATCTTTTCCAGCTGTACAATTGGAGAACAAGTATGGTTAGGAAGGGGAGAAGGCCAAGGTTCATAAAACAGGTTTCTCCAAGAAAACCGATGTTCATCGCGAGGGAGAAAGAAGCGTCTTACCTGTAATGTACAATGGAAAAAGAACGGCTGATCAGGGAAGTCCTGTATATGTTCAAACACGGCGCGATAGATGGGCACATGAGTGACCAAGATATTTTGATACATCTTCAAGATCAAAGATCTTCTTCACTCCGAGACCAGTTGTAAGTTTGGTCTTGCCTTCCTCCTCAAGGAAAGCGAGCAACCGGAGCGGAAAATGTAATTCTTTTTCAGAGGCGTGAGCGTGGCACGGGGATGGCTGAGATCCCTGAAGTTAAAAAGACCGGGGACAGAAATGAATGGTTGATTGGAGATGACATGAGAAACAACATCGGCCGATAAAGCGGTTAGGACGTCAGTTTCAACGACATCGCGGAGGGCATAGGTCGGTATCTGCTCGTTTGAACCCATATTGAAATTCTCTTTATAGGTATCTTTTTCTTCGTTTTCACCACTAAGCTCCTTCTTTAGGCCCCTTAAAATTGCCAAAGGACGAGGATATCGTGGAGTTTAGTAACCACTTTCTTAGTCTTCCGCCCTATTGAACGAGGCTCTTTGAATAGAAAACTGAACAAGCAAACCACCTCGTCGTGGAGTGTGTGGCATAGATAGTATTAAAGGCAATCACGACAGACCGGGTTGTCTTCTTGGTCGCAGCAAAGCATTAGTGGAAGTAAATATACAGTGTTCATTCAATTCGATTTTAAAACAGTGTCCCGATGCAAGAGCGAGTCAATGTTGATTTGGGATGATCTCAAAATACCATTATGCTTGCTTGCACCCAAACCCCTCAAAACCTCTCAGTGTCTGCATGCTCACAGCCAATACGGATGAACTAATGCTCTGATCTATCACATCTCCATTTCACGCTTCGGCCGTAAATAGCCCCAAGCATACCAGGGCTTCATTAACTCTTCGACGTGGTGTTCAACGCGCCCTGGCAGAGCATAACTTCGCTCACGCATTTGGCGGACGACAGGTTGAAGGAAAGGATTAAAAAGAAACAGGTAGTCTTATTTGCTTGCTCATCTGATATATCGTACGTAGCCGAAGTTAGGTGTTTGTGTTTGTTAGCAGAATATCTAGTCAAAGATTCAACCTGCGTGGTGACACTGAGAAAATCAACTCCTTCTTTCTCATCACATTTCTCAAGTATTTCGTGGACATATCATAAACAACCAAAATAATAAAAAGAAAAAGAAAAAGAAAAAGAGGGGGATGGCTTTGGTGCATGCTAAGGACAAACCATGTACATAGAAAAACATCAATGAGGGGATGCAACAAAAGACAGTAAGAGAGGCTATTCTCGCAGATTTGACAGGGTAACTGACAAAAGAAAATCAAAGTAATAACAAGGAGAACAAAATCAATATATATAACTTGTTCCTGAGAAGTGAAAATAGGTTTAATCAGTCAACTCCTGAGCTGTTCAAGAGGAGACGGGTTCGTCATCATCGCCCGACATACCAAGTATACATGATTGGTGTAGGCTATATTAATGTTTGTAAAATAAAAGGTTGAAGTAAAACAGAAAGGTGAATCAGTAGTGGAACAGAAAAGGAGCATAGAAATTTAACTCCAAACCGAGTTTGAATGAACCGCCAGACCTGCTTGCAAGAACCAACCCTACAAATTGAGAGAAGGGTAAAATAAGAAAGAGAATAGGAAAGAAATGGGCTCAAAAAAAGTAACGAAGACGGCCGTGCTACACACGCCACGGTCGGATTTAAGAATACCGCCTATCCTAACAATTCAGTGTCCAGCTGCAGGGAATAAATAGGACGGAGACGGGGAGAAAGAAGTAATCGGTGGCGAGGTTGTCATTTATCCCCTCTCTGCCAGCCGTTTAAATATGCCATAATTCCCACACCTAGAAGGACCACACCAAGCATTGAGGCGTACGGAGCAGTGTGATCCAGCATGTTTCTGTGACGTTGCTTCACATAAGCTCCATATACCTCTTTACTTGCTTGATCGAGTGGGCGGGACTTTGAGCTAGCGTCGTGTGGCAAATTGGTTTGACCAAGCCTCTCATTAAAAATATTGACCAGGGTATCAGCTTCAGTTTCACTATTATCCAACTCGATTTTGATGGCTTCCGGTGACGAATTTGGGGGAACTTCGGTGCGCGTACTTCGGATCTGTTCGATCATTTCAGCGAGTGTTTTACGGGTCTCGGAAGCCTCGTTTTCGGCTTTCTCGGCAGACTGTTTATATTTGGCCACTTCTTTCTTCATTTCGTCCATCTCAGCGATCATGCAATCGATGCGCTGCTGGAGCTGTTCAGAAATTGCATCAGGTGGTATTTTGCTGGGCTCGGGTAGCGGGGAATCAACAGCGGGCTTCGATTCTTCCGGTTTTGAAGGTTCGAGAACAGTTACCTCTTCAACCCCAGTGGTGTCGTTTTCCGATGTGGCAGGCGGTTGACAGACTGCCTCTAATTCCGAATTTTCTCCCCGGTCAGCAGCACCTCCCTCCAGGCTTCGTGCTCGTTCTTCAGCATGTTCTCTAGCTGCCCGCTCCGCCAGAAGTAGATTTTCTAGTTCCTTGACTCGAGCACCCTGCACATCAAGGTCTTTCTTAGCTGTGGCGAGCGCTTCTATTAGCGACAGAATCTGACTTGATTCTCGATTTACTGGCGGGTGAATGGGAGCTTTGGGTTTCTCCGTGCCAGATCGTTTCAAATTCGGTTGTGGCATGGAATCAGCTATACTACGATGTGGAGCGTCAGGCTTCTCAGGTAAAGGTTGTTGTGGTGGTGGTGCTGGTGGGTCTGAAAATCTGGATATCTGGTCCACTTTTGACATCTTGGGGCGCCCGTTTACCAAGCGCCCACCACCGTGGCTCTCAACGGGGGACAGTTTCGCCCGCTCCTTTTCTAAGATCTCATGGGAGACCAAATGACTAAGAAAGTTGTTGGTTTGGTTGAGATCGTGAGCTTGTTGTTTTGCTTGTTTCATTTCAGACTGAAGAACAGGGGGATTAGCATTGTCTAAATTCCGCGGATAACAAAGGGAATACATACCGATAGCCTTTTTACCACCTGCTCGATCGAGATAGGGGAGAGCCAGTAGTTCATTTGTCTCTGTTGGTGCAACATGCCCATATGATTCCCAGCCGCGCTGTGGTTGTTACGATTGGATGCGGCGCTCCCAGGTCTACCGCGCATGTGTGAGAGAGGTTGGCTGAGGTGCGAGGGTAGAAGTCCACCGCCAGCAGTTGGGTCAATGTCGCCAAAGTTCAAATCCAAGATATTCATGTTCGGGCCATAAATTCCAGCATGCTCCACTTTGGCCGAAACTTTATGATGGACAATTGATTTCTGGTCTTCACTCACGATATCAATCCCAAGCTCAAGCGTGTCATGTTCTCGAAGTTCATGTGGCTCAGAATCACGGTTCTCTGGGGATAAACGTTGCCCATTGACGAACGTTCCATTGGATGATTTCACATCTCTTATCCAAATTTTCCCTGCCCGGTCGGCCCAGATTTCCGCATGCTGTCGAGAGAGTACTTTTGAATCAAAATAACCATTTACTGGCGTAGGAACTGTTTTGGCGTTGGTTTGTCTCCCAACGCGAAGCACTTCAGGGAAATACGGAACAGTTATCTGCTTTCTTTCAAACGTCCCATTTACTGGCAATAAAGTCAAGATTGCCGGGGGGTCGCTAGGTAGGGATCCATTGGTGAGCCGGGTGCCATTTTGTTGCTGGTTTTGGAGGGCATGCTGAGACGGCACAACGGGGGTGGGCTGATGAAGAGCAGACATGGCGGAGGATGCGGTGGTTCCAGAGGAGGGTACGGAAACAGGCAGAGATCTCGCATTCGTCACCCCGGACACTGGTTCAGCCTTGGAGTTGGACCAACTATATTTGTATGACTTTTTCTTAGACGTCGCAGTTCCCGACTCGTTGGATGTGTAGCTAGCATTACTGTGTGGCGAATTCACGGTTATTGTAGATGATGTAGACGAGTTTGAATTCAAAGATGAGGACGAGTTTGTTCGTTGCACACTTTTTCGCGGTATGAACATTCGTAGTCCCTCGTCTGAGCTCGAAGGGGTAAGCGCTCCTTGACCACCGTCAACAGCAGGATGCCATCCCAGACGAGGCCCAGATTGCACACTTGGTGGTGATGCCACAGCTGTCATGGAAACGGCAGTGGCTCCGGACGCACAGTTGTCGCTCGAATACGTCAATCGTAACTGACTAGGTGGGCTACTCCTGCTCAGAAGAATCTGTCACGACTACGCGAGACACACAGGCAACTCGGAAACAGGTGGAGAGTTCCAACCAGCATAGGGAACCCTTCGACAATGCGCGGATATAGGATATAAAAAGGGGGGCGTTTGGCCGAGGGTCGTAAAACTTGGAAGGAGAAAGGGGTTAGCTTTAGTCGTCGTAGGCCCGTACAAAGAAAGTAATTCAGAATGCTCTGAACCTAAAGGGGCAAATAGAATATCAAGTGGTGTTGGGAAGCAATTGTTTGGTCCTGAAAGATCGAATATGTCAAATACTCACCGGCCTAGAAAATTGCAATAGGGCCTAGGTCACGAACGGTCTGGGCAGACGGTTGGGTCTCGCGTGGTTTCTCCCAAGATGGGTCCGGCGGCAACACAGCATCCACAACAGCAGCAACCAAGGAGAGAGTAAGACGGGGTAAGGAGATGAATAACACTATTGTAACCAAAGAAACACGCAAGAAAAGATCTCAGCACCGGGTCCGAGGGGGCTGGAACGCAATGGTGGCCAGTGAAGAGGGTTGAGAGGAAGAATCATCCCAGGAAAGGGTCAAAGTGTACGAGATGTCACGTGAGGTCTAGGCTGGCGGGAATCCATAAGCGAAACAAGCCCAAAAGGGATTAGCTTCTTCTAAAGGAAATGCGCTGCTTAGTCATCTTCCCTCCCATGCCGTCAAAGAGCTCTCAAGGACCGCAAACCGAAACGAACCTGAAGCTTCTGCTCATATCTCCGCCTCCCTCGCGCGCAATTATAATCCTGGCCCTCTGCGGACATTTCACTCTTTGTTATAAAAGAAGGCCGTATTCTGCCGTCTAACAACAATGCCGCCAGTGGTGCCTGCAAGTGGTGGGGGCATGCAGGGTCCCTCAGCCTTTGACAAGTGTCAGTCTCCCACTGCTGCTTCCAAAATAACCATTGAGATCTAGAGCTTGGCTGACTGACTTGTCACAATAGGGAAAATGGGGGCAATGATGGGTGGATGTACGTTCCTACTCTGTTCTACGGCTTCTCCGCAATTTTGCTGGTTTGTTGGTCTGCGAAGGTTTCTGTACTAACATTTGAAAACCTGCAGCGGTCGGACTGATCATGGGCTTCATCATGGGTGAGAATCACGGATCGACTAATTACCGCAAATTCCAAAGGGGTCGGGATTGGCTGACATATCTACAGGAACTGTTGCGATCTTTCAGTACGGTGCTGGACCAAACGGCGTGATGCGCACTTTGGGCAAATATATGGTTGGTTCCGGCGCAACTTTCGGGTATATATTCTGTTCCCTTTCTTTCCCAACCCCCTGAAATTTTCACTTCACTTCAACGAGCCATTTTTCTGATTGAGACATGTCTTTACGAAAACCAGATTCTTTATGTCAATTGGAAGCGTTATCCGAACAGAAGGACATCCCAACTCCTACCAAGCGTGGGCGAGAGCTCGAGGGGCCCCCATGATGATTCCCCGTCAATACCACCCCCGGCCACGACACGACTAAATGTGAACATGCATATGTACAATAGGATAAGGAAGGCATATTCGGCGGCGGCTGGGCATTATTATACCACAAGTTATATTTTTATTTTATTTTATTTAATGGGAGCAGGAACCACATCCATGTATCTAACTTCGACGATTCTTCCCCCGGCGTGGGACAGAAAAAGAAAACATTTCACCTCAGAGCTGCTAGGATTTTTGTGGCCATGGCGTTCGCTGCTGGGTGGGAATGCTCAACTTGGAAAATTGAAAACGACCTTGCATAGAAGGGTAGTCAAGATGGGTCATCTTACATCACAATTCGATCCAACCCTTCTTCAGTTTCGGGCTTCCGTTCTCAATGTTGATTCACCCAACAACTTAGAAAGCTGCCATAATAGTCTATTGTGTAATAACTATAGGCTCAGACCCCTGGGTGCAGTCCTCTATAAGTTATTTCACTCTCTTTACCTCGATCTCCCCTTACACCCGTCATACTATTGACTCCTCCCGCTGCTCCCATGTCAGGTCCGGAGAAGTTGGACACGGACAAACATTAAAACCGCAGAATGCAGTATTGTTCAAGTTCGAGTCTCCTAAATCGTCAAAGAACGGGCGGAATGTATGATGTACCCAAAGCATATTCATAATATATATATACATATGAGAGGTGCTTGTATATATATATCAAGAGAATAGAGCACATGTCCCCTAATTGACATGCATAACCTGCACAGGGCTCAGAGGAACAACTTACTCCAGCCTTGAAATGATGAAAGTCATCACTGCACTGTCATGCATCTGCCACAGAATGTGGAGAAGATTTCAACCCGAGTTTCACTGTACTATGCATTAGATTTTTCCAGACAGTTAGATCAAGAGATTTTCAGAGACTATCAAGCCAATTTAAAATTACAGGTTATTTGTATAGGACATGGAAATTTATGCCAGATAGATTCATTTCTCATAGTTGAGAGGTCAAAATAAAGATGATTGTCATCTGAGTGGAAATATTTCACAGAAGTCTCTTTTTTGTCTCATAGCTGAGATTTGAACATGTTCTTTTGTATTCACTGTACTGTGTATCTTCAATTCTCAGAAGAGAATATAACATCTGTGTCAAGATTCAGAAATCTTGAAAGTTGTTTATAACTGTGAGAGTTATTGAACATCATGCTTCTGTAAATACAAAAGCAAATTTCTTTCAGATAGATAGAACTCCATACCAGGGGTAAAAAGTCAAGAAAATTCCAGAAGACAAAGAAATTTGACAGAGAATATGTATGACAGCAATGATGCAATTCAGCAAAATCTCAAGAAGATCACAAAAGCTTCATTGAATATATAAAGAAGAAAATCAAAATCAAAAGTGAAATCATCATCTGAAGTACAGAGTATATAACACATCATTAGCTTTGAGTATATGAGTGTACTCAATACAGCATTGACAGAATTGTTTCATGTTTCAGATCACACACACACATTGCAGATGGACAGCATCCTGCTCATGAAAGCAAGGCACAATAACAACAGCTCTATGATGCAGCAACCCATGGAGTCATTGTGTTTTCACTGATCAGTGGTGGGTGGGTAGTAGAAAAAGCTCCTGAAAAGCAACTTGCCATAGAGTAGAAAAGAGAAGGAAAGAACGAAAAAAGTCAAATATGAGAGAGGCTATTAACAATCCCCTGTTAACACTTGCCGGCTTGAGGTTTATTAACATGCGCTCAAGGCTTCGAAGAAATTTCGCCAGGCGACAGTAACGAAAAGGAAAAAGGCACAAAAAATACGAAGACACGAACATCATGCGAGGATCAGCCAATGGGGGATCTGCAGCGGCTTGTTCTCTCAGCCTCGCGAGTTTTCCGAGGAGCGCAAAAAACAGTCCGCTTTGCGCCTTCTTTTTTTTTTTTTTTTCTACGGAGTAAGTTAACTACTAGTTATAATATCGTGCTCTTTTCTGAGCAACAATTCTTCACTCCTCCATCTAAACAAAGCAGAGAAACAGGCTGCTGACAGGATCACTTTGCTTTTACCTCTAAAAGGCTACTCCTACTACTGCCAGACGCCCGTCTAGACTGTTCCATTTGTGTCCTTCTCCGTTGATCTGTGATCTGTGACCACATACGGAGTAGAGTGATGATGATGGTCAGTATATAGTTGGTTGGGGGAGGAAAGAACAATTTTTTATTTTTTCTCCGCCCATTGTGTCCGAGAAGATCAATGGAAGCAATCTCTCTCGTCTATCTCGGAAAGGGAAGTCAAAAGGGCGACATCCATCCATGCGTAGAATACCATACCGTAAGATACGCGATACGCGATACGCTATGGGATACAAGATTACTTTTTCCCTAGGTTCAGGCTATCTTATTATGATAAGTCATGAAAAGCCCTAGGCAGGCTCAAGAGAGCTGCGAAGAGGAAGGGCGGGCGGGGAGAGAGGTTTAAAAGAGTTGACTGACTGTTTTCCGCAACCATTCAAACTCCTTCCAAATTCCCTCCCCTTCCATGAAATTAATCGCTGCAGGGTCCCTACATTCTTTTCTCACAATGGGCAATCCATGCTAGGAGGGGCGGCGGTCTCATCCCTGTATGTATATGTACATGTACATGTACATGTACTCCGTACAGTGCATGTACAGAGTAGAGTACCCAGTCTCGATGGTTGTGATGGTTGAAAGAGTGAAGAAAAACTTGATCCTGTGTTAATTTCATGTTTTGTCCTCGCCTGCAACTCACTCGCGGGGGCTCGTGTTCCAGTAACTAGCCAAAGGATATCATTATATATCATTATAATAATAATATAGTTGACAATAATAATGACAATACTAATAGCCGCGGGTAGGGTAGGTCGGACGCCAGCGGGCTATACGCTGTAATAAAAATAGTAGATGTATGTCTCTTCAATAATAATACCCATGTCCAGGGCGGGTACCTAGACACCTCTTGCCTAGCCCTCATTTCGCTTGTTAACTGTCACCTCACACAAGTCGGCTTGGTGGTGGGGTAACCCTGTGCACGCCATGGTGCGGGAGGGAGGGAGGGAGGGAGGGAGGGAGGTGTAAGTTGTAACAAACAGGCCGGTCCGAGTAACCAGGAGCTGGGAGACCTGATTTTGGAAACCCGTGTGTATGTACGGAGTATCTGGGCCAGAGCGAATGATCATAAATATCAACATCTTGAAGATGAGCCACCTTCACTTGCAACACAACAACAATTCCGCCCTCGTGGGTAGATCCAGATCTGTAAATGTTATTTTTAACCAACTTGGAGTCTCTCATCCTCTGAGGGTCTGAGCAGGCCGTCGTCGGGTTAATGGGTCGAGTAGGATGAGAGGTATCTCTGAGACGTAGACAATGATGAGAAAGGTGAGATAAAAATAGCCACGAGAGTTGCTCAGTTTCAAACCGTTTACCTCAAAAAAACAAAAGTAAAAATAATCAAGGAATAAAAGAAAAAGGTGAAGGGGAGTTGAGGGGATGAAACTGGGGCGCCGCCAGCAAGGGTTTTGCTTGTTTATATATACTCTGTAACTCCGTACTCCGTATATTTCTTTTATAGTTACAAGCTTGTCCTGTCATCCACAATCCCCATACAGACCCAGACTCTCCCCAGGATCAGCTGTTAACACAGAACATTCATGATTTTCACAAGGGGCTGCTGGCCAGACAAGAAAATAATCCAGTGTTGTTAAGATCAGCGTTGGAAATGCTCTTGGTCAACAACGCAATAATTGTTAAAAATCGATAAAAAATAAAAAAAATGAACAAAAATGAAAGATCTTGCTGCACCAATTGGACAACAGCATGTGAAGGCCTTTCCAAGGTTCTTTTCTTCACCCCCCCAAAGTGGACTGATAATAATGATGATCAAATATCCTCTTTTGAGCAGCTCATTTGCCCATTTCACCCTCCAGGCAAATCAAAACCTTTTGGCACTGTACTGTACTCCGTACCTAGCGCCTCGTCCACAAGCGGGCTCATTTTCTTTTCTTTTGTCATGCCAGGCACGAACCAACCAGGAGAGAGACCAAGGAGAAGTATTTTGCAGGTGGGAATGATTATTCCTTTTGTTGATTATTTAATTGATTACCTCGTGTAACGTGGATCGGATCGGGTCCGAGAAAGGGGCAAGCCGTGGGAAAACGGACATCACGCAGTCCGATGGGCACAGCGCAAGAGGGTATTATTATTATTTTTTGGAAGTTGGTTGGCGGGAGCAAGTGTTGTCATGTCATGGTGCATAGTTAACAACAATAATAACAATAACAATAACAATAATAATAATAATAATAATGTTAACAACTTTTGAAGGTTAAAAGTTTTGTTGGTTCTTCTTTGTTTCTTGTGAGCGAGCGAGCGATAAAATGTTTTGTTGTTTCCCCATTCTTCTGCATGCCTCTCCCATCCATCTTCGCGCTCTCCTGTGGTGATCACGATCTACACTCTACGGGGCGGCCTCAAAAAAAGAAAAATGGCGGTGATGGCGGCCTAGCACTCGCATGAAGATAGATAAAATACTCCGTACAAGCCCAACGACTTGTTGAGCACAAAAGCATCTGTTTGATGATTGGCAGCTCTGAAAAAGCTCAGATTCTCTGAACCGTATCTCGATTTCAAGCGCCTGTAATACTGATTATTTATTATTAGCCTGGAATAAAACACCAAGGGCGGGCGCAAGGGAGGCCCGAGGTTCTGGTGAAATTATTCGAAGAGTTTATATACACAGATGCGAACTGTTCGCTGTACAGCGTAATATAAGTCTGTTGAAGGTTTCCCAGGCTGACCCTGACGTCGTTAATATAAGTTTATAACCAAGCTGAGCTGTCAGTTTGTCTGGCCGGCCGAGGAGAAGTGGAGCGCGGATTTTGGCGGTACGAGATGAGATCGGGACTAGGATGATGATAATATTATGATTATGGTCTGGAGACTTTATTATTATTAACTGGAGGTAATAAAAGAGATAAAAATGGGGCACAAAAATGTCAGCGCAAAAGGATCCCAACAACCACAGCCGTAATTGAAGGGCGATTTTTCTTCCCTCCGATTACATGGATGTACGCACACACAGTACAGTACGCTGTACGGAAGTACGCAGTATGTATGCTTGCTGTGTTGTCGTGGGCCACCAACGTGGACCCAGCAAGAGGGCAATAATAATAACTCAGAAGAACGGCATCCAATGGAAGCATGCGCTGGACTCTGTGATGCGGTCATTCATGTTGCCCTGCTAGCTGATAATTAACTTAACCTCCACCCAGCCTTTTAAAGTATGGGATGTTCAGTACAGTAGTACATGTGCCTGGTGTTTGTTAAAAGAAATCCGGATGCGGTACGTAACTTACGGGGGTAATAATAATAATAATGCGAGAACTCTGGTAACTTGGAAGAAGAAGAAGAATAATAATAATAATAAGCAAGTTCATTCCATCATTCCCTGGGTTGCAGAGGATGCGAGCTAAGTTAGCGGTGCGCCAGGCGGAGAAGAGAGTTAAATTAAATTGTTTGTTAACCTTTATTAATGCTGTTAGCGCGAGAATTGGTGGAGGTTTGTTCGTAACTTTTGCTTGGTTGTGGTTGGTTGTGGTTGGTGGTTGTCACAAAGTAAGTGTTGGTAACCAAGGTTGCCTGCCTTGGTTTGCTGTCCCTAGGTTAGGGGAGGGGAGGGGAGGTACCTGGTAGGCTTAGGCTTAGGCTTAGGCTTAGGCTTAGGCTTAGGCTTAGGCTTCCCCCCCGCCCACCGCCGCCCACGGGCCAGGCACGGTCCAGGTACCGTCCGGGAGTCAGAATCCTTCTTTTTAAGATATACACGGCTTGTCCCTTTCTTCCCTTTCTCTCCCCTTCTCTCCCCCCTTTCTCTTTCTTTCTTTCGCCTCGTCCACTCACATATAACGCTCTTTTTTTTTCACTCCTCGGCCTCTTTCCAAAGCCATCCACGCTCCTTAACGCCTTCGTGCCCGTCTTATTTGAAAAGTCCTCTACTACGCTCGCTCTTTTTCTGACTCTCCTGGTCATCTTGCCCGCTTCCCTCCTTTCGCGCCCAGCTAGATAGTTATATCACTCCAGCTGCAGACAGTTATCTCTCGCAAAAAAACGAACCACCTTTTCTCCGATTAAACCGCCAGTCTCCCGTGCGCTCGCAAAGCTACTTACTCTCTTAGCGACCTCCCGTCCACCATAAGACATCCAAGATCGTCGCAAGGCGCATACCGAACATCGATATCTGTAGATCGATCTTCCCTTCCCTCTTGCATAGAAACAACAAAACAACCAAGACCACCCCGTCGCATATATCCTACCTCCATATATTTCCACTATTGCAATCGCTGCAAGAAGCCAAAGCCCCAACCAAACCCCAAAAATGAATATCCTCACCTTCTTCTCCACGCTGCTCCTCCTGCTCGCGACCCAGCTCGTAGCCGCCCAAGATGACATGGTCACCTCCACAAGAACCACCACGATCACCAACACTGTGACTGTGACCATCATCCGCTCCGTCGGCACTTCCACCACCGCGGATTCTACCATCACACCTACACCCACGCCAGCGGCCACCACCTCAGATGTCTCCGACTCCTCGACGCCAAACTTTGCCGTTGCCGCGCCCACCGCGCTGCCAATGCTGATGGCTGGAGGTCTCGCCGTGGTCCTGGGCGTAGCTCTTTAGATCTCTTGAAAGAAAAGAAAAGAAAAAAAGAAAAAAAATCCTAGCTCGGGAAAATGAGCTGTAGAAGTGGGGAGTGCAGAAGTCAAGGGGAGATGGGAATGCGATTGGCTTTTCAGGACAAGCAAAAAGATGAGACAAACACGATTGATGGATTGACTGACTGATTTGATTTGATTTGATCGATTGAAGCTTGAGAGTTTTTGGTGGAACTGCTGATTTCTTCTTCTCTTGTATACGATATGGATGTTATTTTTCTTTTTCTTTTCTTCTTCTTCGAGAGATACCCGCCCTTATTTTATTTATTTTTCTCACTATATCGTTGTTGTCAGGTACTGTATATGTGAAAGGCCCCCCCCAACGAGCAAAAATCCATATACATACATATATCTTCACATTTCGTCCTGTGTGCTCTTTGCCCAATACATATTTTTTAGCTTTTAAGCTTTTGATTCCCCAAGTATACCCCGTTTGAACTTCCACGGGCCTGCCTCCGTACTTGGAATCGAAAAATCCAAAGTCGCATGCGACGGACGGACAAATCAGTCAGCCCTTTTCAAAATTCTATGCGCACGAACGCGCCAGCGCAATCAATGCATCTGAACTGCCACGCCACCGCTTTTATATATCCTGCTTTCACTGCGAAATAGCAGCCTCCGTCACCCATTTCCCCCGTTTCGCTTCCCCATCAACACTCCCTACATCCCCCTTTTTGCTTTCTTTCTTAAAGACCTGGTCGCCTTTATTTAATTCTCACGTTTATTTATCCGCGGCAAAATAAAAAGCCGGGGGGGCCACTTACTTCTTCTAAACCTCTTGTTACTTTCTTACGCTATACTGTACTTCTTTGCTTCACCACTTTATTCTCAACGATATTATAACCCTTCTTCCCCCCCTATTTGATTCAGTTTCCCTGCGAACTGAATTATTTGTTAATACCCAAAAACACTTTGTTTTATGGATGATGATTGGACACCTTGCCTTGCCTTCCCTTCCTCCCCTCCCCTCCCCTTTTTCCCCCTCACTCCGCACTTCATAACCGGGGGAAGGGAAGAAAAAAAAAAAAAAAAAAAAAAACACCACAAACCAGGTTCCCTTTTTTTTTTTTTGAATTTGATTATGTTTTTGTCTCATTAATTAAAGCACCCGCCTTTTGTTTTATTTCTGATTTGAGGGTTAGTGGCGGAGCGGGAAGAGGAGAGGTCGTTCGTTACTTGACAAATATATATATCCATATCCCAATATCCATGCGTCGCGAGCTTGCCTTGTCCTGTCCTGTCCTGTCCTTTCTTTTCTTTTCTTTTCTTTTGATCTTCTCTCCCCTTGCTCCCTGCTTTTGTCCCTCCGCCCCCCCCCCCCCCCCTCTTTTCAAATTTTCGGGTTTGAGTCTTGTGTGTGTGTGAAGCGAAAGTGGAAAACAAAAAAACGAGAAGAAATATATACATACATATATAAATTGAAAAAACAAATTACATTTCGGGGTTCAGCCAGTTACGACGTCGCAAAGTTTGACTCGTCTTCTTTATTCCCGTTTTCCATTTATTTACTATGGTCTTAATTACGTTCTTATGTAGGGAGTGGGGAGTGGGGATGACTTTCTATACCACGAATCTTTCATTCAACTGCATTAGAAATAATGCAATAGTCCCAGATGTAGAAGTAGGAGAATATCCTGAACAGACAAAATATATGCAGATAAGTGCAAGCGTCAGGTCTGGGGGTGTAGTTGGTGGAGATTAGGGGGCGGCCGCTGCGGTGGGAGCTCCCTACCTGCGCCGATTAATAGTCTGCCGATTGACAATGAAACCATAACTGTCATCGATATTGAAGTCTGACTCATAAAGATGTTCGGTTTCGGGAGGAATTTCGTGGGACGTGAGTGGATTTTCCAGAGCTGCGGGCCAGCGATGGGATTTGTTCTCCGTTAAGGTGGGAAACCGGCGGAAACAAAAGGCAGGATCCCAAGGATTATGTTTCCGCGAATCCCTAGATTCACGCAAGGAGTTTCGATGCTTAAACACACTCCAGGAGGATGGATATACAGTTTGATACCGCCAGGTTGCATCGGCACATGTACCTTGTCCCAGGTTCCTGACTGTCAAAACTTCAAAAAACAAATTCCGGTGATACCCTGGGATTTCGCGATTGGACTTAATGACATAGATTGTGGTATCACAATACCGACAATACAGCCCTCTTTGAAATGCCTCAGATGGGATCTTCAGTGGGCCATCATCCCTCCATAACATTCTGGCCGGTAGATCGAGTTCGCTTCTTGAGCACCTAAAATGTAGCAGGTAATCAAAGAAAGATAAGTGGGGGCAGAAAACCCGGCGTAGAGGCTTAATGGATTTGCCTAGCCAGAACCCACGTGCAAACACCGCGTATTGTGTGCAAATGAATAATTCACCCTCTTCATTGATACGCGCAGAAATTTTTGTAACGACGTCTGTCAACCCAAAACTTAAGTAACACGTATGCAATAGATATGAGCAATCGAGCGTATTCTCAGCCTTCAGCAGCTCAATTAATCTGTCTTTATCCCGGAAAGTCAGATTCACGCAAGGGCAAAGGTTAACAATACCAACTTTCCCTAGAGTACACACTCTGTGCGTGGCTCCAGCTAGAATTCCCCAGCTAGAAAACTGCCTGGTTGGATGCAATTTAAGACATGTGGAACAGCAATGCCATTTGTCATTCTCTAACAGGAGAAGCAACTGCCATCTCTCTGTGTTGAAATTATCGCGGTTTTTCAAAACTTCAGGATCGTAGACGTTGCTAGGCAAGAACCGGAATTGAGGAGCGGCAAGGGCATGTTTGTTAAGCCCGAGAAGTGTCTTGCAGGTGAGAGCGAGGCAGACTTGCGATTCCAAAGACAGGAGGTCGTTGATACTGAAGAGGAGTTCGAGTGGGAGGCTCAATAAAGGTGGGGTCTTTGGCTCCTGGCAAGAAATTTGGCGTTGACCTTGGTTTCCTGCTTCTTCATGTGAGCGTGGGAGGGCTGCCTTTTTCAACCAGTTCACAAATTTTCTGTAGTGTTTGCGAATACTCCGCACTGCTGGAGGGATGAGGGTCCGTTGATAAATCACGCGAAGCCCTAGCCGGGAAGATGAGCTGAGCTTTTTTTCTCTAAGCCCCATCCCGCTGATGTTGGGAAGATATGAACTGGTTGCGGGTATGATGAGTGTTATGTATTGCAAGGTCCCCGACACAGACAGTAAAAAGATATGGATGCAGTGTTGAGGAGTTGGATAGAATAGATAAAAGAAGAGATAACCAAGTCCAGTTATATAGATAGATAGACACACACACAAAGAAAGAGAGAGAGAGAGAAGACTCACTACTCATCTATGACATCTTTGCTCTACTGTAGGTTTCTGACCAACATCATATTGAGAAAACGCTGAGTCGCACAGCGGCTCGCGTAACCTAACTTAGAAGAAAAAACCAACATCACTTGTGAGGTTAAAAAGTAGAAAGTTTTTTTTTAATCAAGAATCTTATTTCAAGATAAGAGGAGTTGTTGTTGTTGAAAGAGATGAGGTTAGAAATCGTGGTTTGGTTGCCATGTTCTGCGCTAAACTCAATCAAGAGAAGCAGTAGTTAGTTAACTAACTACCTTACACAAAAAGTTTATTAACTGTCATTTTATCAGTGATCTGATAGCTTCAGTGATCACTGATTCCTACTATATAACTGATTAAAATTCTTAAATATAATAATTTTTACTGGCTGCTGAGATCATGAATTTCATATTTGATCTCATTTGATCTGATCTCATACCTTTCTTGATATGAGTCTCATCAGAACTAAGTCATTCTTTGCACTGCTCCTCAAGTTCTCATTTCAAGTTACATTCTTTCTATTCACTTCTTGAAGTATCCTCGACCTTACTCCTCTTGATGTCTCATCTTCTGAGACAGACCTAAAAATCGCTTCAACGTGCAGCGATTCTTTTCTTCTGATAGCAAGACGTGATGATGATGGTAGACAATTTCTCTCGAAGCAGGAGAAAGATTTTTTTCGCTAGGATCTCTTGGGCATTGTATGATTAGTCAATAGTATATACAATACAACCGACTAGACTCCTTTCTACCTTGTATCTCAAATCTCTGTCCAGCGTCTTATAAGTCAGGCCTAGGCGCTTTGTAGAAATCTTGGTGGAGGGTAAGATATACCAGCGAGACAGCCGCAACCACAACCACGGGGACAAAACAAAGATGAAACAGATGAGGGTGGAACCAGTTCTTCACCGTCAACATAGAAAGAGCGGTATCTGGAGTCGTTTCCTGTCATAGTGCTTAAGACTAAACCCGAGAGATGGCGCTCCGAGAGTTCCGAGAGCGCGCTGCAGACATCTTGCATCCTCTGATACCCGCCCCGATGCCAACAGTTCCGGATTACATTGCCCATGAATACACCCGCTGTGTAGGGAAGCTCCTCATGTATGTCTTTATCCATTTGTCTTGGAATTGTGTAGTCCCCAAATTCAGAAGCTGCAGCATGCTCATCACAACCCTGTACACTGGGATTGAATAGTTGATAGATGAGAACTTTGAACTTTCTTCCTGTAACAATGTTGTAGATTAGAGAACTGAAACAGGCTATGTCATACTTGACTGATAGACTGATCTCACTGATTTTGTCAATATTTAGAGATTTAGAAACAATGTGAGAGTTTGCAAAGTAAAATAATTTGAGTGTTTGTTTATTCATAATTAAGAAACTTCATGCAGCAAAACCACTGATCAGGACACACTTTGAATGCATATATGAGACTGCTGCTGCTGCTTCCCGCGCTCAGTTCAGTTGCTGAGTCTGACTTAACTTCTTCTGTGATAAACATTTGTCAAGAATACTTCCTGTGAAAGCCAGAGATGAAGAAATATCTAAAACACATTGTCATGAAATTCTAAATGTTCATGTATTTTCTTTCTATATTTAAGTGAACAATCTAGAGTGACTAACTCTAGTGCAGTCAGTAGACTTCTTGCATTCTGAAATGTGCCTTTAGCTCAACACTTTTCATTGTTTTCAATGATTAAATCAAGTCAAACATTCTTAGTGGCAGAGAGAATCTCCTGTCATGGCCAGGCTGTGCAGGCCAGCGGCCAGCCCAGACAGTTGATCTCTAAACAGGTCAAATTCAGTAACCATGATCATCGGCACGCTCCATGTCAGTACAAAGAGATAGAATAGAGGACTTGATGAAGTAACAAAATTTAACAGAGAGATCAGTGTTGAGAATGAAATTCTTTCTAGCAATCTCTGCTACTATAATACAACAGTTGTGCATGTGAATAAGTGTATGAGTCATTTGTTGAAACTATGAGAGCTGAAGAGACTGCATCAGATGTTGTCCTTTCAGATATATAGTAAGATCTCTGTTTTTCATTGGCTTCATTTGAATGTAATATCCAGGGAAAGCTGAAGCAATGCACAATACCATCACAGTCCTGTAGCTGTTGATACATATCTTTTTCATGTTTGATGATGAGATGATTCACCTCATTGAACAATGACTTCTGTTTCATCATGACCAAGAACAGGATCACAGATAGAAGTCCCATCTGAGTTCAAGAAGAGAGAGAACATTTCAAGAAGAGAAAAAATATTAATTGTTCAGAGAGATCAGAACTTCTTAGCATGTAAAGAAATCACTGTACTCACTCTGAAGAAATCTCTCAATAATAAGAACATGTTCAGTGCGCGGTGAGGTACTCATTCTTTTTGTACTGTCACAGATTTCAGCTAAAAATACACTTGTTTTGATAAAATATAAGCAAGAATACAGATGATATTTTTGAAAATGACTGCTGCTCCCTGGCAGAAAAGTTCAAAAGCCCGAGGCCCGGGGGTAACTAGTGGGGCGCTTACTCAGCAAGCCATCCGGTGGTCGATCTACGCGCCTGCATCATTGCGCTGCTGCATACATGTAAGTTACTACCTACTGTACATACAACAGCTGCAAGCTTCCACGCTGTGCAATTGGGGCTCTATATCGAAGGAGACCTATATTTCAAACATGCCGTGAATTAAATAAATACCCCGAATATATATATACATATATATAAATTGGCACAAACAAACAACAAAAATGGATTCCGACATCCCGCTCCCACCACCCTGTCGCGCCCGCCAGCAAACAGCTTTGTCCAGATACCCCCCACACCACCGCAGCGATTACTTCACGTTCGACTGCAGCCTGCCATCTAGTGATCCCCCGCTATTCTCTAGTGATGATTTCCAATCTTCCGCGCTAGAGAACTATCATAATGGCTCAGATCAACTGCACCAACAGCACCAACAGCACCAACAGCAGCAGCAGGAGGAGGAGGAGGAGGAGGAGTGGAACGCGGCGACGCGTCCCGGTAGCAGCGGCAGTCGAGCGCAGACGCAGACAACGAGGAAGCGCCAATATCGAGGTACATGGTGGGGGGAAGAGGAGGCAGAGATGAAGAACAAGATCATGCTGAAGAAGGGCGACAGATATGCGACGGCGGGAAAGAAGCGGAGGACGGAGTTTAAGGATAAGCGCAATATAGACAGTGGGGTATGGTTTGGTAGCGATGATTCTGTTGAGTCGGCGGTGTCGAATAATAGCGAGTTGGAGGGGAATGATTGTAATGGGCGTGTTGTTCCTGGCCCGTATTATGCTACAGGCGTTGCTGGTGGTGCTGGTGCTGGTGCTGGTACCGATGGCAGGAGTGAATATCTTGAAACTACAGAAGAGCAAACTGCTATCCTACGCGGTCCCATATTTGCACGAAGCCGCCAAGCTGTTGATCGTGCGAATGCTACTAAGGCGATGCAGGTGGACGAGCCGTCTGAGCATCGCCAGGCGCGGAAAATTATTACGGAATGTCTTGAGACGGGCCTTGAGTTTATTGATATTTCGTATGGCAATGCCCTTTTTTGCGCTCCCCGTTTTCGTCTTGTTTCAATTCTTAATCCCTTAAAACGGAAAGAATACAATCAGCTGCTAATAACATGAGTTTAGAAATCTCAACCTACGCACCATCCCTTCGGGCCTTCTCCGGCCCATTGCCCAATTCACAAAATACCCCATCATTTCCGAAATGGATAAAATACCCTCGGTGTCTCCTCCCAACTGCGAACAGTTTTTCAGCTCCTTCGAGCCCTTCCTCTGCCTCTTCATGACAAACAACAGGCTGAAGACTCTGCCTGCCGAAGTTTTCGAGCTCTCCAATCTTAGCGTCCTAAGCGTACGCCACAACGAGCTCGAACAGATCCCGGGCTCCATTGGCAACCTGACAAAGCTTCGCGAACTGAACGTGGGAGGGAATCAGCTTTCTTATCTGCCGTTTGAGGTGTTGCAGCTATTGCAGAAAAACCACACTCATATGAGACAGCTGGCTGTACATCCGAACCCGTTCGTCATGCCTGAGAGCTCGATCGTGGCAGAGTGGCATTGTAATGTCGCTTCAGATGGCGTGTTCACTCAAAGAGGTCAAGAAGAGAGAAAGGAAGAAGGGGATGAAGCCATAAGCGTGCCTGCACCATTATCAACAGAAATACGACCAGCATCCGCAGGTTCAGTTCCCATCCCTATCCTCATTGCAAAAGGGATCGTGCAATTTTTCGACGCGGAGGGGCGCCCAGTTGCCGTACCCGAGCCAATCACCAATTCTAATACTAGCACCACGTCCTCCTCCTCTTCCCCCTATTCTCCCACGTTATCATCAACATCGCCATCATCCTCCCCGTCTTCATCTTTGTTCTCCCCCAGCCTCCGCGATATTGCCCTACGCGCCTACAACCGCGGGCCACAAATCTCCCACCTCATCGACCCAGACACCTTCGCCGGACCCGCCATTATCCTCGACCTTCTAAAGCACGCTGAGAAGGTCCGAGATGCTGGCGGCAAGAAGTGCTCGGTTTGTGCGCGGCCGTTCGTGATTACGCGGGCGCAATGGATAGAGTGGTGGGATTGTGAGTCGCATGGGATGAGTGCTCCGCGCCATGGCGGTGACGGTGGCGGTGTTGGTGTTGGTGTTGGTGTTGAGGAGGATGATTATGGGGTGTTGCGGACGCTTAGAGCAGAGATGTCGCGGATTGCGAGGGGGAGGGCGTTGAAGCCGCTTCCGTTTTTGAGGGAGGTTTGTTGTTGGGGGTGTGCGCCTGGGTTTGGGTCTGGCCGGGAATTCGTAGAGGAGGGGAGGTAAGGTTATGTAATATATGTGGTATACCTAGGTGCAAGGGAGTTTGGAGGGGAGGAGCGGTGGGGAGGGTTTCATTAATGGCTCCTTTTTTTCCTTGTTCTGCATAGCGTTGGGTGCTGGTTGCTGAGTTGCTGAGAAATACCCCCCGAATGCATATATTATGTGTGGAAAGTATAGATATATGGATGTATGCATTATGCATATACTTCACTGCGGAGTTGGCAGAGAGCTTGCTTTCCGTTTCTCTTGCCTTTTCCCATGTACTATCTTTTGAGTATCTAGAATTTTCTTATCAGGCTAGTTCGAACCTTTGTAATTAATTATTGGCAGTGTTTGTTGGCAGGTAGCTTGAAGGACATAGCTTTCCAAGTACATAACTCTGCATCTCATCTATCAAGCTTGCATTTATGCATTGGGTATACAAAGATGGTGCGTTAAAAACCCGGGGTGTTTACAATCAAATAGATTAATAGAAGTTGTTGTATGCAGCAAGCAATCGCTTCCAGCACACGAGACTCACTGCTATCTTGCCTATGCCTTTGTGTCCAAATATCCCATCCATGCAGCACGCACGCCCGGCCTAACACCCAGCAGAAAAACGTAGAAAAACATGGTAAAAGAAAAAAAAAAAAAGGCAATAAAATACCACCACCCTCCGCAAACCCCTCAAACAGACCCCATGTACCCACCCACCCACTCCATCCCTTTAAGAAGCCACCACATCCCCCTCCCCCTCCCCATCTTCCGCCACAATAACCTCAACCTCCTCCAGCGCGCTATTCTCAAACATAACATCCAGCCACTTCAGCATACCACCCCAGGCCCTGGGCATGATAGACTCGACATCCAACGCCTCCCCGGCCGAATAACAGTTACAGCCGAACTCGTAGCGACCCGCAACGGGCGTGCTGAGTGGTTTCTCGGAGAGTAGGTAGGCGCGGCTGCGTGTGGACATGAAGGTGGCGAATTCTGGCGGGTGGAGGTGGTTTGTGTCGTGGAGGGGGTTGGTGAGGCAGATGGAGGAGATGCGGGATTGCCAGGTTGGCCCTGTTTTGGGTGTTAGGGGGCGGTTTTCATATTGACTTGAAGGAGGTGGAGGGCCGTATTGGGGGGGATCATATATATATATTTCCATCTGTGTGTATGGGTATCAGAGTTAAACATACAGTGCTCAGCCAAATATCTCACGGCACCTAATCCCCCCTCTGCCAACCCGATGACATCGATCTTCACGTCGGGCGCCGCAAGTTTCCCCAGCACCTCCTCAAAGACATAAGTAATGTGATCCTGCCATGTTTCGTTACCGGGGATCTTATTCCGGAACGTCATCCGCATGGGCGGCTCCACGGCACTGCGCCGAGGAAGAGCATGCCACATTGGCAGCGAAATAGCCTGTTCCTTGCCGCAGTGCCATACCAGCTGGCCTGGGTTTGTCAGAATAAGGCCCGTTCCCGTGCGGGAGTTGGACCAGTTATCCTGGCTCTGTTTCTGATCCTGATTCTTACTTGAATTAGCGACGTTCGTGTTAGCGGTTTGATACTCAGAACCCATGGGGCTGCTGCTGCTATCGCCTACAACCGCGGTTGCAAAGTTCACGGCGGAGCCGATGTTGATACCCTTCTTGCTGATGACGCGATAGGCCCAGATGCCCAGGTCTTGGGTTGGATCGCCAAAGACGACGATGAGGCGGGGCTGGTATTGGAAGGCTGGGGATGTTAGGATGGGGACATGTTGAGAGTTTGCTGCTGCGCCAATTGGGAGACGGAGGGTCTCGAGACCCAGATTGAGGAGACGGGAAATGACGATTTGTCGGATACATGCTAATAGTTTTTCAAACCAAGTAAACAGATGGTTTCATGGAGTCAGCCTTGTATATGGTGGAGCCGATGTAGGCTCTCCCTTGCGTTGCATGGTGGTAGTATGCAATGCGCCACGGGATTGTAGTAAGAGGAGAAGAAGTAGAGTGAGATATATATATACTATTCATAGCTTCCTTCTGCATCTCATTGTAGCGATCATTGGTATTGATTTTGAAAACAAAGTCCTCTTCGGGGTTCGAGATCTTTTTGATCTGGTCCTGGTCATTGATGAAGTAGCTGTTTAGGATCTACCATTAGCTCGAGGGACTCTCCATGTATGTCGAACCGAAACAAGAACAAAGCCATGAGCAAAGTTTCATCTGGAGCATACCCAAGCTGCTTCAGATCAGCAGGAAAGACAGGATCCTTGGGCAAGTCCTCTGCCCGGAAGACAAACATGATGCTTCGTCTGGTGGTGCGGTATATGGGGTGAAGTAGATGAGAGTAAACAAAAGAAAAGAGAGAGAGAAATGGGGTTAGCATTGAAGAGATAGAAGGATAAAGAGAGAGATGTATGTTTTATATTCGCTATAGAGGAAATGGATATTTCAAAGAACATAAGCAAAACTGCTGTATTGATACTTGTATCTTGGTGAATGGACTGTGAATGAAGGTGCCAAAGTGCCAACTAAATAAACATAAAAAATAGCTGCAGCCTGCCGCTATGTTTCGGGTGTATTTATTCAAGACCGCAGATAGATGTAAAAAGGAAACGGACATAAAAGACATAGATCTTTATCGCATTGCAATGCTTGAGCATAGTAATGCTGGGGCTCGATTGCTGATGGTGGAGATTTGATGATGGACTGAGTTGTTTTGCCCAATGCAAAATAAACCACTCTAGTTAAATATTTAAATATTTATGGCCAGCCAATGTTGCAAGAATTACTAGAAAATCGAGAAGTAGATGTTCTATGCTTTGGGCGTTTATATATATTTTGTTTCATTTTAAAATTCAATGTACTGTAAGTTACATAATTTAAATACATATTTGTCTATTTCGCAGGTCCCATCCCAAAACGAAAAAAAAAAAAAAAACGCCGGAGAGCTCCAAAGATAATAGTCAGAGCGAGAAAAATGCAGAGCCTTCAAAACAGGCCAATCAACCACCCACGCAATATACCCATATATATGCGCCGATATATTACCAGCTCGCCTTCCTGACACCCGGGAGCTTCCCAGCAAGAGCCTGCATACGGAATTGGAACTGTACAAGGGAGGAAGATCGTGCGTTAGCATGTGGAAGCCGAAACAAGAAACCCAATATGTAGATTGGACGAAGGGCAAAACGTACTCGTCCCAGTCTGAAATCTCTGAAAACACCCCTTGCTATGCCTCCAGCCGTACATCTGTTCTTAATCTGTGTGGGATTGGTGTAGCAGTGCATTTGGGAGAGCTTGAGTTGGGCTTGGGCGCGGACACGCATGGGGAGAGCGGTGTTGCGGACGAGGTAGCGAAGAGCTTGTCTAGATGTGGCGGAGTAGAGGTCAGTGGGTTTCAATGACCTTGTATAAAGCAAATATCCTTTTGATGCTATATATAAAAGATATAGTCGTAGATCATGGGGGCTGTCGGGGATTGCAATTACCTTTCGGGCTCGAATTGCTTGAAGACCTGTCGCTTCGTGTGATCCCGGACGATGCGCGGGTTGATGAAGCCGGCGATGTCTAGCCGTTTGGCGCGAAACTGGGACATAATTGCGATTTCGCAAGGATTGACCTTGATCGTTTTCTTGTATTAAGAACAGGAGGTGAAGAAGAATGATGGCTGATGATAGAGTTGAATATTCTTTTGGATTTGTTCTTGCGGCGAAATCGCGAAATCTGGATGGAGGTCAGCCAAATCGGGTTTAGCGCAACCGGGCAGCCCAGCACCAGCGACGGAGGAATTTGTACGCTGCCATCTTGCACAATAGAAACTGGGAGCTATTAATTATGGTCAGATATAATGTAATAGTTGTTGAATCCTACAATGTCTGATATCTCTATTATTACACAGAATTGTTGTGGTGGTGGGTCGGAATGTATCTACATATCTACGGCTACAAATACATCCTGCAACGACGATAACGAGGGGAACCATCAATTGGGCTACAATTCCCACAGATATATCCGCAAGATGTGTTCAGAGGCGGTGGAAGATTAAGTGATAAGAAAAATGGAATTTCTTGGATGTTCAATCCATCTCTATTCAATGTACATGTACAGGGCATTCATCCCAGCCTGGGGTGTCTTAAATCTCCCACCATCAACAGGTCCTTCCCTTCCAAAAAATCATAAAAAAAGATCCTTCGCATGTACTTAATGGCTCTCCTCCGGCTTCAGTGGCTTCGCGTTGGGGTTGCGGGGGTCGTTCTTGAACTCGGGGGCTGTAAAGGTAGGACAAATGCTCAGTATACATGCTCGTCCAAAAATCGTTGCAATTAAATTGCATAACGCTTGCTTTATCTGGAGACAAGAAGGCGAACGGCGATACACAGCGACAAGGTGGGGTCACTTACTGCTCATCAAAAGGTTCGCGAATCCGTTAACGCCGTAGAGGACGATGAGACCTGGGACCATGAATTCCGGTTAGTAATTGAATTTCCCATCATTCCTCCATTTACCAGGGGAATTCTTGTAGGAATCAGCGCCATGGAGCGCATCCGATGAGGACATTAATGCGGCATACCGGCAGCGAAGAAGGGCAGCATTGGCCGGGCTAGATAGAGTAGAGAAATTTGTGGTCAGTATGAGTTCTGTTGAAGGTTAATGGGGCCATTCGCGGATAGTGTATTCCACATACCGACTGGCGCCGGGTATTTCCGTCCTAGGAGAGACATGTCGAAGATTTTGTGAATGAAGGGGAAGGCTTGACGTGTGCCAGTTGGTGGGTTCAATAAAGGAGTGCGATGTGGTAATGCCTGAGATGATTGACCTGGTGTCGAAGGTTTTGAATGATGGAAGTCGGAATTGGAGAGGGAAAATATCACGTGATAGTTATAAGATTTTCGCCGAAGTAAACAATCACGAAAGTTGAGTTTTAGATATTTACAACAACAGCTTCAATACATTGACGAAATTTAGCAAGGATAATAATAAAGAAGAGGATGGCTACCTCACTTTCCTCTTCCGTATCCTCTCTACAGGCCTCCCTCCAGTTGCTAGAATCCTCAATCAATATTCTTGATGAAGGGGTCAGCGACTTCCCCCGCCTCCGCAAAGTGCTGCAGACTACACGGGTAAGATCCCCCAAGTTCGCCCCAAGTGATAATTAATGATCCACAAATACAACTAATAAAAAAATAATAATATTCAGCATTTCGAACTACTCCCTGAACCAACAGTCCGCGAAGCTCAAAAGGCTATCCATGATGAAATAAACCCAAGCATCGCCCACCTTCTGTCCCTCGCCTCCAACCACGTTGAAAAGCTAGCCCGGCGCGAACAATCCCTCAAAGCTAAATACGAGTTACAACAAGGCAGATTATCCTATGATGATGACGGTGATGACGACGATGGCAATGGCCCACATGCTTCCCGACGAAGTAATAACTCCCATCAGACGCGAAGGCCGCTGTCAACAGGGAGGAGTGTGACAGAGACGGCCGCGGCGGGACGAGCTGCGGAGTTGCGCAAATTGGTGCAGAAAAAGGAGCGCTTGCAGTATACGGTCGAGAGGTTGGAGTTGCAGTCGAAGCAGAGGGAGAGGCAGTTGAGGAAGAGTATGGCGGCTCAGTGAGACTGTTCTTACGCATGCTATCACTGTTTATTATGTACCAAGAGAGGTGCGCCCCACTACATACGGTATTACGATTTTTTATACCTCAGCTGGAAATGCCACCTACACGGACGGATCTTATGATGTCGACCTTGCACATATATGAGGAAGAATATTGAATTGCTGTTCACGTGGAATTCAAGTTGCGCTTTGCATTACTTATGCGAATGGTCTAACCAGCAGCCAATGCTGCACAGGTTAACGCGAGAACCGCAATATCGGGATGAATGGACGGCTGGTAATGGCAATGGGGTATCGATGAGAACACCCCTACATAACTATTTAAATTGTTATGGCAGAGGAGACACCGTTCTGTCTGGCTAGAGTCGTTCTGAATTGACACAGTCGAAGTCGGGAAAGTAAAGTTTTCATAGGTTTGCCTTTGACTCTGTGACTACCGAAATTCGGTATTGACCTTCACATACCAATTTGTTAGGAATATGACCTGTGTCCCTTCGCCCTGGAATGTGGGTTATGTTGGCCCTTGAAAAAGGGGGAGGAACGTGGAGATTGAACCGAACTTAAGGCTAGGAGCCAGAGTGTCGTTGCGGATGATGAAACTGAGAATTTAATGGGGATTCTAGGAGCATTGACTAATCTTAGCTCTCTATGAATATTTCGATGCGACGCGAGTGTATTATATGGTATTGTATTTGTTCTGTACCTGTCCATGTTTTTGTATGGACTTCCCAATTGAGAGAAGATTCTACGCCAGAACTACGGCCTAAAAATATAATGTCGCTCCTCTCTAAGGAGGGAGAAAACTATTATACACAATCTATTATACATATATGATATGGGTCTGGCAAAATGTGCCAACAAAGAATTCTAAATCAGATCCAGAAACCGTCCTATTTCCCTCTATCGCAGATCCGTAGCATGTAAAAAATACCGAACGCCGCCCTTTCAGTAGTAACGGTTCCAAACCAATCCATGCAACACTATCTTTCAAAATGGACAATTACCCATCACCAAAGCCACCAAAGTCATTCGCCTGCTTCGCCTTCCTCTCCTTCCGCACCTCCATCTTCTTCACCCAAGCAGGAACCTTTTTCTTCTTCTCCGGCTTCCTACTAATCCGCTGCCTACTCCCATAGGGATCCAACCGACCCATCGCCTCCCGAAGTTCACCCATCCCTCGATCCTCTTCCTCATCTCCCCACCCCATCCCCTCCCCAGTAGCACCGGAAGTACCCAGTTGATGTTCCTCCTCCGCCATATCGTCAGCCAACGACCGCTTGCGCACACGTCTCTCAAACTTCTTATCACTGCTCTGATCATCTACGAATCCAAGCTTGATGTTGCGCGGTGACCGCGACTTGGCTCCCAGTGCCCATAGGTCGCCCCAGGCAGACTTACGGGCATCGCGGTACGCCTGTTTGCTAAAGGAGCGGGGGACGGTCCACCGCTCAATTTTGCCTGCCGGGGTGCAGAGGTCAAGTGTGGAATGGCCTTGGCGTTTCAAGGGCGGGAGGATGAGTCGTGGGAGGGAGAGGGGATGGAATGGGGTTGCCTCTCCTTCGGCGTTACTTTCAGCATTGCCCTCGTATTGGACGTCTTCGAAGCCGGCAAAAGCTGCATCGGTTGCCCGTTGCCCCTGAACAATGCCATGGGTTTCTCTCATATCCACACCGCGCTGGACAGCGACGTAGCTGAATTTCGCGTCTTCATGGTTCCTGTCCTTAGCACCCCTGATCCGCTGTAGATATGGAGGTCGGATATAACGTTGCTGGAAGTGGCAGAAATCTTTGCGCGCGATTGATTTCCCTGGATTTGTATACATAGGACATTTGGCGTGGGTCGTGCAAGGCGCTATGATCATCCCCTTGCCCTTCTGAATGAACCTCTCAGAGTCTGGAGATTGCGTTGGGTTTTCATACTCTGTCGATCCGGGAGATGCAATCAATCTCTCAAGAATCATTTCGCGGGCACCTGCAATGGCCTCGAAACCCCTCTGATGGCCCTTTTCAAGAAGAATGAGAACACCTCCATCCGGATTGAGAAGGGACCATAAATTCTCCACGTGCTCTTTTCGATGATAATCCTCCCGTATTGGCCATATTGTATGTGGCGCGATGATAACGTCGAACTGTTTGCGCTGTGGAGCGGGTCTTTCGTCAGTTGTTGTCGCTTGGTCGCGCACGTGCACATAGTCCGGCAAGCGGGGAAGGAATGTAGTATTTTCCAACAGCTGGCTCGCTCTATGTCGCAACGCGTTGGACCCTGTTAGAACTGTTGACCTCCCGAAGGGAATAGGACTGTGCGGTGGCCTGTCGGGAGACATTAAGGACCATTCAGCCTTTAGCACTTCCCTCCAAGCTAGAATCCCCGCACCACCACCCCCAACATCAAGAACCCTCGGGCCGCCTTCTTTAGCGATCAAATCGCGAAGCCATTTAGACCCTAGCCGTTTGCGAACTTCGACAAGAATAGGAAGTACGGAAGCGTATATGCCGGGGTAGAGGACAGCAAGAAAAGCATGGCTTTCTATCTCCGACATTATATGTTGTCCTGCATCGAGTTGGATAGGGGTTGGAGGGATGTTCTTCGGAGGCGTAGATGTGGAGTAGGGCAAATTTGGCCCACCAAACAGTCTGTGTGCAGTTTCTGCGAGGTGTTTGTTGGAGTAAGCTGAAAGCATGCGGGATACTGGTTTGGTCATGCTGTCGTATGGCATCCAAAGCGTTTTGGACCCGGTGGTGAACTTCCCTTCAGTGGTCAGAGGATGCGATCGTGGACCACTGTCATCAGGGTCAAATTCGGAAACTTCCCCCGAAGATTCTTTTGAATCGGCAGAGGGTACAACTTCCCCTCCTAGCATTCTTGCTATCGAGTTTGCTCGGTCTTCCACGGACATTTCGCTATAATCCACCTCGGCTTCAGCGTCATATTCAAATTCTGGAGCCATAGCAAGATTACGCTCCGTTGCCTTCTCCACGGCTGTATTTGCGTCGGGATGTTCGATCTCAACCCAGCCTCCGTCACCGTCACCTCTGAATAGCTGGTCTGGCTCCGGCTCATCCTCGACAATCGCAGCCTCTTCCATAGGCAGCGGTTCCCCATATAAAGTTTTATATAATCGCATCTCTTCCTCGCTTAACATATTTTCCGGCAGCGAATCACGAAACTTTTGCCGTACCCTTGTGACCTTGTCCGTCAAATCTGCCTGACTTCGATGACCGACAATCGCAGTAATAGTATCTACTAAATCGAGGTCTTCGGAGTAAATAAGGTGAGGAAACGCATCGACGAGCTCCAGCTCTTGTAAACTTTGTACGATATCATCTTCCGCTTGGTATATATTTTCAACTACGGCGAATAGGGCCTCCTTCCTTGATCTCGTAGCGCCATGGTCACCGACAGAAGCGGGAGCGGAGGCCGTGTAGGCAAACCTTTGTTGAATGACATTACTTCCATTTTGGGCTGGTGTTCGGCCTGATGGTCGTAAAGCGGTAGCAGTTAGCGATCGACTGGAGTAGAAATGATGGGAATTCGACCTGCGAATTTGCGATGTGAAGCGTTTCTCAGCTTGATGCGCTCGGAGAGCTTGTGGGGATGAAAAGCGCTGGACCCAGGCTTGAGAGCATGCTGTGCAAACGTTCGAAGATCGTTTGGAGAGCATAGCTCGGCCGGTGCAGCAACGGTCTCAGCTATGGAAAATGAAATGAAAGATACACGGAAAGAATTGAAACCGAAACCGTACATCACAAAAATTTCAATCGTTGAATTACTCGAGTTTGTCCTAGAAATTTTTGTTCCTCATTATATTTATCACGTGATGATTATCTAATCAGCTCTGACCCTTTTTGAACCGCGAAAATGATTGGTTGATCCCATATCATCATTCAGCTCCATGTCATATGAGACAACCAATATTGGCTAAGCTACGGCCGGGAACACAAGCCAATCAATCATTATCCGTGTCGTCTTCCTCCATGACAACTGCTAAAGCTGATTTCCACCTCGAAACTTCATGTTCCAGAGCCGTCAGCTTCGCCATGGCCGACAGCAGGCTCGGGTCCTGGCTCTCAACTCTAGCTTTCTCCTTGACTTTAACCTCCTCTCCTTTCCAACTGAATACGTCTCCAGACTCGTCATGGACGGGATGTCGTGACCCAAAGAGACGGTCACGCAGTGAGAAGCCGCTGAGTGATATTTCAGGTGCAAAGGATGTTGTAGGCGTGCTATCAGGCGACACGGGCTCGAGAGTTCGTAGATTTAGAACCAGAGCGGCTTCAGATACAGAAAGATGAAAAGACATATATGGCGGGAGCGGCGGGTTAAATGACTTTTTTTGTCCTGGTTAATGAAATGGTCATAGAGGGAAAAGCATGTACATAACAAATAGGGGAGGGGTTCAAACGTACATTCTCATCCACACTATCTTCGTACCATGGCTTTTTCGACTCTTCGCCTTCTCCTTTCAATGTCAACCGAGCCTCGCTGAGATTATCATATAGCAACCGCAACTGTCCTGCTATGAAGCTCGCATTCATAGGATCACCAGTCCATGTGCTGACGTCTATTACATCGAGGCTCTCGTTAATTAGGCGCCGCACGATCACGAGCTGACGAAGGGCTATCTCCGACCCAGTAGATTCATTAGAAATCGTTAATCTCGTGGAATTAGAACCCTTGGGAGGGGTTAATGATTGTAAACGCAATTGAATATCCTGGATGTTAACATATGTTAGTAGAGGTTAGTAAGTTCACCTTTCTTCCTTTCTGGAACCCCGTCTATCTCCTGTTAAGTTACCAATGGAACATATGGAATATCCAGATGTCTCCTCCAGCAACCAATGTATGTTAAAACAAAAGATAAATAAACAAAACCCACCCCTTTTATAATTTTGGTTCCGACCCTCGTTACAAATCCCTTCACATTTTCAGACCGTAGCGAAGATAGAACTAGTGTGGAGCCTGGTTTTGAAGGTGCTAAAAGAGCAGCACACTCCTGAAGGCCTTCCCGCAAAGACGCCAAGGATTCTTGCAGGGAGCCCAGAAGCCATTTCAACTCTCGGGCCTACTAGCAACTCTGAGAATTAGCATTGGTAGCGAAGGGAATGGTTGGGTTTGTTTGGATAATTTTGAGTTTACCAATGAAACATCCTCCTCTTTTTTGAGTTGATCAGGTGGGAGTTGCGGGTATGCCCAGGTAGCCATATTTGAGCATCCACAACGGGGGAAAAAGAAATCGAATTAACAAGCGGATATATCAGAGAAATGGCCCCCAACAGGCTGTGCGATCCCAATAGATTAAGAGATAACAGCGGGATAACATTAAATTCGCTTGGCAACTACAAACAAAAGCGACTAGCCGGAGCACAGCGGACAAATGCCACCTGAGCGCTGACGACAATGGCTATCACCGCGAAGACAGTTGGTTGATAGAAAACAAACCGTGCGGCGGCTTCTTCCAGCGGCAAATCGATGACAGGTTGACAACACGACGTCATGCAACAAACATTGAAAAACAATGCCGGTTTGCAGGCGTGACCCAGAGCCTCCTCCCCGCGCCTTCCCTAATGCGGTTCAAGGTGGGTTGGAATAAGGTTTTCAACCTAGCCGCATCCAGCTAGGTCGTGTGTGGGGGTGATCGCCCGGCTGCCTCCACAGCGGCAGAGATCGTCCTGGGAATCGGTTATGTCATAAATCCAAATATCATGGAAGAAAGAGTGTTGCAAGGTAAGACCCCGTCACTCCCCGTTCAACTCCCCCTTTCACTCTGTCATGCTTTTGCCGCTGATCACTTTTCTCAATCTCTACCACATAGGCATTTTAGCATTGCCATTGTCTTACCTCTCTCCCTTGTTCTCCTTCTTTGCATCTTTTTTATCCTACATTAGCTACCAATGTGATACGTTTATGTTCAAGAAAGGAAACACGACCACTTCTTGGATCAATTGAAACTGACTCACTTCGTTTGTTGCTTGTCCCTTGAAGCAGCAGACGTTTCGAAACTATGGGTGTTGGCAGTGCGTTTCCACTCTATCCCAGAATATCGAAGTCAAACAGGATGAACAGGCACTGACATTGGTTTGAAAGGGCCACTTTCCGCCCTGTTGGGGCTTGTATTTACCGCCGGAGCTTTTATCATGATGATACTCACGCTAATAGGCGGAGCAAAAGATACAAGCCCTCTAAATCGCACATGGTTCCTCGAAGCGGATACTTCGAGGATCCCAGGGGCACCCGATGTGTCGAGATGGACCTTCTGGAATATATGCGGTGTCGTCGATGGGAGGAATGACTGCCCTGGTACCTCACCTGCCTTCCCTCTTGATCCCCCATCAGACCGGAATTTTGGGACCACTGAGGGCGTGCCTCCTGAATTCATCGGGTATGCAACCTTTCTCCCGCGCCCCCTCCCCTCTCTCCCCCTGCTCTTCTTCAACCATATTTTGTGCCCATAAGGTGCCGTATGGTGTATGAAACTACACGGGTAGGAAGAGGCCGCACACACATGTACATCTCAGCAATGTAGCTAACCAATGCTAGGACGAACAAATACTTCTACATTACGCGGTTCATGTTCGCGTTCATGCTGATCAGCCTTTTCTTTGTCTTTGTGTCTATGGTCACTGGGTTGTTGGCTCTTTGCACACGCATTGGGGGCTGGATCTCCGCCTTCATGGCAACAATCGGCCTAATTTTCCAGATCCTTACCACTACTCTAATGACGTATGTTATGTTTCTTTCCCTCCATATGAACCCCCAACCTCTGAAGCCCCTGACAGAAAGTACCTACATCTTTTAAAGGGAAAAAATTCTTTTCCTTCCCAGCAGATATTAACTTGCATATAACAACAGCGCCGGATATGTCAAGGGTCGCAATAACTTCTCGTCAAACGGCCAGGCGGCCAAAGTCGGGCCAAAGGCCTTTGGATGGATGTGGACCTCAGTAGCACTCCTCTTTCTCGCCAGCGTTCTATACTGTGTATCTGGGACCGGCAGGTCGGGGCGGCGAACCGAAGCTACTGCGAGTGGAGCTACGGCTGGACACCAACGGAGAGGCTTTTTCAAGTCCCGCCGCGCGAAGCGAGCTTCTGAGGACCAAGCGTTGGACAAGGAGTATACGTGAGGGCGCTAGGGGTCACTGACAAGATATATTCGACAGCTATGCATTCCCCAGGCGCCGCGGAGAACTTGATCAGAACAATTGTGATGGGGATGGGGATGAAGATGACGAAGAAAACTTTTCGTGTCGAAATTATTGGTTTAGCGAAATGATTCACCCAACTCTCACTTTCTATTTTGATCGCATGCTTACCTAGGTACTGTTTAGTATATTTCTATTTGCCTGTGAACGATGGGTCCTCGTTTTACCCTCTCACTTCCCTAAGGTATTCGATAGCCCCTTTTCATGTCTACCTGGTGGGGGGAAGCCACAAACCGACCAATTGGAAACATTCCGTTTCAAAAAAAAAAAAAAAAAAAAAAAAAAAACATCACAAGCACCCAACTCCAATCGCAATCGCAATCGCAAATTAGGTGTGTGGCGTTTTTGCGTTTATGCTTCATTCGCGCTGTCTCCACTTTGAACATGTGGATTCTAAAGGGGCTTTTTATGGCCTTCTAATTTTCCTGTCCAGGGGTTTCTGATGGGCTGGGGGCGGTATGGATATTTCGGTAAAACGGGGGAGTGGGGGAGGGAGGGAGGTTGGTTCTGTTGATTTGCGATTCCTTCACTGTGATTCGGCAATCTTAATACCGAGAATAATATCTAATGTATTTATTTTTGAACTTCATCCTGTAATGGGGGGAAAAAAAATAAAAAAAGGGTAAAAGGGTAACAGGAAGAAAGAAAAAAAACTTTGTAACACAAGACAAAGTCTGACACATACATTATCTATTGATCTAATTTTGTATTTACCAAAAGGAAAGTAGGGTAAGGCAGGGATGCTTGAACGAGTAAAAGACAAGAAATCGGACGAAAAAAATAAAGTGAACTGAAAGCACACATAGCTTTACGCACTTCCATTCTCCGCCGCCTTTGGCGCATCCACCATACCCCGGACACCACCCTTTCCACCGACTTCCCGAGCCGTTATTTGGACCGCCAGCTGCTCACTCACGGCCACCATAACCTCAACCTTCCCGTTGGCCTTGACACCCTTAATGGCAAATTCCGCAATAGGTTTCGATACCTTCCATACCACTTCTCGCACTTCTTCCTCCTCGTCATCATCATCGGAGTCGAAATCTGAATCATCGTCGTCGTCCTCGCCGTCGTCCTTGGCAGGTTGCTTCGGCTTGGGTTCCGGTTTCGTAACTTTGATCTCACGGATGCCTTCGCAGACACGGACGAGAATATCGCCGCCGGCCTTGGGGACGGCGTATTGAGCAATGCGCCGGGCGGGGAGCGCGGTTTCAGCGTTGAGGAGTGGTTTGAAGATGGCGTGTGCGTCATCGGTGGCGGAGATCAGTTGGATGCCGATGGCTTTTTCGAGGTGCGGGGTGACGGTGACCATGGGGTGGCTCGATTGCTCGATGTCGTCCTTTTCAAACTCCTCGATTAGGGAGGCTTGGATAGCCGCGCCTCGGGCGGGTAAGTCGGATGGGTTGATGGCGATGGGCGATGTGGATGGGGCAAGGACTGTTGTTGTGGCGGGGAAAAGAGATTGGACGAGTCGTGCAATCTTTGGAGTGTGGGATGTTCCGCCGGAAAGGATAACCTGTGTGTCACTATGAGTTAGCGAACAAAGAAAGAAAAAAAAACTTCATAGCTAAATAGATGTTTTTTTAATAGAGTAACTAACCTCATCAATATCCAGGATGTCAAGATCGGCCTTTTTCACGGACTCTTCAATCAACTTAACAAAACTCGCGAAAATTTTCCCCGACAGAAGCTCATATCTTGTTCTATTGACAGTAGAGCTAAAGTCTATTCCATTGGAAAGGCTTTCGATGCTGAGAGTGGCATTGGTACCCAAGCTCAAAGCCTTCTTAGTTTGTTCCGCTTCTAATTTCAGCTTGGCCAAACTCCTAGCATTTTCCCTTGGGTCTGTTTTGTGTTTCTTTATGAATTCCTTGGCGAAATGATCAATCAATATTTGGTCCAATTGGGCACCTCCCAGCTCATAATCATGCGCAGTGGCTAGAATGGTGTACATTCCGCCCCGCGATGCAATCACGGCAACGTCCGACCTCGTGCCACCTAGATCGGCCACCACAACTAACTTGTCCTTCACTACGGCCTCAGGACGGGCATCGTACGCTAGTAGAGAAGCGACTGGCTCAGGGATGAACTGCAGAACGTCAATGCCAGCATCTTTGGCTGCTGCGGAGAAGGCGTTGCGCTGAGCATCTGAGAAGTTTGTTGGCACAGTCAAAACGGCTGCATTCACATCTTTTCCTAGGAAGTCCGAGGCAGACCGTCGGAGACAACGCAGGTGGCGTGTTGTTATTTCTGAGACAGTCAATGTGCTAGGCTCTTCGTTCGTAGTGTCGCGGATTGTGAAAGCCACGGTGGAATCATGTAATTGGGGGTGAGCAGACGCATGGCAAGGGGTAGGGTCTATCGATTTAAAGCTATTGATTGGCGAAATTAGTTGAGACTCTGATGGGTATAAATGCACGAGATTGATACAGGTGAGGGGCAAGTACTTACTCTTTTCCCAGGAAATCTCTGAAGTAAGCAACAGTGTTCGAGGAATTTCGGACAAGCTGTGCTTTGGCTTGGTTCCCATCGTATTCTTCACCATCTACGTATGAAATGATCGACGGAATATGGCGATCTGTGCATATTTAGTCCATTAGTCGCTGAATATCAACGAAGTTCCTGAGGGGTGTGCCAGTCCAAATATACCTCCGTCCTCATTAGCTATGACTTCTGCTTTTCCTTCCTTTGAAGTAAGAAAACACAAGAGGCGTCAGCAAGCGCTCTATTTCAAGAAATTGTACCCCTACAGCATCTCACTCACTGGTGATGTATACGCAATCGAGCTGTTGGTGTTGCCAAACGATAATCCGATGGCGCATCTCTCCGGTGCCTCGGGGGAAACCCCGTTGGTTTCTTCACTCATGGCGGTGTTAAGGGTAAATACAGCCAGTATTCACAAATAAACTAGCGGAGAAAAGGAAGATTATAGAGGCTGCTATCTGCGATCTATATTTGCCTTCGTCGTTGCCAGGCTAGGAGATTTCTCGCAAAAAAAAAAAAAAAAAAAAAAAAAAAAAAAAAAAAAAAAAAGCCCAAGATACAAATTTTAGCAAAAAATCTTTAGGCGAAGTTGGGCCGGGGAAAGTTGCCGCATTTGGACAACTCTATCGATAAGCCAAGCAAACAATGCAAACACACCACTCCTATGAAACCATGAAACTATCAATCTATTATTGGCTTTTCAAGGGAATCACAGCTAGTGTGAGCTCAGCACCGTAACTACAAGATCTGTCTGGCCAACGTCTTGTTTACTATCTACCTGCAGCTATGGCAAAGCCAAATCCTTACCCCGAACTGAAGTTCGAGAAGAAAAATAAAAAGATGCAAAAGGTCCCCAGTTGTACGTCGTCAAAACTTTCCAATGCAATACCACTGAGTCTGGTGCTAAAGCCACAACCTTGACTTCTATAGATGCACGTATTCAAAAGCGACCAATCCCACATCCACCAGCCGCCTCTCCCTATGCCGGGGCGAAAATCCCCAAAGTGGTTTATGTTTCAACCAATACACCGTTTATGAGCGCCGCAAAACGCGTGCAGAAGCTGCTCAGACAAGCCGAACGACGCGCAATATCCAAGATTGATCTGAGCGATAAAGTTAGCGAGAAGCAGAAGCTTTCCCAGCTTACGGAGAGTACCGAGAATCTTAAAAAAGAGGAGGTTTTTATCAAAGCGACGGGTCGAGCCATTGAAAAGGCGATGAGCGTTGGGAAATGGTTTGCGGAAAAAGAGGAGTACGCGATCAGAGTGAACACTGGAGCCGTGATGGTGGTTGATGATATTGTGGAGGATGAGAAGCTTCAGCGGAAACAGGAGAAAAAAAGGGAAGAAGAAAACAATGCTATTCCGGACGCACTTAAAGAAGCTCCGCATGAACTTGATGCCATTGCGCAATCCACGGATGGGGCCAACCACACTGCTGGCCCATTTCAAAAATCGAAACCCGAAACAAAGAAGCGTAAGAGGCAGAGGAACGAGGCAGTCGATGCAAATGGGGAACTCCTAGAGTCTCGCACTCGTTGGGTGAATATGGTAGAGATTGCGGTCACGTTGAAATGAGGTTGTACCGAGCATAGTTTGCACGCCAGAGCGAACAGTACAATTTGGAAACACCGGTTGCGACTCCCGCCGTAATACGACCATACCTAGACTAGAGATATAGATGCGCGCCATGAGTCCCCAATACGGGACGGGACGGACCGCGGAGCTTCAATAATTGCGGACACCGAACTCTCGTCATCTTCAATTCACAATCATTGGGGACCTGGGACATTTGTGCAACTAGCACGTCCAAAATATTTAAGGGACACGGTTGCGTTGCGTCCTACTTTTGAAAATCGGTTTGAACATGCCTTCCTATGGATTTTTCCGGCTATAGACAGATTAGCGAGTCTATGGATTACCCGAATGCATAACACCCGCTGCTGCGCTGCAATTTCCCGGTACAGATACTTTACCCTCTGCTAGGAAGATATATATTTGAGGCCTGATTCCTGGATATTCTGCTATACTAGAGTTTAACCATTCTCCGAAGCTACAAATGGCCGCAATAAACATTTACCTCTCAATGACATGGAGGACGCTTGGATCCCTGGCGTTGATCAAGCGAATAGATATTCATAGTCGTGGATCAACTCATACCTGGCCGATCCGGGAGCCAATTGCAGTATGAGCTGTACATGGACACAAACCATGTCAGTATTGCGAGTTGCCTGCGCGTGGTAGTATGCCGAAGTTGTTTTTATTTTTATTTTTTAAATTCTGTTTCCGAGATCGAGAAGGTCTAAATAGTTCAGAGGCTATCCATTGCAATAATATTTATTGATCTAAGAACAGTGAAAATACAATATTCTATCACCCTCATGAACATCAGATACATTTCCTGGTCAAGCTGCCCTGCGTTGGTTGACCGGCTGATTCCAGCTAACTCATAATTTCCAGTGCTCAATTGTTGATGCCTCCCCACAGTGGCGGGAACAAACTTCGTCATAACAACAAGGCTGTAAATAGAATTCCCTTCGACCCGTGTATATCCATCTTGTTTTCTGCAAGGAAAAAATAAAATCAATTAATTAATAAATACACAAAATAAGTAAGCACCGATGAATAACACGAGACTCAATCCGTCCGACCCACCACCGGCCTACGAAGAAACAGAGTCTCACCACCGGGAGCAATCCATCCCAACAGAGCCACTACGACCTCATGCCCACCCTGAACCTCCGCCGCAATCAACTCCATCGACTAGTATCACCGCGCAACCTCCTCTGCCCGACCTCTCTGATATAACTCTAGATGGCACCTTGATTTACCCAACCACACCCCCCGCCACTTCCCTCTATGCAGTCTCACAGCACCTCGACCTGGGTCACAGCACAATAGATGTGTCCCGGCTGGTGCCCCGCCGCACCAGCAGCGGAGCCCTTAGCGCCAATCCAAACCCGCGCGACAAGGTCATCTACAAATTCAATCGACCGGTAATAAATGGCCCAGTGGAAATTGCCGGCCAACGCCGCAGCACCTTGCCCGGGATCGTGCTATTGAAATCCACCCGCCAGCTGCTGAAGACGGGATGGGTGCTATGGCATGTATATAGGAACAAGGAGTCGATGGTATTCCGCGTGAAACCGACGCGGAATCCGGAGCGACAGGAAGTGCTGGAATGGCAGGATGGGTGTGGGGCTACCGTTGCGATTGAGACGTTGGCTACTGATCCTGACGACCCTCAGGTTGATGATCGTGGAGTAAGACGGCCACGCTTGCAGATTGTCTCTGCTACGCTGGATGATATGATGATGGATGTTCTGGTGACGGCTTGGTGCGCGCGGATATGGATTACATATAAGCTTAAACAGGAGGAGGAGAAGGCCAAGAATATTCCAAGTATGTCTTTCTATTTCTTGATTTCTTTCCCCAGTAATTCCTCCAACTTGACGCCTTCTCTTGTATATCTTTTGGAAAATTGACTTTTAAATATACTAACTCCGTTCCTAGCTCGTGAATTGGTTAAACAGCGACTGAATTATGCTTCTTCCGAGCAAGCAACCGTGGCGATGTTTGGGCCAAAGCCGAGATAATCTTGCTCGTTGATGACCGTGACGTGTATTTTGACTTCGTTCTATCGAAGGCTACGTATCTACTTTCCTGATGAGATGGAAGTTGGTATTTCCATACGATACTGTGGCGATGGGATTGAACTACTGCTGCTACCATGATTGCGACGGGAGGTACGAGTACGATTCGTATCAATTCCCTAGAATTTCAGGGGTATTAGATCAATGCTCAAATTCTAATGTAAATATTTATGCGACACAAAAAGCAACTCCGATATAACCGATATAAAACCCAAAACCCAAAGGCAACAGGACATCAATATACAAGGGGGTAGATCATTGAATAAAAACGATAAACTTCTCATAACCTAACTTCCCAATCCCATCTCCCTCAGCACACTCCCAACTAACTTCCTCTGCTCCGCAGCTCCCAACCCCTTCTCATCCGTCTCCCTCAAGCATCTCCCCACCGCAACCGTAATCTTAACCGCCTTCGCCGAATCAGCATCCCCACCAGCCCCCTTCCTCGCAGCTGAACAATCTACCCAAACCTTCCCATTCCTCCCAACAGCAACCTCAAATCCACCCTGACTCTCCAACTTCGACCCAAGTTCCTCTAAAACCACAACACCACTGCCCCCCTCACTTCCGCCCCTCATCATTAATCTCTCAGCCAATCCCGTAGATATATCAAACAACATCCCACCCACTAACGGCCCCAGGCCGCCAGGTTCCGCCTTCCTCGTCGCCGGGTTCACACACGTAAGCTCCACCTCCCCGCCCGTGTTGCCGACACCAGTCGATAAAACACGCGCATAGACGAGGTCGCCGTGCTTAAGGAGCGGGCGTGTTTTGCGCGTCGCGCCTTCGAAAGCTAGTTGGCCCAGGAGTGCATGTGGAGTGTGCGGGGTTATGGTGCAGTGGAAGTAATCGACGCTGGAGTGGTGGATTTGGGCGATGAGGAGGTCGTTGGGGGAGGGGATGTAGCGGCGTTGGGGGAAGGTGTGGAGGGTTAACGCGTTGCGTTTGGGATCGGTGGTTAGGAGGCCTGCTTGGGTTGCTGTTATTAAGGTTGTGTTGGTTTTGTTGGCGGGAGTTTCGAGGACGCGGAGGCCTGAGGAGAGCTTCGTTGTTGTGGCGGGCTGGTTCGGCTGCTGCAGTGGGTAGGAGATTGAGTCGCCTGGAAGGACGAGCAGGGGGGACGAGGATGTCATATTGTATTGATTTAAAGACGGGTTTGACAATACTGCGGGCTGAATCAGGGCTGCGGGCGAGCCGCTGGCGGGCAATTCGGGGAGCTGTGGGTAATGAAGAGGATGGCTGGTCACCAATCAAAGCATTGACCCAGCGTCAATTGGAAGTAAAATGATGAAGGGATTTTTTTTTTCGGCATGCGCCCCTTCGTTCTACGGTGAAGGGGATCGAATAGACTGCAAGCAACGCCAGAACCTGGTGAATATAAATTGAGGAACGTCCCGGTTGAAGATAGTTAGAGCTCGGTCTGGGATGCGGAAGTTTTGTTATCGATAAGGGCTTCAAATATCACATGATGTGACTGCCCCTTGATGTCTTGGCACTATCAGAAACTCCGCTTGAGACACTTCTTGTAACAGATCATCAGGGGAGTGACACAGTTTACATTGCTACCAATTTTGATAATCAGTGCAAATCTGTCAATTGTCATGCATCTATTGTCAGAGATAATTGGAGAACTACTTCCGCGGGGCGGAGGATATTCATAGAATTTGGAATTTGTGCTCCAGTGCGCAGGTGAGACGGTCAGTTGAGAAGGGTATGTTTTATGTGCATATCATGTATCAATGCCAACTACTTCCTAGATCTGATAGCAAAATCCAGACTCGAGTCCCTGGTGACTTACCACATCACAGAGAACTCAATTAAACACAGCACATCCACAAATAGGCCACGGAACAACCATCGGTCGCACTAATCCCCAGACCAAGCACAGCGAGAGCGGGGTCCTTGTATCCTTTTTATATCTAGGCATCCTGCAAACGACAAAAGTCAAGAAAAAACGAAACACAAGTATAATGAAAGGAACACTGATAGATACGAAGTATAATGAAAAAAGGTTAGGGGGTAGGAATGCCACAATATACGAAAAATGTCGAGATATACAGGGCAGTGTTGGCGATACAACTGTTCCCCCCTCCAGAGTCCTGGCGTGTCAGAGGCTGGACACTGGGAACTGGGAACTGAAGTAAGGGGTAGTTTCTAACTCTCAGCACGTAAATCACAGGGTTGAATCTGAAGATGTGTCCGTTCAGGCAATGAATGTTCTCTTTCTGAAAGGCATGCGTTCCCTCGTACGACCAAATCGGAATCGGTCTAGGAAACCTCCTCTGCCATTGCCTCTGCCATTGCCTCTGCCATTGTTACCACCATTCTGGCGGCCTTGGTTGTTTTGGCCATTGTTTTGGTCGTTGTTCTGGCCGCTGTTATTGTTGTTGTTGTTGTTGTTACCTTGACCAACAGTAAAACGGATGCAGTCATCCTGGGCGCCGCGTTGAGCAACCTAGAGAATAGTTGTCAGTTTTCGTGTCTTTTAGAATTAGTGGGATCCCAAGGAACTCACCGGCATGACCACGGGCTGATGGTTGCTGGCTGAATTAATAGTACAGACACGGTAGACACCAGGTGGGAGGCCGCCATCAACCTCAGCTCTGAGTCCACCTTGCCCGTTACCGGGATCATTGATCCCCTTGAAGAAGACGAAATTGTCCGGGTCCGGGGGGGTCTGTGTGTTGATATTATTCCCGAGGCTTTGAATAGTGACATGGCTGTGGCCCTCGATATTCCCACGCACGAGTTGCTGAGGAGCCGAATAGTAAGTGATGTCGGGATTGGTGAACGACCCAGCCACGAGGTTTTCAACTTGAATATCCACGTTGAAACTCTCGTTTGGTTCGAGGTCTTCACCGGGTGCCGGGTTCAAAATAATACAGGAAATCATATTGTTACGAGAAGGGATATCGCCCATAACTGTACGCAGCTTTGATTAGGTTCTAGCGCATCGGGCAATAGACGTAATCAATAGCATAGAACAACTTACCAATACCGTTGCAAGAGCCGCCATCCCGTTGAAGACCATTGGTCAATGTTTTCCCAGTGCAGAAATTGATAAAGTTGGCGTCGTCACTTTCATAGACCATTAGCATGTATCTATACTGGGAAATAATGGTTGCGAGACTTACGTGAGGGAAGCAGCTTGTCCTGCTTCTGCTTGAGCGGTTCCGTCGTTCTTGCTGGAATCCTGAACGTTGTTGGGGTTGAGTAGAAGTTCATTATTGTTCCCACCGTCATTCCCACCGTCATTCCCACCGTCATCCCCACCGTCATTCTCACCGTCATTCCCACCGTCATTCCCACCGTCATTCTCACCGTCATTCCCACCGTCATTCTCACCGTCATCCCCACCGTCATTCTCACCGTCATTCCCACCGTCATTCCCACCGTCATTCCCACCGTCATTCCCTCTGTTTTTTCCCCCATTGTTCCCCCCATTGTTCCCCCCGTTGTTTCCGAGGTTATTTCCGCCGTTGTTTCCACCGTTTTGCTGCTGGCCTTGGCCTCCCTGGACACCCTGTCCGTCCTGACGCTGACCTCCCTGGACTTGGCCAGCCTGGCGTTGGCGTTGGCGTTCTTGATCTTGCGCGGCCTGGCCACCTTGCCCTGCCTGGCGCTGACCTCCCTGGCTTTTCTCAGCCTGGCGTTCGCGTTCTTGATCTTGACCGGCTTGGCGTTGGCTGCCTCTGCTGCCCTGAGCGGCGACTGCGGCTTGGCCACCATTCTGGCGAGTCCGCAGATCCGCCCCGACGACTACATCGAGAAATCCAGACGAGAGAACCAGGGCAAGCAAGAGGTTTTTGTACTGCATGCTGTCAAACACTGTTTGTACAGGTTATGGGGAGCAACCAATCTATTTCTGAATTCAGATGTTCTGTTTTTTTGCCCTCAAATTATCTCCACGAAATTCTTGAATTCGAAAAGGAAGTTAAGTAGATTCCCGGAATGTGACGTGCCGCAAAATGTATGTAAAAGTAGGGCCCGCTGCCTCAAAAATAAAGAATGTAATAAGACAAGAGATATGTGAAGAATCTTCCACGATCAACGTGGAATTATTTCAAAAAATGAATGGTTTGATATTTCTCTCTATATGGAGGGAGGACGGGGGGTGAGAAAAGAGTGCAATCCCTCAAAACGACCATATGGACAATCAAAACACGAAGACTATTGAGGGAGGGAGAATGGCAATGCAAGAGGAGAAAGGAAGAGAAGGAGAAATTGAAATAATTGAAATGCAAAAGGAGAAAACACATTTGGACGGGAAAAACAGGAAATGCATAGCTGTATCACAGCTGCCAAGCTGGCTATATGAAGGATCGATACGGAGAACGCATATCGAACGCATGAAGCGAGAGTGGTAGAGTGAAACTATCTTGACATCCAAGCTGTCGCAGGACAGACGGGGGCCAGCTGCAAGGGATAAAAATACCCACCATAAGCCGCCAAAAGGAGAGTGGTTCCATTTTGGAAAATGAAGGTACGTCCCCGCCGGGGTCCGATTAAACTAGTAGTTAGTGAAGACTCTCAAAGTTCTGGATGCTGACGATGCATTCCCTGAGAGTAGCGTTAAGGAGGTGAGGTTGAAGAAGTTTGAGCCCAAGGAGCAAAGAAGATGGGAGGTTGTTGCAGATGCGGCTTATTTAGCGCAGGCCGCTGGGGCTGACATCGTCGAACAAAAACTGCCGCACTTCGGTATCGAGCCGGGTTTCTTCAAACAACCATCGCTTGGGCTGTGGGCTCTGCATTAATTCCTGCTGTTCTCCTTACTTGTCCTGTTGTGTTGTTGTTTTGTTCATTTTGTTCCATTTCGCAGGTCCTGATATTCGCCCAGCCGTTGGCGACAGCGAGCGGAGCCCTTCTCATGAAATGTATCCGCCACACCACACCATGGGCTTGCTACCTAGGAAGATGAATTCGAGTTATCGATTTGTTTGACGTTGTGGCGATTCTCATTATGTGGCGCATTCATTGTGGAGACACTGAAGAGCAGCAGTGAGAGAAGCAGTTGCAGCATCAGCGACTTTTTCACATTAGTTTGTCCCTTTTGGCACCTCATAGAAGCCTTGAATAATTTATCTCTTCCGTACTAGACTCGCTAATAACTCTCCCCCCCCCCCCCCCCCGGGGAGCGGATTTCTCTAATCTATACATCTTGTTTTGCATTGGCATGGATGAGCCGGCAGCTGTGAACGGATTTCGACATGTTGTTTCGACTGACGGTAGTACCTGATCATTTGTGCCGTGCCATGTGTACCAAACTACCACAATATCCCTACCGACGCTTTTCACATTTTTGTCTCTGGTGCTCCTACGGAGAATTCTTCCCAGGCCCAAAGGGCGCAGCGGGCGTGACAGCTGTCATCTTTTAGGGACACGACGGGTGTTGCAGGGGACCCTGTCTGAGATCATCACTCTGGAACTGCTTCCATGACATTGACTTGGTTCAATTATACACTTTTGTCCATACCCAGCTTCCCTGGACTGGGGGATAATCTAGCCAAATATTTCGCAATTTCGCGCCAGGTGGCTCCGTGAGATCAACTTTTCAGAAAAGAGATCCTGTTGAATTCTGAAACTCATCATCAAACCCATATACTAGTTCAACGCTCTTTCGACATCCTCTGTGAACAGCCTTTTCTTTTTCATCGCGTTCTTGTTCCTTCCTCTGAATTGCTCAGACAAACAAATGAATGTTTCGATTTAACTGCCAAAGACAAGTCATTGGGCGGGGCCATGAGATGATGAGTTAATAATTCAAACTCCCTGTCTTGGGCGCTAGAAATTGAAAGTTTACAAAATGTTTGATATTAAGGTCACTTGCTTGAGTGAGTTATATTCTGCTTCAAGTACTTCCAGGAATCCTTGAGTGGAGAGAAGCAAGGGACTCAGTGCCAGTTCAACATTAAGAACAACCCCAAGGCACAATAATGGGTGATGAGTTATCAATGGACGGCGGTTGAATAGCGACTGAATACAAATGTACTGTCCCCGTCTAAGGTCTCGTAAACGAATATTTACCTACAGAAAATTAGGCGGAAACGGCGGGCCTTGACCGCCCGGTGGGAAAGATTAAGGGACCGGAGCAGAGCCTTTTCTGGCCCCGTAGTGCTCTTTCCCGCTACGTGCCACCAGCCCCTTTTTTCTAGTTGTCAGCGCCTCCAAACTCCTGCAATTCAAACACGGCTGATGATGTTGAGAGAAACCGTAGCCTACATCCACCACAGATATTCTGCTCCCCCGCCGCAAAAGATTGCTCTCTACGGCTTCTACATAGGCCATCTCATGCCCGTCTCTTTTCCCATCACGCGCACCCAGAAACCAAACTCGCATCCTTTAGTCCGGTTGGTCTATCCTCTCTTCACAGGGTGGAGGGGAATTGGTTGTAGGACATGGACTATCATGTCCCTTGCTTTACTTCACTGGTACAGCAGGTGTTTAGGTAGTTTTGCATGGGGCGTACGACTAGAATTCTTTTTCTGGTAATTCCTGTCTTCTGTCTGTGGAGAAAGACCTGACCTACCTATGAACACGGACTTATTAACGTATCTGTTATTCAGATAGATATGTACGGTTACGGTTAATATATTTGGGATATTTTGATGAATTCGCCCGTAGCCAGCCGAACCTTTTTTTTTTTTTTTTTTCCCTCGTTTTGTTATTGTGTAGGTATGTATGTACTGTGTGTGTACAGTTTATGTGATGTAGCACATGTACACGCGACTCTGAAGTTAAATAGCTAACTAGCTATCTGGGTATGCTTTGGTTCTGCTAATTATTTACACGAATGTTACATGTACATACATGAGGGGCTGGGGTAAGATAAGGGCACGCACCTATATATACCTTTTAAGTATGTATGTACCTAGCTATGCACCTGTGCATGCACACATATGTACATATAGATATACATGGCCCCATTGTCTTGGATAGGAAGTTGAATTGTATGATTTCCTTCTACATTGAGTGAACTTCATGACATATTGGAGAAATGCGGGGGGGAGGAATAGAGAGGTAAGATGGGGAGGAAATGGAGGAAGAGGTGAGAAAGAGTTTTACAGTGAGTGATGTGCGATTGTGCACACCCCCTTTTTTGCTATCCAGCATACCTATGTAGCTAAGATTGATGGTACCAGTACTAGAAATCGACTACTGGAACGAGTTGGAGGTGGATGGGAAGAGGGAAGACGCCCGGGCTGCTAGAGAACCATAGCTTTATTTTATTTTATTTATTTTATTTTTTATGTTTATTGTTTTATTTTTTGTATTTTGTATAGGTGGAGCTTGGAGCGCTAGTTCACTAAATATGCAGAGATGGAATCTGTAAATGCCATGTTGACCCTCTATGCAGTTGATAATGGAATGGATGATAGTGATTTAGGTACTACTGAAATGAAATCATACTTCATTTTTGTCTTCGTGTTTGTTATTCTTTTTATTTCTCATATTAGATGTTATTTCCTTCCCCCCCCGGGTTCTGCATAGAACATCAAAAATGTGCACGAGGTATATTTTTAACTATATGCAGCATGGGTATGAAATTGCAAAATTAGGAATATGGGGCGCAGGAAAAATACAAAGCAAAAAGCATCTTGATGCAATCGTAGAAAATAAGCAAAAGGTAAAACAATTATCCACCTAGCGTCAAAAAAAAAAAGCTCATAATAATTTCCCCTCCATCACAAACGTCGCCTTCGCTGAAAGTGACACCCGGGACACATCAGTGCCGGCCTCATTCAACCTCACTTCAACACACAGCTGGCTCGTCCTCCCAACATCCACGCCCTGTTCAATGGCGTACGCATGTCTCGAATTCTTGCCCCCCTTTTGCAGCGCCAGATACGCTGCCAGGGCAGAGCAGCCGCTCGCTGACGCCGCCTCTTCAAGCCCTGCCGCAATCACCCGCACCCGTAGCCGCGTGATGTACGGTTCCTCTGTGAAGTCCGTCTGCAGCTGCAGGAAATACACGCAGCCGCAGAAGGGCGAGGGGGCGTCTTCGCCTACGCGTACTGCCCAGCCGGCATCCAAGGTGGGCTCAGGTGCATATCCCGGTTCCAGCCGCGAGAGGAGCGAGGGACACGAGGTGAAGTCCACAAGGGTGAAGGTCATCCCCGGAGCGATGGAGAAGATGGGGTAGGAGCCTTTCATCTTGGCGGTTTCTTCGGGGTGCGGGAGCAGCTGGCGCTGGACGGCGATGACCTCATCCTTGGTAGTTTCGCGGGCGTGGATGTGTACGTTATGCGGGATTTCGATGGCGGCCACCCGGCGCTCGGGATCGTAGTGGGCCTGAATGAGACCGCCCTTTGTCTGGAGGGTGCAGTGGCAGATTGTCTTTGCGGTTTGTTGTTCCGTTTGGGTTTCTGCAGCGGTTGGGTTGGACCAGTCACCGGCGGAGATGGAGACTTCGCCCTCGAGCTTCTGGAAGATGTAGTGGGCTGTCCCGAGGACGGCCTGTCCGGAAAAGCTCCGTTCTTCTGTCTCGCTGAATATCTCTAGTTTCCGGGGTAGACCGGGATGCGGGGCGTCGTGGAGGAAGACAGTGTTCACGTAGCCGAATTCTAGGGCAATGCGCTGCTTTCGAGTCTTTGAAAGAGCATTGTTTCGCACGCTTACAATCGCTAACTGGTTTCCGAGATATCTAAGAGTTGGGAGATGTTAGCCCAGAGGCACACACGGGCTGATATCTTCCACAGAGGAGCAAGGACTGGTTTCAAGAAATCAACAATAGGAAGATAGATGCCGAATATCTCGATGCTAGTCTAGCAAAAAAGTGGGTTAAGGGTCTACCTTTTCGCAGTAAAGACATCCGCGACAACTACCAAAGCTCATTAGCTATCCTCCGCCCTTCATCACGAACAGGACTTCAGGTATGCGAAGGGGTTAGATTGAATAGCCAGCTACTCACCAAAAGTATGCGGTCCCGCCGCCATGATTGTCGTGAGCAATGAATGTATGTGTATGAATAGGATATTCAAAGAAATGGAGTTGGTAGTTAAAGAAAAAGTACTATGGCGATAAGAAGACAAAAGGTCCGCAGCAGGGCATCAATCCCACGGGTAGTTCGTTAGTAGACGATAATAAATTGAAAAATATAAAGGAGAATAGGAATAACTGTAAAATCATGATATTGAAGTGTTGGTAATTATGTCCCATCCAGATAGCATTTTGAATCCCATGGGTTGGATAAAGGAAAACTTTGGGCGGTGAGGTCATTGTACGGAAGCCAGAAGGCACTCGCCGCAACCACTCAGGATATAAGTTAACTTAGAGAAATGGAAAATCGGATCACGATAAGGGGGAGGAAGAGGGTAAAAAGGAGGAAGGAAATTGACAATCCACTTGGTTTGCTCAGCGTTTCATTTCCATCATTCATGTCATTTCTGTTCGTTCCTGTATGATATATTTCATGGGCAAGTGCTAAAACGAATTAACTAACTATAGTTACCTCTCATTATTAACAACAGCTTCGCACCCCAACGGTTGACAAGCGCAAGCGCCACCAAATTCAGGATTGATATTTACACCCAGAAGAAAACCACTACCTTTTTATAGGTTTAGTAGTCTTCCATCCAAAATTACTAGTGTTCCCCAAATACATCTTGAAGTTCAGAATAACTGCGACTTGCTTAGGTCAAAAAAGATCTTAAGCCATGGCTTGGATCCTGCCAGCTGTGCCCAGCACTCCTCTATATACGGAGTACTCCGTACATTGTCTTGCTCCTGGGCTTCTCCAAAGATCTTAGGCTTACTATTATTACAGTTGGAGGAATTGTAACAGTACGTTAGGCCCTGAGAACACTAAACCTATAAAAAAAGTAGTTGTCTCGTGTCTGGGTGTTGCAGCGTAAATATCAATCTTTGCCGTAGAGACCAGACTTAAAATATGATTGATCTTTTGCTCAATTAACCTTTTCCAACTCCTGTGGTATGTGGAGTCGATTGCCAGTTAAATTCTGCGTCCGTCCTTCAAATTGCCAAGTTCCAACCAGTCAGTTTAGCTTCATAGCGTTCAAAAAACAAGCGCTGGTGGTTGGGGCGACTTGTGACTGCAGAAGACTAAGTTACTCCTCCGTATGTACGCTGTAGGGGACTGCTTTCTATCTGTACCCGGTTGCTGGGTTTGGGTATGTATGTATGTATGATGTATGTGGAAGCGTTTCGCCCCTCATAAACGGCCGGACCAATCACTAATATCTGAATACTCTTAATATCTGGTAGGGGTTGGTGATATGTAACTTACAGTATCTCTCACAGTCTTGGCTATTTGCTCATTGAATAGCAGTTATTGTAATTTGATTGTGTGTGTTTCAATCGCAAAATTGTGCAGTAGTAGTTAGAAGAAGTATATATATTCATTATGGACCAGATTCCACACTACTATTTTGAATGGATAGTTACATGTTGCAGTAGGCTCCGAGGCTCGGTTTTTAGCAATCAGAGAGTTGGTCATTTGAACTTCCTTCTTCCCTTTGCCTTAGAAATGAATGTGAATATCTGCTGGAATGTAAAGGGCATGTTGTTTCTCGGTGGTCTCCATGAGCAAAACAAGAACTGCACAGCTTCAGCTTCAGGGGGGTGATTGACAGCTCCATTCGCACAAAAAAAAAAAAAAAAAAAAAAAAAAAAAAAAAAAAATCTCTTTCTACCTGCGTGATATAACAAATCAATTATTCTTCAAATGACAGTTTCACCAGCCCTTCTTTAGCAGCAATTCGATGAGTGGATCTGCGAATGAAGCATGTTCCATTCTGTATTCACTCTGTCACTCTGCAATGGCATCTCTCCTTAAATAACCCTCATTCATTCCCAGGCCCCGGTCCGATGTCGAGGGAGGCTGCTGAGAATACATATATATCTATATATATATGGGAGATGGAACGGTGAGATGGAAATGGCAATGCACATACCCTTCCCGCTCTCCGATGGTTTAGATAGTGACAACCTCGGTAGCGGTCTGCATCTCGCGCCCGCACATATATATATATATATATATATATTGTTTGTTTGAATGCGCTGTGACATCTCTAGGTGTCTCGGGGTCTTCGGAGGGTCAGGTCAGGGTAGAAAAACTCGTTTTTTTCTGTCTTTGTTGTCAAACAGGGGGGAGAAAGTTGGATGGGGGGGGAAAGAGCGGGAGGAAAAAAAAAGAAAAAAAAGAAAAGAAAGAAGGAAAAACCACAACTGGATTTCATACAAATGGCCGAATTGTCACTTGGTGGCCAGGGATGATGGTGATGGACAGACAGGTGCCAGATGCGTGCTGTGGTGGAGGAAGGATATAGCAGCTTGCATTTTGATCTCTTTGTTTTTGGATGCAGGGGAGATATTTATGTAGTTAGTCGTAAATGTAAAGGTAACTTATTTAACTTATGGCGGAGAAAATGTGATGAACCAAGCTTTGGGGAAGGCCGGGGTTGTTTGTTTCTCTTTCTCCTTCTCTCTACGGAGTACTTCCATACGGATAAAACCTCTAGTTATTTACCTTCATTATTTATCTATTTCCCGGGTCTCGTTCAGGCGTTTTCCCCCCCAACCTTCAATGCTGCGTTAAAACGGTTCTCTTCCTATTATTCAGATGGTGGGTGGCCTGTCATCTAACTTAACTCCCATTTTTTGTAATTCCTTCTGGAAATTCTCTGAACAATAGGGGCTGTTCCACTGTTGAGGACTGATAGTGATTGTTATACAAATATTCAAAAAGATCTAATGAAGAATATGATTTTTTCCCTGATACATTCATTCATAACTTCCCCCCCCCCCCCCCCACCCGCGGCTCACTTCCTCAATTTGAATATACATACTTCCTCCATCTGAATGTCAAATTCATTAAAAAAGTTGATAAGGGCTACCTACCTACATACATACATACATACATACATACACACATATATATACATACAGTACGTATCCTACCCTACATATATGCAAGGGAAATCCATCCCCGCCTCGGTCAGTTTCAACCTACATATATGCAAGGGAAATCCATCCCCGCCTCGGTCAGTTTCAACCTTTCCTTTCCATTTTTTCCATTTTTTCTTTCCCTTTCTATGGCTTTGTGCATTTTTTTTTTTTCTCCTACGACTTCATTGCCCAGGTTGCGCTTACGCAAACTACACCGACCTCCTAAGCGCTAGGGAAGCAAGCCAGTTACATACCTAGGAATAACTACATCACATCATCCATCCCCCGCAGCGGTTGACCTGTCTGTATACACACCGACCCTCCCTACCTACCCCAAGTCCCTACATACATCATCATTTTGCGGGGAGCTTCCCTGCATCAATAAATAGTCTTTTTTTTTTTTTTTTTTTTTACATATATAACATATTTAGTCCAATCAGTCTGTACTGTAACTACTGTAACATGTCACACGGGGGCATAAGTGTCAAATAGGGAAAAAAAGAAAATCTTCCGTGCGTTTCCTCACACCTTCTCTCTCCCCACTTTTCTCAATATAAGTCATGTCAATTGGCTTGTTTGTTCGCGACTTGTTGTCGCGTAGATATGCATGGTTATGTGTCGTTTTTTTTTTTGTTTTTATTGGGTAATTGGTGCGATATTTTCGTGAGAGGGAGTTCCTGATGGGAGAGAGGAGGGGAGGGGGCAATGCATGCTTGTGGGAGTATACGGCGGGCAAAACTTTCCATGTGGCGGGGAGGGCGGAGGGGAATGGTCTTCGTCGGACAGGCAGGTGTGTCCCCGTCCGTCCCTCGGTGGTTTGGAGACAGTGGAAGATGAGCAGAGGGAGACCATGTTTGACGGAGGAAAAGTAGGATCATAGTATGGTAGTGGAACGGAGGAGGAAAAAAAAAAAAAAAAAAAAAAAAAAAAAAGAGACTGAACAATTCCGTTTCGTGGGATCATATTGTTTATCCCATGGGCTGGATAACAGGCCCGCATACATGCATGACCAGGTACATGTACCTGTACCTACATGTATACCGGTGTAGGGAAGGCATGCAGGACACAACATGATGCAGGGCACCCCGATACCCCGATGGACCCCGAGTGGATCTTGCCGAGGAGCACTCTCCTCTTCCCGAGGGGGCTTGGGGGATGATGAGGATATCCTTGTAGAGGAGAAGAGACGAGAAGAAGAACATTGTCTTCTTCCACTGTCTGGTTGACAGCTTCGGGGTTAAAAAAAGGGGGGACTACAAAGTATCAATGTCACTTAATGTGATCCTGGGTAGGGAAGAAAAAAAAAAAAAAAAAACATTCAATCAAGTATATCCCACTCCGCTTCTTCTTAAGTCCTTACGGAAAGGTATGTATCACGGGAGGTTGGGGGCATGGATATGCGCTCCGCTCCACGCTCCAGTCCCCTCCGCCACATTTTTGACATCTCGAGGTCGTAACTCAGGCGAGCATCTCCAAGGCCCTCTCGGCCCTGGAAAGTAGTTACTGCACATGTGTATCGAATGCGTCATTTGTACAGTTTCGCCACTGTCCTGTTTCCCCTTTTTTGATATTGCACACACAAGGGACCCATGCAGTTTGTGAGCACGTTCCTGAGTTAAATAAACCGGGGTGGGTAGTTGGTATAGTATGTACGTACATACATAACATAGTAGTAGTAGTAGTAGTAGTAGTAGTAGTAGTAGAAGACGAAGAGAGGCAAAGGAAGATCTGGTGCGAGGGTATGATAGTGGTGTGTGCTACTCCGCCCATGTAGCGTAGGTTGCACTTGGGGATGTAAACAAATGTAACTGGTTCTCATCGCACATAGCAATTCCTAGCCATCTCCATGAATCATGAAGGAGGCAAAATTGTCAGGCGGTAGAGGGATGGAAGGGGGTGGTAGTGTAGTTGGGTTGAAAAATGAAGAAAACAACATAAAGGAGGCAGAGAGAGGGAAACTTGTTTTCGACTTGATATTTCACTCTGCATCATGGGGTCTTTTTTTTTTTAGTTTCGCAAATAATGCAGCTAGATAGAGCATGTCGAAAAGAGGCCGGAATGTTCCCTCTTACTTATTGTCAGAATTAATGTACCAAGACCCCCCCCCCCCCCCCCCTTCATCCATGGAGAGATTTTGGGCTGCCGGAGAGACTCATTTACTGGGCTGGCTTAGCCATTCATGTCATTCATGTCAACTTGCTACAGGGAAAGTAGGGAGGGATCAAACGTCGGAATCTGCGTTGTAGCTACCGAGGTTCTGTATAGAGTATGGGACACGTGACTTGCAGTAGCCGGGAGCAACTTCCAATGGGCCGGACCAATGGCCGGAGGGTCCTCATCCGCTATTCTTCTTCTTCTTCTTCTTCTTCTTCCAGAGAACATTCCGTTGGAGGACCGGACCGGCGAGATGGAGGAACAGCAGCAAGAGGATGATGATTATGTATGTGGCCGGACTTTTTACGACAATAAATAAATAAATAATAATAAAATAAAAATAAGCGGCGTGTTGATGAGAAATGTGAGAATTCTCGCCGGAGCTTTCCTTTTTTTTTCGAGATCTTTCCTCGCACAACAAGGTCGACGTTATTGAACTAGTTAGTTACTAGTTACTAGGCTAGTTTAGTTCGAAAGACAATAATAGCCGCATCATCGACACAGCTTCTTCTGCGTCATCGATCGCAAGCGTATCGAAGTTCCTGTATTTTCGGTTTCGGAGGGAGGCGGGCCGGGATGGGGCTTCATCGTCTCCGCCCACTGCGCCTATCCTATGGGGAGGGGAAGGGAGGGGATTTTTCCAGGTGATTCCAACGAGTGTGACGGCGACAAGGAGGATTTGGCCCAGTCCAGCCAGTCCAGAGACGTTCCGGATTCCGGGGCCTGTGGGACTGGAGGCCGGAATCCTTGGAAAACTGGGGCTTTCACACAAAGCTAGCTGGGGTGTGAAGAACTTAAGAGGTATCGTATCGTGCCTGGCTGGGTTCCCTGGGTATCTGGGTGTTTGGATGCCTGGATGCCTGGATGCCTGGATGCCTGGATGCCTGGATGCCTGGGGCTGTTGAAGGTTGGAGAGAGGGGGAGGGGGATGGGGATGGGATGGATGGACGGATGGGATGGGTAGGAGGGTGAGCGAGATTCTTTGATTCTTGATTTTCATCCACACTCCCTCAAAGCATCCGATATTGACTAGTATATTATTAACTTAACTATTTACTCAAGGGCATGGTCGAGGCTCGAATAGGTTGTTTTCCTCTCCAATCAATTGCATATTATCTGTGTGCGAGGGAATTCTTGATTTCACCAGGATAAGTTAGTTAAACCTCAAACCAAGATGTGAGCAGTCTCTCATCAGAGTCTCAAAAAAAAAAAAAAAAAAAAAAAAAAAAAAAAAAAAAAAAAAAAAAAACCGCCCTCTAAGCACCGGGTCGCCGGTTCGATGTCCGCCATCAAGGCGCTTGTCAAAAGTCTCCACAATATGTTTCTTTTTCTGTTCTTGTCTCGCTCTGATTGACCTGCAAGATGGTTCCATCGATGTGGCTCACAGGCTTCTTTATTATTATTATTATTATTACAGACAGCCCTAAACTTGAACAAGGTAACTTACTACGTACTCCGCAGGAGGACGTAACTAAGCCGTAAGAAAAAAAAAAAAAAAAAAAAAAAAAAAGGATCCATCCATCTAACCCCATTTTCGGGTTTGGGGGAGAGAGACAGGTTCACAGAAAAAGCAAACCACAACGACAGGAGGGCTGAGGAGGCCGAGAAGGCGAGTGGAATTATGAGACAGGGAGTTTCACCCTTTGACATTGCAACCGCAGTTGTCAGGAACCCGCAAGTAGTTGAGGTGATTTGTCTCTCCTGGTCGTGCTGCTCGTGGCAAATGTATTATTAGTGTTCAGTCATCTATCTTGTATGTATGGAGTATTTAATTGATAGTTAACTATCATGATTGATCCAAGGGTTGTACTAACTTATACTGCGTATATATAATTATATAAAAACCGAAAACAGCGGGATTGGCTCAATGGCAAGCATCATGAAAACAGCCGCAGAATTCTCAATAATAATCGAGGAATATTCCTGGCAAGACTATTAATAAAAATTAATAACTAGTGGAATAATCAATACGTTTTCCATAACAAATAACAAAAAAAAAAAAAAAATTAACCAGAATAGACCAAACCAGTGGCCTCAGTCAGGGTAGTTATGGTATGCAAAAGTGGAACACCGCAGTGGCTTGCTTTGGAAAAAAAAAAAAAAAAAAAAAAAGAAAAAAAGAAAAAAAAAAGAAAAAAGCCGTGTCAGAATATTCTGATCAAGATTGCTCTGGGTGCTGAGCTCAGTTGGATCTACAGGCTCCCAAACCCTCTTAAGTTAGCTGCTGGGAGCTGGATGATTGGATTGGGATGGGATACATTATTTAATTATATGTAAAAGCACCTTCGTAGCACCGACCGACCGACCTGCTGCGGCCGCTTCTGGTCCATCCAGAATTCATTGTACATAATAAGCCCCGTCCGTACATATATCGATCGTTAACTCGGAGCTTATAACTGTTTTCCCTCCTTACTCTACTCTACTCTCCAAGGCCAGCCAGACTCTTGTTTCTGGTTCTCTTCTTCTTCTCTCTTTTCACCCAGTGTGGTCGTCTGCGAGGAGTCTCTAAGGCTGTTTGAAACAACTCCAGTTGCTCCAGTTGCTCCAATTGCTCCAGTTGCTCCAGTTGCTCCAGTTGCTCCAGTTGCTCCAGTTGCTCTCTGTATCTTTTATTCTATCTATTCTTTTTCCTCTTGATTCCCACCCAGACAGGCAATTTTGGTGCTTTTTTCGGTGCTTGCCCATTGACACTGACTGATACCATTTGAAACGCAATTATTGTCTGCTTTCTGCTGGTGGTACTACGTGTCCACTTGCTGGAATATAACTCGGAGCCATTCATTATCATCAACTTCCTAGAGTTCTTTTGCAGCAGAAACCGCTTGCTTCTTCTCTTAAGGTATCGTTGTTTCTGTTCCCCTCCTCCCTGTCGCTCAACCTTGATTCAACAACAGAACTCTCAAGTCAATATATTAAACAACATGGCCTAAAATCACTTTCATTCTTGTGCAATTCCTTATTTCATTGTTTGGATACTCCGAACAATAGCTAATGATATTTTTCGACTGCAATTAACAGTGATATTCTCTCATTGTTGATTGTTTTACGGTTGTGAGATACCGGCCACCACAGCAACCGAGAGTCCCAATATCTCTCTCACTCACTCAGCATAACATAACGCTTATCATGGAGGATGCTGTGACAACGTGTAGCTATAAACACTTGTCGTCGACATCTTCGTAACTTTCTCAACAAAACCTATTTGGAGTCATTCAAACCCTGTCAGAGCTGGCGTCGTCTCTGTTGATCCTGGGGTCTCCAACTTTTTATATCACAGCCCAGTCTGTCTGTACTTTTTGCTGGTCACTCTTTTCGCCTCTTTTCGCATTATATCAACACCAACAACCATACCCACCGCCCACCCCACTCACAAGCCCTTGTCACTACTGCTACCATTATAACATCTTACCTATTCTTTAACCATGGCGGGTCGTCAATACGCCAGCCCTCAATCCAAGGAGGATTCTGCCTGGGCATGGATCGCTGAACACTACAACCAACCAGAGACCTATGAGATCCCCCTTCGTACCATGTACGCCCTGAATTCCACCGTTGGAGCTCATCCCCCTTTCTCGCGTCTCCCCAAGAGTCCTGGCGCCGCCCCTACTTCGCCCTTCTCCCGTGAATTCGACGGAAACGCGTTCCCTCCATCGCGTCACAACCCCGGACACAAGGAGGAGAAAAACCCCGCGTTTAACGTGAACACCGCTGCTGCGCTTTTTAAAATGCATCTCATGTCCCAGATATCTCAATTGCCTTCTCAACCATGTTCTCTACCCCCCAACTTTATTGCTTCTTTTGTCCGCCGCTGTTTCCCGGAAAATCTCGCGCTCGTCGACTTTCCCCAAGCATTGACCGCCCTCGACTACCTCCGAGACCTTGAGCAGCGTCGGGGAAAAGAGATCAAAGCTGCCTTGGAGAAGCTTGGAGTGCTTGACTGCGCCTTTGACAAAGATGATCTTGCCAGGCGGTATCCGGGGGTTGCGAGCTGGATCGATTCGATCATGGAAAAGGATAGAATTGCTGCTGCTCTATACTCACAAGTTTACCTCCGTCTTAGACATTGGGTAAGCCACTAACACTAACCTAAACGCAGAATGAATGAATCCTTGTCTTCACACTTGTATGCTCAATGCTAACATTGATCTCAGACTCTAATTAATGAGATGCTTCTCCCTCCTTTCAACAAAGCACACTGCGTCGCCATGCTCAATACTCTTTTCCCCGCCGTGATATCTGTACGTCCTGCTGCCCACGTTTGTGAAAGGTTGCTCATGGAAGAGCGACAGAGGTTCTTCAGGTACATATGCCAAGTAGAAGATAAAGGTCAACGCGTGCTTGACCCCCTCATTTCAAAGGACAAGCGGCCAGGGGAGTCTACAGGATGGCCGGTGGTTCATGAATATATCAACAAATACATGTTCTCGGCAATTGACATCATCAACGAATGCTTCGAAGTCAACTGCCGCGACAGCCTCGAGGAACAATCTGGATATTATGGACATAACAAGGGCCGAAAGGTCGATTCGGGAATCAGCTTTGGATCCAACAGTGACTACCACCGCCCGTCAACCAGCAGCAGCTCCGGCAACACGACCAACGACAACCACAATAATAACAATAACAACAACATAAACCACAACTACAACAACAGCACGAGCACCACCTCCAGCAGATTCTTCAACAAACCACTCCCGCCATCCCCAACAGCCAAAGCGGCGAAACTGCCCAAGTCCAGCAAAAACAGCGGCAGCTCCACCCTAGAACGCATCGGCAAGGAATTGCGCAAGATGCGCTCGCGCGGCGACTTCATCGAGAACAAAGTCAAGCCACCCAAATCATCGCGTACCGTCGGGGCGCTCCGCAAAATGCGCTCGGCGAGCATTCTGGGCGAGCGCGATCGAAGTCTTGGCAGTAGCCATGGCGAGGACGAGTTTGACGCTGAGGAGTTTCGACGGAAGCGGATGATTTGGGAGGCGAAGCACAATCATACCCACAGCAACAGCAGCAGCAGCAGCAGCAGCAACAACAACAACAACAACAACAACAACAACAACCACAACAATATTAAGGCCAATTCCAATCACGCACAGGCCGATGGGGCAAATCCTCATTGAAACATAACAAACGAGTCAGCGCGTGATTATTATGTTTTAACGTTCATTACCCTTTGTTTCAATATGTTACGAGAATGAGCTGGCTTTTATTTTTTCATTCTTTCGTTTTACAATTGTTTATCAACTACCACTTTTTTTTTTTTTTTTTTTTTTTTTTTTTTTTATATATTTCAACCCAACACCAAGGTATGAGAAAACGAAATCCGATCGCTTATGGAATGACACGAAACATGAAACTGGATGGCCCGCTTTATTAGTCTTTTTCTTTCGCTTTTTATGGAGTTTTATCCTTTACTTTGATTTTTCACTCTCTCGTCACGCCTGGTCGTCCGTCCTTCGTTTAACAAGTTATGATGATGGAGAAAGACACGCTCCTTTACTGTAATGATATATTTCCCCTCCTTCCTTTCTTCCTTCCCACCCCCCCCTTTTTTTCTTTTTTTTTCTTTTTTTTTTGTCTGTGGGTTTTGACTACCACTCTACATGCGCGTTCCATGTTCGCGTGCAAGCAACCCAAAGTCGAAGTCCGTTCCAGAACGGACTTTTTGGTGTACCACCTCGATATCTAGGATTTCCCTTTTATTATTTCACGATGTTCTCTCTTGACTCTGTTGGGAACGCTGGAGCAAAAAAATAAAAATAAATAGATAAATGCATTGTTGAAAATTGTTGGAGTCGCGTTCGTTGCTGCTTGATTCATTATTCATTATGGCGATTACAAATACCGATGCATCCAAAAACTCTTTTGGACGTTGCATTGTGTACCTTGCAATATTCCCCCCCCCCCTTTTTTTTTCTTTTTGCTACACAGCGTTGGAATTAAACATTTTGGGGCGCGGGAACGAGAATCTTAGGATTATTTCAGCTAGTGTCTGGTTCGATTTCCTCGTGGACACATGGCATGGGTTTTTTCTTCGGTTTCTCCTCTTTTTTTTTTTTTCTGTTGCCTCTTTAGGCAATACTTTTCCCTTTTACCTTTTTCGGAATCCCCCCCCCCCCCCCCCAAAAAAAAAAAAAAAAAAAATCAGAAACCTAAAGCATGACTGATTCGGGTCCCCGCCGAGGGAAAAAAATTTTTTTTTTTTTAAAAAATGCCGCAAACAGTTTGTGTTACGTTAAGAGCGAGGAGCGGGCAAAAAAGAAAAAGGGGGAAACACGTGGTATAACGGGGAAGGAAAAAAAAAGGCCTCAATCTTATTTTAATTCCCTCTTTTTTTTCTCTGTTGAATTTCTTAAAAAAAAAAAAAAATTATCATGGCTCCCCACGAGGAGAGAGAATGCAATAATATGCGGAATGCAGAATGCAGACAGGGTGTGGCGATATGAACAGGGCGTGAGGAGAACGTGGAGATATTCCTTTTTTTATTCCTTTTTTTCCTTTCTTTTATTTATTCTTGGACCTTCTACATGGTCATTCTTTTGAGATGAACTGCCTGATGCAATTCATTTTGAATATGCGGGGTGAGAGAGCATAGGGCAGGGCGGGGCGGGGCGGAGCGAGGTGGGGGGGGGGGGGGGGGGGGGGGGCCCGTTGCTGTATCTGCTGCAACCTGCTCTCTGCTATTCTACTACGCCGTATGCCTCTCAAATGCATGCATACCCCGGATACCTTTGAATGTGGTTTTCTTTCCTGGTTCTCTGTTCTTTATGTCCAGCTGCTGGACATTTGATTCATTTCATTTTCTTCCTCTCTTGGTGCTGCTGCTGGCTTTTGTTTTGAAGTGGAATGCGGGCGATGAAAAATGAGCTATTTCTGTTTTTCTTTTTGTGCCTTTTTTTTGTGTATCTCTCTCTTTTTTTTTTTTTTTTTTTTTTTTTTATTCGCAGGCGAGTTTGTAACGTATGTAGCTGCTCTTGTACTGCTATGGGAAATGATCGAGAAAGGGGGAGGGGAAAGAGAAGAGATGTTGTATTGAATGAAGTACAAAAAAATTAAATGAAAATAGTAAGAATAAAATCACTTTAATAACTGTAATTGGTATACTCCAACTATTCGGGCGTCTACACTTCCTTGGCCCAAGGTTGTTTCTGCTAACTAATAATAATAATAATAATAATAATAATAGCTATCGACAGCGAGAGCAGTTCGCTAACAAGCCGAGGTAAGCTTTGTGGGGGAGGAGGGTTGTCCACTCCGCTACACACTCCCCATTCCACTCCATCCCAACCCATCCACCACCTTGGGGATGGGTTGCTTGCTTGACGCAGTTAATAATAAATAATAATCGATCCAGCCAGCGGGCGCCAAATACCTACCCCCCCTCGACGGAGCTATTGTGTCAATTTTATCCCGAGGTCGGCTCGGATACGGCTAGATAGATCCCTTGCAGCTGCGCTGGCTGAACCCTACATATATATCCGCACCTAAACACCCATACTAATGTATGGCAAAGCTGCCTGTATTATTCTGGCTTGCATGATGATAATAAGACAAGCATCAACAGCTGACTGATTTACCCCGTGCTGCGTCTTCTCTGGTTGGTCGAAAACAGGATCCATATTAGATACTGTACTGTTCATCAGACAAAATTAATTATATATCGTAATAATGGATCCGGGAAAGCAATTTGGCAGCGCCCTGCCATGGGCTGAGCCAGCTTGGTGAGTTTGCAGCGAACAACAAGCCCTGCTATTTGCGGGCATTCTCACTCCATCTGATTTGTTCTATTGTTTTGGTGTAGAATGACTATACATAAGAGGTCGGAAATCGGTGCATTTTGTTAACATTCGGATGGATTGCAGGTACTCCGGGCGTCCCTCACCATATTACAACCAATCTCATTTCAGACTGCGCGATGCAGTGCGCAAATGGACGGAGGAGGTACGTTACTATCTGTCTCTCTATCTCCAACTTAAAACTTCCGCGTGAAGGAAAAGATCGTATGGAAAGGGGGAAAGAAGTAAAAAGAAATCCGTCCTTCAAACTCACATATTCGCTACATGCTCCATTTTGCATAGAACGTCGTCGATAAAACGGACGAATGGCGAGAAGCCGGCAAGGTGCCGGATGAAGTGTATCTGAAGTGCGCACACGACGGACTCCTGCTCCCAATTGCCTTTGGCAAGTCCATACCGGAGGAATTTGCACATTACCCCATCATCGGTGGCATCAAGGCCAGTGAGTGGAATGGGTTCCACGACCTTGTGTTGTGGGATGAGTTGTACCGTGGCGGGGCCATTTCCAGTATCTTCGTGGGGTTGGTAGGTTATTTTCATCAACCTCCCCCCCGCACTTCCCGCGGTTGGAACTCAGAGATGTGGTATGTTCCTGTGTACGTACTGACTTTATATGGCCTGTTTCTCTAGACTGTGGGAGCACCACCTATTAGGCAATTCGCGTCGCCGTGGTTGCAGAAGAAGATTTTGCCGGAGATCCTGAGCGGGGAGAAGAGAATCTGCCTTGCTGTTACGGAGCCGTCTTGCGGATCCGATGTTAGGAACTTGACCACGACGGCTGAGAAATCTGCGTGCGGGAAGTATTATATTGTCAATGGAGAGAAGAAGATAAGTTTTTTCTGAAGCACAACTTTCTTCATATCAAGAAGTATTGGCTGACGTCGACTTTACTGGATCACCAATGGCATGTATTCTGACTATTTCATGGTGAGTTTTTTTTTTTTTTTTTTTTTTTTTTTTTTTTTTTTTTCATCAAAATCGGGAAAGATGTGCAAATAAGGGAACTTTTTAAATTTTTTCAAAGAAATCAGCTTCCAAATTATCACATATCTAACGACTTGTTGCTAGACCGCCGTCCGAACTGGTGGCCCTGGTGCTGAGGGTATCTCCTTCCTCCTGGTCCCTCGTACCGAAGGGATGCGCACACGCAAAATCGAAATCGGCGCCGAGGGCCTGAGCGCCACAACATATGTTATCTTCGAGGACGTCAAGGTGCCCGTCGAGTACCTCGTCGGCTCTGAGGGCCAAGGATTCCGATACGTCATGAGCAACTTCAATCATGAGCGTCTGTGGATCGCCTTCCAGACCCTTCGCAACGCCCGCACCTGTCTGCAAGATGCAATGGCGTGGGCTATGAAGCGCGAGGCATTTGGCATGAAGCTGATTGAACAGCCAGTCGTGAGGTATAAATTCGGCATTATGGCGAAAGAGGTTGAGGCGCTGCAGGCGTGGACGGAGCAGATTGTCTACGAATTGGACCATTTGAGCTATCAGGATGGGAATCGGCAGTTGGGTGGCGTTACGGCGCTTTTGAAGGTAAAGGGTGGGCAGGTGAATAAGTTTGTTGCGGATAACTGTGTGCAGATTATGGGAGGGTATGCAATCATCCCTATATCTTTCCACCCCCTATCGACTTTTTTTCAATGGGTCTTTGGATTCTTTGCTAACGGGATCTTGAAACTGCAGGCTGGGTCTCACGAAGACTGGTCAGGGTTCTCGTATCGAGGCGATTTCGCGCGGCACTCACTCATTGATCGTTCCCGGTAAGTTTGATTTTCGGTGGAATTGTCGTGCTCAGACCATGATTTTCACTACTAACACCCCCGTGCTTTGTATAGGTGGATCGGAGGACGTGCTCATTGATTTGGGCGTCCGGGAGGCACTCAAGCTTTCAGCTGTCAAGGTGAAGAAAGGTGCAAAGTTGTAAAATGTAAATGAACATGCGGCTTGGGAATTTGATAGTTAGTTACCTGTCAATGGAGACCGGTAGAGAAGCAAGGGCGGAGAATATGATCAGTTATATCCGCCTTAGGTGGCAGGCCGAATTCCTAGGTAACGTTTTTGAGGTTTCGCGCCCTTTTTCTTAGCTCTGCACAAGTGCTGTAATGTATGTATGTACTGTACATATATTTTTCGGCATATCTGCTGGTCATTTCAATTTGATAACTACTGTGACCATAAGAATTTGCACAAACGCGGCTTGTGAATATGTATTATTGCTTCCATTGGCTCAGACATGTCGTGCCTTTAGTGACTGGCCTTTTTCAGAGAACTGCAGTTTATATACATTCCGTTGATATTCTATTGATGTTGCTCAGCAAGATTCAGGGGTAAGCTGCGGCTGTTGTTATGAATTTTATATCAGCACTTTTGGCTCGCAGAGTTAAACGTAGAACGGGGTAGGTACGGTAGGTAATATATGCCAACAGAGCTATCTGCTGACTCAGCCAGATATTTACCTAGTTAGGTGTCCGAAACATCACGACCAGCTTACTTTCAACAAGGCCACATTCAGTTGTGGTTTCATACGCTGTCGCTCTTTGCCATCTTGAATATATTGGCTCTAATTAAGTATTAATACAGTTTCCGCACGGGAAATATGTTATTCTAGCGGTTCGGTGGGAATTGCTCCTATCGCAACAGCTCCATAACCTGGATATAGCTTGGTTGTGCCATGTTAAGAGCTATCTGGATGGGACTGATATACATCCCATTGGTTTCCACATACACAGACTCTAAAGCTGTACATTCGCTCACCACGCGTATACACCATGACCTTTAGATACCATCCATTCCCCTGGCGATTGGGGGGCCTGGCGCTTTTTGGGGCCTCTTTGCTATTTACCTCCAATGCTATCGCAGGCCCTTCAGTCAATGTCGCCTTAACAACCTCATTCAATGCTGCGCCATATCTGGTAGAGCTTTTGTATGTTTTTATTCTCTATTAAAGGGCTCTCCTCGTTTTCTTGGAAAGGAAACAACATTTTGAACTAAAACTAATTGAGAACCTAGAGAAACTGCTGCGGAGGAGAATTCTACCTGCTACTTCCCCCTGCTGGATCGCATTGCTGAAGGCACATTCGCAGAAATCACAACGGATCAAGGCCTCTATGAGCGATTTACACAGCTACTGCAAGAGGATGGACACCTTACTCATCCCGAAGCTATTTCGTTGTTTAAATTTGCCTTATCGTTGCGATCCACGGCGCCGCGGATCGAAGCTCACTATCAGTATTATAATACTTCAGTGGAGCCGTCGTTAATGGCCGCGCAAGATGCGGTCTGCACTGTGTGGGCGCATTATGATGGCGACCAGTATTGCTCACCCAGTTTAGAATATGCACAGCAGAGCGTGTCTGGAGACCAGTGAGTGAGTGATATTCCGCTTTGTAGAGAATTGGGGACTAATATAAATAATAGGCACGATCGAATTTTGCCGTTTGACCGAGTGCTTGGAGATTCTTCTTTGCCTCCATTAATCCTATATGCTGACATTACGTCACCTCTCTTTGGTGGGTTCCACCAGGAACTTATCGAGAAAGCTCGCGACGGCCAGTTCTCATATAGGATTCGATATCGGCCATCTGGGTCTGAAGTCCCGAGACCGCTTTTCGTCAATGGATATGGAGTGGAGCTTGCCCTTAAGCGGACGGATTATATCGTGATCGACGATCGAGACGCGAAACAGAGGGTCCTACAGGATAATGATGCAGAAAAACCTACATTAGCACCCGCTGAGGATCTAGAAGAAGAGCCACCTGCGGACTTGAAACCCTTATCTGCATCTGAAGTGTCTACCCTTGGCATGAACGCTGCCAGTTTCGTTATGAGCAGCGATGACCCATTCGCGACTCTATTAAGGCTATCACAAGACTTCCCGACACATTCAGCAACAATTGCGAGCGGAAAAGCATCGTCTAAGTTTACTAAAGAGTTGAAACAAAATCGAGCTGCCCTGTTACCTGAAGGGCACAACGTTATGTGGGTCAACGGTCTGCAAATAGACCCTCGAACCATTGATGCATTCTCGCTGCTCAATCATTTCAGACGTGAAGGGAAGTTAATCAATGGTTTTCGGAAATTTGGTCTATCTGGGCAACAGGGTGTGAATCTTTTGTCCAACCCAGTTCTTGCTAAAAGCCATGCAGCCGGCGATCCCCTGAGATATGATTATAGGGATGAGTTTGAAGGTGGTGGTGTAATTATTTGGTTAAATGACCTTGAAAAAGACCATCGGTACAATGGCTGGCCGAGCGATCTTAAATCGGTGAGTAGACTTGAAATCCCCATTTGCCCATTCTCTTTCTAAGCTATTTAGAAACCTGCTGTGGATAGAAATCTAACTTTATCATTTGTAGCTACTCAGAATCACGCTCCAAGGCCAGCTCCCCCTGGTTCGCCGGGATATACACAATGTCGTCATTCCTGTCGATTTGACCTCCCCAGAGGATGTTAGAATTGTTGCTGAGACTCTTCTAATACTCGTTAAGAGAATGGTACCAATCAGGTTTGGTATTGTGCCCTTAGTACACAATAAGAATACTCTAGGACAGGCCAAAATTGCTCATCACCTACTTGATGCCTACGGAATTGGCGCTTTGATCAGTTACTTGCAAGCTGTAAGTTTCCGCATTACCCGAGTGTATGTATTCGTTCGTAAAATTAATATTCTACGCATAGTCATTGTCCGCAGACAAAGTGGCCTCTCCGGATCGCGCTAGTTTCACATCTGCATTGGAAAACCGTAAATTGCGAGAAGACCGTACGCCCCTTGCTTTCGAAGATGCTTTAGAATCGGACAATTACGACCCGATACTCTCCAACACCAAGTCTTACCTCGAACGGCTGGCCGTTAAAGGAGAAGTACTACCATTTTTCGTGAACGGTGTTGCCTTCATGCGCGACGAAAGTTTCCTTCAATATATGCTCGCAAGCCTCTCTAAGGATTTGGAGGATATTCAACGACGTGTTTACGAAGGCACGATTGATGAGGATGTTTGGGTTCCTTCTCATTTCCTCCAAGGAGCGTTGCAAGGTCGAAACCCCTTGCTTATCCCCGAGAACCCTACTGAAATTCTAACCGTCGACCTCGACGAAATGTATATGAATCATAAGGATATTTTTGACACCACCCTGCGAATCCCCGCTGCTGCTGAATCGGAACATCCGCTGTTGGATTGGAGTAGCATCATTTTGGTAGCTGACCTGGACAGCGACGCTGGAGCTAAACAGCTTACTTACCTGCTGGAGCTTCACAAAAAACATCCTGGAGTTGAGATTTTACTGCTGCATAACGGCGAGAGCTCATCGACTTCCCAAGCCCTGTCGACAAGACTTTACAGCATCCGGAATGGCCGTGACCTTGACCCAACCGTTATCACTGCAGCTCTTGGTTCTGAAAACGAAGAGCCCTCAGATTCTGCAGCTGCATCCGCTTATTGGAAGACTGTTCAGCCGCTGGTGAAAGAAATTGGATTTGGAACTAGCGAAATTGGAATGGTGGTAAATAGCAGGGTGATTGGCCCGATGCCCTCATCAACCACCTTGGATATTCAAGACCTGGAACAACTGCATATGTACGAGCAGTCAAAGCGAGTCGGAGTACTTTCAAGGGCGGCCTTTGAGCTAGGCTTGGAAGCCAACATTTCTGATCCCCTGGGCCTCGCAAGGCTACAGGCCCTAGCTTCGCTGTCAGCAACCTCCAACGTCCCAGAAGGAATATATGGCTCCGGCCAAACTGCGCGCACTGATATTTTCGAGAAATGGAATGGCGTTCACTCTGCTATCTCTGTCTCCAATTCTGATGACCCGTCTATCCATATCGTTGCGGCAATCGATCCAACGACGGAGATTGCTCAACGCTGGGTTCCTATTCTGAAAGTATTATCAGAACTAAATGGCGTCAGTTTGAAGCTGTTCCTTAATCCCCGGGAGGAAATAAAAGAATTGCCTATTAAAAGATTTTATCGACAAGTCCTCGAATCAGCCCCATCCTTCAATGCAGATGGCTCCATAGCGAAGCCGCAGGCTATCTTCCGTGGAATCCCTGGTGAAGCACTACTCAATTTAGGGATGGACGTACCTCCTTCATGGCTTGTAGCTCCCAAGGAATCGATACACGACCTCGACAACCTCAAACTGAGCACACTCAAAGAAGAAGGCACCAACGTTGATGTTATTTATGAGTTAGAACATATTTTAATCGAAGGCCACTCGCGAGATGTTACTCGAGGCGTACCTCCAAAGGGAGTCCAACTGCTCCTTGGAACAGAGAAAAATCCCCACTTCGCAGATACCATCGTCATGGCCAACCTGGGCTATTTCCAATTCAAAGCACGGCCAGGATGCTGGAAGATAACATTAAAACCGGGCCAGAGCGAACGCATCTTCCGCATTGACAGCGTTGGTGGACATGGCTATATACCTACACCCGGCGATGAGAACAACGATGTAGCCCTTCTTTCCTTCCAAGGGAAGACACTCTTCCCGCGCCTCTCTCGAAAACCTGGTCATGAAAGAGATGACGTCCTCGATACGGATCACAAACCAGCCTCCGCCGCAAAGCACTTCCTTTCAAAGGGCTTAAACTTCGCCTCCAACATCTTGCACAGCATTACTGGCCCCGCCCAAGAAACACACGCAGACATAAACATTTTCTCTGTCGCCAGCGGCCATCTATACGAACGCATGCTCAACATCATGATGGTCTCCGTCATGAAGCATACAAAACATAGCGTGAAATTCTGGTTCATCGAACAATTCCTATCCCCATCGTTTAAATCTTTCCTCCCCCACCTCGCCGCGGAATATGGCTTCTCCTACGAAATGGTCACCTACAAATGGCCGCACTGGCTGCGCGCACAGACAGAAAAACAACGCATCATCTGGGGTTATAAGATTCTCTTCTTAGACGTCCTCTTCCCGCTCTCGCTGGACAAGGTCATCTTCGTCGACGCGGACCAAATCGTCCGCGCGGACATGTATGAGCTCGTCACGCTAGATCTAGAAGGGGCGCCATACGGCTTCACGCCAATGTGCGACTCGCGCACGTCCATGGAGGGCTTCCGCTTCTGGAAGCAAGGGTACTGGGAGAAATTCCTCCGCGGCCTCCCCTACCACATCTCCGCGCTGTACGTGGTCGACCTGAACCGGTTCCGGGCCATTGCTGCTGGCGACAAGTTGCGCGGGCAGTATCATACCCTCTCCGCCGATCCGGCCAGTCTGAGCAATCTAGACCAGGACCTGCCGAATAATATGCAGCAGGTGTTGCCGATCAAGAGTCTACCGCAGGATTGGCTGTGGTGTGAGACGTGGTGTTCCGATGAGTCGTTGGCGACGGCGAAGACGATTGATCTGTGTAATAATCCGTTGACGAAGGAGCCCAAATTGGAGAGGGCTAGGAGGCAGGTGCCTGAGTGGACGGTTTATGATGAGGAGATTGCGGCTGTGCAGCGGAGGGTGTTGGAGGAAGAGAGGGAGGCTAAGGGAGGAACAAAAGGTGGGGATCAGAACGTGCTTCGGGATGATGGTGGGGACGATGGGAAGGGGAAGAGTGAAAAGGGGACCAGGAAGGATGAGCTGTAAGATGCCCTTATGTGTTAGAGGTTTACTTGAGTTCTTAGAACGTTGGACTCTGGTCTATATAATATTTTGTTTTACCATGTAAAATCGTAAAAAAATCATTTTCAAAAGACGCTAGAAGGCTCGGTTGGGTATCTATTCTGTCTGATCTGTTTTCTGAAAGACTTTCTTTTATTTCCTGCTATCGTACATACATACATTGCGGTCCGACGAGACGGCGACTGGCCTGTCTCCCCGCTCCCCCCCACTACCCCAAATTTGCAAGTAACCATTGAAATGTGTAAAGTACATGCCTGGAGAACAGAATCAACGAACACCAGGGAGATTTTCGGCGAAGAGGGCAAATATTGGTGAGGGAAAATAATAAATAAGGAGTAAGTTGGTGTTAGATGGCGTCCTTGAATAGATATTAGATGTGCAGGTCCTGCCAGCCAGCAATCTATTGAACACATCCTCGATCATGATAGAATTTTTATTCGGCTTGATGAGATATGAATAAAAGGCACTTTAGCACTAGCAAACAGCAAGGGGATGTTGCCCATATGGCGTTTTATTCAATCCCTTCACAAAGCACAGCTTGCGCGTTTTTTTAACCCTGGGGCCGTAGGTTCTCCTGAGCATGCATGGAATGCAACTTCTACGAAAGGCAATCCAACTTGCCAGGGCTGGGGCCCTGTCTTTGGCAGTAGTCGGGGACTATCGCAGCACCATGCGGATGGCTCGCCTGTTCTGTTTGCCCGGCTGGCGGGTGAATGATCTTATGGGTCAATCATTTATGAAGAACCGGGACTGTGCCCAACAGGACTAAAAAAATCAATCTCCTCGGAGCTTGGGGGGTAGAGCAAGGCACCAAGGAAAATCTCGCTGGCAGGAAGGAGTTCAGTCAGGGAACAGTGGGAGCCCCCCAACTCAATATACGTGCCCAACTTGGCGGGCTGACCGTCTAACGTTGCTCAGATGGAGCCCATATCTCCAAAATTTGAGACTGCCCTAACAATAACAGGGCGCACGATAAACAGTCTGTGTTAACTCCTGGGCTTTTTTCGGGCGAGGAGGTGAGGCGGGGGTGAGTGGCTCACATTTGCCCGATACAAAAAGCAACAACTAATTGAACCAGCCTCATCATGCCTCCCGTGGATGACCATGGACTGGAAGTTCACCTCACACTATTTCCATACCGGGGCACTGGTGGAGGTGGATTCTCCCCGTCTGGATATTCTCAGCTGCGTATCAATTGTGATTCAACGCCCAGCGAGCCGCCTAGCTGGGATGAAGAACATCCACAAAACCCCAGCCAAGAGATGAACATCCCAGACTCTGTTGGATACTCTGTTGGATTCTCTGCTGTCGTATACTGCGTCGGGTGCTGCGTTGGAGGCTCCATCGGTCCCCTCGTCAAGGAGTCCATTGAATCAGGCATCCAAGACGGAACTCCGGAAAAAAGTAGAGTGAAGGGGTAAGAAAAACACTGCCCACAAATATATTTCACTTTGGGCTTGTGTCGTGCCCCCTTTCTCTCCATTTTCTCCGCATGGCCCTCCACTTTGCACCGCATTGCTCCCTAGTCCTGGTATGCCCCATGAGCTCGCTCACCCGAGTCCATAGGATATCGTGCGGGTCGATCTGATATATATCCCCTGGCAACGAACCACCGGCGGTGGTGTCGTCGTCCTCGGTGGGCTGAGCCTTCCGCCATTGCCTCACAGCATTTTCGAGATTCACGCACTCTTCATCAGTCCATAACCCATGATTCTGGTTGTCACGATGCTGTACATGTTTCCGAAAGCGCGTGTTGACGTCGTCTCGGGCCCGGCCCAAGATCCGGGCGATCTTGGCGAAATCGGACCCGTGTTCTGCATGCAAGGCGGCCAGCTCGTCGTCTTGTTCCCTGGTCCATTGGCGCGGCTTCTGAGAGGTGACCACGTAGTGCGAGCGCATATAGCGGTGCACGTCTTTGTGTTTGCGACCAGGCATGAGGGCGTACAAATGGTTCCAGAATTCGGTCCTTGTCATGATGGATTCTGGACACGGGAAGCTGGCACGGTCGGTCTCGCAGTGCTGGACCATGCGGCCAAAGTCCTCACCTGACATGTTGTTGGACTGGCAGAACTGGGACTTGAAATCTTCGACGGCAGATATCTCGGCAGCTGAATGTCTACCAGTCTTTTCAGGCTTGTCCTTTGGCTTCCGTGGCTTCTTTGCCCTTTTTGACTGCTGGGGATTGGCGGTGGGGATAGCGGCATATTGGTTATGTTGTACTTGTCGTTGTGGTTCAGGCATATCGTGGTATCCTGCCAGAGCTTCTTCTGGAACTTGCTCCACAGAGTGGACGAACAGAGTCTCCTCGGGAAATCCTGGAAGGGAGGTACACGTGTCAATGGACGTGCCGCAGAGTGTATATATATATGCAGAAGAAAGGGAAGGCAGTATATATATATAGATACATGTAGTGAACCATTTTAAACGAGAAGGACAACAAACCATCCCCGCCCCCTTCCCTTACCCTCCTTCGATGTAGACTGCATCGGAGGGGGAGGGGAGAAGACAAGAGAAGTTCAGTTTTTGTCTGTCTGTCTGTCTCTTGAGAAGAGAGGGCAGGAGGGAGTTTATATAGCCCACAGAGAAACGAAGAGGGAAAAAGCCGAGTCCACCTGCGCGAAAAAAAGTACTACCACTCCGGGAACGGATAGTGCCGTAGCGCAACATTCCGTGTGGAAAAAGAACAGAGGCAAGATAAACATAACAAAAGGGTATATCCACAGCTCCGAACAAAGAGAACAAGGAACAAGATGGATGTGCCAGAAAATGCACGGAAGAAAGCGCAAGTAATGATTGGAACCACAATGCAAAAGTAGTGCAAATTTCATTTGCTTACTGTCTCGGTAGAAGCCATTATCGGGATCAACCCAATGGGTAGTAGCGTCATCATGATGATCACCATTGTTATTGTCATTGTCATTGTCATTGCCATTACGACTATCATTGTCCTCAATGAAAAGCGACTCCTGCTCCAGCTGAGAATTGCCGACGCTGGCATGGAGCCGAGGGTCAATGTTGGGGAGCAAATCATCAGGGAAAGGATTGTCCCGTTCCAAACCAGCGACAGGAGCCGAGAAAGCCCATCCCGGGAGGACCTGGTCTAGGAGAAGAGTGAGTATGTGTGTCAGATGGCTGAAGGGATTATCCGGACAAAGCAGTGCAAGTTCCCAGTTGTTGAAGAGGTGAGGTTGGTGACAGCTTGCAGAGGGAGGAGATATAGATATCTTTATCCGTCAGGATAAACTTACCATCGAAGTCCACGTGATAGCCAAGTCTCGCTAAGGTTTCCTCTTCGGGCTCGGAGAAGGCCGCCGCAGTGAGGTCGCGTTTCATTTTGTAAATCGTAAAGAAAGAACAACGGGAAAAAGTAGATAATGGTGGAATCAAGAGCAGAAAGCGGGGATACGATGTATCAGTATCGAGTTATCTGTAATAAAAGAAAATAGCAGAATGGACTGTAGACCAGAAACAATCACCAAGTTGTGAGTAAACAGAGGTTTGTGGCACGTGACTTGCACTTTGGTTGGTGAGAGTAAGTGTGATGGCGGTGAGTGACGGCAGAACAGAAGAGTGAGTTGAGAAGGTGAGGAGGAGGTCGGATATTTGTATTTCCGAGTATATTACGACTAGTTAAGCGAAAACGCCGGATTGACAGCTGCAGGCGGTAAAATACGGTAAGATACGTATCGCTTTTACGCTCCATCAAATATTTCGAGGAAGGATTGGACGAAGAATAAAGAAACATCGTATAGATAGATAGCTCTTTAGAGGACTCTTCCTACCTATATTGATAACGCTTAACAGTCAAGAAACATCAAACTCAACAGCCAGTTTAGCCCACTACATGGAATGAGGTGTAGGCGTGATGCACATGACCCCATCCTGAGACAGTTAAGTTACCACCACATGGATATGAGGTTGCAGGTACCCCCTGTGGCAAATCAATATAAAAGAGCCTAGAAGTCTGGTGCTGATCCTGGCAGAACAGGTTTTCAGAGATATTCTCGAACCTATGGAATGTACATGTACATACCTGTACCTCCTACTCTCGCACCCGGAGAGGGTCGCCATAGGAAACTTCTTACTCATGCTGTGGAACGAAAGAAAAGGAAAACCCTTTTCATCTGCTTGGACTCAGGCGACGCTTCGCGTCTTGTGGATGTAGGAATCCAGTGCTGAGAATGATAACCACGTGGGCGGAGTGAATAAAACCCCGAAAGCCCTAACCCTGAGAGCAGGACAACAGCGAACAAGAGCGCTCCATCAATCACCTGGTTTGGTCAAAAAGAGTCAAGAACGAGGGAACATCAGAGGCTCGCCAAAGGAGAGATTCCCAAGCCCCAATCCCAATGCAACAGTTGGCCTCAGGTGATAGATAGGCTTAGCACTTCATGTCAGTTTCTTGACGATGACCCGCTTCAAACAACAATCTCCAACCTCATTACTATCAAGTCCTGCCCATTTATTATGTCATAATAATAACTGATGGCGGGGAAATGAGTCAAACTCGGCGCGTTTGAGAGGCGGCTTTCTTCGCCCTCGTCCTCGTTCATGTGTCCAAGAGAGAGAAATTGGTCTTCTGCACCTTTTGCGCCTAGGGACAGCCGCGTTTTCTGCATATATCGCCAAGCATTGGGGCGATTTGCCCTTGGAACATTTGATCGCAAACCACAGGGTATCACAAGATCAATAACAGTATTAGCCTTCCAGGCAGGCTTGTCATTAACGGTCGGTTTGATGGCGTCGAGCTTCCTCCTAGTCTAATAAAGCCCACGTGACGCTTTGTGGTGCGTGTTCGATAAAATTTGCACGCGTGGCTTGATGAGTGTGGTGACAAAACGAATGATTTCCAGCTGGGAGACAAGGGAGCGCGGTATTGCAGTGCGAATAATCGCCACGCATCTGCCACTGCTAACCGCACATCCCAGATCAGTTTCCCCTTCGATGCATCCAGACCACACGCCACAGCCGCAACTCGGCGCCGAGCATTTCCCCCAGCGTCCAATCCCGCTTGCTGCTGCATCGTCCAGCTCGAATAGCGCCGAGTAAGACGCTGCCAATTGCGCTTCCTTTGTAACCTTAATTAACCCTATCAATTACTCGACCATTACTCGATTGAAACTGTCCATGCGTGATCTTTGCTCCACCGCCGAGCTAACTTTGGGAAAGAAAAAAAAAACCAAACTAACCCTATATACAAAAAGTGCCGATTTTTTGAAAAAGGGACCAAAAATCTGGGCTGAACTATTTTTATTCTTTCAGTGCGGCGAGCTCCGATGCATAATAAGAGTAAATGAATACTAATGAATGGTTTTCCCTCGGCTGGACATTGTTGGGGTGCTGACGTCCTCCCCCCAGAATAATTTCTGCTGTTTTTCCTCTCATGTTCATAAGCTTTCTGTCCCTTTTCGCCCCCCTCTGTTTTCCCCTATCCACGGGCTAGAGAAGAAAGTTTCAATCCCCCTCATCGCCACTCGCTGGTTCTCCTATAATAAACAATACTCCCCAGCAGCGGTTTTGTTCCCTATCTTAGTTGCTTGTCCCTGCTGCTTGTTGCTGATTTCCCCCCTCTTCAGCCTCTAGCTAAATACCGCTGAGAAATACGAAGAAAAGTCCTGCTTTTCTTCTCTCTCCCTTTTTCTCCTCTGTCATCCACCGAAACTTTCTCTCCTTTCTTTTTTTCCTCCCTCCCTCTCCCTCTCTCTCTCTATTTCCCCTTTTCTCTCTGTCTTTGCTGTTGGTTGGTGTGGTGTGGTGCGCGGTACACGACTGGACTGGACCGGCTCTCCCCTCTTCTTTCCTCTGGTGTCATCTGCTGCCCGCTCTCTGGCATCCTGTCAATTTCTTGTCTTGTTTCCACCCCAAGTTTGTACCGAATAAACCAAAAAGTCAAAAATATTCATTTTAGACAAGCAAAACCCCCACCGTAACCTACCATCATCATAGTTAAGTACTAGAAAACGCTCCCAAACACAACAAAATAACGGGGGCCCCACCGCGCGAAAATCCACAGCCATGGACCCTCATCTCACACACTCTCCCACAAGCACCACCGCTTCCACTCCCGCCTCCACTCCCGCCTCCACTCCCGCCTCCACCTCCCCAACCGAAACCGGAACCGGAACACCCCTAGCCCCCTCCCTAACCGTCCTAGCCTCCACCCGCGCTATAATCTCCGGCCGCCTCACCGCTGCCACAATCGTCATCTCCCTCACCACAGGCAAGGTAACCTCAGTCTTCCACTCCGTCCTCCCACCCACGGCCTTCCCCCCAGGAACCCAATACACAGACTACTCCCCCCATATCCTCCTGCCAGGCCTGGTGGATGCGCACGTGCACCTGAACGAACCGGGCCGGACCGAATGGGAAGGCTTCGAGACAGGGACGCGTGCTGCGGCGTTTGGCGGCGTGACTACCGTCATTGACATGCCGTTGAATGCTATACCACCCACGACGACGGTTGACGGGCTGCGCGAGAAGATTGCCGCTGCGGCGGGGAAATGTTGGGTTGATGTGGGCTTTTATGGCGGCGTTGTCCCTGGGAATGTACAGGAGTTGAAAGGGTTGGTAGAAGCCGGGGTGAAGGGATTTAAAGGCTTTTTGATTGATAGTGGGGTATGTACCTCTTTTCCTTTTGCTTTCCCTAACTCAAACATACCTCTGGATATAAGTGATATATACAATCCTTTCAGATATGTATATATACATATATTCCTAACCACTCCTCCTAGGTCGATGAATTCCCCGCTCTATCGCCAGCGGATATCAAAGCCGCCATGCTCGAACTAGCCGATCTGCCAACGACGTTCATGTTCCATGCCGAAATGATCCCCGACGCCAATGGCGACACATCTCCGGCAAACCTCCCGTCTCCCTCAGGAGCTCCAACATCATACTCCACCTTCCTAAACACCCGACCCTCTACCTTCGAAACAGCCGCAATATCCACAATCCTCTCTCTGGCACCCTTAGCCCCCAAGCTCCCTTTGCACATCGTCCATCTCTCCGCCATGGAAGCCATCCCCTTATTGAAAGCCGCGCGCAGCCAAGGAATCAACATCACAGCAGAAACATGCTTCCACTACCTCTCCTTGGTGGCCGAGGAAGTTAGCGACGGCGACACGCGCCACAAATGCTGCCCGCCAATTCGCAGCCAGGTGAACCAGGACGCGCTGTGGGAAGAGCTGGCAAAGCATGCCGATGCCCAGGGCGTGATTAAAACCGTTGTCTCGGACCATTCGCCCTGCACTCCGGCGCTGAAGATCCTGCCAGCGCATATCCCTGGTGGCTGCGCTGTCAATAATAACGAGAATAATAATGCCGCCAAAACCAACGACACCACCTCTCAAGACGAAGAGGAAGGAAACTTCCTCAAAGCCTGGGGCGGCATCTCCTCCGTCGGCCTGGGCCTCCCTATCCTCTGGACCGAGCTCCAACGCCGCCGTTCCGCAGCCGACAGCACGTCAACAGACACGCCGACGTCGACCTCATCCACAACGTCTGCCCTCGAAGACATCGTCCAGTGGTGCTGCGCCAATACGGCCAAGCAGGTTGGGCTGGCGTCGCAAAAGGGAGATCTTTCCGTCGGATACGACGGGGATGTTTGTGTCTTTGACGAGACGGGGGAGTGGGTGGTGCAGCCTGATACGATGCTGTTCCGCAATAAGTGCTCGCCGTATCAGGGGAGGAAGCTGAAGGGTGTCGTGCGCGAGACATGGCTGAGGGGCCAAAGAGTGTATACGCGCGATGGTGGGTTTGTGGAGACGAAGCCTGTGGGGAAACTGTTGTTGGAGCCTAGAGCGGTGTAGGGGGTTGGGAAGGGAGATTTTCTTTTCAGGAAATGACTTGACGACATATGTTACATGATTCTTTCATCTCTTCTTTCTCCTGGTTGATTTTCTTTTCTTTTTTTTTTTTTTTTTTTTTTTTTTTTTTTAGCATGGTGCATGCATATATACCATTATACATTTTTGATGTTTAGAAGATAATTCTCCTTCTGTTTGGGCGGTGTCGCCGTCGGATACGGGTTGTGTGGTATCTGCTTTGTTTTAGCAAGCGTGATACCTAGTTAAAGGCAATTGGAAGAGTAAATGGGAAAAATGAGAATAAATGGATAAACAAAATATATAATATATATATTATAAAAAAAATCAAAGAAGGCGATCTATCAATGGAAAGGGGGAGTGAAAACCTACACATAAACGTCAGCAAATCAAGTCCTCCATCCGCAGTAAGGAGGGCATAGCAGAAACTATAACAAACAAACATACCTATTTTACATCTCTTATTCACACTCATCATCACCATCCCTCCCTTTCCACCGCTCCTTAACCCTCCTTCTAGCCCCACCATTAATCCCTCTCCCCCAAATCTCCTCTTTCTTTCCCTCCCCATCACCAATCCTAACCACCCCTTCATCACCAGCTTTCCCATCCCCATCCCCACCACCAACCTCCCCAATGACAACCTTCCTCTCAACAATCGCCCGTTCCCTCCCCCTCGCCAACTCCACCTTCTTCAAATACAGCACATACACACCCACCTCCGCCACGCCCACGAGCACGGCAACGAGCATTGAGATAAACACACGCGCAGGCTGCGAGGAGACGGCGCCGGGGTACGAGGGCGACGAGGCCGATGTGAACGTGAAGAAGGTCGGGATGCGGAAGTTGGAGAGGGCCCAGTAGCTTGCGAAGCCGGTGAAGAGGATGGAGATGAGGATGTTGAGGACTAGGGAGGGGGTGAGGGGGTCGTCAAGGTCGTCGAGGTCGTCGAGGGCGTTGTCGTTGCTGTCGCGGTTGGCTTTTGGATGGGTATATATGTTTGGTGGTGTGTGGTCGTTGAGTCCCCATATCCGTGATGGGGATGCAGATGCGGAGGTAGGTTTTAGGAAGGCGTTGTACTTTTTTGCTTCCTCTGCGGCGAGAAGGGAGGCTTTTAGGGCGAGGTATTCGGGCGTCTGTGCATATGTTAGACTGATAATGATGATGATAGACGTATATATATAATAAGGAAACGTGTATGCATAGTGTGTAAGTAGAGTAGGGAGGAGAAACGAACAGGTTCCGGTTTGGGTGGAGGAGGGGGAACAAAGACTTTGGTGCCCTTGAGAAGCGAGTTGAGCGTGAAGCTCTCAGGTCTATCAGCAGATCCATTGGATGGATCCCTGGATTTATCTGCAGATGGTGTATTGGATATAAGGTGTCTGGAGAGAGCGATGAGCTGGGAGTGTGAGATTGCAGGGCTGGCGGGCGGAGTTGGCAGACAGAGCTCGTCGCGGGTTGACGCAGGCAGGCTGTCGAGGGCGGAGGCTATGGCTGGGGTGATGAGGAGGAGGACCATGTTGGGCAATCATTCCTTCGTATAGGCGTAAATATGTGGATGATTCATGGATGGGGGGTTGTTGTATCTAAATAAATATCCCGGCGCTGTGTTGCGAATGTGGTGAAGGTGTGAAAAGTTGGCGGAGTTGTTCCAATCCATCCTCCTCCTCCTCCCCCTCAAGACGTCATGTCATGTCATTCATTCCCTTGTGGTTTTTTTCGGCGATCAACCACAACCAACGCCAGCATTCTTCAAATATTTATTTATACTCTTTTTTAAATATTTACTCCGTAGTTACTGCTATTAATATAAACATCTGCTCCACGCCCACCACCGTCTGTCTCTCAACGCTCTAACAGCTACCTTTCACCTTTCTCGCAATCCCTCCCTCTTAAATAGCTCGACGGGAGAGGGCCTGCTCCCTTTAATAAGGGCCACCGCCGCTACATCATGGCGGCCACCATCCGGGCGGAGAAGTACGTTCATTATTTTTGCTCCCTCCCCCCCCCCCCCCACATTCTCCATAACTACTATTTTCCTCCCCCATACTAACCACCGCCCTGTTTTGCAAAAATTGCAGAAAACCCGCCGTCGACTCGTCGACAACCAATCCGCGCGGCATCCCCGTCGCACCATTCGTCGATAATGTTGCAGACTATGTCTCTTCGCGCGCAGATGTCGAGCCCACGCTACGCTCGTTCCAGGAGATGATATCCAAATACCAGTTCATGGAGCTGAATACGCAACGGCGCGGTCAGGGCCTGAGGGATAAGATTCCTGATATCAAGAAGACGCTGGAGACGGTGACGCTCCTACGGGATAGGAGGAAGGTATGGCATTTATTATTCATTTATTTGTTATCCGTGGAGGAGCCAGCCCCGAAAAGGTGCTCTAGATGCGGTTCCATGGACAAAGGGGGGATGGATCTATTGATTCTGGAGGAAAAAACTCATCTCATCTCTCCCCCCCTCCCTCCCTAATAAACTCCCAAGTCATACACTCCATAAAAGCTACCCATCACTCACTCACTGTCTCGCTCCTCCACACCCCACTAGGCCGGCGCCGACACCCCTCTCGAAACCACCTTCGAACTCAACGACACCCTCTACTCCCGCGCCACAATCCAACCAAAGGACACAGACGAGGTCTTCCTCTGGCTCGGCGCAAACGTCATGCTCGCCTACCCCATCGACGAAGCCGCGGAGCTCCTGACGGAAAAGCTCCGCGCCGCAGAGGCCAGTCTCGCCAACTGCGAGGAGGATTTGGAGTTTTTAAGGGAACAGATTACGGTATGTGTCGCTCGCTGGTCTTCCTTTTCTCTTCTATATATGTGCATTTAGTATTATCTTGCATTCGCCCCACCGCCTCCCCGCCCTGCCTCAGGTCTTATCATTCTAGCTTGGCTCTTTGGAAAAGAGGGCCTAAACCCTCGGATTCGCCTTAATACTACTACTATATGAGATGCTAGTTACTAACATGTTTCCCATTTCCCCATATCTTTACGCAGACTCTCGAAGTCGCCACGGCTAGAGTTTACAATTGGGACGTGGTTCAGAAACGGAAGGAGAAGGATGGGAAGGGTGATGATGGTGAAGGGAAGACGGGGCCGGGCGGTTAAAAGAGAAGAAGGGAAAAAAGTATTAAGAGGATAAAACTCGGGAACTAATTCATTTTTTTTTTTCCCTCCTATATTTTTGCCTTTGGTATTTTCAGGTGAAAAGCTACTTACGGTGATACTCCATGGCAAGTAAGGGGGAAGCAGGGGAGTGAAGGTGAGATTTGGATACGTAAACGGTACCTATGTTTACTCCCTATTTCTTTTAACTCCGCCCGTTCCTGAGCAGAGTACGTCTGTAGAGATGAATAACCTGAAGGAATATGTAGTTGTGGCATAAGCATTATAAGGAGACGAGACATAGTATGAGAACAGAGTAGAGTAATGTATATAATTAACTGGTTCAGGTAGTGTGGGCCTTATATAAGAAAACGAATAGTAATAAAAGGAGCCCACATACGCCACTCCCTATCCATCTCTATATTCATTCATCCCTCCTCAAAAAGGATCAAGGGGGAAAGAAAACAAGAAGGCAACCCTAATAATAAAAAAATCGTTTCGCATTTCGTTATGCCCAAAACAAACAAAACTTGAAGATCAAAAACACAAAACACATAGCATATCATGGTATTCATCATTGAAAAGAAAAAAGAAAGAAAAAGAAAAAGAAAAAAGAAAAAAGAAAGAAAGAGCAGAAGATGAAAAAAAAAAAAAAAAAAAAAAAAAAAAAAAAAAAAAAAAAAACTTCCCCCCCGGTTCCTCATGATGAAGCAAAAGAGCAGTTTCAACCTAGAAAGGGGTGGTGGGCAGGCCGCTAATAATAGTCAGTAGTGAGGAAGTGCAGCAGAAAACAGAAAAATAAGAAAGAAGAAACAAAAAACAACTCCAAAACAGCCTGCCAACACCGTCCGAACTGTATAACAGAACTATTCTCTCTACCCGCTTCGACCGTCGTGAGAACCACTGCCGCCGCTGCCATTAGAGCCAGTCACTCTAGCCGCAACTATATCACCGGGAACGTCATAATCTCTCTCACGGGCTCTAGATTTCCTCGCAATCTCCGGCCCTGCCTCATCCCCTACAAAAGTCCACGAGTCTTCCATGGCCGCATCAGCATCAGCATCAGCATCAGCATCAGCATCAGCATCAGCATCACCCTCACCATCGCCATCTGCATCAAGGCCTGTCTCAGATGATATCCCAACACTAGATTCTTCCATCCCGACTGGAACAATCCCTATCTGGGAAGCTGATGTTGCATTGGACCGTTGTCGGACGAGAGTCTTGGCATACTCGAGGTCGCGGTATATAGCCTGGATAGCGTTTCCTACGCCGTCCTCCTATTTATATTGGTCAGTATGCAAAACGCTTCAAAAATTTGGGGGGGGAGGTGCATAAAAAGACTACTCCTTTTCACATACCTTCCGGATCTGCTCCCCAAGCGCCCTCGCCTTAACGATAATCCGCTCGCTATGCGTAGCCTCCCAAAGTGCCCTTGTGAACACGCCCACGTTAAGCCTCTTCATACAAATCCCAACCCCAAGATCCTCCACGCGGGATCCGAAGAAGAACTGATCCCCAAAGAACGGCTTGATGATCGTCGGTATCCCAGCTCGCAGACTTGCTCCTGTCGTGCCAGCTCCACCGTGATGTGCCGCCGCATCAATGTGCGAGAACAACCAGTCGTGCGGTGCGGACTTAATCTGATGAACCTCAGGCGGTAAGGGGATCTCAACTTTGGCGCTAGAAGGGTCTCCAAGCCTATCAGACCAGCCCTTGGACAAAATACATCGCACATCCGCCCTCAGAACGGAATCCACGACCGTCTTGGTGAGAGCTGCGGGGTCTGATACGACGATAGAGCCAAAGCCGATGTACACGATCTTCTTCTTATCAGCCCGGGCTTGTTTTATGAAGTTATCGAGTTCAGCTGGAGGTTGCCAATCGGCGCCTTCGTCCAAAAACCAGTAGCCCGTTACACGAATCCAGTCACAGAAATCAAGGGGTGGTGGGACGACTGAAGGTGAGAAATTGTATAAGAAAGGAACCTTGTTTGGTTGCATCTTGTCAAGATTGGTGCTGCGAAGGCCCAGTTCTCGTTTCCGCCAGCGGTTCACTTGACCCGCAATGGCTTTCCAGAACACGTTGTCAAACATAACGTAGGTAATATAGTTGTATGCTCCACCCATCTTATGCTCAGGGACAGCAAATGCGTGAGGGTACGCTCTAGTCCTAGTCCATGGCATGGTGAACGCGCGGAAGTAGGGTATTCCCAGTGCTTCAGCGATATGTATGCCAGCCATAGCGCTGGGGGATTCAATCAGGATATCACTATTTTGACAGCTTGCCCATGCAGATGAGAGAAGGTCATCAATCCAACCTCTGAACTTCGACGACGCTTCCTTCAGGAACGAATAGGTGAACATTCCATTTTCCACACAAATTCGCATAAGTTCTGCGGGATCTCCTTCAACCGGTGCGAAGTCGATGCCATGCTTCCTTATCCAAGGCTCAAACTCCCTATGAGTCGCAATTTTCGGTATGTGGCCCTCCGCTATTAGGCCCTTGCAGAGCGCAATGTATGGCTGGACATCACCTCTGGACCCGATGGTCAGACAGGTGATCCGCAACGCTTCCTGCGGCTTAAAATTGACAATTGAAACACGTGGATCGTCAAAAAGAATGGGTGAGCTTGTAGGAGACAACGGCGTAGATGTAGATAGCGTCTGAGAGCTTTGCTGCTCCTCCATGCCCTCAAGCCTTGCTTCTTGCAGCATTTGGTGCTCTGCCCTCGCAGCTTCAGCCTCCTCTCTGTCCTGCTGTGCCAACAAACCGGACTCCACTAGATATCGAATAGACTCGAGATTTTGATGTAGAGTGACAGCACAGTCATCTCGGACATCCGCAGTATTGAATTCAAAGAACAATTCCTCATGGCCGCTTATAATAACCACAAGCCCATGGTATCCAAACCGAAAGCCCTTCTCCTTTTCGACATTTTCTATATCTCTCAGCGGGAGGATCATCTTGGTTCGTGTACCGGGAAGAAGACTTCGAAAACAAAATTTCCGATTGCTGATGTATAACTTGCCGTAAAGCGGGATGACCCGATGCAGATACGCAAAGTATGTAGCTTGTAGCTTTTCCGAGGAAGGTAGGGCGAAATGCGCGCGGAATCTATCACCATGTTCGCATCCCTGTTCCTCGTCTTCCGGATCGACCATCCTGTCATCGGGAAGAATGGTTTCGCCTTCGCCATAGTGTCTCTTCCCACCTATCCACATGCCAGACACCTTTTCAAAGTAACCCATCGACTCAGTTGCAAGAAGGTTGCTCATGTGCTTCGATCGGCTTTTAAGGTATCCTGCCAACCCAGCCGCACGTTGTAATGGGTAGCTACCGACCTTCATAAGTTCTTGAAGGGTTGGTGATGACGCAGAGTGCGCGACGCTTCTATGTTGAAGGTCGTGCTCAGAGTCGCTGCCACCATCCTGATATTCCGGTTTCGTAAGCGATTGTGACGTCTGTGTTCTTGAAGGAGGATGTATGAGAACGTCGGTAGGTGAGGGGGCAAACCGGGCGGTATCCTCAGAAGGGCGCCGGGGGGCTTCCCCCGCTCCAGATAGTGTATCTCGTAGCTTATGAATGGTAGGTGACTGGAAAACATCGCTCCTATTCAAGATCTGGCTTGCGGACTCTACTGTCCCGTTTGTTGACTGTAAAATAGCGGAAGAATCCGTGGCATGTTCTAACGATTGAACGAATGAATCCGACGAATTCAGCAGTTTGCCTCCAGGCGACGTTTCGGCTTGATTGTCCCCGACGCTTGCTCTGTTGGTACTACCGCTCCTCCTCCTATGTTCAAGTCCTGCTCCGCTGCTTTCACGGCTATGACGCCTACTACGGCTAAACTTATGAAATGGGGATCTCTGGCGATCTGGGACTCGCTTGGGACTCCCATTCCGGCTGCCAAGAGGAGAGTGCGGCCGCAAGGTGGCTTTCACGGCCTCCGAAAGCAAGGTTGTTCCATGTGTGGATGGAGGTGAAATTTCATCCGCCGAGTGAGAACGACGACGCCTAGACGTATAGCCACCATCAGGCGCAAGCATAGTTTGCTGAATTTGTTGTGCTGGGGTATTGTTGACCATTTTCTTGAGAACTTCAATGGCCTCCTTGCCACATTCAAAAAACGAAAAGAAATACTACATAGATAGACACGGGCGCGTTAGCACAAAACTGACCCAACAAGATGGAAATATATCTATTGTTCATTGAGGTTAGTTCATACCTCGTCAATCGCATAACTTTCACCACTTTCAACAACACGAATTTTGAACGTATCCGCGAAATCAATGACAGGATTCTCCTCTATGTCTATAACATTCTCAATTGGTAGGGAGATCTTGACGCTGTCGCCGTCGTTATGGGACCTGAAGATAACCTTCTGTAAGGCCTTCACCCATTCCCTCGCGCTTGTCGCACTATCAGCCCTAAACTGGTATGTCCTAGTGTTTGTCGTTACCGTGAAATCCTTCACTTCTTTGTCTTTGTCCTTGCCCTTCTGCTCCGTAAGATTGGCTGATATCCCGTATCGAAGATCGACATGACCACTTGGAAAATACAGGTTCGAACGATCGAGATAGTAGGATAATACATCCCCTTTGAGTTCAAAATAGTACCGGTTGTACTTTGGGTTCTGGCGTCCTCGTTTTGACAGGTAACCTGATTTAATGGTTGTATGAGACTTTTTCGGAAGGTAGGCGTAGAAGCTTATGTGCCTTTCAGTGATATACATGTACCCTTGTAGCAGTACACTCTGGAGGAGCCAGCATTGATACTCTGATATAACCTTCTCTGGTCTATCAAATCCGAATATATCCATGAGGCGCGCGGATAGAAGAGACGCAGGTGAGGATTCTTTTCGTCGGTGTTGATCTTCTCGGGAACGCTCTGTTGAGTTGGGTGGCGGTTCTGATTCACCAAAGCGAGATTGTGCGTCAAGCATCCGACTCAGCACTGGAGCTTCCGTAGCAGCCACCAGCAGCACAGGGTTTGTCGATGAAAGCCCACCAGTCACGGAAGCTTCTTCAAGTTCCGGTTCCGGTTCCGGTTCAGAAGCTGGCTCCGTTCCTCTATTATTTCTATGCGGTAGTTTCGCAAGGGACTTCAAAAATTTATGTTCCGAAAGCTTCTTCCGATGCTGTGATCGCCCACGCTCCTCCGCGGTGCTAGATATGGATGTCTTGTCCCGCTTGGCAAGATGTGGAAGACGGCTAGTTGAAGCACTACCATCACGACGACGACCATCGATCCCATCGTTTGATAGAAATCGGGTTTTGAACGCCCGATCCGCATCCGCATCCGCATCTTCATCTTCTGCATCGCTAGACTCATCGAAGCGGTTGTGGAAATCCTTTTTGGAACTTGCAGCGGCAATCATGGAGAACACGGACTGGTGCATGTATTGGAACCTCCCCCCACGGCCCGTTGTGCCCCCCGGTGGAGCGGTCATATCCTCCTGTTCATCGTCGCCCATTCTTAATCGATCAGGTATATGGCTCGAGGAGAGACGGTGTGTGGACGTGGGATGGGGTTTCGCTCTGTCACTCGCCCCTGTTGTTCTGGATTCATCGTCTGGAGGCATGATTGCGAGTGAAGGTTGGAAGGATGTTATCATGTATCGGAGAGAGATGAGTGGGTTGGGGCTTTAGAGAACAAATGACCTAGTGAGCGAAGGGTGAACGTGACGTCAAACGCAAGGCGGCTCGGTCATCGTTTGGCCCTTTTTTTGGTGTTTTGGCTAACACTAATAGATTTGTGAGTCAACTATCTAAATTTGGCAAGAAGGAAACGGGAAGAACAAAGGGAAAAATAAAAAACATTCCGGAGTGAGTATGAGCTCTTTCCTTTGTGTTTCCGGGAGAGAGGGAGAGAGAGACAGCCTCACTGACAAGGGCAGATAGCTAGCTATGTAACGGAGTACGGAGTACGGAGTAGGTGGATAGCAAAGGAGAAGACCAAACAAAAGCTTACCTGGATGGGTCAAAGCACCTATGGACCTAGGCAGATAGATCCCAAGCCTGGAGACAACGGCACAGCCAGTTTAACTTAAAGAATGACAAGAAGAGATAGCTAACTACCTAGTTGTCACACAAAAAAAAAAAAAAAGAAAAAACAGAGCGAGCGTAACTTAGCTTAAGCCGACGGGTATCTTACGAAAAAGCAACAAGAAAAATGAAAAGAAGGAATAGTGTTAACCGTCAAATTAAACCACACACCAGAAAAAAAAAAAAGAAAAAGAAAAAGAAAAAGAGCCAACAGCGCGCGCGATGCTTTGCTGGTCCGGGATGAAATGCCTGCTTATCCCAGACGGGCCACAGGGCGTGTGGACTGGGAATTTAGCGGATCAGGCAGAGCAACAGCTGGGGTATCTTTGTGCGCGTATATATCTAGCTAACTCTAGCAGCTCAGCAGCATGGGGCGGGTAGGGTAGAGAGCGGAGGAGGGAGGGGATCCATCGCTGGGCCAAAGGGAGATATGAGCGGTAGGTATGGTATGGACTCTGTAACTAGTAAAACTACTAGTTGTGTGGAGCTGGTGATATAGTTACGTAGTTACTCCGGATGTCGTTATATTAGCAGTTGTCGTCGTTTGGACCCGGCCCGGACCAACAACATCCATCGTTTACATAATCATATTAATGACGGCGGAGTTCAACAGGCAAAAAAGCGTCCGGAGCCGCCAAGCAGTCCGTGCACGAGACACCGTCAGGCGCCTGGCTTATATAATCTCCGCCCTGCTACCGGTTTTGCGGAGGGAGGAGGAATTATTATATATTAATTATTGTATATATTGGCTGAGAGGCTTTTTGCCAGGCTACTTTTTTGCTTTGTTCTTGACTTTGTCCTTGTGGTCAGGCAACGGTCACGATAACGGTGGTTAGCGATAACTAACGATAATGATTGATGCTTTCAAGCCTTTTCTTTAGCTAACTGGCCCAATTTTATGCCAAGAACGTGCGAAAGTGGAACCATAAACGGAGATCTAATAATAGGAAGAATACTCCGCAGTTTAACCAAGGATGACGACCCATGATGGGGTAAAGGCGGCAAGGCAACATACTACAAAAAAAAAGGAGCAGAAGGCAATGACCCTTTCTCCCCAAAACAAAGAAAGATATTATAAACCGAAGGAAAACACTCCAGTGCCATTCCTTCTCCCGCGTCCCAAAATAATCCCGAACCCAAAGTAAAATAGAAAAAAAAAAAAAAAAAAAAAAGGATGAGAAAAAGCAGAGCCAGGCCAAAGACTTAAAAATTTTAAATCCCAACGCCATCCTCATACTTCTTCAGCTTGGTCTCAAACTTTGAAACCCACTCAGACAATATCAGCCCAGCAACATTCATCCCAGCTAACGAACTCGTCTCCATCGTCGAGATAAAACTCTCCATCCCGTTCGTATACCACAGATTAGGTGCCACTTTTATATCTTCAAACGTCACCCGCGGGTATAGGTACGGGTACGATTGCCACACTTTCTCGTAGTACCAGCTGATGTGCGACTTGGAGATGTCCGCTATGCGCTGGTCGGCACTGTAACTGATTTCATTGCTGCTACTGTTGTTGTTGTTGTCGAGCACACGTGCTTCTTCGATTCCGAGAATGTCAGACACGAAACTTGCCTTCAGCGACTTCGGAGAGAAGACCTTGTATACATAATGCGCGCCACCTGGAATACCATCGTGGCGGGAAGTGTCTGGTACCTGCACTTTCTCGAGTGTGCTGATACTCCAGAATTGAGCCGGGCCAACACCATCAATGCGCGCGCCTAGTTTGACATCCGCGGGTAGGGTGGTGAGAACAACTTCGGGGACTGAAGAGCCAACGGGCATTTTGAAATACCCCGGTGAGAGTTTGTAGGGCGAGGCAAAGAGGGTGACGTGCAGGTCGACGTAGCGCGGGGCATCTAGCGGGCGTTTTAGTGGTGGTGATAGAGAGATATTCGAGAATTGAAATGGGTTGGCGATGACAACATGGTCAAATGTCTCTTCCTCGAAAGAAAAACCACCGTCGTCATCATCGCCATCTGTGTCCTGGTAGGTGACCGTGTAGGTATTATTGTCCGAAAGCTCGATGCTGGTTACAGGCGAGTTTAATTTCACAGTTGCCTTTGACGCGTTGAGCATGGACTGGAAAATTTGCCAATTGCCCCCTTCCACCGCGACAGCTCCATCTGTCGCCATGCATACCATCGTCTCGAGGCCATGGATTAGGGCTAGATTCTGGCCGTAATTGACTCGTGTGCTAGCCTGGATAATCTCCCTTGAGAACTGTTCCGCTATGCCATTATCTTTCAAGTATTCCGCGCCGGAAGTCCAGGTTGCCTCAGCAAGCCCAGTGCTCATAGCTACGTCGGAGAGGGACTGAAAGGGGAAGTACGGGAATTTGTATAGCTTCAAAAATTTGTTCACTGTCACCTTCATAAGGTTCTGCGCCTTCATAGGTGCCCAGCCGTATCTATAGAGAAGCTTGAGTACATTCCACCAATAGATGCCTCGTCGTGTTTGGAGAAAAGCGAATTCCTTGCCATCCCAGACTCCCAAGCTATGAACGGATTCCTTGGGCTGTCCAAAATCTGCATCTCTCAATTTGAGGCCGAATTTCTTCGAGGCTTGAATAAGGTTTTTGTTCACTTCGACAAATATGGATGCTCCTAGCTCAATTGGATGGGCAGGGTCATCGAACAGATTGACAGTGGTAGATCGACCGCCAACGTAGGAGGCCCGCTCGTAAACGGTAATGTTGAGCGGGACAGAGAAGAAATCGGTGAAATGGCGGAGATAGTAGGCTGTAGAAGCTCCAGCGGATCCGGCGCCTGAAACCAACATCAATACATCACTCTAACTATATATACTCCGTACACAGCATAGAGAGCCAACCTTACCAATCACAGCCACTCTCTTAGCTATAGCCGGATCCGGAGATGGGTTGGGCGGCTCAGCCTGCAAGGGAGCTTGGGCATCATACTCGCAGCTCGAGAACGGTGCAAGTAGTAGCAGTAAACAGCAAACGAAAGCCACGCCACGCGAAAGAACGCCTTTCGTCATGGAAAAATACATCGCCGTGACTATTATTAATTGACTGCTTTATAGAAAACGAATGGATGGAGTCAGGAATGAGCTGGGATAGACCATCACGGACTTGGCGCTGGCTCTATCTGGTAGAATAGTAGAAGAAATATAGCGTAGATTCTAGGGTGTAACTAGTAGTAGTGGAGAAGAAGAGAAGCATATAGTCAATCCCTTTGCAGTGGCAATTAGCACAGAGGGGACGGGACATGCTATTAGAAAAGGGTCCGCTGAGGTTCTGATATATGGATAAGTCTCTACTGATTCATGATGTTGTCGTCGATGTTGTTGCAGCTTCCCGTTTCTTAAATATTCAGCGCTTGTCTCTGATGCAGGCGCGGCCAATGACATAAGTTAAATATATAAGTTAACTAACTAACTTAACTTATTAAATAATAAAAGTTACTAGAGTAAGTTAACGTTAACTAGCTATGAACTGTAAACTATAAATTAAAGGGAATTAAATAATAGTTATACTTTTTGCAAAATAGAATATTTTTCACTCCTTCTTCAAAGTTTTCTGGAAATTCAAGGTCTGTTACAACTATTTAGTTACAGATGAACGGCTATTTAGTTAACTATTTATACCAGATATAATAAGTCAAACCTGTTCCAATCCCAACCCAACACACAAAAGAAGTTACATAGTATATATATATATGGCAGCGATTCTCCGCTTCTCATTAGATATTTCCTTGCCTTGCAGTCGAGGAAACTATGGCCTAAGACTGATGTTCCTGAGTTGCTGCCAGCTGGAATGCAATTGCCCAAAGACCACATTCCTCCTCGATGGATACCTGGGTTTCTACCAGTGCTTAGGTATATGCCCAGGTACCTGTATATTTTCCCAACTGGTTGCTATTGATTTTGCTTTTTATTCTATGCAGAATGCATATACTCTATGCATGCATCTTACTCAAGTCTTCTTTGCCCTTTACACTTTTATGATATTCCTGTCTGCGACTGTCGTTTTGTACTCCCCCGTCCTCCTGATATCCAACAGGTCTTATACTCACTCTGTCAGGCACATAAAAATCCGCTTACCCTTCACCATGGGCCCCGTAACCTTTAGCGATATAACAACAGCTATAGCATTCATCTCCATCCTCGGACTGATCATGACGTACGACCAAATAACCCTCATCAAGCAGAGACTCAACGCTCTGCACAGCAGACTCTCCGGTGCAATACGACACGCAGAAGCGGCAGAGGCAGAGGCCCGTCTAGCCACCGAGAAATTCGGCACCAGCCGGAAGAGGATAGCAATGCTCGAAGAGAAGTTAAACGACTACCAACGCGCTCTGATGGATGAGGTTGCGGCCATTACCCAGCGCCAGGACCTGAACACTGCCGTCGTCCGCCGGGGAGGAGAGAAGTGCCACCAGGGCAGTCTTAGTCGTCAGCTGTATGAGGTTCCTACTTCTTCGTCGCGCAAAACGGATACGCTGTCGTATATCAGCAGGAGGACGACTAGAGCGACCATTCTAGCTAAGGATGCGTTTTCATCACAACACCAAACTCAGCAGCAACACCGAGGTGTTCCTGTTCCCGCCGTGTCTGGTGTTGCTGCAGACTTTGTGCTGGGGGAGATGTCACCGCCACCCCATAGAGGGGTACTAGCTAGGGAAAAGTCGGAATCGGGCAAGAATTCGGTGCGGTCGGCTTTTGCGAACATTTCTCTGAAGGTACCGTGGAGACTGCGAACGAAAGAGGCCACGGCTGCTGTGAAGCGGAGGATGGCTAGCTTTCACTTATAATTCCGGTGATAAAAATAGGCCTGGCCACTGTGAGCATACATTGTCCAATATTGCTTATTGCTTCATCTTATTAAACACTAGCCTGGGTTCTAATTATATTTGCAAGGAGTTCTTCTATCTACACTCCCTTCTTCTTGGGACGAAATTTCCCTCTTACCAGTTTCACAAATCGGCTGATTATATTCTATGCCAACCGCTTCTCTTTTATCATCGATGATAACTAGAACAAGGGCCTGCCTGCTCAGCCACAACTCAAATCGTGCTCGCCAAGGTTTGGCATAGTTCTCCATGGAATGTCTGCCGGGAAGCACCTCCACCCTTTTTCCAGCCCGTATGATTTGTGTATGAGCCAATGACTTTCAGGCATATCGCAGGGTATGTTTACTTCCCGCCCAATAAAACTCTAAGAAACACTCAGCGGCCAGAACCTGTGTGTGTGTGTGTGTGTGTGTGTGTACAAACTAACACATTGTTGGCAGTTTTATATACCTGGCGTGGCCACCCCCTAACCCTGCATGATATCTAAGCCCGCTGGATAACCAGGGCATTGCAGGAAATAACCATTTGTCTTGTTTAATAGGAACATTGATATGGTTTAGAGATCGTCTACTGGAATACAAGAGGGTGCAAGTTTGAAGTTTGAAGCATGGCAATCGAGCAGATAAAAAATTGTACTGTAAATAACAATCCAAATGAAATAATGAAAGCCTGCATACACATACATCTATATAAAATACCTGAACCAAGTGATCTAGCTCCAAGATGAGCAGGTTTGGAAGCACAAACCTCCCCTCGCTCTAAAAAAACACGTCCCTTAAAAGAAGGGAGAGGCAGGCTTGGTTTTAGGGGGGGTATCTATTAGCTACAGTGACAGCCCCCACTCCCACTTCCCCCTCTACAGCTTGGATAAAATCTGCCCAGCATCCCCACTACCAAGAACTAACTCATCAGTCCGATAATCCGGATTGAAGATAATCTCATTCAACGGATTCTGCCGATGTGCCAACTCGAATAGTTCTTCGTAGACTTTGTCATCGGACCGGCCCAGCGTACTACAAGGATTTTGGAATTGATGAAGTGGTTAGCTGCGTCCTGGTTCTGTTCCTCTAGATAAAAAAAGAAAAAACAAAAAAATTCCGGATGGGATTGGATGTGTCATATATATATATATATATATGAATGAATGAGACTCACCTGTGCAACAAAAAATCCACGCGTCCACGAGGGAGACAACATGCGGTCGTATGCGCTGCATTAGATCGAAGACACGCGGCGTGACCGCGTCGAGGTGCTCGTTGGATATGGCGCCGCAGCTGTAAAATTCGCGCGCTTCGGTCTCCATGGTGCTTAGCGCGAAGAGGCGGAAGAGATCACGGAGGGTCGAGCGGGTTTGTGCGGACGGGATGTTGTTGGAGTCGTTATTGATGGCGTTGTAGAACTTTATGACGAGGATGGATTGGGAGTGGGCTGCGTTTTGTGACGGGGAGGGGGAGAGAGAGTAATTTGTTAGTGAGGATTGATTGGCGGGCTATAAGGGGTTACTGTTGATATAGCTAGAGAGCTGGGAAAATACCGCGGCTGAGTCTGTAGAAGTCGATGAGGAGACTGTTCCATGTTTGTTTCTGGATCTCACGCTTTTCATATGCTTTGAAAGACTGTAGATAGATTCATGGGTCAGTTTATATCTTCGAAGTTGATTAGCTGGGTCAAAAACTTACGAGATATGCTGCTCTCCATTCAAATGCCTCTACAATATCCTCATCACTCGTAAGCACGCTGAGGTAAAGTTTCGTATCCTTCGAGGCGAGAAATCTCCTCAAACTTTCCTCTGTTCACGTTGTCGCTTGGCTGTTAGGCCTCTCTACCAGCTCGCGCACTTTCTTAATCAGATACCGCGCCACTTGTTGGGTGATCATGTAATTATCTCCCTCAACTGTTGGTTTGGTGAGATAGTTGTTGTTAAGCTGGACGAGACCGCTCCCTCATCCGAAGCCATGGCCCCCCATAGCTCATCGACATGTTTCAATGCTGTTCGCACTGATATCTGTGCACAGGCTCTTCAGGCCAGAAGATGTACTGTAGAGTTCAGCCAAGGCTGCGAAATCGCCGCTCCTTTCGATGTCTGTTCTGGTCCTTTCGTAGAGCTTCCCCATAGCTTTTCCGCTGTAGTGGAGGGGAAATGTTGTGGCTAGGAGAGGCAGTATTCGAAATTGGACTGTAGGATAATCTAGCACATTTATTTCCGGGGCCGTATCTTGAAGTGCATCTTTGTCCTTGAACTGGCGTCGGATGGATAGATATCTGACGGCGACTGTCACGGCGCGGGCGAGTGCCAGTCTTGCTTCCATGACAAGTTTAGCCCGGACCTAGAAACTTTATAGTTAGAAATTGAATACAGAATTATATAGAGGGTTTCGGTACCAAAACGTACGTGAGTCAAAGATCCGTACACAACTTCTGGATTTTTTGGCTTGGTATACTCGCCAGTCTCAGGGTCTACTCTCGAATAACCGGCTAGCATAGCATCTAACTCATCGAAAACCATGGTAACCTACTCCAATACAAAGATCATCACCTGTGTTGATTGAATAGCAAGTATCCATTGTCCATGGAATTGTACCCATACTTTGGGCCAATATCACCCACAAGTATACTATCGGGTGGCTGGTGCGTCTTCAAATCCCGAATCTGCACAATGAAAGGGTGTGGTCCATAGCTCTTTACTTAGTCTCTGCACCGGATCCGGAAACAGGCAGCAGTAGCTGCGCAACAGCAATGACATAGTTCGCAGTGCGGCCCATTGTGCCGTTCCACCACTTACTCGCAGTCAAATGCGGGCTGTGAAGCACAAACTCCTTTGTCCTCGGATCCCATCTAGCCTCCAATTCAAGGCCCCGAACATTACTTCCATGCCCCAGCTCAGTCTGCGCATAAGCCCCAATAACCTCCCATGCCTCAAGTTTGGGCATCCAGTAAACCTTCTGCGCTGCGCTCCCCTGCTGTAACACCGTTGCTATGAAAATAGCCGTGTGGAGGTAGTATGGGAGAACATCATCGCATAGGGTTGCTGCCATCTGATATTCGTCATCGTTCCATCCGACCTTGTCCTTGAGCTGGCGGATCCACTTCGCCCTGGCTAACGCCAGCTTATAGAGGTCAGGACGAGCGAGGTTGGCCTGGTTTCTCTTTTTAAACAATGGGTCGCTCTCTCAAGGACCTTGAGAATGCGATTTTGTTGCTCGATGTACTTAGAGGTCAGAAGATATCGTGAGAACTTCTCGACTGGAATTGATGACCTTGCTCTCTCGTTTGCAAGGATCGTGGCTCCGTCTGGCGCCGCTGGATTCAACGCAGCGCTGAAATCATCTTTGTCCGTCATTGTATGTCCAATTATCCCGTTTATCATGGAGGACTGGGAATTTGCCGAAAGGGCGTAATTATTTACTACAGCTGAGGTTTCTGGTTGCAGGAATGTGGGAGGGGTAGACCGATATTATTTCTTGCAGCTTCACCTATCCGGTCCCAAGTTTGAGAAGTCATAACTGCTCAAGAAAGGCGATTTGATAACCTGAACAACCCGCAGCGGAAAATTCCCGAGGTCATTTCATGAAACTATTATTAACCTTGAGCTGGAGCACTTGTTACCCGTTCGGTCACCGTTGTTTACCCCACATCTTAGGTCGACGGCACATTGCCGAATCTGCCAAGTTGTTGCAATCTTCGCAGAGACGTTCAGAACTACCACGGCCTCGGCATGATATTCGTCGATGATATTTGTCGAGGAAACCTTTACCTTGAGGGAAAGCGTGTGAACTTGAACGTTGGCTTTTTTCTTTTTTCTTTTTATTTCTCAAATCAGTTACAGCTCCTCAGCCAGACTGCAAGGGACTGCAATGACGAGCAAGATCTTGGTATCCCCCTTGGACCCTTGCCAATGCTAATGTCCCATCTGGAGCTGCTCGGGATCTAATAGTACAGTGATACGGCTCTCCATGTGCGCTAACTGTCGCACATATGAAGGGCGCATATATCAACCTAACACCTTCTGTTCAACTTAAGCAAGCAACATGGAAGGGTTAGTCAAGTATCTAGGGTAGATAATCGGGATGGCCTCCTGTTAGCTCAACCAATGAATTTCTTCGTTGTTTCCCGTTCTCCGAACTCTTTGGCTAAGTGGGATATTGTAAACGGGAGAATTGTCATAAATTGCAGCTGATTTTCACTCTCCCCAGCAGCTATCCTGACTGCCCCTGTCTCTCCTTCTGCTGTAATCCGAAACGTGGTTGGGATGTTGTTCGGCAAAACAGCTCGAGGTTTCGGCAATAACAAAGTTAATTTTCTAATTTGGATAAAGTAACTACCGAAGTGCCGGGCCGAATCCGCTCGTACATCCCTCCCCAACACGCGGAGCACTCCCGAGGACGGACTGCGACAAACAGCCGAGTTACCTTGGACTTTGAACTCTGAAGCCATCAAGTCTGATAATGAAGCAAGACCAGACCACGCAGGCATCGGCATTTTGTCAAGTCGGAAGATCTTCCTCCAACCATGACCGATTGAATTTCGGCCTTTTGCATTTAGTATAACAGGAAGTTCGCAGTAGCACTCATGGCATCTGGCCGTTTGTGCAGAAGATAGATCAATTAATTAATTATACAACGCTATGGTGTCGCGTAATATTAGCAACGATGTCCACGACACTCCATTTTCCGTCTTTCTGTGGGGTGGAAGGGAGAATTGAAGGCCGCAAGCAGCTCCTGAAAGCACTTACATCTAACCCAATCTTCTCCAGGACTGCTGTAACGATTCCATCGCTGGCTAGAAAGGATGCTTGGAAAAGAGCCGTATCTCAAGCTCGCAAGCTGGTAGTGCTCAAACATAAGGAAAAATGGACGGGTCCACAATTTCACGATGCAGTGCGGATGCAGGATTATTTCCTCCCAGTCCAACCCCAGCTCAGAAGTGTGGCTGCCTTTTTACCAACATCAATTTCCCTGATTTAGCCTCTGACGGTCAAGTAGTTTTCATTTCAAACCTTGAGCGGCAGATGACGGATGAGCAAAAGGCTGTTTGGATCCCGAAGGCGGAAAGATTCGAGATCTTAGGGTCATATGCACAAACTGAGCTCAGTCATGGCTCGAACGTGCGAGGGCTTGAAACAACTGCTACTTTTGACCGCGCGACGGACGAGTTCATAATCAATTCACCAACGGTGAGCAGTGCCGAGTATTGGATTGGGGCCACGGGGATCTGGGCCACCCATTCGATAGTTGTCGCCCGCCTCATTATTGATGGGAAAGAATATGGCAACCACCTCTTTCTCACCCAGTTACGCGATCTTGAGACTCACAAATTGCTGCCGGGAGTAGAGATCTACGAACTTGGTCCCAAGGTGTTCCAGGGCATGGTTGGGGTCCATAATGGAGCTATGCAGGTCCACAATGTCAGGATCCCTCGAGATCACATGCTGGCGCGGAATGCCCAAGTGTTGAGGGACGGCACCGATATTCCACCAAAAAATACGAAGCATTCATATGGCTCTATGATTACCGTTCGCGCAATCATGGCTGAAATTACCGGTTACGATTTGCTGAGAGCTAGCAGTAGCGTACCACTATACGAATTTCCGTAAGCAATTCTGGATAAAGGGTCAGAAGGAGGAGAATACAGTATTCAACTATGCCAGCGTCAAATATCGCCTTCTTCCATTGCTTGCCAAGGTAATAATGTGCTCAATTTCTCCGCTGTTGTCATCTGTTGCAAGGTTCAGCTAACGTTTTAATGAATGATCAGGGAACCGCACTCGTGCTTGTTAGACAAGATATCAATCGAGCTTTCGATGAATACAGTGAGCTGGTCATCAAAACGGGGAACACCTCGCAACTTGAAGATCTGCATCTGCAAACCGTGGGCGCGAAAGTTTACTCCACTGATATAACTGCGAACGGCGTCGAAACTTGCAGAATCGCGTGTGGTGATCACGGGTATAGTGCACTGTCAGGCTTCGGCCAGATGTACGCTCACACTGTCAATGCTGTCACGTATGAAGGAGACAACTATGTGATTGCTCAACAAGCCCCGCGGGTCATCCTGAAACATTACAAAGCGTACGTTCCTCCCGCCAGGATACTATCATAAGTGATTAACGTCGTTTTCATCGTAGAAAAACCGGACACACTATTCTCAGCCTCTCTTACCTAGAATTCTTAGAAGACCGGAGAGCAGCAGCAAACTGAACGTGTCTTCTGAATCTGACTGGTTTGAGCCAGATAACCAACAATGGGTGCTCGAGCGCCGGCTACCGACCCTAGTCAAGGCTCATATGGAAGCCAGTGATGTGATGCTGGTAGAGATACCAGTTTCACTGTTCACGAGCTCACCATGGCACATTGCGATTTCGTCTACTGGCGAGGATTCTGGGATGTAATTAAGAAGGCGGGTGATACCGACTTCGTTCGGCAGTTGGAAGCACTAGCACAAGCGGTAAAATTCTCTCTCTCCCCCAGCTCAAGCACGAAAGAATCCAAGAGCAATCAACAATAAACCACGTAGCTTTTAACGAATAACATGAAAGAATAATAGTTCTCCCTTTCGATTCTCCAATCCGCACACAAAGACATCTATGGCCCATATGCCCTAAAATAATGTCAACAAAAAAAGTCTCACATCTGCCTATGACAAAGCGATCCAAACTCTGTCGGACTTCTCCAAAGCCATCATAGACGCGTATGGCTTCGCAGAATTCGAGATGGATAGTGCATTGGCAAGGGCTGAGATGAATCCATATGAAGCGCTAGTTGCGGGTCCGAAAAATAGCGACATGAATAATATGAGAGATGTTTGGCCGGTAGATTCGAGAAGGACATGGGCCAAGTTGGATGTTGAGGAGAAAGCGAAGTAGTAAATTTCAAGAATCCATGGGTTCTTGTATCATTTTAGGAAATTCTTCACATCAGAAATACTGCATATCACTGCATATATAAAATGGGTATACGCAGTAGGTAAATACTTCAAATAAATGTTGGATGGATGGAGTAATATAACTCTGGAGAAGTATCTGCTTAGTCATCACAACCGGCAAAACATTCCGCATTAGGCAGTGTGATTTGGTCTTTCCCACCCACAAACTTTTTTGCAGCTCAACATCGAATCGAAAAATTATCCATACATCGGAACATCTTCATTGACTTATCCAACTCGCAACTATAACTGACGCTTTATCTACTATCCTTCTTTTGAGAGAAATATATTTGCTCCTATCTGCCAGATTTACCGTGTTTCCGAGTTTAGGAACATCTGCTCTTGATTTCTTTCGCTTCCCAGAGAATACTCCCACACATCTGTGGGAAATAATAGAAGTCACCAACAAAGGGGAACTACGGAGCCAGCATATCTAATTTCAAACGAGGAAGCACAAATAGAGGAGTAGAGTGAAAGGGCGCGAAAGGGAACAAAATGGCATCGTTCGACAAGTGCAAAACGAGACCGCAGCATATCGATGTCATCCTGAACGGCTTGGACAGATATAACCCAGAAACCACCACAATCTTCCAAGAATATGTCGTGCAGCAATGCGAGGACAGAACATTTGACTGCTATGCCAATTTGGCGCTATTGAAACTGTGAGTGCCTTTGTTGGAATTCCTGTTGAGGGATCCCTTATTATCCATGCTGCACCTGGATGCACTCTCTTTAGAGTTATGCTATCAGTCGCTCGCACAATTTTTTCTTATTGGCGGTCTTATTATGATGATTTGTAATTTTTATTACATTCACGTTTCCTATTAGCCTTACACTGTTTCCCGATAAAATGTCGGGTAGACGGGCCTGGGGATACAAAATTACCCTGAAATACAACCGCCCCCTAATTGTCATTTATCTATGCATACCAATTTACAACATGAGACTCTAGCTAACACGAAAATGCCCATCATGGGCAATGAACCTTTACCCAGATATCAATTCAACCCTCATCTCCTTCACACCGAAACAACAACCAACATCCTAGCCAAAGCGTTGACTGTCTTCCCCTCCCCCGCCTTCTCCCTATCTCTTGCCCTCCTCCCAGCATACACTCAACCATTTGCTTCATCGACATCATCCTCAGTCCCTATGCAAACATCTGATTTCATCGAATCGATCCAAAAGCTGGCCAGTCTCAACACCCTCCTCGAATCAGCACAATACACCCTCTTCTGGTCAACCCTCAATTCCGATGACCTATACGCGGATTTGGTCGCCGATGTTGCAGGATTTGAAGAGCTGGTACGGGTTCGCATTGCTGCTGAGGTCGGCAAAGCTTTCCGGGAAATTAGCGCTGAGGTTCTAGCTCAATGGCTTGACCTGCATGGGCTAGAGACTCTAGAGAAATTCGTCGTGGATGTTTGCGGATGGGAAGTTGATAAGAGCGCGGGCTCTGACGTTAAGAGTGTAGTTATCAGAGTCCCAAGAAATAAGGAGAATGAGGCCAGAGGGGAGATTAAGGGAGAGAAAGTGGGCATAGAGATGTTCGGGCGGGTACTTCGGAGGGGTTTCGAGCAACCCGCTTGATTTCCAGTCTTTGTTTTTGTGTTTTTATTTTCCTCACTTCTCGCCCTCTTCAACCTTTTGGGCTGATTTTCTTTTTTTTTTTTTTTTTTTCCGTTAAAATTTCGTCCCAACCATGTCTTCGTATTATTTTTCTCTTTCTTTATGCGGGAGCTGGAGAAGCTCCTTAATCACGCGGAATGAAATTGCGGAAATAGAGTTATGACGGGGGACGGTGACTCCCTGGGAAATATATATACCTACCTAGTAATTGAAGCACCTCGTTCATAGTAACCTGCTTCAGTCTGCTTCTATGTGTATTGTTTCTCTTTGCAGAATACGTGAACAATGCCACGCAGCTACCTACCTGGACAAGAAACCAGCCCATCACGTTTTCCCTCACCGCTACATGTACGTTTTATCTCGGCCCATTCGTTTAATCTATATCCATTCCGTATTCCGTAGTGAACACAACTTCAAAAACCTAAGCCAATTAGATACATCCATCTGATTCACCCCCTTAGCTCTATTTAACTAATCAGCGACTAGGAGGTTCCATGCAGCCCCAGCTATCCAAGTTATTTACTTCCCCGCAACCCTTTCCTCCCACTGCACCCCAACCCACTCCTCCCTCCACCCCAACACCCCCTCATGCTCCAACCCACAGTTCGCCGCACAAACCCCCAAAATCACAGTCCCCCACTCCATCCCTGTATCATCCTCAGGTCCAAGCCCAATACCCTCCCGCCCCTCCTCAAGCACCGTGATCGCATGCGGCGTGAGTTGGACTTCAAAAACGCGTTCGCGCCCACAGTATTCGCAGCGGGGAATCCTGTTCGGGCTGCCCGCGCTACTACCACGGGTAGATACTTTGACATGGGACGATTTGGCAGACGGGGAAGGGCTGGAGAAGAGTTTCCCCACCGCGTCGGTGGTGGAGTAGAGTAGCGGTGCACCCCGGAATTCGTAGCGGAGGACTTGCTCCGGGTTATGGCCCAGGCGCGCCGAGAAGCGCAGGAAGGATTTGTCCATGGCGGATTCGAAGGTGTCTTTGGGCTCTGCACCTGCTGTCATGGAGGAGTCCTCGTCCATGAGGACGGGCTGCGCTGTGGTTGGTAGGGTGGGGGACGGCGGGCGGGAGAGAGTTTCGTATTCTGCATCGAGGTGGTGGTGCGGATAGGGCTTTGGGAACGCGGATTGCGGAGGCCATGGGAGGGGCGGACCGGCTGCTCCTGTCTTTGCAGGATTTCGTGGGGGTGGAGAGGAGAGGCGGACTTTTTCGGCGAAGGTTTCGGGGAGGGATTCGGTGGGAGGAGGGGAGGATGGTTTTTGGGGCGGTTTTGCAGCGAGGCTGGATGTAGGGGCAAGGGAGGCAAAGGGGTTTGCTTGACTGGGGGAGGATGCTGTCGAAAATGGGTTGGGGTTGGCTGACTGCCCTTGGCTAGATGGGGCGGCACCAAAGAGACTAGAACCAAGATCTTGCTTGGGCTTGCTCTCTGCCGGTGTGGGTTCTGGAGCCTTTCCCGTTTTCTCAGGCTGGTTATTTTGCTGTTGTCGTGAGGATGAATTTACGATTTTGTGTTTCTTCACACCGCGCAGCGCCCGTAAGCTGCCATTCTTCCTGGTGCAGGATTTCCTGGGGCACCCAAAGATATACAGCCACCGTTCATCGTGAGGAAAGTGTTCTGGCAGGTCACCGTTTAATTGTAGGAGAAGTAGCATTGGGTTGTTGCAGACCTTACATCTGGCGAAGTCACCGGGTGGTGGGGTCGCGGGGTCAAGCCAGGTCTATCGATTTGGGTAATTAGCTGTCCACAAGCGTAGGAGAATAAACAAAATAGAAACTGGATAAAATAAAATATTTAAAGAACTTTCATACCGGCCATCCGCCCAGGTGACTGATCGAATCGTCTGAAGCATCGTCATCGGCGTAGCCAAGGAGGACGTTGGTCTCGGTGAAATCGTCAATTCCTGAGGAGTCGCTATCGTACTGATCCATCTTTCACGAAATATGTCAGAAATGTATCTATCCCCGTTCGCACAAAAGTGTACGGCTTCTATATGCAAACAATCTGCCACACGATACAGCACAATCTTCGACTTGATGCCAGTGGCCGATGCCCAACTCAGGACTTCCAGCTGGTGGCAGCAAAATAATCTTGAAATTTAAACATTGATATCATGTGATGATCGCATAAGATCAGATCGATAAGATTAGGGTTATGATGTCATTCTGTGCCTGCCCCTCTTCGCCCTCAAAAAAAGTTCTATTCCATTGTTTTGCTGCAAAGAGGTATAGAAAACCTTTGATGAGATGTTTTTCAATTGCCCAAAACGGTAGGTTATTACTTCTCGTTCTTTATTCTCTGATCACTAGCTCACGTGGGCCAATGGCATCTCATTCTCTAGTTACCACGGAACTTCAACTGTATATTTTTAGCACAAGGTCCATTCCAGGCACTCTTTTTATTTTCACCTATCTCATTGCTTATAGACCGAGTATATTCCTGTTCAACTAGAACAAGCATGATACATAAAGCTGAATCCTTATGGTTGGTATGTATCTGAAACCAGTTCAATTGGACTCGGTGCGCGATCACCCGCATATGCGCAACTGCCTTCTGGATACCCCGGTCTGGCACACCGTCGCCTACTCTGCTTTCTGGAGAGACGGTATAAGAAAGAAATTGTACATTCACTTCACGGTCTCCTGAGGAATTCGGGGATTCAATTCAGTGACTAGCTGCAATATCAGGGGTCTTAGAGCACCAAATAGTGTCTTACAGAGGTTTCATTCAGCGGGATCCAGCTCTCCCTAGCCTTGAGCTGGGCCTCCCGGTAGCGAGATAAGATATATATCTCGGCCGATAAGTTGCACTCGTCGACTGGCTTCCCCTTCAGTAGTAGTAGTAGTAGTTCCCTCTATCCATAGCTCCATTGATCCATCCAGAGTAGAGTGTAATCGCTGTGACTTCAATCTCTTACAAGACGAAGACGAGGCGGTGGGGTATCACCGGGAGCCTGCGGATATCCCTTATTGCTCTCCCCTCCATCCCTCCATTTGCCTCCATTTGCCTGCCCATTCATCAGTGGGAATTTGAAATGGTAAACGGAAATCAGTCTGGGAGGGGGTCCCACAAGCTCTCCTCCCCACCAAAATTTCCCGGCGAACATAATAAGGTTTTTTCCAAAGGAGGAGATAAGAGAAGAAAAGAGGCATAAACAAACTTACCTTGTCCGTTCCGGTCCGTCCGGATAGCTACTACGCAGCGTAGTAGCCCTCCAGAGCTGGGTGTCTGATCGAGGCTTTTCCAGCGTAGCCCTCCTAGAAAGAACCCTTTTTGTTGACCCCCCATCCCATCAAATCATATAAAACAATAACAAATCAAAACCAGGCGCTGGAAGCATTGGGGTATCCAGCCTAACTACTGATAATATTGTACATACATGTACATGAACGTACCTGTGGATGAAAAAATGAAATACGAACGTGCAACGATGGGGGACATAATGCAAATAATTACACAAAGAAACGAAAACGTCCCCCGGAAGACGGCGATAACAAGAGAGAGACGAGACGAAGCGGGATCGGAAGGAAAGAAGGAAGAAACGGTGTGTCCTTGCACAAGAATAGTGGAAGTGTAGGTACCAGGTAGGTACGCAAAAATAATAACCCTCCTAAAGTTTTTTTTTTTTCAAGGACCACGAATGAAGAAGCAGACAGGAGGTGTGGCGTGCTTCCGCCCCCTATCCAAGTCAATCCCCTATCCAGCTCTAGCTTCCGCTCCATCCCTTGCTGTTTCCTGGAGCTTCTGCCACTACCTTCTCCCTCTGCCCTTCCTTCATATGCGATCGCTCCTTCTATGAGAGCTTCCACTCCTTCTCTACAGAGCCTCCATTCTTTCCTTCATATGTGATCACTCCTTCTATGAGAGTGTCTGCTCCTTCTCTACAGAGTCTCTGTTCTTCTCTTCATAGACAATTGCTCCTTCTACAAGAGTTAATCTCTATAAAACAATCACTGTATATATAAGGGTGTACGCCCATCTCCCATCTTTAGAAGAATAAGACAAGTTTTTATCCTTATATCTGACTCTATGTAGTGGTGTACACTACAATTTGATAGCATATCTTATTAAGAATCAAGTTCTTCTAGCTTCTTTAACTTCTGCTCTGCTCTTGATATATATAGCACTGATGATTGAATCAGACTGTGAATACTGAGGATTGACTAGCTGATAATTAGTCTGATTAGTTACTCTATCTTCTTTTAATACTGCAGCTAGTGATTGATCTGACCTGCAGTTATTTAAATCTACTTCATTTGATATTACAGCTAGTGATAGATCTGACTAATAATCATTTAGGCATCTTCTGCTTCAGAATGCTATAGCACTAGTAATTAATCTAGAATATGATCACAGTTGTGATAAACTCATCTTTGCACTCTTATATGACTTTGTCAGCTCTGTCATGATAATGAAGTAGAATGAATAAATCACTCAGAGCAGCTTCTATCAGTCACTCTCTTCTACTGAACTGAATAAGTCTGTTAGTGAAATTGAACAACTCACTCAAGAATTCATCAATGAATCTGACTCAGAACAAACTTACTTATAAGCAATGACTGAAAAGCATGCTATTATAATTACAGAAGTCTGATGAAATACAGATGAATAATATAAGAGTATCAAAAGTCAAGTGACACTGTATAATTGTATCAAAGTGAAAGATATTCTTATGAGTGTATCAGTCAGATATTATAATAACATAAAAATAACTCTTAACTCTGCTTCAGTAGTGAAATAAAAGAATGTCATTGATTTCTGATTATAAGTCTTCTATACAGATGTTATAAAGAATACTAAGAAGAGGAATTTAATAATCTTAAGCTTTTATAAATTTGACTGTTAGAATTATACTTCTTCTGATGAAGCAGTAATACTAGATATAATTGAGAAGTTAGAATAGCTAGAAGTCTGACTGATCTGATAAGAGAGTAAGCTTAATAAATATGAATATCAGCTTGATCAGTGAAAGAAGCAGTTGAATAAGTATACTACTCTTATTAATGAATATATTAACAAACTTCAAGAGAATCTCAAATGATTGACAGATAAAAGAAGTAGATTAATGAAAGTGTGAAATAGCTTCTATATTAAGAAAGCTGTGTTTACTGCTCAAAGATAGAAGCTGAACTGTTGTCAGCAGACAGACTGTTTAGCTCAGATTAATAAAACAGATATTGAAGCTGATAATCTTCTTAATGAGTCTATATGATAATTAGATACTTTCTTTGAGAAAGGCTTTAAATCATCTTCTAGAATCTGATGAATGCTGATAATTTCATAGAGATTATGCAGTGCTGAAGACAGAACACACTGTTATAATCTAATAAGAGATAGAATTAATTTTCTCAGAGAAGCTGACACTGTATATTTTACTTATAACTCAGAGAAAAACTGAATACACAGAAATCAGATATCTACTCATGACAATCTTGATCTTCTGCTTAATAGTGAACTCTGTTCATTCATATAAAGTGATAATAGATCAGTGAGATTATAAGCTGATGATATTATACTATTTAACTCAGTAGAAACAGATGTAATAATATTTATCAGTTACTTGAAATTTATCATTATATAGAAGAGAGATGATGTAGTTCTCTGTGTATTTTCTCTATATCTGAAGAGTCAGGTGTTGAAATAGCATAACAGTCTGTCTATTAAAATGAGAAAGAATATGAATATCTTTCTCTCTATCACTATCAATGAGTTAAAACATGAGTTTCAGTTATTAGAAGAAGAAGCTTGAATGAAAGCTCAGACTCTGTGTTTTTTCTTTGAGAAGTCAGATAAACTGTCTCTGATATTATATATCTTATAGAAGATTAACTTACTGTAAGCTACTGCAATCTCTGACTCTGTTATAGTAAAGAGACTCTTATGAGAGAGTTTAAAGTTCAATCTTTTCTTAATCACATCATTTATTCTCACTGAATAATTGAATAATTTTCAATAATGAATTAGAGACAATGAGTCAGCTGTCTGATATACTTGAACTGATTGAAAGACTCAATTTGCTAACTATATATGTAGTTTCAGATGTTTTGAACAGAATAATAACTACTGTCTGTATTACATCTCTCTGTTCAAGCAGACAGAAGCTACAAAGCTGTCTGTATCTACTGTAGAGATGACAGTGATTCTCACAAGTGCTCTTATAATAAGTAAGTTGCTGATTCAGTATATAACAGAAGAAGAAAGACTGTCAGTATCTATAGCAGAGTGCTACATCTGCAGAGACTCTTATTACATTAATCACTGTCTTAAAAAAGAGAAGAACAGTAATTATTCAGTGAATCAAGTTGAACTGAAGAGTACTGAGAAAGATAATGATAAGCTACTGAATCTAGATCTCAGTCTAGATTCTGATAGTAAGTTGAAAAAATAATTAGTGAAATAAGTACTGAGAGACTTATCTTGTCTACAGACATTCTCTCAGATGATTATTAAAACATCTTTAATACTGACATATATGTGATTATAGTGTGTGATATCTCTATAAGTGATTAAGAATATGTTAGTGAACTATAGTATTTGTCTTACATCTTTCTCACTATTCTTATTATTATATCACAAGGCAATCTCTCTGTTTATGTGAATACAGATGCAGATATATTACTTATTGATATAATAATAGCAAATCTATTCTTTTCTCATTGTTGACTGATCTCTATACTATATAATCAATGCATGAGCATTTGAGAAGTTGACTCAGAAGCTAATGAATCAAATCTATTTATAATAACAGATCTTATCTTGAGAGTGAATGATGATTCTCTTTTCATTGTTAAAGACAAATTTCACTTAGTGTAATATCTCAGATACAATATAATCATAGTTAATAATGTATTATTATCAGTGAAAGTAACTATTAATGTTCACAGTGAGCTTGTTACATTTTATGAAAGATATTTCATAAATGTCAAGATCA